AAGCTCGGCGGCACAGCCGCCGCTCAAGCGGCTTGCCCGTTACACATGGCGAGGCATAACCGCGGCGTTGGGGATAGCAGCCGCGGTAGCAGCGAGGAGGACGGCAGCAACGTAGGCAAGCATATTGATTGAATCGTTGGGGAAGAAGAGTTTGGTTTTGGTAAGACTTGAGAATGATGGTTGGAAGGTGATGGAGCTCTGGATGGTTGGTTCTCTGAAGGCTGAGCAGTAGGAGCGAGGGAAGTGATGCTCTTTTTATACTTGAAAGTCTACTATGTGCCTTGAGGTTTTGAGAGAGTAAAGCACTGGCATTCTGCCAGTTTCTTTGGTCGTGCTCGAAGCTCTAGACTTCGCGGGATGAAGGACAGGCTCTGGAATGCGGAAGGTCGGGGAAATGGCAGGCCCTGCAACGCGGAAGGTCGGATGAAAGACAGGCCCTGTAATGCAGACGTTGGGATGAAAGACAGGCTCTGGAATGCACAAGGTCGGATGACAGGAGAGCAGCATTCTAGTATACGGCTGATGGTTGCTTGTGAAAGGCTTTTAAGTCGTAGTCTCGTTCCTGATGTTAACGTCTCCGCGTGACTGTAGCCACTGTTATTATTACTAGAATTGTCCCGCACTCTCGGATACAAACATCATTAGACTCTATGATATTGAGACATAACGGAGCGTACTATCCGGATGCGTCTGAAACATTTACACCACCCCAAAGCCCGACAGTGGGGGGGCAGAAGGAATAAGAGGGAAAATATACAAAGACAGTATTAAATATCTTTATCCCAACTTTATTAACTACGAGAGATCGTTACACTGATATTAAAAGACGCGCTTCTTTCTACCCTTGATACTACTATTAGTATAATATAGAGCCATTACCTCCCATTCCTAGTGGCTCTCTACATATTAAACCACCCAGAATGCTTTATGCTTAAACCGAGTATAGTGCCTCCGTGGAATGCGGTTCAAGCCGAAAAGCGTTTGTGGGCAACGGTTGCGGGCGGTCGCTCCGGAGCCCGCACCTGCCACATGCCTTGATGGAACACTTTAAATTCACTAACACACAGTCCTGTGATTTAAATTAATTTTACATAACGTTATACAGATCAAGAGTGAAAGACAGCCTTGGAATGCAATTGAACTGTTCTAGTATGAGGATCCCATGATGGTAGTGAGCAACTCTGCCATCTTACTCAAGGACCAACCCAAGCACCAGACTCCAACCACGCCCTCGTCATTGCGAGTGCAGAACGAGACTAGGCGAGCCTTGATTCCTGCCTGCCGCCTTCCTCATTTCTTCGTAAGGCTTTGCATATCTGGCGATGACTCTGGATCTTGCTCTGGATGCGTCCAGCATGCCATCTGCCAGAAGCCTCTCGTCAAACACAGCGAACAATTTTGCTCTGTGACTATGCACGTCTTCGCGTGCCACGGATCAGTGTGAATCTGGTGTCCGCGTCCCCTGACAGTTTACAAGTGCCACATTCTCACTTCGGCGTCTTGCCGTTTCTGCCTCTCTTCAGCTCTGAGCGCCGCTATTGACAGTTGATCTTCCCCAACAGGCCGCCCACAACTTGCGGGTAGCATCGAAAAAGAGCCGAAAGATCAGATATACAAAAAGTAATGCACAAACACATAAGCTTGTCTGCGGTAGTTCAGCCACGACAGCGTCGATTTTCCTAGATTTCTCATGCTGGCACCGGCTCTGGCCGTTAATATGAACCAGCTCCTCCTTGTGCCTCGCCTTAAGTACTCGCCGGGCTGCTTTTGAATCTTGTTCTATTCTTTCCAGCTGTTGTAGGTGCGTGTTCCGTAGCTCTCGACGCATTCTGTCGTGTTCCTGCCTCGCGGCTTTCTTGGCTTCCTTGGCTTTCTTGGCTTTCTTGGCTTTCTTGGCAGCCTTTGTCTTTCCTCGGAGGTCTCTCATAGCAGATGCTTGCTGTCTGTCAAGACTTATTCGTTCAGCCTTTCGAACACGGCTGAATTCTTTCATCTTTGCGCACAATGCGGCTTCAAGTTTCGCCCACTCTTGTTTCTGTTTGGCGTTTCTGGCTTTGGAGGTATCTTTTGCACAGCAATCATGTACGGGCGTAGGCTGCTTCTGGGCAACTCTGCTTGAGCCAAGCTTCAACGGGGCCAGCGAATGACTGGGTTTGAGTATCTCGTAAAAGTCTGATTTGCTCTCAGAGGTGGGAGGCAATTGGTGTAATGATTCCCTGCGTTTGACTTGCCTCCAATGCACCTTCACCGAAGATGCATCGTATCTGTCCAGCCAAGTATTCTCATGATCTTCCGGCCAAATTTGATATGGGAAGTCGGTCACCATCGGATGGACTATCTCTATCCTGGAAACAGTTCTGTTGCCTAGTACGCCAGTAACAATTGGCCATTCGATACATTGGAAGCTCGTGTTCCCTTCCGGGTGGAAGCGCTGGGGAGGCGGGTTCGAGAGAACAGTTACTACTTTGCCTTGGCAGATCCGTAGAGCGAAAAGAGCTGAAGCACCGTGTATGTAACTGATCCATGCCGCATGAGCTTTTTGCTTTTGTGGGCAGAGATTGCTCTTCGGGTTCATAAAATCTCCCATCGCAGTAGTTAGGGTTTGCATGCTGTGACAATCCGCCCACTTCTGTGCCGCTTCTCGAGACATGCCGGTCCAAAGAACCTGATGGTCCGGCACACAAAACTCCTGCAGTTGGGACCATATTGAGCATATTTCGGTCGAGTCGATATTCGCTTCGATGAACTGCCGTAACCTTGGCGGACAGGAACAGCCCCAACCGAACGGATTGGAGAGCGGGCCAGCCGTGAACGGACCTTTCGTTGCGTTGTTGTATCTTTCTCCTGACATTATGGTACAGTACCAGTAGTAACATGACGATATTTAGTTGCGGAATCAATAACTATGAGTCCTGCAAAGTCTATGTACTGTGCCATAGATATGTGGCGGGCAGCACAATAATGTTCACGTGCACGTAGTAACCGGAACAGAACGCTTCACAGGAATGCGCCGCCGCCACTGACCTTAGCCCTCATAGATGTCATCGAGACTTACATTTTTTGACTTTCTTTTGGCGAGCTGGAGGTAGGCTGCGACTTCGCCCTTCCCCAGCACTGCCCTGGCAAGCATTTCTTCTTTCTTCTCTGGCGGCGCACTAGTTATGGATAGGTTCGCTCTGCAAGCACTATTTCTCGTCAGAGCAAACGCTGCGCAGAACTTGGTTGGCCCCAGCTCTAAAGGTCTAAGGGCATTTACTTCTGATTTATAATTATTTTATTTTTTGCCTTGCATTGCGAAATTGGCTGCCCTTTGTTGCAGATACTTGGTTCTTCTGTGGCTTCGGCATTAGAGTTGTGTAGGTTGCTGATCGTTTGCTAAACCCGGCGAAGATTGAGATACGCCACCGGAAACGGCAGCATCGTGTTTTAGAGACTGGCTTGAGACTAAAACGACAAATACCCTAGGTCTTTGGGTGCAGCCTCTGCCTCGGCAAGAAGCTTGGCCATGCGGAGGTATCGCCGCGACACGCAGTGGTTATACCTAGTCAGGAAAGAAGCTCCAGATGCATCTCGGATTCTTCAGACTGCTGAAAGATGAGCGTACTTGGGGATTATGTGAACCCGTGTGAGGGCCGAGGAGCTTTCGCAGCCTCGAAACACCGTTTGTCCACAGGGCGGCTCGGAGGGTTGATTAGCACGCGAACGCATGCCGCTGTTGCAGCGCGAGAAAATAGATACTCACTCCCGATGGCAGCGATACCGCTGGTGCCAGCACCATGAACAAAAGCTTCGTGTCGGGGCGCGTCTGGTAGGTGGCCCCCTGCTTGACCAAGATCTTGGCAACCGCCTCACGCGAGTTGAGAACCACCTAGAATGGAGACGGCATATTAATGAGCAGGGAAGAGAAGCTAAAAGGAGAAATTCCACTTACAACCTGGCTCTGCTTGCCCGAGTAATACGGAACACCCCCGCCATATTTAGCGGTCCATGGTCTAAATGTCTCCGCGTGACCATTGCGCAACTTTCACCACGAATTAGATGGAGCTGTAGGCATGAAGCTTGGAAAAAAAGACTATTTTAACAAAAAAAAAACAATACTTGCATCCAAGAGACTTCCAAAAACTGGGATTCCTCGAGAACCTGGGATCTTGATGCGGGGTTTTAGAGCCCCTCACGGCAGCAAGTCGGTATACTAGGCTGTCAGAAAGGGGTTCTCCCGGGAATAACAGCAATGTTTGGTTCATCTTGGCTATAATAGGACAATCTTGAGACACACCCGAGCGCTAAAACAAGTCGTCACTGGTCCGCCTCTCGTTTTTGTGGCGTAACGGGCGTAGTTTATCCCCGTGAGAACTTGATTGAACCAGGCAGACAAAAAGGGCAAACAAGGCACGGAGGCACCGGAGTAGATCAGCGAGATCGGCCAGCCTTGTCCAACATAAACCTGCGATGCTAACCGACACCAGCCGTTCGTTTGCATCTACTCACCAATACCCATCTACAACAAGAGCAAACGCATCGCCCAATCATGCCTGTACACATCATCCAAATGTTACATTCACCGACAATTGTTGCTGTCATGACAACATGCCAGCTGCCGGCATCCATGAGAAACCCGACGACAACAAATCCCCGGCCTGTAACACACCCGACAACGTCTTCAATGAGGGCAGCACGGAGACAAGGGCGCCGGCAGATGCCGACAAGGGCGAGTTGCACGACCCGGCTCCCGATGGCGGCTTGAGAGCCTGGCTTGCCCTGCTGGGTTCGTGGTGCATGCTATTTTGCACCTTTGGCTTGATCAATTGTAAGGAATTGCAATGAGCACTGATGCCTAGAGCGACTTGTGACAGCGGCCGTGGCTAATCACGGATGGGCAGCCATTGGCACCTTTCAGGCCTACTACCAAGAGGTCTTGCTCTCTGACTATGCAGCCAGCACCGTCGCCTGGATTCCATCACTACAGATCTTCTTTGCCTATCTAACCGTAAGCTCTCTGCTGGCCGATTTACATGCCAGCCATAGGCCTGGAGTTACAAACAAACTCAAGGTGGCTCATCCCGATGCGATTGTATATTAACCGTCTGTCACTGCAGAATCCCTTCACCGGACGCATATACGATGTCTACGGCCCTCGATACTTGGTCCTCGGCGGCACCGTCGTCCAAGTCGTTGGCATGATGATGACCTCCATCTCCACGCGCTACTACCAGATCCTCCTCGCCCAGGGCATCTGCACCTCTCTCGGCATGTCCGCCGTGTACGTCCCGGGTAGGTTCGACTTTAACCCCCCCCCTGTTAACCGCCCTAACAAGATCCCTCCACAGCCACGGCCCTCCTCGCCAGCTGGTTCGACAAGAAGCGCGGCTTGGCCTACGGCATCGCCACCAGCGGCTCCTCCCTCGGCGGCGTCATCCTGCCCATCATGATCCGGGAGCTCATCCCGCGCGTCGGCTTCCCCTGGGCCATGCGCGCCTGCGCCTTCCTCATCCTCGGCCTGCTCCTCCTCGCCAACGCGAGCGCCTCCACCCGGTTACCCCCCGATCCCCGCGCCGCCGTCTCCCGGCGCGCCCTCCTCCGGCCCTTCCTCGACACCAAGCTGATGCTCGTCAACGTCGGCTTCCTGGTGCTCACCCTCGGCGTCTGGGCGCCCATCAACTACGTCTCCGTCGAGGCCACCGCCGCCCACGGCGTACGTCCGGACCTCGCCCACTACCTCGTCGCCACGATGAACGCGGGGAGCCTCTTCGGCCGCGTGTTCGCCGGCGGGGTCGCGGACGTTGCGGGCGTGTACAACACCTTTGCGAGCGTGTCCGCGCTGGCCGGCGTGCTTGTGCTGGCGCTGTACATCCCGGCACGGAGCGCGGCTGCCGTCTTTGCCTTTTCGGTGCTGTTCGGGTTCACGTCCGGGGCGTACATTGCGCTGGTGGCGCCGCTGGTGGTCAAGATCTCGCCCATGGCCGAGTCGGGCTACCGCATCGGGCTGCTCTTCTGCCTCTCGTCGTTCAGCGCCCTCGTGACGAACCCGATCGGCGGCGCCATCGTGGAGAGGTGGCAGGGGGACTACACGGGCATGAAGATTTACTCGGGCACTCTGATGATAGTGGGCGCGGGCATTGTTTTTGTCTCAAGATTAATTGCGACTGAATGGAAGCTGAACGTCGTCTTCTAGTTCGTCTTGATGATGTATTGTGTCTGTTTAGATTTCTGAAAAACATGGACATGAAATCATGATCTGATTTATATACATGTACATCAATCAATCAATGCCGCATGCTGAATCGCACCGGAATTGCAAGTCAAGGGTTCTATGTTTATAAAAGTTTTTCTCTGCATAGTCATCTTTACCAGTGAAAGAGTGGGAGTTCTTCCCGCCATTCCAATGGCAGAGTAGTAAACATCTGATCCAAGTAAACATTCTCCAAAGTCCAGTCCCAACCCAGCTACCCTACACATTCCCCTTTGAAACATCCACCCTTGACACTCCCTTCATGCAGACAATTCAACACACTCGAATTAAGAAACATCTAGAAATGCACCTCTTCAATCGTTTCGCGGCGTAAAACTTCTGCATCCGCAGGCAGCAAAAAGCCTTGCTGTATCTGACGCTGAAGCGCTCGTCCAGCAGCATATCGGTAGCCTCCCACTGTACCATAGAGCGACCGCAGCTCTTCAGCTTGGAATGTCCATTGAGACCCTGGAGCGCGTTAATTAGTACCAAATCCTCATAGAGCTAATTCAATCACAATTTAAACAAAATCGACGTACCCCAGTACCAACTCGGTCGACCCTTTGGTGTCGCGGCCACGAACCTGGCCAGCGGTGCATCGCTATGCACCGTCCGCACGCCTCCCCTCGCATTGCCATGCTCATCCCGCACAATATCGTCCGTACTTCCGACCGTTTCAATGATCAAGCCCGGCGACGGCGGGATGCTGACTTTGCGCGTCCACTTCTCCATCGCCTCGAAAACGGCGTGGTAGATGAACGAATTCGCAAACGTGCTCCATTCCGCACCGCCCGGATCCGCCACCGACCACCGCTCCCGCTCCGCCTTCGACGCCCACCGCGACTCCCGATGCGCCATGCACGCCACCTCGTACAGCCGGAACGACTCGCTGTCCGGCCTCCGGTGCGCCGTGCCGAGCACCTGCCCGCCCACGCCGCACGGCAGCCTGACGCCCTGGAACTCGGCCTCGCCCAGCAGCTCGATCGTCTTCGCCCCGGGCACGTCCGGCAGCGCCTCCCCGCCGGACTGGCACGGAATGTGGCCCTCGAACGGCAGCGACCCGTCCGGGAGTCGCAGGTGTGACGAGTGCGTGATGAAGCGGCGGGTGACGCCGCCGGTTTGGGAGAGGCCGCTGAGGACGACGCGCGTGGCGATGAGGCCAAGGTCGCCGGAGCGGAGCGCGTGCGAGGCGGCGGCCAGGATCTCGGGAGACTGCAGGGTCGCCGGCCACCATTTTGCCTTGAAGTTGGTGTACGCTTCGGAGAGAGCCTCCTTGGTTATGTTGGTGACGAATGGGATGTTGGCTGCGAATTCCGCCGAGGTCGGGCCTGGGATGAAGCGAATGTCCTTGTACCGCTCAGGATCCGCGTTTTTGATCTTTCCAATGGCCGAGGTCGCTTGCGAGTCTACCTCGAGCCATGCATGACCTAGTTGGTTAAGCAAGTCAGTACGGTTCGATTTCTGGTCGCTTTTTTTTTTTGCCAAAAAAAAGAAAAGAATAAAGGCAATCATACCATTTCGCATTAGCCAGCGACTCGTGTGTCGCCAGATGCTCGTTCCGCCCCAGAGATGAGATGGCTCCACGACAACGAAGCCGGTGAAGCGAGAAGCATCTTCGGGGCAGCGAAGCAGCAAACGAGTACAATATGGCTCCCCATATGCAACGCCGCTGATCAAGAACTCCCTGCTGACATAGCCATATCCTGGGAGCAAGTCCACGTGATATGGTTCAAGGATCACCGATTTGGAGTCCTCTGACTCTGTAAGTGGTACAATCTTGGGTGTTACGACGACACTGGTTTTACCCACCGCCATCTTTAATAAAAGGGAAATTTGGAATTGGTGTAATTAATTGATATGAAACATAATAACTGGTAAGTCGGATAGTTCTACAGCCTTTATAGATATGAGACCTCTTGGTGCAACTTGGCTGTCTTATACGAATAGCCGCCAAGATCGCATCATCTTAGCGAGCCGACTGTATCGGCTCGATAGTGTCGGCAAGATACCCGACAAGAGACCAATACGCGCCGCCCACTTGGCCGTCCAACCTTAATTCTCCACTCCCCAGACTTTACCCCAGCGATCATCATGATACGAAATTCTATAAAGACAACGTGCATACCGGCCATGGAGCCTACTCACCTGGTTACCCGGATTTTGTCAATACTTTTAGCTACTAGTTGCGCATCGGTGATTCTCAACTAGCCAACGCGACAGCAACCATGGCCCACAACGAGGCAACTCAGAACAAGAGCAATGCCGTGGACTCTCTCCACTATGACAAGCGCAACAGCCTTGATACTGTTGATCACGTTGAGATTGGAAAGAAAGTCGATCAAGGCAGTGATATGAAAGTCTATGGTCATGCCGAGCACATCAGTTACACCAAAGAGGAACACGATCAGGTGCTGAGGAGGATTGACTGGATTCTCTTGCCCATGCTAGCTGCTTGTTACATGTTCTCGGTAGGGTCTCGAATACTCCTGAAATCTGGAACAATTACTGATACTATATACATACACCAGTTCCTCGACAAGACTCTTCTAAACTACGGCTCCATCTTTGGACTTACAAAGCAGCTACACCTCAAAGGAACCAACTACAGCTGGCTAGGAAGGTACGTATCCGCCTCGACTGGTTTTTTCCTTCTGATCCAGAGCAGAATGCTGATCAAAAGAGAACTTCAGTATATTCTACATTGGCTACATGGTCGGCGTCATGGTGTGGGCAAAGCTCGTCCAGCTCTGGCCCCAGCACGCCGGCAAGTTCATCACCGGCGCCGTCCTCGCGTGGTCCACCATCATCCTCCTCACTCGTAAGTGATCAAAATCTTTGAACTCTACCACGTCATTAGAAAATAATAACAACGAGAGTTATAGCCCTGTGCTTCAACTTTGCCGGCATCGCGGTGGCGCGCCTCTGTCTGGGGCTCGTCGAGAGCATCATCGGCCCGGTCTTCGTCATCGTCACGAGCAACTGGTGGACGCGACGGGAGCAGGCCTTCCGGACCGCCTTTTGGCTGAGCGGCACGCCCATCGGCAACTTCATCGGCGGGCTCCTCACGTACGGGCTCGGAAAAGGTGAGCAAGTCCTGTCTCCTTAGCACGCGAGATCGGACACACACGTAAAAGAGAAGAAAGAAGAACTGACAGCTTGGGGGTGCAAGTACATGGCTCCATTTCCACGTGGAAGATCTTTTATCTGTTTTTCGGATCGTTTAGTTTTGTCTTCGGCCTCGTCCTCGCCTTCCTCATGCCGGATAACCAGACGAACGCGCGATGGCTCGACGAGCGCCAGAAGAAGATTGCCATCGAACGGGTGAGGCAGAATCGCACGGTGACGGCGGATGACCGGTGGAAGTGGCCTCAGTTCTGGGAGGCTCTACGCGATCCCCAGACGATCTTGTTCTTCGTGACCGCCGTGTAAGTCGACCACCTTCCCTTGTCTTGTTCCTTGGGCCAACATCTGACACGCTCTCCATCAGTGGCAATACAATGCCTTCCACGTTTGCAAGCCAGGTACGTAACCCCCCCGCCCCGATCTCCGGCGAACGTGACATCTTACAAGACCGCAGTTCTCTAGCCAAGTCGTTACCGGGTTCGGCTTCACCCCGCTGCAGACCACGCTCGTGTCCACCTGTCCGGCCGCCACCATCCAGTTCCTCTCCTTCATCGTCTTTTCCTGGCTCGCCTCCCGGTACAAGAACATCTCACTACTCCTCTGCATCGCCTGCTCCGTTCCGCCCCTCATCGGCGCCTGCATCCTCCACGCGCTGCCGGCACACAACCAGGCTGGAAGGCTCGCAGGATATTACCTCACCTACACGTACGTCGTCGTTTTCTGTTCTTCCACGCTCTCAATCCTAAACATTAGTCAAGGCACTCGTTATCATTTACTCTAAATACGGGATTGATTGCGTCAAATTACGCTGGTAACACGAAGAAGACAACCGCGTCGGGGCTGATCTTTGCGGGCTGGGCCGCCGGCTTGATCGCAGGACCTCGTAAGCAGCAGCAGCACATGCCTGACTGTGCGAGTTTTATGCTTACACAAGACAGAATTCTTCCTGGCCCGGCAGGCGCCGGTGTATGAACTAGCTTTCAGAATGCTGAGTAAGTGTCTGAACTGCCCCGTGTATTGACAGCGGCTAACCATGACGGTCAGTGGGCTGCTACTCGCTGATGATTGTAATTCCTGTCGTCCAGATTGCGTGGTACAGATATGAAAATTCGCGTCGTGAGCGCCTCGCGCAGGAACCGATAAGCGGTGGCGGCGCTGCCGAGCCAGAGTTCACGGACAAGTCGGATTTTGAGCAGTGGGAGACCTTCAGGTATATCATGTAACTCATCACGTTGACAATAATATCATCGTGAATCCTGCGACTAGATTATAAACCTGCCAGCGATGCGGTCCATCATGTCACGTATGTCAGGTTGCCCTGGCTCCCTCAGCATCGCTTCCAAGAGTTGTCGGGCCTTTTTCACGTATACACCCCACCTCTCCCCCGACCTAAGCAGTTGCAGGATCCAATGCCGATGGATCGGGTCGGTGGTCATCAATCCGACCATGAAGATGGAGGAGGGCAGAATGGAGGACGGTGACGTGGCGCGTGACGGGTCGTTGCTAATCTTCAACTGGCATTGCAGGACGGCGGAAATGGATCGATCTAGGTTGAAAGATGGCAACGGCTATTTCGGGTCAGTGTGTGGGCATAGAGAGGATAGTATGATACTTGCATAGACCGAGTAGAGGTATACCAGTGCCGAGTGCAGGGCGGAGAGCACAATGTTGTACCCAAACGCAACTGAGCTGAGCACCTCTTCCTCCGCCACAAAGGCAGATGTAGAGATGTCAATTTTCTGCGACATCTGTTCGTTCCACTGGTGTATCTCGTGCTCAATATCGTCGTAGAGGCCCTTGACCTCCTTGGTGCGTATGGGCGCGTCCGTCACAAACTCGCTTTCCATCTGCGTGTGCAGTTTCGCATCGAGCTCCGCCACTCTCATCCGCAGAATGTCAGCTCGTAGGAGATTAAACAGCGCGCCCCTAGACGCCAACGCCGTGAAGTCGCGCGCGAAAAGCGACGAAAAGGCCGGCATCTCCTGCAGCAGCTGTACAAGCTGGCCGCGCCCGATGCGATGGTACGTGGCTCTCGCATCGAGAATCGCCAGACGCAGGATGATGCGCCTGGTCAGCGACGGCTTCGCGTCCAGCGTGAACTCGTCTCTCTTGATGGAAACGATGTCGGCGGCGGCGGCGATTAAGTTGAGAAACGTGTCCACGCTGCCGGCCACCATGTGGACCGTCTTGACGCGCACGAAGAGCGCCGAGAGCAGCCCGTCGACTTCAAGAACCTCGGCATGTCGAAATGTCGCAAAGGATTCCCCGGCCATGTCCACGAAAGCCTTCGCCTGATCGGCATAGGAGTCGTCTTCCATGGCAAGATGTGAAGCGGAGAATGCCAGAATGGCATGGAAGAGCGGGGGAAAGTAGAGAGACTTTGTGAAGGCCGAGATGAAAAGATTATTGTCGTCCTTGGAATGGTCGTCGACCTTGGCATAGCCCTTCATGACGTCCAAGTAGTGCTGAATGAGGCGGCGGTTATTCGGGTTGACGGATGTGTGCGAACCATGCAAGTCGACCACGTCACCGCCGTTGATCGGTGCTCTACTAGATGAGGCTGCTTCTCCTGGCAAGGGAGAGGACGGCGCAGGCCAGTCTGAAAATGGCGTAGACATGTTCCAGTCTTGTAGCGCTGCAGCGTCGACGGCAGGCAGCGGCACGAAGTCAAGCCCTTCACCGGCAGAGTTCAAATCAAAAGCACCAGAAACCGAGCCAAAGTCACTGTCGAAGAAGAAGCCGCTGAATAGGTCCTCCAGTGCTTCTTCACCCGAGGGTAATCGGCCAGGAGGGGCGGGGGGTGCCAACCCAGACGCAGGCGTGAGCGTCCGGGCCGCAGAGGATTCCTCCTGCACGTCCTGCTGCTCTGCCATCAACTGTGCCTGGGCGTCATCGTCGCCATTTTCGCTTGTTCCGCGACGACGCCGCGCAATCGCGCGCCTTCTTTTCGGCGGCGGCAGGTACTCTTCGCCGGCAGCCGGAGCCCGCCACCTGCACTGAAAGCCCAGGCGGCGGCAATTCGCGCACTGCGATTCTGGGTAGTTGTTGTCGTTGGCAGCGGCAGCTTCGCCCGGGCGCCTCTCACATCGAACCTTGCGCGTCTTGCATGTATAGCAGCCTTAATAATGGCGTGATGTCAGGATGCAGCTGGTTGATTGTTTAGCGTTGCAGTCCTTACCGGCACGCGACCGTTTGCGCGGAGTTGCTGGGGAAGCTTCAGCCATCGACTGGTACCCTGCCGTTGTCTGTGATGGAAATGGCTATTTCCTATTGAGGGCCATAGAGGAATTCGATGTTGGACGGGGGCTCTTGAGTTGAAGAGGGAAAGAAGTGTGAGAGCTGTTGAGGCCTGTGGCTCCGAGCTGAATCAAGTGTGGCTGGCTCTGTGGACAGCCAATTAATACGCAGCAGCGTACCAAGTTGAAAATGTTGAAACTTACAATATAAATCAAAAGAGAATTATATCAATATGATGATGACAAGTACCATACCATTAATGAATGCAGCTCCATAATAGACGGATTCGACTGATTTGTGTGTGCTCTTCTTCAGAAGCCATCCGTGAATACAGCTAATACAGCCACTTTCCATAACTCATATTCAATTATCACGGCCACCGTTCCATTAAAACAGCCACCGTCCATAAAACATCTTCCATTAAAACAGCCACCTTCCATTGAGCCCCCTTACTTGGATACAGCCAAACCAAAATTGCTTCGTAGATGAGAGATCATCCTGCGAAGTCAACACATAACAGCTAACAGAGGGGTTCAAATGGAAGGAGCAACGAATAAAAAGAGATTTTGCACATTCAGCGCGAATCATCTAATAAGAAAAAGTAAAGCAGTAGGCTCAGAGGCAAAGATCAATTTTTTTGAGGCCCGGCAAAAAGAAAATTGGTTGTGTTCTCCTTCTCACGCAACCAGCCCAAAATTCCCCTCCGGGTCGTGATCCGGCCCGCCACGCGACGGGGGAGAGTTCTCTGCAGAGTGAAGCCTCCCTCAAGTGTCATCTCCAGGGCTGAGGGCCGCGGTCCGAAGACCAGTGAACCGACGTCGCAGGTTACCCATGCGAGCGGGCGACCACCGCGGCGTTCGAGCTGGGCGCCAACAGAGGGGGATCTGACGGTGTTTGGTGCGATCGCAAAGTGAGAAAAGTACGAGAAGTTTCCCAGTTGAGCCATTACAGCCGAGAAAATACCGCGCTATTTTGGCTCATATACCTACTCTTCATCTTGACCAATTATGCGGCGAGCATTGGTGAGCTCCCCACTTTCTTTTCTGAGGAGCTTCAATGCCAGCTTCAGCTTTCCATGTTCGCATCTCCAATCCGTTCAACTGCGAGCCATGGCATAAATACTTTTCTTCATACGCAAATCCCGCATCTAATCCGACACAATGTTTACCACACCTCCACGTCTCCAGATCCGGCGGCCGTCACCCACAACCACCGAGTTCACCGTCACCACGCGCCCACCACCCACCGTCACCCTGCACTTCCTCCGCCTACTACTACTCCTCCTGCGCCTCGGCCTCGCCCTCCTCACCATCCTTCTCCTCGACGCGCGCCTGTCCCAGTCCGGCCTTCTCTCCGCCCCCTCCCCCTCCCCCACGCCGCTCCCGCCCGTCCTCCCCCGCGACCTTCTCTCCCTCGACGCCCTCCTATGGGCCCGCGCCGGCGTCCACCGATCCCCCGCCGGCCTCGCCCTCTCCCGTGCCGCCGCCGCCGTCCCTCTCCCCGTGCTGCTCCCCGTCGCCGCGCTCGCTTTGCGATTGCTCGCGCGCCGCGCGCACGCCGAAGAGAGCCTTCTGGTGATGCGCGGGCTGGGCGTGCAGACGCGTGAGAGCAGCCGCGACTACTGGGCGCCCGGCGCGGCGACCCGCTTCATCCCGACGGAGAAGATCCGCGACGTCCTGGTCAACGAGGCCTTTCGCGGCTTCGAGGTCCGGTACTACCTGGTCGTGGTGGTGGAGGGCGAGGAGGACCTGGTGGTCGTGTTTCCGGGCTTGCTGCCGCGGAGGCGCATCGTGGAGGCGGTCTGGCGCGGCGCGCGGGAGTGCCTGTACGAGAAGAGGGAGGAGAAGACGCCGGTTCTATGAGGGGATGATGCGTGTACAAGTAACGCCGACTACGACCTGCATATAGATAGATATCCGCAGCTCATGCCGCTGTAATGTTTAATACCAACGCAACTATTTGCCCAACTCTCGATTTACCCAACTCTCTATTTACCCAATCCTCTGCTTTTGTCTATGTTTACTCATCATCTTGCATCACAACATCTTTGCCCTCGTATCGCCTAGCCCGCATATCCGCCGCATCCACAAACCCCTTGCGTCGTGCATACTTGTCGTTCAGCTCGTCCGGCGACTCCAGCTTGTCCTTCTTCTCCATCGGCACGTACTTGCCCGCCGGCCGCCCTGTATTGCCGCCCTCGTACAGCCTCACGCTCAGCGCCGCCTTCTTGTTCGACGGCGGTAGCTGCTTCTCCTCGTGCCGGGTCGTCCCATCCTCGCCCTCGCTCTCGGCCGCCTGCTCCGCCATCAGCTGCAGTAGCCGACCCGACAGCAGCTCGTCCATCTTGTGTCCGCGCCAGACCTTCCACATGCCGTCCAGCGCGCCAAACGGGCCGAACTGGCCGGCGCGCATCCGCGACGACGTCTCCGCGCCGGCCCGGATCCACTGCATGCTGTCGACGTGCTTGTTGTTCGCCGATGGCGGTACCTCTCCCGCATCGGCCGCCGGAATGAGGTCCGGGAAGACGCAGTCCCACAGGACCAGCGGAACCTCGTCGGCCATGGGGTAGCCCGGCTTGCCCGGGTACTTTTCCACGTCGAGCAGCTCGCTGACGACCTCGGGCCGCTCGAGCCGCTGCCCGACGAGGAAGAGCACGGCGACCATGTGCCGGATCTGGTGCCACAGGAACGCGGAGCCGCGCACGTGGAAGTAGTACACCTTGGGGAAGCTGCGGCCGCTGCCGGCGGCTGCAAGGTCGGCAGGGGAGAAGCCGGCGGCGGTGATGTACGGCAGCGCGGTGGCGCCTTCCTCGACCTCGACAATGTCGGACTCAAAGATGGTGCGCTTCCAGTTGGTGATGAGCTTGGCCGGGTCGACCTTGCAGAGGTTACGAAAGTCCTGCTCGCCCTCGAAGCGCTTGGCCGCGTCGCGCATCGCGTCAATGTCCAGCCAGCCCGACGGGGGAGCACCGTCGCTGCTACCGGCAGAGGGTTCGGGAGAGAAGGCTGGCTGCGTGAAGAAGTAGCGGTACTGGCGCTCGCGGCAGGAGAAGCGCGCGGAGAAGTCGGGCGGCGGCGAGGGGCACCAGGCCAGAATTCTGATGTCGGGAGGCAATAGCCTGTTGAGAAGCATGGGATAGGGTATCTCATCAGCAATGGGGTCAAACGGCTTCTCCTTGGCCGCTGCCTCTTGCTCCTGTTCTGCTTGCCCTCCCATCTCATCCTCCTCTACCCTCTGCCTGGGCTCCCTCGGCAACGGTTTGTTGCTCCGCACGCGAATGCCAATAACTTGCCCAAACGCGCTCACACCTCTATCAGTGCGTCCGCACTTGGAGTACTCGCAGATGTTGAAGTCGACAATCTTCTCATCCTCCGGGAAGATGAGGCAGGCCTTTGTCAGCGCGTTCCAAAGCTCCTCCTCAATGGTCGGCTGCTTGCACATGGCTTGAAACTCGAACCCGCCGTAGTTCTTGCCGAGATAGGCCAACTTCAACGCGATGAAGCGTGTCGAGTACTTTGTCGGGTCCATCTTGCGCTTAACCTTGGGCTTCGTCGTTCCCGGTGTCGGGGCCGCCGCCTCGACCCCGTCATGCTGCTGAGCTTCAGGCTCTGGTTCTAGTGCCGGCGGTCGCCTTTGCAGCTCGGCCTCGAGCTGGTGGACCCTCTTGACGAGGCCGAGTTTGGTCCAGCTGTTGTAGTTGGTTGGATCCATCTTCGTCCGCGACTTGTTGGCGTTGTCCTTCGGATATGGTGCCGGTAGGGTGCTTGAAAAGCCTGCGCAGAGGCGCGGCGTGCTTGTGACTCGAGCGATGGCTTCTAGGCTGCGTCTCGGCCTCTTTGCCCGCAAAAACAGCTTCATAAAATCATAGAACAATATACAAGAAATTTCGTAGTGTGACACTCATCGGAAAGAAAACTACTGCAGGCTCCAGAGGGTAAAACTGGGGCTGAAGCTTTTTGTGTTGTGAGTCTGGAGTGGTTGAGAGTTGGCTTGGCCGAAAGTTAGCGCAGCACAAAACAGTCAAGTCATTCTCAGTGGGCAGCCAGCTAGCCACCTTATCTCTCGGCAGACCCTCGAGACGTGCAACTTGGCACACTCTACACAATGCGGCAAAAATGACAATACAGGTAGACACAATGAAGATACTACTGGTGGGTGACGAAAAATGCGGCAAGACGACCTTTTTATCGTATGTATTTCTTTCATCTAGGAACCACACTGTGGCCGGGCGCATGTGACTGACTGCCGAGATAGGCGGCTCAGCGCCAGCGAGACTGTGAACCCGATTCAGCTGCGGCGCGACATTGACCAGCCGTTTATTTTCAACATCAATCTAGGCACCGCAAGGTATCGGTTTGAGTTCCGAGACACATCGAGTCCTGAAAACTGGCGTCTGTTGGACCCGGACGTCATCGTCATTTGCTATGACATTAGCCAGCGGCTGAGTCTGCTCAACATGAAGCGCTACGTGAGTAACCCAGCTCGAGGTAATTGCCACCCGGATGCGCTAACAAGCCGGACAGTGGATTGACGAACTGAAGAAGACCTTTCCTCGTATTGACGGCCTCCCGATCATCATTCTTGGCTTGAAGCGCGACTTGCGGTCTGAGACAGACCCCAACGGCATCATCTATCCCCAGGAGGCGTATCAGATGGCGCAGAGTTTGAGAGCCGATCGCTACGTGGAGTGCTCCGCGGTGACGGGCGAGCTCGTCAAGCTCGCATTTGAAGACATTTGTTCCACGGCGGTCAAGACAACCGGTCATAGCGACGGTAATTGCATCATTCTTTGAGGGGGCGGCAGGTGATGTCATAGTTTGCTCTGCAGACTCAAGACTTCACGAGGCTTCTGTATTGTCTTGCATGGAGGTGTCCCCTTCCGCAGCCTCGTGCCCCTCTGGTTCATCAAACTGGCCCAGGACTTCGGAGATGATGGAGACCAGGTCCTCTTGCTCTGTTTCGGTGTACCGGTCGCCCATGTCTTCGAGAACGGTGTTGAGGGCGGCAACGGAGGAAGGGCGCAGGTTGAGAATCATGACGACCTCGCCCTTGGACAGCTCAAAGGGCTGAAGGCGCTCAATAAGCGTCTTGATGCACGATGGCGTGTAGGTGATGGGCGTCTGGCAGAGGGGGCTTGGCTTGGTGCGAAGATACTGGAGCAACTGGGACGAGTTAGCGGAGAGATGTCCAATAGATGATACTTCTGCGAAATCATACTTCACGAGCGACAGTTTCCATGTTGGGTGGACCACGACGCTTGGCCTTCTTGTACCGGTCCTTTTGGTCAGCTGCATGCTGGTAGACCTCGTAGTTGGAGAGGACGGCGGCCTGGGCCTCGAGAATCTTCATGGTGACAGCTACACCGGGGTGCTGAAGCTTGCTATGTGTAAAGGGCAGGTTATGCGTCGATAAGGTAGGCAGAGTAATTGAGTGGTCATCAATGGTTTGTCGATCAACGTCAATTCCTGGGTTGAAGCTGCCAACTTTTTTTTATGATGGAAAGAAGCTCCAGCTAGGTGCCCGCCTTTGGTGGAAGGCGAGACCAATCATGACCCAGAAGAATTGTGTACGTAATGTACTGGATTGGAAATATTACAGGGGGGTTATTAGCGTGCTCTAGCGCTGTTGGCATCCGCTGCACGGCGCCTGTAGGCTTGCAGGTACTTCCATACCTACATACCTACCTATGTATGTACCTACATACCTACTACATACATAGGTAGGCACGTACTGTACCTGACAAGTGCCGATGATGCAACCTGTGCAGCCCGTAACTTCGTACCTGGACGGCTACATTAGTATACCAGCTCGGCCTATCTTACCATTCTACCCCTGACCCTGGTCATACCCTTATGGTGAGATATCAGGCACAATTTCTTAATTTTGAAGGCATCATTGAACCAGTATCACAGCCAATGATGGTGCATGTAAACTCAATCACCTGCATTTTACCCCACCAAAGAAAGAATGGACGCAAGAGGCAGGCAGCCCTTTTTTACAGTGGAGGCGGGGTCCCAAAGCGAAGGCGGCCCTGCACCAAAAACCTTGACTCAGGATTTCTCTCCCACCTTCTGGCCCTCTCTAGATTTTTTTTTCGTCCATCCATCATCATGCTGCTTTAACAATCACCGTCCATCTTTTATACGCCTCTTTCCATCCGCTGTGCCTGCTGGTCTTGACCAAGCTCGCCGGCTGCCGAGATTCCTTTTAGCTGCATCTTTTTCATCTCCCATCGTGCTCGCGTGTCAGGTCTTGTTCCTGGTCCGCAATCGGTGTGACGCAGCCGGAAAAAAAAGGCTGTCCCTCGGCATAGCGACATTCCTCGCTGCTGGACGTTGTGTGATCAACACCCCGCATTGCACTTCTTGGAACACCCTCTACTGGGAAAGGAAAAGAAGAAAAGAGGAGGAAGTTAGGAGATTGACTCAAATCTTTCTCCTCCATTCCCAGTTCTTTCAGTGCCACGTCCCATCAACAAACGGCGACCTACTTAGCCCGGTCCGGCCCGCCACCAACCGCCATGGTCCGCAACATTGTCCTTCTCGGCGGCAACTCCCACCCCGAACTCACCGACAACATCGGCAACATTCTATGCATCCCCCCCGGCGATCGCATCCTCAGCAAGTTCTCCGGCGGTGAGAGCCGCTGCGAGATCAAGGACTCTGTCCGCGGCAAAGATGTCTACATTGTCCAGTCCGGCTCCGGCCACGTCAACGACCACCTCATCGATCTCTGCATCATGATCTCGGCCTGCAAGACGGGTTCTGCCAAGCGTGTCACTGCCGTCATACCCCTCTTCCCCTACTCTCGCCAGCCCGACTGGCCTTACAACAAGGCCGGCGCACCGCTGTCCCGCTCAGTCGAGGCCAACGGCGGCGCGAAGCACGACTACACATTTGAGAGCGTACCTGCCACGCCCCGGCCTGGCGGGCCTAAAAGTAGCGGCCTCGGCAACGGTAACGGCGTTAATGGGCTTGCCGAGAGGCTCGCCAAGAACAGCATCTCGCAAGACAAACCTGATGGCGCCGTTGATCACATCACCCCCGCCAAGCGCGCCGACAACCCCGCCAGCCTGACGTCGCACGCCCGCGGACACACCGCTGAGGGCTCCATCTCTTCCCAGCGCAGCTTCACCACCCACGACTACGAGAAGCCCACCAATGTCAGCGCCTTCCATGCCAAGCCCGGCTACAAGCAGTGGGTGGCCCAGGCCGGCACCCTCGTTGCCGACCTGCTCACCTGCGCTGGCGCCGACCACATCATCACCATGGATCTACACGACCCCCAGTACCAGGGCTTCTTCGACATCCCCGTTGACAACCTCTACGGCAAGCCTCTCCTGCAAAACTACATCCGCCACCACATCCCCGGCTATAAGGACGCCGTCGTTGTCTCCCCGGATGCCGGCGGCGCCAAGCGTGCCACCGCCATTGCCGATAGTCTAAATATGGACTTTGCCCTCATCCACAAGGTAAAAACATGAGCCGCCGCTGCTTTGTCGCTGCGATGAAAAGACACTCACATGATCCCACTAGGAACGCCGGCCGATCAAGTTCACCGAACAGCGCAACGCCAGCATGATGCTCGTCGGTGACGTCGCCAACCGCATCTGCATCCTGGTTGACGACCTCGGCGACACAGCCAACACCATCACGCGAGCCGCCAAGCTGCTCAAGCGCGAGGGCGCCGTCAAAGTATACGCCCTCCTGACCCACGGCGTTTTCAGCGGCGATGCCATCGCCCGCATCAACGCCTCGGCTATCGACAAGATACTCGTCACCAACTCGGTGCCCCAGACCGAGCACTGCCGCCTCTGCCCCAAGCTCGAGGTGATTGACATCAGCGCCGTCTTTGCCGAAGCCATCCGCCGCGTCCACCACGGCGAGTCCATCAGCGTACTGTTTCAGCACGACTAAATGCTTGCATAAGTCGAAGTAGTTGCTCTATTTCTTTCTATCAGTCATGGACCTTGTGACTTTATCAGTAACGCAGGGCCGTTGCTACAAGGTTTGTTGAAAACAAGCGACAACGTTCTGAAGTCTCCAAAGGTCGAGAGCCAGAACACCAAAAAAATCCGTGGAAGTCACAACAGGGGGGGCATAATGATGAAAGCAGCAAGGACAAGGGGATGATAACTTTTGCTTAGTCCTTCTGCAGTATCGTTATCAGCGTATCTCGTCTTTTTTTTATTTCTTCTGAGATTTTCAAAAAAGAGACTTTTCTTTTTCCTTCTGGGACAACCGCTCAGTCCTTGAGCAGGAGGCGCAACTATAGAATCGTAGAAAAAAAAACCTATACCCGAAAATTCCCCTCGCCAGAAAGACAACCGATCCCAGCGACAAGGAGCTCAGGTTGTGAGCGTGAGCGGGTTTGGAACCTACCGTCATGCTGTCTGTTTTGCCCTGTCTGTCGCTGCGTCGATGATTTCTTCAGAGGGGGCATCAATAATTTGGAAGCTAAATAACCTGCTTCATGAGAATCAGCCAGGCTGTGGCCAATTTATGTAGAAATGAATAATGAAGGAAAAATATATAAAAGAAAAACCCCGTTGGCTCAATGTTCTATCCACTGCAGCTTCTGCAAAATGACCTGTGATCATGATCAACAACAAATGGGTGGCCACATACGACGTAGTATATTCCTTCCGACGCATAAGCAGAACAACTTTCCCTGCGCCCATAAAGTTGGAATTGCTGTCTTTTCTATGTATACCTTTTCTTTTCTGCTGAGATACGTCCGGAAAGCCACGCTGATCATCGTCGGCTTTGACCACGCTCAAGTCGGCCGGTAGGTCGCGCTGAATGCTCTATGAAAGAATACTGCTAAAGACCCAGGTGTGCTCTTCTCGGTCGCTCACTCTTCATCCAAACCAAGCAACACTTTTCATTCACACACCCTCTCTCTTTCCTTGTTCCTTCTGCTGACTCCTTCTGCACTACCAAAACTCGTGCACGTTCACCTCCTGCCTCTGTCTGCTTGTCTACAGAACACCAAGTTTCAAGAGCAATCTATTCCAGGTCGGGGCCGGCTCTGGTATCGGTCGCTTGGAATGCAAAGCACGTCGGCTAAGAGGAATTGCAGTAATGGGGATTTCAACAGGGCCGTCGGGGCCAATGATCGGGTAGTTTTTGTCTTGGTCGACATGCGCGGGTGGCTCACTCGTCTGCGGTTGATAAAACGGAAAGTCAATCGCTTTTGCCGACGGATTTGTTCCAACCAACAGATACCGGCACTGGATCCAGTCAAGTTTATCCACGACGTATGGTTGCCGGCTAACAAACTCGTCTGGACAATTGATCAACTCGCAAACAGCGATAGCACTGCTAATCTGAAGCTCTGACTTGGGCCAGCCGCCGAACTGCGCTCTCAATTAGTCTCCGCGCGTGCTCTCTGAAAAGGTTGGCTTGTTTGAAAGAGTAGAGAAAAACTCACACGATTGATGGCTCGTAGGCAGCCCTTGCTATAGCTTAGACTGGTCGTCATGGATTTACTGAAGTAGACTCCGTTTCCGGCTGAGCGCCCATGCTCAACCACAGAGTAGTCGAGCCCCGTCCGGATGATGCTGTGCCAGTTCTTCAATGAGCTCCCGTGCCAGGCAAATATTGTAGGGGTCCTTGTTGTTTCCGATAGTTGGCGTACTTTGTGCTCGAATCTTTGTTCCGTCTCCGGTGACCCCTGAAGAAATCGAAACTGCATCCACTCCAACATGTCTTGGCCATCATGGCCGAATACTCTCGAGTCATTTCTCGGTGTCATTTCCTTCGTGTTGCTACCTTCTATAACATCGTCTTGCACAATTAGGGATCGATTTGAAGCCACAGTCCAGTTCAAAACTGTGAGCTCGGATTTATGGATCCGGGCCCAACTCGCCAGCCGCCTTCCAGGCTGGGCCATCAAATATTCTCGCATTTCGAGGACTGACGGTATCCCATCAAGGATGTTTAGCAATGCAGATCTTCGCCTGTCGAGTTCCAAGTCGTCGATATTCTGCCAGTAACCAAACAACATCACTTCACGCCAGTTGCCCCCCGGGATCGGTGTGTCGGAAAGTTTGCTAATTGGCGAGTTTCTTGGAGAGCCATATGGTGAATCGGAGCAACTATGGCATTCTAATATCCATTCTCCTTGAACATATTCTTTGAGCTGACACCATGATTTTACGACCCGATGCTGACGCGCCCAGGCGACTGATTCGATTTCTTTTCGATGAACGAGCAAGACACGATCGCCTTTGCGGAAAGGGGCCCAGGGGTGCTTCTGCAATGTTGAATAATCCAGATTGCGAAGTTTCATCAACTGCATGTCTGCGGTGGCGGCGACGTATGACCCCTCAGCCCATTTATCACCAACGTCATCAACGTAAGCTGTCTTGATACCAAGCCCGTCGGGAAGTTCACGGCTGGTTGAATCAGATAATGCCGCGTATAAGAAGCAAATCAGCATGTCCACGACGTAAGGAGCATTCATTATTTCGTGCTCAATGGTTGATCCAAGGCCCAGTGTCAAGTACTGAAAAAGGCACAACGATGTAGAGCAGACATATGGCTTTAAGGCTGAGGAACTCTTTTTCAGGCATGAGTTGCATACCATGCAGTAGCGTGTGCAGTTTGCCAGTCGATGAAGGGCAAACTGCATGGCAACAAGGGGAAGGCTAAAGGCTTCTGGTTCATCCAGCGCAGCATCCTGGGATACTGGCCCGATTAGATTCTGAAAAGGTACCATATCGGCCTGCAATTCCAGAGTTTCGGAGTTTGTTTCTTCGGCTTGTACGCAGTGCGTTTCCGACTGCAGCTCCTTCTGCGAAACAAGACGCTGTGCGTGAGGCCAGGGGAGCTTACAGCGCCGTTTCATTTCCAGGATTCTGTTAAATTCAGCATTAAGTAATTTGTCTATTGAATTAGACATGCTGATGAGTTCGAACGGATTTTGAGCTGTTTCATCATCGGTAACTGTCAATGCGTCGTGGAAAGGGAGGTTGGTATCGTTGTAGGCAGACTGCAAAGAGGCCGGCGAGGGTTTCGCGCCCAAGCATCTGCCGAAACGAAACCGCAAAGCTGTTTGGCGAATTGACATGTCGAGAAATTCGGCAAGTGTTGGGTATTCTCTGTCAATCTTGATAAGTAAAACCAAATTTTCGGTCGGTCTGAGGCCCCAGGCTTCCAAAATTCCTGCATCCACGCCAAGGCATGTTGTAGGAACAGCGAGCGAAACAACAGCCGGGAGGTCGCTTCCAGGCCGAGGATACACGCCTACAGCTATGCCGACGCTCTGGGCCTTTTTTAGAGAATTGCTCAGGGTGGCCAATGTCGAGGCGCTCGGCGAGTGGACGACGGCATGGTCATCATGACCATGCGAGTTTTGATGGTCGCCATCGGCGCGGGTAGTCTCTATGGGTTCCAGGTCTTCAGAATCGCTTCCATAGTCCCATAAGGAGTCATCCGAGCCGCTTGAGCTGTCTGAAGTGCCTTGATCGCGCTTCTCGATTGCCGAAGTCAGTGCCGTTGCAATAACACGGACAGCGCCTTCAATGTCAGACCATTTTTGTTTTTGGCAAACCGAATCGAGGAACCGGGGAATGTCATAATCAGTATCATCGGATTCTGAAAAGATGACAAAACCAGAGTTTTGAGGATAAGTCATGCAATCTGTTTAGAGGGGTGTGTCAATGGCGGCCGATGGTGGGCATTGGACGACTGGGCTGGTTGATTGGCTGCTTAGGCTCACCACGGGCAATCATATGAATGACGACAGGTTTGGGAACACTGTCATGACTATATGTGAATTTGATGGCACCATGTTCATCGCCTCGGACCAGGTCAGAGACTCCATGTATTTGCTTGCTCTGCGCCCTGGACAGGTCCTTGTTGAAGAGGTTCGGCGACATGGTGTGCGGCTAGCAACATACGTGCTGGGCGTGAGAGAGCGAGCGACAGGACGCTGAACGGGTCGAAGATGATGGATAAAATACCGAATGGTTTGTTCATGACGAATACGCGAGGACATACACAAGGCTGACGAAGGATCGGCCACTGCTGCCTTGCGGGTGCATCAGCGAGCCAACGAACCGCGTGGCTGAAGGGGGAGGGTGGTAGTGGGTTGTGGCAAGGCACCAGCAATGCAGGCGTGAATGGATGAGTAAGAACATGCTCGATGAGTCAATGCCTGAAAGCAAGGGTGATTTGCCGTATATAAGACCAAGCGGCGAAAAGCGGCCAGATGACTGGAAGTCGAAACAGTACGGTGTGGAAGAGATGACCCCCGGGTCGGGGAAAGCAAACGCTCAACTTCCCCTGACGTGCAGATCAACGCGAGCTATGTACATACATAGCACAGACGAACTTTCCCCTACCCATTTTCTCACTGCTCCTTATTAAAAACGCTAAATTTGTTCCAGAATTATTTTGGGAGGATTCAATCTACTGTATTTGTTAGATTTAATCAATGGATGATATTTATAGCACTACTCTGTTATTTTCATGATTGATAGCACATCCGCCGAAGGGGGGCATGCACACTCCCGGGTACTACCAAGCCAAGCTCAATTACAAACACGCAGACTACCTGCCAACGTCGTTACTACGGGCCTACTAATTATTAAGTTTATTTTAGAAAAAGAACGGGACTTGGTCTCTTACACTTTGTCTCCTTGTTTTTTATTAAAGCTATCTTCATATTTCCAAGCACACGAGGTTTTCTGTTCCCAGTTGACCATGCCCAATCGCTCGCCCACGAGTCGCTGCAGGAGGATAAACACAATAGTCCAAGAACATGATCCTTGCTTTTTTGATATATTTAGCGATTAGATATCAATCTTATACGACAGTACGATTTTTACCTGTTCGTCTTTCGTGATGCGAGTTCCCGGCCAGGTACCTGCGTCATCTGCAAGGCTACGGACGAGGCACTATGACTGTAACGGCTCCCGGTGCGGCATGGGACTGTTAAGTCTAGCCCAATGAGAGAGTTATACTTCCCTACTATTATTCTTTCTTTCTTTTTTTCTAAAAAGAAATCCTAATATTACTTTAAGCAAGTGAATAAAGTAGTATACTATCGGGTCCGCAGCTCGTCAGTATCGCGGGCGGGGCCGTTGGTGGATCTGGTAGCCGCCCGTTTCCTCCCCTCCCCCTTCTTCGACGTCAATCCATCCATCATCCCTGTCTCTTAAACATCGTCCTCTCAGAACAACCGACTACTGTAGGGCACCACTGCTCTGCGCTCCCTCATTGTCGTTATGGAAGTTCCATCTTCTCAATCGGTGACTTCAATTCCTTTCTAGCGTATTTCAATCGCGACCGTTGCAAAACCGTTTGGCCCCTCCCCTCGTCTCAAGCCTTGCCAGCTTCGCCGCCTCTCCGCCTCCGCCTTGCTGCCCCGCCACCCAGAATGAGTCGACAACTGCCGTACCCCGGCATTCCTATTCCTCGCTTAACCACCCGCCGCTTAACACTTCTGCTCGCTGCCGTATCCCTTTCCGCGTTTTGCCTCATTACTCTTCTCACATCCGCTGTTCCGTCCTCCCCGAGCCTCTCCACCTCCGAGCGGAAGACGACCAACACAGACGCTCGAGACTACAGTTCCGCCACCAAGAGCGCTCAGCTACCGGCCAGTCCTCCGTCGCAGCCGCCTCCCCGTCAAAGCGATGATACATATGCTACCTCGGCTTGGCTCGCTGACTCCAATGCCCTGTCCAAAGTCTTTTCCAACGAAGTGACTCTCGATAACGACAGAGCTCTCCTTCCTGACCTGGCGATTCGCCAGCCGATATACTGCTATTACGATGCCCTCGATACCACAGCTGCTGCTGAAAATGATACAGACATCCACCTGTTGCTCATGTGGCGACGCGCCTGGTGGGCGCGAGGTTTCAAGCCATTAATTCTCGGCCCGGATGAGGCAAAGAGTCACCCCCTTTACTCCAAACTCGACGAAACAAACGCTCCTGTTGAGCTGAAGAAGGATATTTTGCGTTGGCTCGCGTGGGATACAGTAGGTGGCGGTCTACTCTCTCAGTTCGTTCTCTTCCCAATGGGTACCGACTACGACTTCTTGCCTTCGCTTCGCCGTGGCGAATACAGTACGCTGTCGAGGGCAGGTAATTTGTCGAGCGCGCTGTTCTGGGGCTCCAGAGATCATGTCCACGACGCGGTCCAGATAGCACTAGACTCGGCGAACCTCGTCTCCGCGAGCTCGCTATTAGACGTGCTGGGCGACGATGCAGTCAAGGAGCAAGAGACTCCTCCTGTGCTGGCATTCTACAACGCCACCTCAATCGCCAAAAAGTATCCCAAACTCGTGCTCGAAAAAAACAAGCACCAATTCGGGACACTGCGCAACGAACTGATCAATGCTCATCTGCAATCCTCCTGGCAGAATTCTTATGCCATGGGCATCGATGTCATCAACCCTTTCCCAGAACATATGGGCGCCATGGTTAAAAATGCGACAGATCTAGCCAAAGCTCTTGCATCGTGTCCGCCAACACCTCTCGCCGGCTCATGTCCTCCCAACATTCCAAAATGCGGCCCCTGCGGCGCTACGACACCATTGGTTGTCAGGGATGCCAAGACATTTATGAACGAGAGCAAGGTCTTCACCATCGGCATGGTCCCCCATCCGTGGACACGCACCGCCCTAGCCAACATGCAGGGGGACTTCAACGCCACTATAATCCGCGACTCCGAGCGCGACGGCTGGCTGCGTTCCGTAACCAAGGGTCTCGGCACCAGCCAATCCCAATACACGCAAGTCCTGCAGTTCAAAAAGGCCGTCTCGGGCGACACCGCCGACACCCGCTCGCTCTGGTTCACCGCCGAGGACCCATTCCCCGCCCAGCTCGACTGGTACTTTGGCTTCGCGATCCCGAAAAAAATCATCGACGACGGCCGCTCCGAGAGCCCCGTGCCCTCGGACCACATCAACGACCCGGACCGGCCGGACCTCGCCTTCGGCCCTAAGGCCGTCACCGAGCTTGACCGTGAGAGGGAGCTCGCCATCCTTCTCCGCGCCAGGGACGTCATCGTCGGGGGCGCCCGCCGCGCCGCCTCCGAGACGCGCCGCCGCCGCGCGTCGCTCGAAGCCTGGCACATGGCCGACACGGAGGCGTGGGGCTTCGCGCGCGCCACACACGACCGCCGCACGCTCGAGCGCAAGCGCTGGGAGGACGCGGCCAAGTACACGGAGAAGCAGCGGCTGGTCAGCGACGCCGGCTGGGCACCCGGCATGAACGTGACGGGCGGGAACCGCCGCAAGGAGGCGGAGAGGAAGGCTAAGGCGCGAGACTAAAAGGCGGACCTTGTCTGAAACGTCGTTCAACGAACGGCATGTATTTATAACATACGACCTCTATTTTTGAATATGTTGTTATTTTAGTATGTAGCGTTTATAGCATCTTGTTTCTGAACTTGTCCGTGCTGATTTGGATCTAAAAGAAATATTTTCCTTTTTACTAAGCATGCATATGCAGCAGATGTTGAATCTCCCGCTTTCTATATCACAGTTTGAATCTGTCTACCTTTGGTGACCTTTTTTTTTCAACAATCGCAAGCGGCGCATCAGTTGAATGATAACGCGAACATGCTGCCAATTTGCCTTGACCCGCACCAAGCCTGTCGAAACCAAACGTGAAACTTGCCGTTTCTTCCACCACCACCTCCACCCCCCGCCTCTCCAGGCCAACAAGGTAGATTTGGCCCCCTTGCTTCCTTTTTACGCACGAATTGCCGTGTCGCCGCCCATCTCGCCGCTCAACTCCCTCGACGTCGGGCCGGCGCGCCGGCCGCCGTTAGCCTTGATCACACCATTGCCGTGGACTGCATGCCCCTTGTTGCCGCTTTCGGTGGTGCTGGTGTAGGACAGCAGCGCCGAGCGCGCAGCCTCAACGACCTTTTCCGCCTGGTCGACGGCATACTGTAGCGCGTCGGCAGTCGGATCGGCGGCGACGAAGGGCGAGATACCAGTGACGGCGTTCTGCTCGGCGCGGAGCTCGCGAATGTGCTTGGACAGCCAGAGGCCGTCAAGCTGCGCGGACGTCATGCGCTTGGCCCCGTCGATGGTGCCCCGGCAAGTGGGCGTGCCGCAGAGGCACTGGAAGGGCTGGGCCATTTCCCACTCCGTGGAGGGGTAGAAGAACTATACATGCAAAAAATGCCTGCCGTTAACATCTTGTTCTCTTTCAATTGCATTTCTTGGACTTGATTCCGTTTGGATGCTCCATTTCAATGGGAACGGCGGTGCGACGCGGGGTCAACTGACAGTGAGTTCATCGCCAGGCTGGAGGCCCTTAGGTCCGGCAATGATAATCTTGTTGCCAGTGTCAAAAATCTAGGTTGTTTCGTTTTCCGTTAATTCTTGTGCTTCTACTCGCATTGGGGATAACAAGGCCTTTTTGCTTTCAGCGTGGGAAACCGTCCCCCACATGAACCAACAACTCCAAATGCGGGGGACTTGTCGACGCTAACAGCAACCAAGAGCGGGCATTCACTGACAAGAGACGGTTCGCAAGAATGGTTAATGTACAGCAGGTCACTGTTGAGGTTGAGATGTCTATTGCGTCCCATTTGCACTGTGGCATACGTGGGCTCAGCCGCTTCTGTGCACGGCGGAAAGTCCAACCGGGCAAACAGGGCAAACGGTGCGAGAGCCACACGCGAGAGGCTCTTGGTGGTGAATTCGGCCTCGTCAAGAATGACGACTTCTTGAATTTCGGGGTGGGATGGCTGCTGCCAGTGAGGAGTGAGAGGAGCCATTGCTATGCGTTTCCGGGTGACACAATGCAAAAAGATTCAGCTTTATGGGATGTCTATTAGATTGATTGACGTAATGCGCGCTGCCGAGAGACTGCCTCACCTGTAGCTGTAAAATGAGGAGGGTGTGATGTGGTGCGACGTCGTGCAAGTTGTAACCTTCGTTTTAGGAGCTAATGTTGATGCAAAACCAGGAAGCAGAAATAGCTGGGCATCGCAACGCTAATAAATAGGTTTTGCGTCAATTTCCCGGTCTGCTCCAACAGCTGTCATCCAATCGAACTGGGTTTCCCAGTGAGGGGATAGGATAGTAGTAGATCAACGGTCTCGGAAGTCAGTGGAGTTATTTCTGTAGAAGCCGAGGTCATTGGCCAAATCCAAAACTTGCTTTTCGTAGCTCGAGGCTATTTTTCTCCAATCAAGTCCTATTGATATCGACTAGTTAGACTTCAAATGCTGCCACTGCGGCTTGAAAGCGATCTTACTCCACCCTTGATTGCTCATGGGAGGGACCGCAAGTTCGGTTCCCTTCGGCCGGCTCAGTCGGAACATGGAGCCAGCCAGTTCAGAAATGGGTGTAGATATATTGACCATCTTGCAACCCTGTATTTCTTTTGGCCACAGTTTGGCGTACAATATCAGTAGGTTCTAGTTATACGGCATAAAGATTAGTCCTTTGCCAAGAAGATGTTTCAGAATGGTAGTTCGGATGCATGTGCGCCTCACAGTCGCTCTGGCTCCACAGCGACATGGTATTTCGGTTATAGGAATTTGTCGACTCGGCCCGAAATCCATGTGATGATTGAGATCCAGCTTTTCCTTCAAAAGCCATGCTGCATGCCGATGGTTCCAACGTTGCAGCTTTTTGGGATGCGCCAGACATCGAATGATGGGTGGCAGCGTGGGACTCGACAGCACGTGTGTGGTCCTTAATGGCTCGCATTGAGCCCGAGACAGGGTACTCAAGATTTTTGCATAACTAATTTGGTCATCAGACTTGATGTGACTCCTCTTTGGAACTTTGTTGCATGCAAGACAGTGCGTGAGGCTAGGTTTGCATAGACAACCCCAAGCCGCGGGTTACATATATCACATCACCGCACTACCATTGATGGTGCCGGGTGCGTGCCGCGGACCAGTGTCTGTGCGCATGACGAACAGCATCATACCAGCATCATGCCAAAATGCAAGGAATTCCTGTTCTGCATTGTCTGAGGCGGTATGAAGAACAAGCGCACCCCGCGCCGTTGCTCATTCGACGAGGCCGCTGTGTGGAGGCGGCCCGCCGTGTGGCGGAGGGAGGGCGTTGTAACCCCATGTCCGAAACCAAGGCGTCTGAGCACGGGAGGGAGGTTACGAAGTAGGCAGGAGGGTGGCTTGGTCTGCAAGTCAGACATCGGTTCGCGAGGTTTCGGGTGCGCGCCTGGATGCGGATGGAGGGGGACGTTGGGCGACAAGGTAGGAATATATAAACCAGCCAGCAGGTCCTTAGGCTCTGGTGAATTGCTCGCTAGCACTGATCGCTCAGAACTGGTAGCAAGATGATTAACATGGGCAGTTTTGAACGAGATTTTCTCACCTCTGCCGTTGAAAATACTGCTGGCAGCCCGCCTCGACCAAAGCCAGATCCGCCACGGCCCGTTCCGCCCAAAACGTAAACGCCAGAATGAGTCGGCAAAGCGAACATCCCGAACATCGCCAACTCAGTCACGCGGGACTGAACACACGAAAATGACTCAGTTTCTGATACTTTCTAAGATGATTGCGAGATTTTTTGTTTGTCATAAAACAGGTATGTCTGTGTGCAGTTACTTGTCTGATGCCTGGGCACTTTCCTGACAGCTGGCAGCCAAACGCTGTGGCAGCTGCCACAACACCAAACACGAATACGTCTAGGAGTGGTCCGTTTGCAGGCCATGGAAGACTTGCTCAGCACTTTGTATTAACACCGGGAAACAAATTGCTACATGTATGAAACTACTATCTGTATTATTCCGTCGCTCAATTTACACAAATGTATTGTATTTGCATTCATCGTGGCATGCCCTCGGCAGCTTACACGTTTCCCAGACATACAAGAAATGCTCTTGCCATTGCTAAAGACGGCCATCGCGCCTAACCAATTTCTGATACGCTTTTTCCTAGTAAGGGAAGTACAGCTCCTCAGAATATATCGCTACCGTCAGTCCCCTCGTCCCATCTCTCTCCTCGTCCAACCCATCCGCCTTGACATCTCCAACCGCTCTCATCCATCCATCACTCTCCATCAGCCACAGTTTCCTATCTCGATTTCTCACAAAGACCGTTTCTAGATCGTCACTTTGACCGATCTTTGTATGCATACACGTGCGGTCGCAAATTGCTCTCGCTGGCAGCTGTTGGGTAAGTTCAGCATCTTCTCACTTCGTTGTCACCACCCCTCATGCACTTACCCCTCCCCAATCTCAGCCGCAATGAGCTTGACCTTGGCTCGCATTGCAATCCACTCCCTGAGCACCCATACTCTCTCATCAATTTCATTCTCGCCATGTTGCCGTCATCAACGTTTGCCTCGCCCTCCTGCCTCACTCGAAGAGTTCACCGCCTCGGTCTCCCGCCCTTGATACTGGCTTTCCTTGAAATCTTGTTGCCAACAATCTAAAATGGAGGAAAGCTTCCATTAGCATTATTTCAGAAACGTTATCAATATTACTCATCACGGCTCGGCATGACCCTCACACGTTCGAAAAAGTCGAAGCGGTTACTTCGCTGGCTGTCGGTGCTCCAGAATGAAGACCAAACTCTGGGGCCTTCTACGGCGCTTCTCATCAAATATTCCTTGCTTTACAATCATCACCGTTGCATCCAGGTCACAATACGATTGGCTGGCACACTGAACCTTCTGCACCGTCTCGCACCTTCAACCGGCTTGCCATATTTTCTCCAGTCACAGCTGGACGCCCAGAAAATTACTGACGGATCCAGAATTTGGACGCAGGTTGCCCCCATCCTGACCTTTATTCGTGCCAACATCCGTTCACCTGGATCTTCTCGAGGCTATCCCACTCTATTTGTGTGGTACTCGAGAGAAAACCATCGTTCATACCTGTTTTTCGCCTTTCTCCGAACCAAAATGGCTCCCGTCATCTATTCCGCGCAAGAACTGCTTCGAATGAGGGCTGTTCCCGCTAGGAAAGAGACATACGATGAAATTTGTCAGAAACTCCAAAAGGACCTTTCTATCGGTACGTTCCCCTTCACGGGTCACGTTGTCCCCGGCTGCTAACAGCCTGAGCCACAGAAGATATTCTGCGCTTTCCTGTCAACCGGCCCTTACCTTTGATCCCTGAAGAAGATACTGAGAAACTTGCGAGTGTTCCCAACGGCAATCCCACCCCCGTTCAACAACTCGATGGTACCGACTCGGAATGGAGATATCGCGGTCGGACAGAGAACGAATGTGGCGAGCCGCAGCCAATATCTGCCCCGCCAGGCCTCGTTGCCCAGAAGGATGAAGGCTTTCAACGGTTTTACAAGGCTGTGGTCTCGCCCACTCACGTCAGAGTTACGGCAGGTGGCCGCATTGTCCCAAATACAAGAGCCTCCTCATCGCCTACCTGCAAATGGGCCAAGGACAAGCCTCCTTCAGGCAGTCTGTTCCCTCCACGCCCATTGGAGCGGGAGACAGCTGAGAATGCGGTAGCAAATGGTGCTCAGTATCCGTTTGGGCCTTTCCCTTCTCTTTATCCTGGATATGCTCCTGCTATGCACGGATCCGCATACGCCATGTTCCCATGGCAAATATACAACACGTTTTGTCTGCCTGCACCTATGCCACAAACAGCGTTCTCTAAGCCCAGTGGCAAAGACAGTTCACGACACCAGCAAGACGGCGTCGATGACCGTCAAGAAGGAACAGAGCCTTCACCACACCAAGCTGCTGCCGCCCCGATGGATGTTAGCCGACCGTTTTATTTCAATGGCCAGTGGGCTATGCCACATAATCCATCTTTGTTTGCGTATGGCATGCCCGCGTTCTCGGGCTTTCCTCAGCCGTCCATGGCTGGGTCGGTCACAGCTCCCCCAGCAGTGCAGCCCACGCCCGCTACCTCAAACTCGGCTCCGGCCCCTTCATATTCTGTCGCACCTGCACCTGTCAAGCCGGACAAGCCTCTCACCGAGACTGTCAAGCCTATCCCGGCCGCGGCGGCATCACCAGCAACGCAAACTACAGCTTCACTGACAAACCCTCCTATCTCCTCAATTCGGCCCAGCGAAATTACCAAGAAACAAATTGATGTCCTCAAGGGATCTTTAAAGTACCTAGAAGATCAACTTCTATACAACAAACATCAAATTGATGAAAAATGGATGGAGTACCAGGCGCATATGGTTCGGCAGCAAGTGGACCAATTCGAAAAGAACCTGCAAAACCAAAAGAGCTTTGAAGAAGCCTATTACCCAAAGTCCAAGGAGAATTCTTCCACATCTTCGGCTTCTCTTGCCGCTGCGACTCCTTCTGCAGATGAAACACCCGCCCCTCTACCACAGGATGGTACAATCAACTCTGGCCAAAAGCCATGGCGTGAGAAGGATCGTGAATACTTTCAAACTCACCAAGGTATCAATTCCACCAAGTCAGTCAGCTTGTTCCCTCCAAAGAGACTTGGCAGTACCACAGAGCCTACCAAGAAAGCTTCCACGCTGCCTGTCCATGCAGCCCTTGCGCCTCCCTTTCAGCCGCAGAACGAAGGCTCCGTTCGTTCTTCGTTCTTCCAATCGCGACCTCTGGACACTCCATATCTCATCGGTATGATACCTACCGGAAGCAATCAAGAGAAAGCACGGGAAACTGGGTACCAATACGTGCGAGATCTTTCTAACGATGAGCTTCGTGCACGCCACATGTACTGGGGCAAAGCTCCTCATCACTTGCAGCGCGGTCTTCCGAAGTTCGATGGGAAAGACTTTTACCCACCCTCTCCTACGAGAGATCGAACATCTGAATCGAACGATTCACTACTGGATGTTCAATCAGAGGGCGACGGCCCACGAAGTGCTAATAATGTATCTGTTTATGACCCCTTCCGGTCCTTGGGCAGGCCAAGACAGCGCGTTCCCCGCGGCGCTCTCGGTCAGACAACCCAATCCGAGGCATTGGCCCGCAACTCGAGCTGTGGGAGCTCAGTCATAGAACGTGGCACGTCCTGCACCGGCAAGATTGGCCGCCAGTATGAGGATGCTCGCAAGAATATGGACCCAGTAGCAAGTACTGGCGCTACCTCTTCGAAGTTTAATTCGGATTCTGAAGAAGGTGACGATGGTCGCAGCATTCTCTTCAAGGGTCGCAAACCAACAGCCTCAGGGTGCGGCATCTACCCATTCCCCCGTGCCGTGCCCGATACTAACCAGTTGCAGGACCAAATCACGCAATGAAATATGGCAGAGTATGCTCAACAAGGGAAAATCCAGCGGCCAGGCAGCACCCAGCACGATTTCAGCTGCGACAGCACACGGTGTCCTGCCCCAATACCGAGGCCATGCGACCGCGTACCTTACTCCAACCATCGCGAATACGTCAACTCCGGCACGCGCTATCGTGGCAAATGGAAAGGCCGTCGATGGTGGCGATTTGATTCAGCTCAAGTCGACCGAAACAGTACAGACTGAGAATATGCCACCGATCGTGGCAAACGACAACGAGTCGATTCGCCAAGACAGTCTTCGCAAATTTAGTAACGCACAGGGAATATTGTCGCAGTAATTACGCCGTTATGATCAGATTCAGCTTCACCAACATTAAAAAGTTTTAGCTCGGGCATGAATTACACAAGCCATACTTACGACACTTGTATGAATAGCATCGCATCAGAGTTAGCTGTCCAAGGTTTGCATCACTTTGCTGTTCATCTCTGGGCTACATTTGAGCTGCAACTCTGAGTTGCAAGAATATAGGTACACGAGTGTAATCCGCTGTCTATTATTTCAGGCGAATATGGTGTTCTCTGCTGCAAAGTCGTGATGTTCGGCTTCTATATCGTGGCTTGTATGCCCCTTGAGAGCATTTATACGGCCGCGGACGCAGGGATTATGGTTAAATCGACGGGTGATGTCTTTGACATTGACTATGATATGCTTTTATACAACAGAGCATTCTATTAGATGAAGCAACAGAGGCTAGTTTTAATTGATGGATTATGCTTTACCTAGCTGTGCACCGCCGACAAAATGGGGGTTTGGCGCATAGTGACGCCAACCAAAGCAAGTGATGCTAGGTATGACAGTTATGTCTCTCACCATCAAATTTCCATAGTCATAAACGTTACTCTCGATGAAAATCTTCGGGCAAGAAGTAGAGGCCGTGATAGTAAGTGGCGACTACTTTGTTTACTCTTCGCCAGTCGTATACCTCGAAGACCATCAGGAAAGAAAAGGTCAACGCGGAGATATCCTAGCGGTGGACATGGCTTGCCGTGAGGCTAGCCGTCTACGAAGACTACGAAACCCCAATGGGAGTTGTTCTTGCACACAGATATCCTTGATCAATGGTGACCGAAGGTGGAAATGCGTCACGCTCAGCGAAAAGCATCGGACAGGAGAGCAGGACAGACTTCGGGAAACGCCTCCCATGGAGCACTTCACAGAATGATTGTGAAATGGCCATTGAGAACCAAAGAATTCTCAATTCATCTACCCTGCTGGGTTCCTCCTCTCTTCTGCTTGTTGGGAAAGAAGAGAGGGAAAATCCTATCGCGAAACATTAAATAAAACGCCGGAGTATCATGCCCATTTCCCGTATATCCCATTGTAGTGAATCCATTGGTTTCGTTTCCCAATGGTCAAGGTGTTTTTGTCGTCATCTCTTCCTTTTTTTTTGGTTCAAGTCATTGCGAAAGTGTGTAGGTGCTTAGGCGGTGACCTTGTTGGTGGCAGCGAGCTCGCGGCCGCGCTTGGAGCGGGCCAGGATGTCCTCACGGTCCTTGTCGAGCTTGAGCTTGGTGATGACAACGTTGGAGGGGTGGATGCCGAGAGGCACGGACTGGCCGGAGGCCTTGTCGCGGGTGACGCGCTCGACGTGGATGACGTATTTCAGGCGGTAGACGGAGGTGACCTTCCCCTCGGAGCCCTTGTTGGAGCCGCGGACGATGGTGACCTCGTCGTCCTTGCGGATGGGGATGGAGCGGACCTGAAGCGATTGATGTTAGGTGGGAAAATGCGGAACGGGAGGGTGAAATTGCGCGTACGTTGTACTTCTCACGGAGCTCCTTAGAGAGGGGAGCGCTCATGATGACGCGGCGCTGGCTGGAGGGGGCCTTGAAGTGAGCGGCGCGGCTCTTGCGGCGGGAAGCCGAGACGTCTTTTGAAGCTGGTTAGTCGCGGGAAACTCTCTCTGTCGTGATGCGGACGGCGATTGTGCCGCCGCAGCCATTGGTGGATTGAACTCACTGGTGTTGACCTTGACCATTTTGTCGGAGTTGTCGAAAAAAAGAATGTTTCGGCGTGGGAAGGAGTTTGTCGGCGTTGGGCGATGGAAGGGAAAAAAGAGCAAAAGAGAAGCCCAGTCAAAATGGCGCCCTAAATCTTTTTGGTGTGCTGGGCAAGCTGTGGGCGAAATTTAGACGAATGTGTGGGACACACGTGATTTGGAGGGTATATTTGGGGAGATTTGTTTGAGTTGTGGAGCGGCGTCGCCAGCGTTGAGGAAGACTCTGATTATGTAAGCAATCGACAAGAAGCAGCGAGAGATGGATTGCGATGAAAAGCTGTCGAAATCGCAGAGAATTCATCATTGCGTCAGATTTCGGCGGAGACTATCCTTGGACTAAGCTAACATGAAGAGGTATGATTGAGAATGTGGCGGTCGGTGCGAGTGACACTCGGAGGATGTGCATGGTCACTTCTCAGCTGAGTGCGAGAGAGTGTAGTGTATACATAGTATTTGTACAAATTTTCTATATGCAGGAGAGGTAGTGATACATGTTATGAACCGCACTGGTTCCAGTATTTTACAAGGTGGCAGGTGGAGTGAATTTGCCATTGTCGTCGTAGCGAGCTTCTGTTCATTGTATTAGCATCCTCTCCATACTGAAAGCGCCAAACCAAAACATTGGTCAGGCAAAAACGTACTGAAGAATGTGTAATTCAGCGTGACGGTCTCGACGCCCTTCATGTTGAGGTCCGTCAGCAGGTCCGGGTCGAGGTAGAAGAAGACGGGCATGTCGACCGTCTCGCCGGCCGCAAGGCGCTGCTCCTCGAAGCAGAAGCACTGGATTTTGCTGAAGTAAGGCGCGCACTGCGCCGGCGTGACGCTGTACGTGGCGACGCCGATGATGTCCTTGTCGCCGCGGTTGGCGGCCGTGTAGAAGGCGAGCGCCGTCTCGCCCGGCAGCACGCGCACCTCGCGCTGCTGCGGCGTGAACTTCCACGGCAGCACGTCGGACACGGAGGCGTTGAAGGTGACGCGGATGCGCTTGGCAGTCGTGACGGGCACCACGCGCGAGGAGATGTCCTGCTGCTCGCCGCCGGGGCCGCCGTGCACGCGGATCGGCTGCCCACCCCAGCCGGTCTGCTGGCAGATCTGGAGGTTCGCGCAGGAGTCAGTCAATCGAGTCCCTGCACTTCTCGGAAGCTCCAATAGTGAAATATCCGTACCATCTTATACATGGGGACAGAACCATACGACAGGGCAACGGTGCCGAGTATCGCGCTCAAGGTGTAGTTCCTATGCCATCCGTCAGCCGTGAGACCCTAATTGACAGACGTGCCAGCGCGGGGCGTCCAATTGATCCCTCTCAAAAGTCCATACATGACGGTTCTATTTTTCCTTTTGTAATGCTCGCGGATCCGCTCCATCGACAGTGCGTTCGGGTTTCCCTGGTGCTGGGCGCGGCGGGCCGTGATGCCGGACAGCCAGCGGCGGAGGGCGGAGGCATCGAGGCGCCGGGTCTGTGGACGCGTTGTCCGGCAGAAGAAGCAGGCCCATGGCGCCTGCGCCGCGGACTGCGCTAGCTGCCGTGTGGTGTTGTTCATGGCGGCGCGGACGGAATAATATTGTCGGGATGGAAAAAGCTTCGAGATGGGATGAGCAGCAGCGAAAGCTTCAGAGGTGTCAAATTTTAGTGGGTCATGGCCCGACCTCCAGAGGCTTGTTTCCGGGGAGCCTCGGAAAGAAAATTCCACATAGAGATTAAAAGTTGTAGAAAAAATAGATGATGAATTTCTATTATGTTTATGGATTGATGAGGAATGCAGGAGGAAAATACACGCTAATGCTGGTTGGATCAAATACAGAATATCATGGCACAAGGAAATCACGTCGCTCTAGTTGAGCTTCTTCTGGCAGGCCTTGGCACTGCCGTTCAACACGCTCCGTCTCTTTTTACCAACCAACGAGAAGCGGTCAAATGTTAGCACAATGAAGAGATGGATAAGGAGGATGAAGAATCGGAGGATATAGTCGGCCAGGCCAAGCTGCGGGCGCCTGCCGCGGCTGTAGGTCGAGTCCTTGAACTCAAAGGGCAGCTTGGCGCCGAGGTCGTCCTGGGCGACGGCGAGGCCGCTGCTGAAGCCGTCCTCGTGGAAGCCGTAGTTCGTCCATGCGCCGGCGTAGCTGATTCCGCGGCGGTTCTGGATGCGCGGGAGCGCGCGCTGGGCGCGGAACGCGACGGGCGTGTAGAGAGGGTGGGAGTAGAAGAAGCGGCCCTGGACGGCGGCCTGGCGCGGGCGCGTAAGCGGGTTGAGGGTGACGAGGACGTCGCCGAAGGGCTCGCGCGGGATGTGCTGCAGGATGTTCATGTTGTAGGTGAGCGAGACGCGGTCGAGGTTGGCCTTTCCGGTGGACGGCGAGGACTGCGTGAGGTAGTTCCAGGCGGCCCAGGCGCGGCGGCTGCGGGGCATGAAATTCGTGTCGGAGTGCAGCACGGCCTCGTTCTGGGAGGTCTGGAAGCAGCCGAGGACGGCGCGCTCGGCGGGCGTGGCGCTGGCGCCGAGGAGGGCGAGGGCCTGGTCGCCGTGGGTGGCGAGGACGACGTGGTCGAAAACCTCGGAGGTGCCGTCCTCGAGGGCGAGCAGCACGCGGCCGTCGGGGGTGTTGGTGACCTGCCGCACTGCCGTTTTGAGGTGCAGGTGGTTGGGCGGGAAGCCACGCATGACGGCGCGGATGTACGCCTGGGCGCCCTCCTTGATGGTGAGCCACTGCGGCCGCGCGGCGACGGTCGATAGCAGATGGTGGTTCCACATGAACCGGACGAGCGCGATCGCGGGGAAGTCGAGGCCGCACTTGTCTGGGCCGGTGCTCCACACGGCAGCGGCCATGGGCAGAAGGTAGTCGTCGCGGAAGGCATCCGAGTAGCCCTCGCGGGCGAGGTAGGCGCCGATGGTCTCGTCGCGATGGTGAGCACGCCTGGAGGAGAAATCGCTGCTGCTGCCGTTGCTATGGTTGGATAGGTCATTGTCATCATCGTCGTCGTCGTCATTAATGAGGAGGTCGAGGGCAAATTGGTTGAAGCGGACAATGTCAAAGATCATGCGCCACATGCGGGGAGAGAAGATGCGCCGTCGCTGAGCAAAGACGGAGGCGAGGTTCGTGCCGGCCCATTCAAAAGCACCGTGGTCTCTCGAGACGCCAAACGTCATCTCTGTCGGTTCCGTCTCTACGCCGATCTTGTTGAGGAAGTTGATGAAATTGGCTGTCGCATGGGTCAGCGGTCAGCGGTGGCGCTGAGAAGACGAGTTGTGGACGACGGCAGCGCTTACGGTAGGTGGCCGTATTGAGGACGATGAAGCCAGTGTCGACAGCCGTCTTAAACTTGCCGGCGCTCCATTGCACCGTGTTTGTGTGGCCGCCGAGGCGGTCGGCGGCCTCGTACATGTGAACATCGTGATATGTACGGTTGAGCGCCCAGAGGGCTGCGATGCCGGAGCAGCCGCTACCGACGATGGCGACCTTTTTTCTATTGAACCGGTTAACCGGTGCGCTCATGGTGAGAATTGCAGGTCACGGAGGGGGGAATTGGTGAATTAATAGGCAATTGGGCTATGATACGAGAGATGGACTCAGGTTGAATGAGAAAAGAGGAGGTCCTGGGATGGATGACGAGCTAGACAAAGCGGGAGCGGCGTTGTTGAGCTCGATCGGCAAAAGGCAGCTATGTATAGCGTGTCTTATCTGCAGCGGAGCAACACCCGAGGGCAAAAAGCAAGAGGACGGGAGAGGCAACGCATGCAGGTAGGTGGCTAGCTGAGAAGCTGGGCAGCTGAGAGGAGAGGCCGGGCAGCGAGCGAGTTGCGTCGCCGGAAGCGTCGTTTGAGGGGTACATGGTGGATGAGGTGTATTATGCAGGCAGACAAGTGTTGAACTTACATGTGATTGGAGTCTCCCATTGAGCGGGAGGGAATTGCTGAGGGCATTGGCGATGACAGGAGGATGAAGATGGAGGATGCTAAGAAAAAATAACAAGTTGGAGATGATGTAGAGCTTTGAGAAGAAAAAAGAGAGCAGGGGAAGAAATGAAACCAAAGATGCCGGTAAGAAAAATGTCCGAGAACAAAGCAAGGTGGGAGAGGATAGATAGGCAGAGAGGTAAAATAACTAGCAGCAGTAGTAACTGGGCAGACGGTAAACGCACGGCAATCTGCGTATGACCTGCGACGAGCGAGAACCCCAGGTTTTATCTCTGTGACGCTGTCGTCGACGTAATGATGCGACTAATAATCAGAGAAACTGCTTCCCACTTCCCAGCAGACCTGGCAAAGTGGCTAATAATAAAAAGGATCCCTGGTAAAATGGTTGAGGCTAGTGGAGGAACTTGGTCACTCGGACACTCCCGCGGGCGATTCCGAGGCAACCCCAACACTCAACAACCAGTAAGCTGACGATGTAGTGCTCACTTGATCGGTTTTTTGTGTTGTACATGCCTGAGCTCAAGAGACTTTCCCAAAGAAGATCCAAGAAAGCCAGCCACTTTGAGCCAGACAGAGGCTGATCGAGAGCAAAGAACGAAGGGGTTGCCAGATGCGCTGTCAGAGCACGCCCAGCCCTCTCACAAGAGGGTTTCACAGCGGCCGCGGGCACGGACAGCATTCTACGGTCATCATGTGCACGGGTCGAGTCCCGCGGATTACAATTGGGAATGCAGGGCATGTTTGGGGAGGAGATTTGAAGGAGTCCCAATTCTCCTTCATCCACATCTCTATCCACGTGTGGAAAAGTACCAAAAAACCATGGTCGAAATGTCGAGCACTCAACGGGATCGGGAAACGTCGGTTCGAATCACCAATTCTTAGAAGCGCCGTGCGAGATATTCTCACGCAATCCTTCTCCCCAGCTTAAATCAACTTGGCGTCAATTTGACAAGTAAATGTCACAACGTCAAGCCAGGTATTCTTCATGCTGGGTGATCAACTTTGAGGAAGAAGGGAAAAGAAGGTAAAATTCTGCTGCCTGAAGGACCCCCATATACTTTTTTTTTTCGGTGAGCGCCACAACCGTTGCAATCACGTGCAGGCGGACTTTAAAATGTGGCTGGGCTCCGTCCCGCTATGGGCCAAGTAGACAGGCGCTGGAACAACTGCTGGAACCTGCCGCACAGGCTGTGACATAACCGCCAGCCCCGACTCGTTGCTGCATCGCTGGCAACGGCTGACGCAAGGCGCCTCGATCCGCTTCCGTTGCATCCAAACCCTGTACATCATCCACCATCGCCAAAGTCGCTGACTGCAGTGTCGCTTGCTTCTCCTTCTGTATTATCCTGCTGCCTGGTCACCCTTACCGTCTACTATCCTTGGCTGCCACGGGCGAACCCGCCGGAACATCCTTTCCCGCTGCCTCGACTGAACGACTCTATCACCACCGGGCTCCCACACCACATCCGCAGACACCGCCGCCGCCGCCGCCGCCATGTCGAACCCTCTTGATAGCGACGCCGGCTCCGAGCTCTTTAACTCATATGAGGCAGAGCTCAAACTCGTCCAGGCCGACCTGTCGCAGAAGATGGACCAGATCCCTGAGCTATCGGGCGAGCCGCGCAAGGCCGCCATCAGCCAAGCCGAGCGTGCGCTCGAAGAAGCCGACGAGCTGGTACGCGCACTCCCTCTCTATCCATCCCCTCTCTTCTTTCGCAATTGACCCCCCTTCCCTCTCTAGCTCGGCCAGATGCGCCTCGAAAAGTCTAACATCCCCACCTCGTCCCGCGGCAAGGTCAACCAGCGCTTCCGCAACTACGAGTCCGACATCGACGCCGGCCGCCGCAAGCTCGCCGACCTGTCCTCGGACCGCGCCGCCCTCTTCGGCGCCCGCTACACCGACGACCCCGCGGGCCCCTCGGACATTCACCTCGAGCAGCGCCAGCAGCTGCTCTCCGGCACCGACCGCCTCGACCGCAGCACCCAGCGCCTCAAGGCCAGTCAGGCCCTCGCCAACGAGACCGAGGATATTGGCGCCGGCACCCTCGCCGACCTGCACCGCCAGCGCGAGACCATCCAGCACACCCACGACCGGCTCATGGAGAGCGAGGGCTACGTCGACCGCAGCGTCAAGACTCTGAGGGGCATGGCCCGTAGGTAAAGTCACCCTTGACGCTGCGTTTGGTAGGACGACATGCTGACCTTTTTTGTACAACAGGATGGCTACCAACAGGATAATCACAATCTCCATCATTACTGTTCTGGTCCTCTTGATTGTGCTCGTCATCTTTAGCAAGTTTAGGTAATGTCTTTTACGCGGGAGTTTGGGTTTGCCATGGTTTTGACTGCGGTACGAATAGAAGCCCTGCAGAGAATAGTGTAGGATTCATATAAATTAGCATCGATTATCATGCTGCGCGTGCAATCCAGTGCAAATTGCAATGTCTTTAGGGGGAGTGCATCGTCTAGTCTAACATCTAATCAAACAGATTTGGATTGCCAATGCGACAGGTGCAACGACGCATGTTGCACCAAACCGCATTTCCAATGCAAACTTGCTTTGATAAATGAGATTCGCCAAATCTCATTTAAGTTGCCCTTGCTATGTTGCACACCTCGCCTCGGTTTGCCGGTCTTGAAAGTCCAGCGATGCAGTTTAGGGTAATACACGGATAGTAAGCTAACGTTGCAATATTGGAGGCTGGCCAACGAACGAGCTTGTGCGGGGCTCCCCGCACACCCGAACATCAACCGTGCTTGTTTTGCACACACTCAGCCATCCAACCTGAAGAAACTTTGCCTCATAAAACACCACCTCGCCTCCTCAAGCTCTCGCCCTTCCACACTACCAACAATCATCATCTTCCCCCCTCTCCCTACTCCCCCCGCCTTGTGCCCTCCGGCACCATATCCTCAACTTACTATCCCTTTTTTTTCTTCACAGCGAGTTTGCTACGTTCTTGACGCAGCACTGCGCCTCCGCCATGTCGGAGTTTCTTGGGTTAGCTACCTACGCGTCCCTGCCACCTGGCTCAATCGCTAACCGTACCTCGAAGATCACGCATCTCCCTGATTTCAAAAAGCGATATCCGGTATGTCTATAGTATTTCTCACCTCTCGAGACTCCCAATTGCTGACAATTCCTAGCTACGTCGGCACGTTGCACGAGATCAACTCAGAAGAGTCCACAGTCTCCCTCGAAAATGTTCGATCGTTCGGCACAGAGGGTCGCAAAGGCAGACCCGAGGCGGAGATTGCCCCATCTGACCAGGTTTACGAATATATTGTATTCCGCGGCAGCGATGTAAAGGACCTCCGCATCGAGGAGCACCCTGGCATCAAGGAGAACAAGCCGCCTTCCGTCCCCGACGACCCAGCCATCCTTGGTGTAAGTAATGCACTACCCTCGCACTCACCTCCTGGTTACATGATGAAATATTACGGATGTAAACCTTTTGTCACAACTGATGGCGCAAACCATGTGGAAACTTTCCGTTGCCTTCCTTCTGATCTACCAACCACACCCCGCACTCCTTCATACGCTCAATTCAATCTGAATACCCGCTAACTCGAGTTCAGGCTCGTCCTCGTGGTGCACCTGGTGGAAACCAGAACATGCCGCCCCGCCCCCCCCCTACGGGACCGCAGGGACAACAATTCCCTCCCAACCCCAATTTCCAGGCCGGTCCTCGTCCTCCAGGCCCATGGAGTCGTGATGGCCCTGGCCCTATGCCCAATCCTGCATTTGGCAATATGCCATATTCTTACCCTCCTCCCCCGGGCTGGTTCCCTGGCCAAGGTTTCCCTCCTGGCGGTCCTCCCGGTGGTCCTCCCGGCGGCCCTCCTGGCGGCCCCGGTGCGCCTGGCCCTTGGCAAAATCAGCCTTTCCCTCCAGGCGGCCCCCAGCCCGGCCCTGGCCCTCAAGGCCCTCCTCAGGCCCTCAAGCCTGAGCCGAAGGCTGCTGAGGCGCCCGCTAGTCAGGATTCGAAGACGGCCCCTACGCCCCCGGTAGAATCGAAGCCGTCGACTGCAGCTGTCAAAGCCGCCGCCTCGAACCTCGGCGCCAACGGAGCGCCTGCCCCCAACCAAAGAAGCAACAAGGTCAATCCTGTGATTCCTCTGACCGGAGCCGGGGCTAAGCCCTTTTCCTTGCCCAATGTTGAACAGCGCTCAGCTCAGCCTGCCCCTGCTCCGACAGTGGCGCCAAATAGCGTTCAAGACGCCACCAGCGCTGCTCGAGCCGCCGTTGCCGTCGCCATGGCCCAACTTGGCAATGGTGCAGGTAACGCGATGGATAACCTGACCAACAAGGTTAACGAAATGAAAATTAACGCTGGGCGCGCGCCCACCGCTCCTCGCGGTCGTGGCCGTGGTGGTAGAGTCACAGCCGTGGCGACCAAGGTGGAAGTTCCAGCGTCTGACTTTGACTTCGCGGAGGCAAACAAGAAGTTCAACAAGGACGAAATCAAGTCGCCCGGCGAAGAAGCCGAAGGTGCCGAGGTCGAGGAAGCCGCCGGCACCGACGCTGCCGCCCCTGTATACAACAAGTCTACGTCCTTCTTCGACAATATCTCTAGTGAAGCAAAGGACAGAGCTGCCAACAACGGCCAGAAGCCTGGAGGTCGTGAGTGGCGTGGCGAGGAGCAGCGCAAGAACATGGAGACCTTTGGGCAAGGCAGTGTTGACGGTGGGTACCGCAACTACCGTGGTCGTGGTCGCGGACGTGGTGGTCGAGGCCGTGGTGGTCGTGGTCGTGGAGGCCGGCCTCAGCATCAGGTAACTGGCGGCGACCTATAGCGTGGGCGCCAATGTCCGATGCCTTGATCATATGATATTGTAACAACTATTAGGGGTTCGGAGGCCAGCGGCACGACTGATTTACGATCGTTTTTATTCCGTGAATCCACGGATTCTTCGGAGTATTTGGACACACAGGGCCAGGAAAGGCTTACACGGATTGGAGTTCGGACTGCATTGGAAGCACGACGAAAGGGGTTATAACAAGCGCAGATGGGGAATGATTTTCTAGCTGGATTAAGCGAACCAGTTTTAGCGTGGCGATTTGAGCCAAAGGTATATTATTTGACAGATTTATTTTATGAGGGGGATGGTACGACTTACGACGATACCCGTTGTACTGGGCAGCCTGCGTGGCTGGTGGTGGGATTGGGACCGGAGACATATCGGGATATCTGACTGTTGTCTGGCAACAAAGCAACCCAAAGAGCAAAAAAATCAATAAACAAATAAAGAGTCAATGTTGTGGCTAAAGCTATCGATTCGGTAAACCATGTAAGCGGATCGTGAGATGAGGGTGGATGGATATAATGGGGCATACGGCGCTCGGTGTGCCGATGAACGAGCTCTCTAGAAGCTGAAGGCGATTGACACGCGCTTCGGCGAGGATGTGCTGGCCACGCCTGACTAAGAGACCGGCCTCGAACTGCGTGCGTCCTCGAGTGAGCTCTTGAACCTCATGTTGGCTTAAGAGAAGATGAGGAGAGCTGGCTCTCGAGCGTGGGGGGCGGAGTGGTTTCGCGGAGCGGGAAGCATGGATCTCTGGGTGAAATAGCGATTGACAATGCATCTGCAAGGTGGAAGCTTGATTACTGAGACTAGGTATTTGCAATTAATTTCTGGCAATTGTTAAAATTGAGTTTATGATTTCTGCCCGTTCTCGAAAGTCTTGTCAAGTTGGCAGCGCTCCGACCCGCAATAAAACGTCATGGCTCCTTGCCGGCGTGACTCGAAGCTTACCTTGCCTCTTTTCAACGTCGGCGTCGGCGAATTCATCTTCGGTGGGCGGTGTGCGCTGCAATTGTTTAGAGATCTTACGATATAGAAGGCTTTTCCACCACGTTTGAAAAGTTCAAGTTTTTTTCCTCTCACGCACCTACGATTGTGCTACAGCCGATCAACTTTAAAATCCAGGGACCCCGCCATCGAATCCCTCTCCCCCTCTGTCGCGCGACACAGAGAAAAAAAATCAACGCCCAAAAAAATGTCGAGCCGCCAGCTGCGTAGACTGCAAAAGCAGCGCGAGCTGGAGGAGGCATCGACGAGGAAGCCGATTGTCGAATCGGATCAAGGCGAGAAAGGTAGCGAGGACGAAGAGCCCGCGCCGCCCGCCACCCGTCCAAAAACGAACCTATTCGCCGCTCTCGGTGGCGATGACGACAACGACGACGACGACGACGCGGACGAAGAAGACGAGGGCGGCGCTGTAATTGAGCCTGCGGCAGCTAGCGAGCCGAAACCGTCAGCAAGCGCAAAGAAGAGCAAAAAGAAGAAGAAGGCTAAGAAGAAGGCAGCGGCCGCGGACGCTGCCGCTGCGGGCAGCGAGGAGGAGGACGAGATCGACAAGGCCATCAAGGCTCTCAAGACAGCCAGCGTCGGAAAGGGCGACGCCGCAGCCGCGCGAGACGAAGACCGGGAGCGCCGGGCGATGGCCTCCAACGGCATCCTCCAGATCAACACCTACCACCTGCGGGCGGTCAACGAGATGCGCAACCTCTTCGGCCGCGAGGTCATCGAGTCGGCGGAGGCCGAGGAAGAGCAGCAGCAGCAGCAGCGCCTGCGCGGCGGCCGCGGCACCCAGGGCCTGCAGCTGGACCTGGAGACGTTCCTGCGCCTGCAGCCGCCCAACGCCAAGAAGCTGCCCGAGGTGTCGCTGCGGCGCAACGTCTTCGTGCAAGGCCGCGACCACTGGCCGGCCGAGTCCGCCGGCGGCCTGACCATGAAGCAGATCGGCGCGGCCGACGGGACCACCACCGAGTACGCGTACCTGCACGAGGGCGGCTACGACGGCCTGCAGACGCTCTTCTTCGCGTGCGTGCAGCTCGGCGACCCGATGCGCATGGTGCACCTCCTCAAGCGCGCCCCGTACCACGTCTCGACGCTGCTGCAGGTCAGCGCCGTCGCCCGGCAGGACCAGAACAACGCACTGTCGGCGGAGCTCTGCGAGCGCGCCCTCTTCGCCTTCGGCCGCGTCACCACGTCGGCGTTTCGGCGGGACCTCGAGCGCGGCCGCGCCCGGCTCGACTTTCGCCGGCCGGAGAACCGCCAGCTCTGGCTCGCGGGATACCACTACCTGCGCAGCCTGCTGCGCAAGGGCACGTACCGCACCGCGCTCGAGTGGGCGCGCCTGCTCTACGCGCTGGACCCTCGCGGCGACCCGTACGCGATGCGGCACTACCTGCACTTTTTGGCCGTGCGCGCCCACGAGTCCGCGTGGCTGCTCGAGTTTCTACAGGATGTGGAGGAGGAGGAGGAGGGAGACGGCGGCGTCGCGCATGAGGACTTTGTCTACGTGAGGCAGAGCGCGGTGCTGGCGAGGCTACAGATGGGCGAGACGGAGACGGCGCGGAAGGAGCTCGCAGAGGGCATGCGGCGCGTGCCCTGGCTGTACTGCGCGCTGTTCCAGGAGCTCGGCCTGGACGCGCCGCCGTCCATCTGGGGCATCCACGCCGCGTCCGACGCGCGCCAGTTCTGGGTGAAGCTGTACCTGCACTTCGCCAAGGACCTCTGGAACAACACGCAGGCGACGGCGCTCCTCGTGCAGGTGGCCAAGGGCCTGGAAGAAAAGGTCCGCGTCGCCGACCTGCCCGTCGACGACGCGCCGCCGGGCCTCGACGCCACGCGGCTGGTCTACCTCGAGGGCCAGACGGGGCTGATCGCCTTGGCGCCGCGCGCGCTGCTCGACCGCCAGCCCAACTACGACTTTGACCCCATGCCGCCGGCGGAGGAGGACAATGTGTTTACGTATTTGGGCACCGAGCTGCCGTGGGCGGAGCGGCGCCAGCGTTCCGCAGGCAACGACGACAACAACACGGTGGACGTCCAGGAGGTGCTGGAGCGCATGCGCAACAATCTCATCGCCCAAGGTGGCGGCGGTGGCGGTGCTGGTCGACCGGTCCAAGGGTTTGGCGTCGCCGGACAGATTGAGGACGAATCAGACTACGACGAGGAGACAGACGAGGAACTGCGGCGGGATCTGGAGGAGCACGCGCGCAGGAGCAGGGAGCCGGGCTACCTGAACCAGCTGATGCAACTGATTGGCATCGGTGGCGGCCGCGGCGGCGATCCCGCGGCCGCGACGCAGGGCGAGGGTGGTGTGGAAGAGGAGGACGACGAGGTGCCAGGGGCATGGCCAGGGGGGCAAGAGGCAGGGCGAGGATAGATGAAAAAAAGTTTCAGTGGGGGGAATATTTTGATATCACCGCATTGAATGGGCCGCATATAACGTGCGGTTGTTATGAAATAGGAGCGGCAGATGGGGAGATTAGTTGAGAAAAGGGCGGAACAGAAAAATAAATCAGTCAAAAGGAAAAATGAAAAAAAAAAAAAAAAATAATGTTAAAATTAGTGGTGGTTCCTGGAATGAGATTGGATGTCGAATGTGTCAATGGAGACGAGAGCCATGACACCTACATAGCTTACCTGGTTGATCGTGAAGCAAATTCTACAATTCTGGTACATTCTATTTGGAAGCTTGATATTCTCCATCATAATGACGTTGTAAAAGTTTTGCGCGGGACCAACGCCGTGGTGGCGTCGGCACTCGCGGTTCTCGTCGAGCAAAAGACACCCCGGCTCCGAGCGGATGTGCTGGTGGTGGTGGGCGGGCCGGCGTGGTGGGATTATTTCGGCCGATTTGTAAGTTTTTCTTGTGGAAAGGGGGAAGATGCATCCCTTTTTCCGTCCACTCATATCCTGAGATTGCGAGACAATCCCATACATCTCCTCTGCACATGTTGCCTGATTTCTGCACGGCAGCGGACTTGTCTTGGGTCAGTTGGCTTTCCCTTTTCCCCCGCCCGTGGTCGCGTGAGAGGTTGAGAAACGAAGCCACGCAGTTCGGCTCCGCGAGCGTGCTTTAACAAGCTCTCGCCATCTGCCGGCATGACGCGCGGCTTTGATACATGTTATCATATAGTTAGACGTCTATATTCTGTTGATGGAGTCGCAGCTCGGCTACAGGCAGACCCGGGGCGAGACGGCGTGCGGAAGTGGATCCGGGAGTTCCTTCTTTTTTCTTTTGTGAGATGGAGAGCGGCAAGTACCGCGCCTAGTTGAGGTGAACCGTTGGGCCTTCACTTCTGTTCGCTTACTGTGGATGCCAGGTAGATCCCGCGACGCCAAGTAGAGACCCTGTCGAGAGGCGAGATGCGCAAGCTCCTCGATGGAATATGGGCTGGAATAATATACGATCAGGAAACGCGAGTTGAGAGCGGCCCCTCACTGTTGTTGGTGGCGTGATGCCGCGCAAAAAAGACCTCCTTATCGGGCAACGACCGAGTTGGAGGGGCGACGCCAGGATGCACATCCGCCACAGGAAAGCCACCCCCCTGCAAGGACAAGGCGTTTTGATGACGCTGCCGATTCGGCCGGAAAGGTGCGCCAGCTGATCTTCCTCATTGCTCGCCCTATCGCCTCTCTGCAATCAGCTCTGCCGATTCCGCGTATGGCAGGAGAGCGGCAGTGCAATAACAGTTGTTGTAATTCGTAGGAAACCCCGGATTTGCGGAAAGCTGGGCAGATGCTGCTGTACTGTAGCCGGCAGATGCGGCGCTGTACGATGTACGGACGCACGGCTGCATGGCGGGCTGATTCGGGGGAAAGGAGAGTTGTGGTACCACTCCAAGACAAGACAAGGCATTGTGCCTGGGATGGGACCTGGTACAAAGAGGACAAACGAAAAAATCGAACAGAGACAGGCTGGCAGGCAAGACGGCGATGCATCGAGAACCACCCGGGCTCCCTCTATTTCGAAGCATAATGGCTTCGGGCTGGTACTCGTCGAGCATGGTTCCCACATTGCCGCAGCTGCAAAAAGCTACTTCTCATGTCAGCCCAGCCGCATCACTTGAGTGGCCAGCGGCTCGGGTGTGTGCGGATGGGTTGCGCCGGACCGGAGCGATTACGCGCTGAACAACTAGGAAAGCAAGGACGAAAAAGAGGATGAAGGACATTGGCTAGCATATGGAGCGAAGCTAGTAGACTGGGAACCGTCACCGCTCTGTGCCTCGCCCGTCCGAGTCAGTCTTGCTGCCCATTCGCTGGGGCCAGTAAATTTGTCCCCTCTCGGCCGAACCCGCCGTTTGCGATTGTCACCTTCTTTTCCTGGGGCGTATGCATTGAAGGGAAATTATTGGCAGGTGACTTGCGATGGACCAAAACTCTAAAGTATGGTTATTAGGATCCGCTTATGAAATTGGTCTTCGCCGACGGTAGTGATTTTCTGGAGAGGCAGCATCCGTATTACTCTGTTTATTAGCTTGTAATAAATGCAGAGTGTATAACTAGGAGCGGATTCACCTGACTGGAAAGGGGCGTGTTGCTCCTGTGGCTGCTGGAGTAACAGACGTGTTGGCAATGACGAGGTGTTCGATCGGCGAGGCGGGTAGGGAGCTGGACTTGTTATCGATATCATGGCGCTGCTACCATGTACTGGGATTCGAAGGTGATACATTGGCTGGTGCGATACATGGAATCGTGCGGTTGCAAGGTGCAAGCAAGGTCTATCTGGAGATGCCATCATGCATCTGTAACTCCCCGCAAAGGGGCGTTTGCACTCAGGAGGGAGGATCCGCCTGTTGGCAGGCGCTGCCAACTGCCTGCTATGTACATATGTACATACATAGCTGTAACCGTATCTGCCAGCCGCCAGCTGTCGGCCCACCTCACAGCGCCCGCCCGCTGTCCTACACGGGCGCATCGCCGTTTGTTTTGCCTCGTTCTTTTCGCAGTATACCTGTATCTGTGGATAAATTTGGAGCCAGGTCTTGTACTACTCCGTATTTCCCTTACCTACAACAAACACTTGATTACTTCCCGCACGTAGTACATCACTATCCTTTCCACTTCATCATCCACTTCATGCAAGGTTGCCTCTCCATCATCAATATAAGCGTCATTCTTATAGCCAGCTCGGCATTCTTGCCGCTTCTTTGCGATGAATGGCAGACACCTAACAAGGCCATCACACGACCTCTCTTTGACTTCGATGCTCCGGCTTCGGTCCATGTGCTACCAAGTACAGTCTTGCAGGCAACTTACCATATCCGTCAAAGGATCATCAAGTCTCGGTTCGCAATCCCTGGTCGCCACGATTCCGTCAAGGTCCGGGCCCCCGTTGCACGTTGAAAGTGACCAGCTTTGATTTGGGCTTGCTATTTAATCGTTGCGCCGCGCTCCGCCGTGTCCACTCACACTCCTACCACTATCCGCACGATTTCTCACAACACACACACCAGGTCCAACTGCCACTAGCAACTAGCTAGAATTAGCTTGCCCATCCTTGCTCTTCGTTTCTTCGGCCGAGTCGCGGAAAGCCCGTTTTCTGACCCAGCCCAACCCAACCAAGAGACCACTCGAAAACCACCCAGATCGGCTCTCTCGCTCTCTCGCTCTCTCTTCTCCTTGAGCGTCCGACCTGCCGTTACATTCCCTTCTGCACCCACCTTCTTCAAACTACTTCACGCGCGCCACCTACCTATCTACTCAACATCGCAGGAAAGCTTCTGCCGCCGCTTCCAGTTACTGCAAAGACGGACTTTGCTTAGGTACTTTGCAGCTTGGCACTGTACTAACTTAGCACCAGTCTCCCGCCCACCCAGCAGCCATCATCTGACGGAATCGGGCCAATCGCCCGCTCGCCCTCCGTGGCCTACTCTGTGCGCCCGCAGTTGCGCCAGAAAACACCGACGGGTGTCGCAATTCCAACGAACACTTCACCACCCCTGAGACTTTCGTTTTTGAGCAACGATTTGGAGTTTACATCACTCTCCATCGGTGTCAGCCTCTCGAATCGCCGTCCCATCACTTGCGCATTCCGTGCCTCGTGCGTCGCTGCGGCATGTCCTCTCTCTGCTTGACGAAACCGGCTCCAACCACTCTCGAATAACATTGCGCCGCCCTAGCAGCCCAGCGTTTCTCCGACCTCGTCTCGCGAGCATTCTCTACGCGAATCCTACGTTAGCTTCATCACCATAATGGGTGCTGCGGGCCAGTTTGATGGCCCCCAGCAGCCCAAGCAGCAGCCCGGGCCGCCGGTGCACCTGCACTCCGTCCCGGCGCACGGCGCCGCATCACAATCGCCGCATCCGCAACAACAGCCGCTCCAGCAACAGACACCACAACAGACGTCGCAACAGCAGCAAGTCGCATCCCAGCAGCCCCTATCGAACCCTCATTCCCAGCAGCGTAGCGTCAAGCGACCCCGACCCGTCAAGTCCTGCACCGAGTGTCGTAAACGAAAGCTCCGATGCGACCGACTCTGCCCTTGCTCGCAGTGCCAAAAATCGAATCGCGCCTGCAAATACGCAGCAGATGCGGATGGACAGCCCGAGTCTGACGCCTCCGACGTCGAAGTGTCCGAGCCTGGCCGCCCTCCGAAGCGCAATTGCCCACCAGGCACTACACCCTCTGCCACCTCCAATGTAGGCGACTTGAGCAGCCTTGCTGCTGTTGCGGCAGCTGCTAAGAACGGCGATGCTTCTGGCCTGCCATTGCTAGAAGAGCTCTCTCTGCGAATGGAGCGGCTAGAAAAGCAGGTCCTTGTTCGGAGCCCGGCTGTGACGGATCTGAGCGCGGGCCGGGTCGTCGCGGCTACCGCGGATACGATTCGCGGCCTCAGCGTTAAGAATGGCGCCAAAAGGACTCGTTTCTTTGGGCAAGGGAGCTCTAGGATAATTTTCAACTTGTTCGACGACGCCAAGGCCTTTATTCACCAACATCGAACCATCGCCGGCGGCCGCGAGGTCTTGTCTGACTTTCGAGCTGCTCATCACTTCCTGCACGACCATTATGCCAAGGCTCTGACCCCGATCTCAGTCTATGTTGATTCCATGATGCCTATTCAAAAGCGCATGACTGACATCCTGCCTCCAAAGAGTACTTGCGATCGCCTGGTCGCATCTTATGTGGATTCTTCGGAGACTATTTATCGTATTCTTCACATACCTTCATTTATGGACCAATACAACTTGTATTGGAGTGGCAGACAGCAGTCCGAATTCTTTCTGCCGCAGCTTCTGGCTGTACTGTCGACAGCGTCTCGGTTCGAAACGAAATCTAAGGGAATTCTTCACGAGCGCGTCGAAGGGGTGCACAATCCTACTAGCTGCGCATTAATTCGAAGCTGGTTGGATAGCCTAAAAGGCAAGCAGCGTGTGGAATTTGAATCCTTGCAGGTGGAAGTACTGCTTTTGCACGCCCAGCGAATGGTGACGCAACGCACCAATGAATTATGGGCGCAACTTGGCTACGTTGTGCGGAATGCCATGTCTATGGGACTGCACCGTGATTCTTCCGAATTCGGCCCTCGCATGACCATCTTCCAGGGTGAACTCCGCAGGCGACTCTGGTATACCATTATGGATATGGATGTTCATCTATCGATTGCTTTGAACATGCCCACAACAATGCGAGAAGGCGACTTTACCTGTCGACCACCGCGGAATCTGGACGACGTGGAACTGTTCGAGGGCATGCGAGAATTACCACCAACCAAGCCAATCGACCAAGTTACGGACAACCAGTTGCAGGTGTATGGCGCGATGACGCTACCAGCGCGGATGAAAGTGGCCTATTTGGTGAATAATATTGACTCCATACGAGACTACCAGGAAGTACTAGACGTGGGCATCAAGCTAGACGGCTTTCTTGAAGATATCAACCACCTATTTCCCCGCCAAGGAATACTCAACGACACACAAAAAAACAAGATGTGGAGGTCGCGTGTTATTCTCGACATGCATGTCCGTCGCCCCCTTCTTGCGCTGTATCGCAGTTTGGCCATGGGTACACCCGACGCGCCTTCCCAAATCACACGGGCGCATCTCCGATCATCGATGGTGATTCTAAAATACCTCGACGAAATCGACCCGCGGCATTCATTCTTTGACATCATTGCGGCCATGTACCACCAGATGCTGAAGCACGACATCGTACAAGCGGCGCTGAGTGTCTGCTACTATATCCAGCTATCGCACCGAAGTGTTGACAACATGATGGGTGGCCATCCGGGCCAGTCGCCAGAGTATGGCGGCGACAATTATCCGCAGTATAAGCCCGAGAAGCTGTCTATTTGGTCACCGGAACGACTGATAAGCACGGTGGAAAAGTCAATCGAGATTTTGATCCGGCATGCAAGCGGCAACGACACCAAGGATCTTCTGACGCTGGCGCTCGTTCTGGAGTCGGTGCGGAAGCCGGACCCGCGAGCCGAGGAGATCGTGCATGGCCTGTACGGCGTGCTGGACCTGCTGCTTCGCTCGGCGAACACCACACTTGACAAGGTGCGCTCTGTGTCGCCTCGCGAAGCTTTCAGCCCTGACGGGTATATGCATGGGCACCCGCAGATGAGTAACCCTGCGGCAGCGGCGCAATATTTTGGCGGCTGGCTCATCTGGGATGGATGGGACTAGCGTAGGCCACTGACGCATATTTGCATTTGAATAGGAAAATTGGGGTAATGTAATGCATTGGGTGTTGGGGCACTGGACTGTGTTGTGGCGTTTGGATATTACGTCGCTGCGGCTAACTTTGCCAATGAGTTTGATGTTTACGATACGGCCTCAAGGACTGGAGATGCTGTTGCATTTGCAACTTGGTATACCTGGGCCTCTTGCTATGCTTAAGGAAGAACATACGGTCCTAAATTGTTGCATTTGTTATGTACATCTGTTCAAAGACGCTGTATCTGGGACGAGCTTGGACGAGCTGGACGAGCGGAACGAGGATGATTTAACAATTGTGTCTATCTAAAATATCTACCATCACAGAGATGTATATCAAGCAACCTGTACCATGGGAAACCAACGTAGTAGAACCTAATTAACCAGAACTGGTGACCTCCCATCCCAGGTGTCCTGCTCAGCTGCGAGGACTAGCCACAGCGCCAGGCTCTGCCTAGTGAGCGCATCCATGAAACCCAGACCCTTGCCGTCGTCCGGCAGCACCCTGACCGGCGCCGGCTCCGCCCCCTCCTCCTTCTGCTCCGTCAGGCGTCCCGCGCGCGCCAACACGAACCTCCGCCCCCCCTCGCGCACCACCTTGTCCACCTTGTCGTGGTCCTCCACGCCGAAGCGCATCGGCGTGCGGCTGAACAGCACCTTGAACGGCCACGCCAGGGCCGCCCACGAATCCCCCGCGCCGAGCGTCGAGTTGACCACGATCTTCGGCGCCGGGCCGCCGATGGCGTCGATGGCGGCGAGGAGCGTAGAGGCGGCGCGGGAGAGGAGGTCCGCCGGGGTGTTGGGGCGGAGAGGCGCAAAGGGGCTGGTGGAGGTGCGCGGCAGGCCGAGGGTGAAGATGACGGCGGAGGGCGGGGAGGGGCCGGTGGTGAGGGCGCGCCGGACGTCGGCCTGGGAGAGCGGCGAGCCGGTGACGAGGGTGAGGCCGGGGCGGGGAGGGGTGGAGGAAGTGGGGGAGCGGACGAGGGCGGTGACGGTGTGGCCGCGGTCGAGGGCGGCGGAGATGGCGAGGGAGCCGTTGCGGCCGGTGCCTCCGGTGATGTAGATGTGCATGGTTGTGGAAGGGTGTGAGGATTGTATAAGTGGGTGATGAAGCGGACGAAGCACGTAAAGATGAAGTTGGACTGCGGAATTGAATTGAATTGTTTTTTCTAAGAGCTGATGGACTGTATTTATAGATGGTTTTGAAAAACTTTTCATTATTTGGCTTACGAATGGATTTGTGTCGGTCGGATAGTCTGTTGCGGTCATGGCCATGGGACTCGGCCGATAAGGAGAGTTGGAGTTCGCGATGGTTGGTTTTTTGGTGTTTAGTGCGGCTGGTGGCGTTGGTGACTCGGCCGACTGGTCGGGCAGAGTTGCGCCGGGTTTGTGAGGCTGACAAATTTTTAGCAGGAAAGCAGTTGTGAGTTGTCGTGATAAGGACGTATGTAAGTCCGTCACGTTTGTAAGTGGGAGGATAAGTTGTGAAAACTCTGATTTGGAGGTTTAAGAGATGCGGGATTCATTTTTGACAAAGGATTGCGAGAACGGTCTGTGAGTGTAATCAGGCCATGCTTCAAATGTAAACTTCAGCGGCCATGCAGCCTGTGCGGGAGACCGATGGGCCGGACCTCGGTACCGGAATGCGACTGGAGGTTCTGGAAGTGCTGGACAGGCTACGTCACTTTGGGTATCCGTAATTGTTGTCACTGCGGCTATATAGGCAGACATTAGAACGTTGGCGAAAAAAAAAAAAAATACAGGAGACAAAAAGTGGGAGAGTTATATTGTAAAAGGGGACTGGTGAATAGTTAGCATTTATTCACATGATTGCAATATTGAACCTAGGCGGGCAATGTAAACGCGCCGAGAGCCTGAGGTTCGGTTGTATTGGTAAATAGCGTTGAGAAGCGGCTATATGCTCCCCCAGAACCTCCTCGGCCAAGCCCCAACCCACTGCAGTTCCAGTTCCAGTTGCCACTAACGATAGAAGGCCAGTGCGGGGAGCCGGATGACGGACGGGTGGCTTTTTGTTGCACGTCAATTCTATCGCTGATGGAACATAGATGGAATTGCTGGTCACAATAAGTTCATCCTACTCTCGCAATAGTAATTATACTTGTTGAACAATAATAGCGCCTACAGCTACCTGGAAAGGAATCGGAATGCCTGGATCATCAGCACTCCCATTTGCATCTGAAAGTCTCCACTGGAGCTGTCTTCCCGGGGCCCCGCGCTAACAAAGTGCTAAGAGTTCAGTTCAACCGCCACAACAATTCCAGGTCCCATTTGCCGTTCCCATCCATCGCTTCCGAGGCTAACCCCAGCCGACTCGATATATATCCCCATCCTGGTCCTTGCCATTGCCCTCCCTCTCACTTCCATCAACGTCTCTTTTCCATCTCATCCCTGATACCCCCTTGCACCTCATATCCTCACTCTACTCCCACCACCTAACTTTCCCCCCACAACACCGCCATCATGCCTCGACAACTCGCCCCCGTCTACATCCTTGGTGTAGGCATGACCAAGTTCATCAAGCCTCGCGGCAATGTCGACTACACCGAGCTCGGCTTCGAGGCCGGCGTCAAGGCCATGCTCGACGCCCAGATCAACTACGACGATGTCGACCAGGGCGTCGCCTGCTACTGCTACGGCGACTCTACCTGCGGCCAGCGCGTCTTCTACCAGTTCGGCATGACCAAGGTGCCCATCTACAACGTTAACAACAACTGCGCCACCGGCAGCACCGGCCTCGCCATGGGCCGCACCTTTGTCGCCTCGGGCGCCGCCGACTGCGTCCTCGTCGTCGGCTTCGAGAAGATGATGGCCGGCTCGCTCCAGTCCTTCTTCAACGACCGTGAGAACCCTCTCGGCACCACTGTCAACATGATGGTCGAGACCCGCGGCTTCGAGCCCGCCCCCGGCGCGCCCCAGATGTTCGGCAACGGCGGCCGCGAGTACAAGGAGAAGTTTGGCGCCACCAACGAGGACTTTGCCGAGATTGCGCGCGTCAACCACGCGCACTCCCCCAACAACCCCTACTCGCAGTTCCAGCAGGTCTACACCACCGAGCAGATCCTCAAGTCGCCCACCATCTTCGACCCCCTGACCAAGCTGCAGTGCTGCCCCACCTCGGACGGCGGCGCCGCGGCCGTGCTCGTCTCCCAGGAGTTCCTCGACGCCCGCCCGCACCTTAAGTCGCAGGCCGTGCTCATCGCCGGTCAGTGCCTCGCCACCGACGCGCCCTCGCTCTTCTCCAAGAGCTCCATCGACCTGCTCGGCTACGAGATGACGCAGCACGCGACCGCCGTCGCCTTCAAGCAGGCCGGTATCACCGCTGAGGACGTCAAGGTCGTCGAGCTGCACGACTGCTTCTCCGCCAACGAGATGCTCGTCCTCGACGCGCTCGGCCTCTGCGAGCACGGCAAGGCCCACGAGATGGTCCGCAAGGGCGACATCACCTACGGCGGCAAGTACCTGGTCAACCCCTCGGGAGGCCTCATCTCCAAGGGCCACCCGCTCGGCGCCACGGGCATCGCCCAGGCCGCCGAGCTCGTCTGGCACCTCCGCGGCTGGGCCAACAACCGCGAGGTCGCCGGCACCAAGTACACCCTGCAGCACAACCTGGGCCTCGGCGGCGCCGTCGTGGTCAGCGTGCTGGCGCGCGCGGACGGCAAGGTCGCGCCCAAGCTGACCAACGAGGAGGTCGGCAAGATCAACAAGCTCGGCTACAACCCGGCCGTCGAGGCCAAGGGCTTCACGGCCGCTCAGGCCACCTCGGTCCGCTCCAAGAAGCACTCGAGCGCGTGGGCGCTGCAGGACACCGAGGAGAAGGTCACTGCCAACTTTTAATGGCCAGGGAGTGGGCGAGAGAAATGGTAGAAAATTATAGGCAAATCTTTTTCTTTGTATAGTCAGCGGCTTGGGAGTAAATCATGTACATCATATTTAGTAGAATGAAACTTGACGACTTTGTAACCTGGTTTTCTAGTTGCATAATTATCAGCCTCTGTAAAATGAAATGGAAAAAGAAACGCACTCCTAATAGAAATTCAGAATTCTAAAATTGAAAAAGCTGGTCTGGTTTAATGGATTGTCCAAGTACCATCGCTGATCGCTTCGCCCAACGCGTCCCACAGCGCCGCGCGGGCCATCGACCCCTCCTTCGTGGCACCAACACTGGCAACACGACATCTATGTTTCATCACCTCTTCCACTTCTACATGTCCATGATTTGAGCCTGATATCTCCACCGCAACCTGCGCATCATGAGCGGCATATTTGAGCGTCTCCCCATGGAGATGCGCCAGCTCATCTGGACCATGGCGCTCGGTGAGCACGGCGACATCCCCACCATGGTACCCTATCGCACCTCCCGACCCTACATGCTCGAGGAGGAGGAGAGCGACTACGAAGATTACGCAAACTACGGCGAAGATTACCTGATGACCGACACAGGCGATGTTCCCCCTGATCACGGAGACGAGGCGACGGTGAATAGTGGCGTCCCGGTGGCGGAGCGGGTTGCGCCAACTGCGACGCTGCCGAGCAGCAGTGTGACGAGGAGAGACGTGGACGACGACAACGACAGGGACGACAGGCAGGACCAAGATAGCGACGACGATTTAGACCGCTATGACGTCGATGGGGAGGGAGACGACGACTCCCTCGACACCGACGTTGGCGACTTCGAGCCCGGCAACCCGTACGCTCAGGAGCGCGCCTGGGACGACGACGTGCTGATTCCCGTTTACCTCCCACCGCTGCTCCTCGTTAACCGAGAGGCGCGCGCAATCACACTCGACTGGCTCGCCAAGCACAACGTGCAGCTAACCCGCACCAAGATCGCCAAGGGCGAGATTGACGCCGGGTTCCCCCCGACACCGGAAGGCGAACTGCCACCGTACGTGCGCCGGTACGACCCTGCTCGCGACCACCTGTGGGTCGACCGCTATTGCTGGCGGCGCTTCTGCGACCGGCTGCATATGTCGCATGTGCTGGGCGGCGTCCTCACGGAAGAGGAGCTCGAGCCGGAGCAGCTAGAGCAGCTGGAGCCGCCGCACGACATCGGCGCTGAGATCCGTAACCTGGCGCTGCCGGCATTCACCGTGTATCAGAGCACGGAGGCGGTTGCGGATGCGGTGCGCTTTATGCCGGCGATTGAGAGCTTGGCGTGCATATGGGGGGACCTGCCGACGCACGACTGGCGACCGGACCTCATCTACGAGACGGTCAAGGACGAGGAGGGCAGGGATAGAACAAAGGTGAGGCAGCTGTTGATGCCGCGGTGGGACCACGTGCCGTTCAGCGAGACGGTGTCGGAGGAGGAGATGGAGCGCCGCCGGCGGGACACGGAGCGGATAAGGGCGGAGGTGGCGGCGGCGCGTGGGAAGGGCAAAGAGGTGAAGAAGCCGGACGGCGACGACGACGATGAGGATGAGGATGATGAGGATGATGAGGATGATGATATGGAGGATGATGAGGAGGAGGAAGAGGCCAGGGGCCCGCTGGTCACCATGTGCTCCGCAGACCCGGATAACCGCCACTTGCTGTTCCACGAGCGCGGGTACCTGGGCAACTGGATGCAGGAGGTGTACGACGTACTCGCGCTCATGGAGTTGCCGGACCACGTCAGGGACGACTACGACGGCTCCTTCACGTTGCCGATTGTGCCCTGCAAGGCCGTCTGTCCAGGAGGAAAGGCCACGGGATGGCAAAGCTTGGGCCGGCGGTAATTTCCTGAGCACAATATATAGCTGGGACCAAGCAAATCATAATCAAAATTTACGGCAATTATAACAATTTTCGTCGGAGACATGAAGGTATGAGCGTCATGAAAGACTGCGTGAACAGGGTCGTGAGCCAGAGAGATATGTGGAGCCCGAACGATTGATGTGAATTACTGAAGGGACAAGGGCGTAGAGTTGGAAGGCCCCAGGACAAGTTTGAATGCCAGTCACTAATGAGATTACTTATTCGATATCTGGCACTTCTTTTGTTGAACATGGCATGACGGGCAGCGAGGACGTACATGGAGACCAGTCACAGGCTTCACAAGCGGTAGCAACAACCGTCGGGCCTGCTTTATAGATGACACGATGCAATGAGCACACGAGCACGTTTCAACCGCTGATTGCCGCGCTGCACCCCCAGGGTTCCCTGCGTGGTTTATGCGGTGGCGCGCCAGGGTAACGGGAGCGGGCCGTATGCATGGCATCATGGACGCTGCGGGTTGTGAATCAGGATCATGTCTAGGAAAAGAGATGAGCTTCACGAAAGTCAAAGGAGCTGTTGCTAGTTGAAGGCGCTGCTAATAAAAGAAAAAGGAGAAACAAGCCATGTCGCACATTGGGGAACGGAGTTGAGTTGAGGTGAGCAAGTTTCCAAGCTTTGACGTTTGCCGGGCGGCGAAGCGCGATTTGTGCCAGGCACAAGCGTCGATGCGGTACCGGCGGGGTAGGTACTCTTTCTCTACCGATATGCCGATGAGGTACTTATGCTTCAGGTCCCGTTTAGACTGGCTCGCGCCATCGGCCCCGTTGCGTGACGCCTTGCACTGCAGCGGCCGGCCGTTTGAGGGGAGGGGATTAATAATTAATAAAAGGGCAAGTATGGTGCTGTCCCTCCCTTTGTCCTTGACATTGTCGCCTTTCCTCTCTCCCACGAGTACAACAAGCCCTCTTTCTCTGCCCATATCCCACGCTCTTCTCATCCGCCAACTTCAACACATCCATCACCTTGCCCCTCCAAAAACCAAAAACCAACCCCACATCACCATCCAAACCAAAACCACCACCATGGCTTCCCACACGTACGAGTTCAACGTCACCATGACCTGCGGCGGCTGCTCCGGCGCCATCGACCGCGTCCTCAAGAAGCTCGACGGTATGTCTCCCCCGCCCCCGTCATCCTCGGCCCTGCGCATAGGCTAACCTTGCCGCCCGCCAAACAGGCGTCGAGAGCTACGAAGTCTCCCTGGAGAACCAGAGCGCCAAGGTCGTCACCGGCCTCCCCTACGAGACGGTCCTGACCAAGATTGCCAAGACGGGCAAGAAGATTAACTCGGCCAAGGCCGACGGCGTCGAGCAGTCCATCGAGGTGCCCGCGGCGGCCGCATAGGCGCACCTTCTCCTGACGGCGAGGGGAAGGGGAAACGATGGTGGGATAGCAGAGGAATAAGAGAGAACGATATATACCACGTGAAGAATCATGGGGATGACGCGGATGCAAAAAGAAGACTGCGATTTCTGGAAGATGAGCCGTTCAGCTACCATAGCGAGCCGTCAGTATCAATACGTAAAAAAATTGTCCATATCCGAGGGCCCGTCTGCCGAGGTAATTTGTCGTTCCAGTGACGGCCTGCCATGCCTTCCAACGAGACTATCATCTCAAGGGAAGATCGGTGACCACGGGCTCGTACCTGAGCGCAGACGCAGTAAGGATCGGCCGCGATAGTATTGCGCCGCCTTCACATTCGGCGTTCCTCGGAGTCTGGTGCCGAGAGGGCGGGATAACGCACATTGAAATGCTCAGTATTTGATCAACCCATACCAGCATTGTTATACCCCCCTATAACCATAATAATACCATCTCCCGGAGAAGCTGCTGGAGTTGCGGGGTTTGTGCGTTGCATGCAGGTCGGGCGGCTCCGGCGGTATTATTGCCTTGAGCGAGGGGCAGCTTGGCCGGCGATACGGAAGCTGCATCATGCCCCTGTTGACAGCCTGGAGAATCGTCTGGTTACCGACTCGGCACCCTCCAACGGGTTGCCTGTTTTCCGCCTAGGTTCGGGCCCCTCCGTCAAAGTCTCCGCCGCTGTGGCCTGGTTGTGCTGAGCACTGCCTGCATTCTCAACGTGATAACATAAAAACAGCTGATTTCATGGCAGTTTGCGGTAAGCTGATTCGGGTCCCATCTCCAGTTTTTCTGACAGCTCATGCGGCATTGCGCAGCGGGTTTTCCCCGCCCGGTGCTCCGGTTCCGAACGAGATCCGGCGCCGAGAGACTTCGACTCCCCGCCACCTTTATACTTTTTGTCGATAACCTGATTGTATCCAGTGCAGACGGCTACTTTCCACAAAAAAACTGGTGTCGTAAATCATGCCACATTGTACGCGGGGCTTGGCTTCTAGAGCATACGTACGTGGCGTGTTCTACAAAATCCTATCCGCATGCGGCAGCAATATCTTTAAATCCAGACCAGTGTCCTTTAAGCTTAATGACTCTTCCTTTTGTCCGCCCATAAAGCCTTCCATTTACCCAGAATATTCGTAGTAATTTCTGACTTGTATTGAATCGCTCACTTCAACTCCTCAACCTCACTCCCATCCACCGACACACACAATCTCAATCATGCCATCCGAATCATCCACCGACGCTGCCAACATGGCCGAGATCCCGACAGAGCAGATGGCCCAAGTCGTCGAAGCCATCGGAGGACGTGCGTACTCCCCCCCTTCCCTCCCATCACCCTCACTGACAAAACCTCTCCCCCTGCGCAGCCCTCGTGTATAAGAAGATCCCCGTCCCGAAGCCCGGTCCCGACGAGGTCCTCGTGCACATCCTCTACAGCGGCGTCTGCCACACCGACCTGCACGCCATGCTCGGCGACTGGCCCATCCCGCCCGCGCTACCCCTCGTTGGCGGCCACGAGGGCGCCGGCGTCGTCGTCGCCCTCGGCGACCTCGTCACCTCCCTCTCCGTCGGCGACCCCGTCGGCGTCCAGTGGCTGCACTCCTCCTGCCTCGCCTGCGAGCACTGCCTCGCCGGCGACGAGCCCCTCTGCGCCCGCGGCCCCGACCTCTCCGGGTACACCGTCTCCGGCAGCTTCCAGCAGTACTGCCTCGCCAAGGCCTCCCACGCCGCGCGCATCCCCAGCGGCTGCCGCGAAGACATGGACGCCGTGGCGCCGGTGCTCTGCGCGGGCGTGACGGTCTACAAGGCCCTGAAGGAGTCCGGCGCGCGTCCGGGGCACTGGGTTGTGGTGGCCGGCGCGGGGGGCGGCCTCGGCGCGCTGGCGTGTCAGTACGCGCGCGCGATGGGCTTGCGCGTCGTCGGCATCGACACGGGAGCCGACAAGGAGAAGATGGTGCGCGGCATGGGCGCCGAGTTTGTCGACTTCGCGGCCGCGGGAGGAGAGGAGGGGCTGGTGGCGCGGGTCAAGAAGCTGACGCCGGGGGGGCTGGGCGCGCACGCGGCGCTGGTGCTGGCCGCGAGGGAGGAGCCGTTCCGCCAGGCCACGCAGTATGTGCGCGCGAGGGGCGTGGTCGTGTGCGTCGGGCTGCCGCCGGACAACGCGCAGTTCGCGGCGCCCGTGTTCGACACGGTGACGCGCATGATACAGATCCGCGGCAGCTACGTCGGCAACCGCCTGGACACGGCGGAGGCGCTCGAGTTTTACAGCCGGGGCCTCATCGAGGTGCCGTTCAAGACGGTCGGCCTGAGCGAGCTGCAGAGCGTGTATGACCTCCTGAAGGCGGGCAAGGTGACGGGGCGCTACGTGCTGGACACCAGCCGCTAGATTCGGGGTCAAGCTGTAGATTGAAGAAGTTGTTGCAGAACGGCGTAATTGGATAGGTGCGAGTAGTTTCACCAGTGTACACAATATGATCGAAATAGGTGAATTCAATTGGTAAATCAATTCTCAAAACACTGGCCACGTCGTCATATCCGTGACCATGCCGCCGTTTCGCCGCCATTTTCACATCTCCTTGACAAACCCTAACTTTAGCATGAATCTTGCCAGTCGCATATGAATAAGCGCACATCTACCGGAAATGCCTTTGAAGGTAGAGAAAATGCGTCTAGGAACCACCGGGGCCACCAAGCAGCTGGAATCTGCGCACGATGCTCGGCCCGTATTCTTGGTACTATTTTGCGTTAGATTTGCCCTCAAGTCTTCAAGGATGTACATACTTCGGCTTTCGTGTGACAGTATGAGCGGAACTCGGGTGTTTGACCAAGCAGACTGCCTCCAAACCAGGGACCGTGGCGTTGACGCTTGTGGGTGATGACCTGCACATCGAGGCCGCCACTGCGAGCACCACCGCTACGGAGCTCACTGGCACGAATGCGGTCGTCCACCAGGAGCTTGATGTCTCTTTGTAAGCGTCTTCCAAAATCCTTATACAGGGTGCTACCACCGGACAAGACAATGTTCTTGTACAGGCCACGACGCACGTCGATTGGCGACTGTTGAATGACGCCATCGACAACCACGGGGAGGGGGGTGAGGAAGTCGGAGCTATAAATTTCGGGGTTGAAGAAGATTTCAGGAGCCAGGAAGCGCTCGTAGCCAACATCAACGCCAACTTCGCGACCGCCAGGCAGCGACACGGTGTGCTTCAGGAAGCGGCTACGATCGCGGTCGTACTTGGCAAACTCCTTGACGATATCGGGGCAGACATAGCAGTGCGACTCTTTGATCTCCTGAGCGGTCTTGAGAGACGAATCGGCTTCACCACGGTCTCGCAGTAGCGACTGCACGAAGTAGGTAATGTCTCGTCCGGCAATAGGAATCGACTTGATCGATGAGCCGATAACGTATCCTTCAGCGACGGGGATGACGTGAGTGACACCATCACCGGAGTCGATGACAGTACCGGTAAGCGATCGATCGGTGACCTTTGACGAAGTCCACGAGGCGGCAAGAGCGAGGACGGCCTGAACGGCAATGTACATGCCGGCGCAGTTGAACGACTCGAAGAAGATTTCGGCAGTATTCTCTCGGTTCTCTGGGGGATTCAGCGGCTACTTGAAGTCAGTTCCCGTCCGAGACTCGTAGGCTTATGAACTGACAGGCTCGGTGAGGAGGAAGTAGTGGTCCTCGGGCTCAACGCGCAAATATTTGAAGATGGAGTTAGACCAAAAGCGTTCCATGTGGTCCTGATGCTGTCAGCGCACAGTTTCCGGTAATGCATTTGGAACTCATACCCAGTTCTCAATCTGTCCATGGCGAATGGGATAATGAATGCCATAGCCTAAAGGGTCAGTTTTTGCCATTGTCGTGCCTCAAGTGCTGCTTACCAGGCCCGGAAGCAGCGCTGATTGCCTCGTCGCCAATGAAGAAGTCGAGATCCTCGGTGCCACGCTTGGAGCTCAAGTGGCTACTGGCAGGTCCAGTGCCTCCGGTGAGGAACGAGGGTTTGTTGACGACGGCCGGGCGACCAGAGCCGGAGCCGCCGCCTCCAGCAGCGGGACCTTTGGTCGCAATGGCGGTCGGGAAGACGAAGGACGGGGAGTCATTTCCAGCAAAGCCTGGGAGAACAATATCAGTATCGAAATCGGATGTCGCGCATCGGACCGAGGGGCCGGCGTACCAAGCTTGGAAAAGCCCGTGCCGCTGTCAAGTCGCCTTGGTTAGCCACGAAGTTGAGGGAAGATGGAGATGGGGTGGGGTAGGGCAGCTGACGCACTTGTCCATGACAACGGCAGGAGTCTGGTTCGCCATGATGAGTGAAGGCCTTGTACGGCGAGTTCTAAGGCGAGAGAATTGGCGCAGAGAAGAGTGCAGAGGTGGTGTTGTGAGAGCGGCGAGGAGGTCGTGGGAGGTCGTGGGAGGATGCCTGACGCAATGTGGGGTGAACTGGGATGGCTGAGGAGGAGCTTGCGTAGCTTCAGAGGTTGTTGGTGGCCCGTCTATTACGGTTTACCCTGTACTTTAGCAGTTTCGCGATCGGTTTGTCATCAATACCCCACCGGCATGTAGCTGCACCGTTTGAGATGACTGATGTCAAGCGTCTATAATAAGCATTGAGCCACGGCCAAAGAATAAATAACTACTTTCAGGCCAATGTGTAAAGCAAAATTGACAGTTAACCAACTTCTTGTGATAGCGAAATACAAGGGTGCATGTTGTATCTGCTGTTTTAACCTTCATCGGCGCGAGAGCTGCGTTTTCGTTATATCAAAGTGAAGAGGAAAATTTGTGGAACACCATAATAAAATAACATAACTGACTGAAATGTATCAATAACGAATATTCCGATGTACTCTTCGTTGGCTTGCTGAATCCTCTGTCGTTGTCGTTGCTGCTCACATAACCACCCCACTGTGATGCCGCCGCCAAGCTCACAGCGCAGATCGAGTATTGCCTATTTCCTACATTAACATCATTAGTAGTCAACAGCATCACTAACGACACCAAAACTCCGGTTTAACCTCCGCACACGATTCCCGTCATCGGCACTCGCTAAGCATTTATGCTCCTTCCTGGCCCGACCTCAACACGTGCCTGTCGGTAGCAGTGCCGAGCGAAGTTCTGCAAGACTTCCTTCTCTACTCCCGCACGCGCCTGGGCTGTTCGCATCCGTCATTGCATTCGCAACAACGCACTGCTGCTGCAACAACTCCCTCCAAACACCATCACCACCGCAACCTAAATCAAAGCATTCATTATCCATCATCACTACCTGCCGCTCCGCCTATGTGCATGGAAGTCGTCAAAGCTCTAGCCTAGCCGGACATGGCTGGCTGTCCTCGACACCAAGTTCGTTTGTCGACGCAGCCCGAGATCTGCAACACAGATGGGGCATTAGATCGTGTTTTGGGGCCGAAGCAGCGAAAAAGATGCATACCAGCCATCTTTCTCCATGCCGGAGCCGGCTTTCACAGCCATCAAAATGAGGATGTCCATCTCAGAGCCTGCGTTGCGTAAGCTAACCGAAGGCCTCACGTACACAGCAACCCACTCTAACAAGTCCGCTACAGAGCAGCCGAAATGGGGATGAGATTTCTCAAAGCTGGCGCCAGTGCCACAGAAGCCGTCGAAGCCTCGCTGCGGGTTTTGGAAGACAAAGAAATCACCAACGCTGGCTACGGGTCGAACCTCTCCATCGACGGCACCGTCGAATGTGATGCGACAATTGTTGATCACTTGGGCCGCAGCGGCGCCTGTGGTGCTGTTACAAGTAAGATTTTCTTGTGCTACACCCTGCAGCCTTCAACTCACATGTATAGATATACGAAATCCCATTTCTCTTGCCAAGCTCATCTTCGACGGGAGCAAGCGGCCCTTGAGCCTGAGACGAGTCCCTCCCAATGCCCTTGTCGGAGAAGGCGCCAAGATTTACGCAGAAGAGCATGGTATGGCAACATTTGCCAATGATTATCTCGTCTCCAAAAACTCCAGAGATCGCTTCTTGCGCTGGCAGGACGATTTGCTCAGGGCCGAGGCAAAAGCAAAGGAGGCCAGCAGTGTGCAAAAGACGCCAGCAGCTATGCACTGTGCGCCTTGCCAATACGATACAATCCCCGCAAAACCAAATATCTCGTTTCCTCGAGATCACGCTGCTGCCATCATGTCAGGAACTTGGAATGAAGGCCAGCCTAACTCGCCCTACTTGCCGCCCCCGGGCATAGATGATGCTCAGCAGGCTGAGTTAACGACTCTGGGCATAACGCAAAATTCCTGGAATCATGCCAGGAATCCATCCTGGAAAACCTCCTATCATGGCACCAATTCGAGCAAGAAGCATGGAAACTTGCCAAGATCCAATCAAGGTCATGTCAATGATGGCGAGAATGATGATCTTGCTGTCCGACCGAAAGAGTCCAATGCTATAGGAGTCGGCTCCGTGAATGACGAATCAACGTGGCAGCAGCCAAGGAGACGTCGAAAAGCACAAAAGCGTCCTCTGGATGGACCTGACAACAGCGAGGACACATCGACTAAGCGTCAACATGTGGTCGAAGAAGATGGAGACTGTGTAACCGACACGATTGGCGCCATAGCTATTGACGAAGAGGGGCTGATTGCAGCCGGTTCTTCATCCGGAGGCATTGGAATGAAGCATCGTGGTCGACTTGGCCCAGCTGCTCTGGTTGGAGTAGGAACGGCTGTTGTGCCCTGCCAACCGGATGACGAGGATGCAGTCTCGGTGGCGGCTGTCACCAGTGGCACGGGCGAACACATGGCAACGACAATGGCATCCCAGCGTTGTGCAGAACGGCTGTACAACGGCACTCGCAAGGGTCCCGCCGGCACTGACATACACGACTACGATGAAAACGCCATTATGGAGTCGTTTATTGCGAACGACTTTATGGGCCATCCAGGCGTCTGCAATGGGCCCTCGGCCGGCGCGATTGGCATCATGGCCGTGAAGAAGACACGGGCAGGGTACTACCTTCATTTCGCGCACAACACAGACTCGTTTGCCCTTGCATCCATGGGCGGCAAAGACCCCACGCCAACCTGTGTCATGTCTCGCCTGCCCGAGGGCAGTAAGATTGCCCAAGGCTCCCGCAAGATTTCCACCAAGTAGGGAGGCGCAACACTTCATACTCGCAAACCTAGATAATACTCACAAACCTAGATGATACTCACAAACCTAAACGAGACACCTCACGAGCAGTTAGAAAAACGAATAAAAATTGTATAAGATTCAAATCGCCTGGTATCCTTTCTATTTATACAGGAATGACCCAGAGTACTGTTGTGTACCTCTCTGGTGTCGTATTGCTTTTATTTGGCTCGTCGTGTCATGATCATGCAATGCACATCCGCCGCGACCTCACCTCAACGGCGTCCCCGTGGCACTCATCGTCTCCTCCCTGCCGCTGCCGTTGACGACCTTCTTCTTCTTGCGCTTCTTGCGGGGGATGACGGCCGGCTTGGCGCCGTACCTGCCCAGACGCAGCCTCGTGCCGCATGTCAGGCACTCGGCGTCGGCGGGGGCCTCGCAGAAGATGGAGAGGCAGACGGAGCAGACGAAGCCGGTGTCGACGACGCGGCCGTGGCAGAAGCAGGCGGCGCGGAAGTCGACGGTGTCGTGGGTGGGCGGGACGAGGGCCTCACGGGCCTCGACGTCGGCGACCATGCCGAACATGAGGTAGGCGAGCAGGCCCCGCGGGTTGGCGTCGGCGCGGAGGAAGACGCCGCCGGTGTTGAAGCACGCCTGCTGGAGGAAGGTGGCGTCGCCAGCGAGGGCGAGCGCGTCAATGGCGACGCGGCCGTGGGCGGCGGCGAAGACGGCGTTCATGGTGGGTATGTACTGCGCGGACTCGGAGTCGGAGACGGAGAGCACGAGGATGCGGCCCTTCATCGGCGGGGGCGCGCTGGTGGCGGTGCCTTGGCCGGCGGCGGTGGTGGGCGCGGCGTTGTCGAGCTCGGAAGCGCCGAGGGCGCGCGCGGCCTTATTGGTGTGGCACAGCGCGAGGGTCAGCGCGCCGGAGAGCTGCGTCGTCGTGCTTGCGAGGTCGCGCTCCGTCATCTCGGCCATGAGCTTCTTGAGCGAGGCCATCACCGTGGCCTCGATGTGGGCAAACTGCGGGTACTTGTTGGCCGAGGACCTTGTGTTGGTGATGTCCGCGTCGGCCATGGCGGCGTCAGCGTCGGCGGAGGACGAGCCATGCTGTTGTGAGGGGTTCGCGTGTTGCTGCGAGGAAGGGTACAGCCAGACGGCGCGGTTGACGTGGGCGGCGATGACGGCGACCTGGTTGGCGCCGCTGAAGGCGAGGTGGGCGTTGATGAAGACGAGGAGGTTCGCGACGGCGGTGGTGAGGGAGAGCGGGGCGCTGCCGTCATCGAGGACGGCCCAGGCGCGTGGGTTGGTGTCGATGATGACGGAGAGCAGCGACGGCGTCTCCTCGGTCGTGGTGACCTCGTAGTGCTCCGAGTAATCGACGGCGTCCATGTTGAAGGAGAGGGCGGAGGTTGGAGCGGCCGCGATTGGAGGAGGGGGGGCGATCTACGAGGTCGCGTGGGGGAGAATCGGTCTAGGACGTGTCGGTCGATTGAGCGTGAAGATGCATGCGGATCGTATCGAGTGGTGGCAGGGAAGAGAGTCTCATTGACTGAGCGTGAAGATGAGTGAAGAATGTTGGTTGGAACTTGATTCGATGGCTTGAAACGACGAGGGAAAAGATGCAAGAAAGTTGGCAATATATTTATTCTGATTTGTAATGGAGGCGTTCCAGACGCGTTCCAGGCCGCAGAGTTGTGCCGTTGATGAACGTGACGCACGTGTAAAAGAAGTTGTTTGCAGGCAGCACACGCACGAGTCTCGCGCCAGCCAATTGCATGAAGCTGGATTTCGACTTGCAGCCACTGTTCGATTTAAGTGGGCCTTCAACTAGAATCAGCCACGTTCTGACGGAGTATCGTAGTCCAGCCACAGCACCTTTCAAGTTGTGCCCAACACGCATTGGCACTTGTCACTCTTCAGTTTGTTCAGACCAAGTAAGAACAAGAGAAGCCCTCTATAACGTCCACGGCGTATCTCAAAGAGACCGTCTGATGTTTTCATGAGAGAAGGTGAAAATTTAGGGTTACGTAGGGACAGCTACGTAGCACCCGCCACTGCATCAGTGGGGCAGATGCGTTAGATAACGAAAGCTTACTCTTATCTCAGAGCAATGGAGGGGCAAGCTACTAATATTATTATTCTTCTCCATTCTCCAAACACCGTCATACGTCTGGGGCGTTTCAAACCCTCCATCCCCCTTTCCATCGCTGATGACAGCTTGAAGTACGAAAACCTGGAATTCTCCATCCACAGCTTCTCTGCAGTCTCGCCCACCATGGCCGCCGCCGCCGAGACCATACAGGCCTCCGGCCCCGCGGCTTCTGTCCAAGACCAGACCCTCCTCGTCTTCGCACGCCTCATGGAGGGCGGCCAGGAGGACGAGGAGACGTGTCGCGACCTCGACCTGCTCACCAAGATGCTCAACGACGACGCCGTCGCCCGCGAGGCCGACCCGACCAACCACAAGTCCATCTGCCGTGTCATCGACTCCGACTGCGTCGATACCATCCTCTGCTATCTCGACATGCGTCAACCCGACTTGGTGCGCGGCCACGCTGTCCTAACAACCTCGGCCTATATGCGCGCCGCCGCCGAGGACGCTTCCAATAAACTGCGCGCCTTCTTCCTCGACCGTGTCCAACGCCGCACCTACGATGACTATATTGTCGCGTTTTGCGTAGCCGCCGCCACCTTCCCCATTGTGCCCGACCTGACGACGGAGATGTTCCTCAACGAGGGATTCTTGAGCTCCCTAGGGCCGCTCATGCGCAGGGAGTGGAAGAGCCGCAAGGTGGAGACGGCGTGTCTCGAGATGCTCAATGCCGCCTGTATGGACGGCCGGTGTCGAGAGGCCATCCAAAAATACTGCGTGGATTGGCTCGAGGAAATTGTTGAACAGTATACCATGGATATGGGACGGAGATTGAGCGAAGAACCGAATCTTCAAGGAGAAGAGGGATCCGTCTCCATGAGACAGCATTCAGAGCAGGTGCAATATCTTGCAGCAGTCATTCTGGCCAAACTTCGGGTGAGAAGCACGTACGCCGATGCGCACAAGGTCGACCGCTGACATGTCAAACAGGCTGTTCCCAAGCCATCTGACCCCAATGCACCCCGTATTGAGTCTGCCGTCACGTCTATAGAAGAGCTATCCGGCCTCTTCACCAAGATGATTCTCCGAAACGAAGACCACGGCAAGCAACACTCCATCGAAGGATTGGCTTATGCCTCTCTGCAACCAAAAATCAAAGACACCATTTCCAAGGACCCAGAACTTCTCAAGAAGCTTCTTGATACCCTCTCAAAAGCGCCACCCCGCTCCCCTACCACATACGGTGCCCTGAGCATCTTTCAAAACTTGACACGGTACCGTCCACTTTTCACCGAGGAAGAAAAGAAAATGTCACAGCTGAAAGCATATGCAAATGCAGAAGGCAAGCTCCCCGGAATGGACCCGCTCGACGACGACGAGCATGTCAATGAGCGCTGCAAGGCTGTCTTTGCAGCCGGCATCACTCCCGTGCTAGTGACCCATGGCAAGCACGATTCTGCAGCTGCCCTGGGAATCATTGCCAACATTCTGCTATCACTCACCATGATTAAGAGCATCCGCGGCCAGCTTGCCCAACAAGGCGCAGTGAAGCTTCTCCTCGTGGCCTGGAGCAGCCTCAAGGAGGAGCAACGGGACGCCCGACGCAGCGCGTCGCAGGCCCTAGCACGCATCCTCATCAGCATCAATCCCGCGCTCGTCTTCGGCGGAACGCGGGCAAACCCCGTCGACGCGGCCATCACGCCGCTCGTCTCCATCCTGCCGCCCGACCCGGCCTCGGACCGGCGCGACCTGCTGCCGACCTTTGAGGCGCTCATGGCACTGACCAACCTGGCCTCGATGGAGGACGCGACGATCGCGCAGCAAATCATCCGCCACGCATGGCCGCACGTCGAGGAGCAGCTGCTCTCCTCGAACCACCTCGTGGCCAAGGCCACCGTCGAGCTCGTCTGCAACCTGACGCAGTCGCCCGACGGCGTCGCGCTGTACGCCGACGGCAGCGTGCACGCTGCCCAGAGGCTGCACGTCCTGCTGGCGCTGGCCGACGCTGAGGACGAGGGCACGCGCAGCGCCGCCGGCGGCGCGCTCGCAGGGCTCACGGCGTTCGAGCCCGTCGTGCGTGGCGTGGTCCACCGCAAGCGCGGCGTAGCGGCGCTGCTCGGGCTGTGCGTGGATGATAGCGAGGACTTGCGCCACCGCGGTGCGGCGAGTATCCTCAACATGGTCTCAGCAGGTGGCGCGATCGGCGCCGAGGCGCGCGACAAGATTCGCGAGGAGGGCGGCGTCGACATCCTCAAGACATGCCTGAAGAAGAGCAGGAGACCGGAGGTGGTGCAGGCGGCTGTGGAGGCGCTAAAGCCGCTGGTCGAGAGAGAGGTGACCGAGGTTGATTGATGCGGTGCGGGGAAGTAGGGAAGGTAATTTGAGCTAAGGGGTGTTCTCTGTTGGAGGTGGAGGGTGACTCTGTGCATATGTAGGGATGATTATGGGCTATCGCTTGGCGTTGGGAATCCTTGCATCTTATTGTAGCTAAACTCGCTTCATGATTTAATGCTTTGATTTTTTCACATTGGGATATCTAGTATGATGTGCTCTTCCCGTTGCTAAAGTTGCATCCCAGCAGAATCTTACGCGAAGGCAAATATGAATCTTTCATATATGATACCTTTCTCAATTTTGCGTCGCTTCGCCCTCCTCCTCCACTCTGTTCAATATCGCCACGCCCTCCACGTGGCCCGTCTGCGGGAAGAAGTCGAACCCGACCAGGCTCTCAATCTCGTAGCGCCTGCCCTCGCCCTCGCCGCGCACCAGCACGCCCACGTCGCGCGCCTGCGTGTGCACATTGCAGCTGACGTACAGCACGCGACGCGGGCCGAACTTCCGCAGCTGCGCGAGGAAGCTCGCGTCGCAGCCCTTGCGCGGGGGGTCGAGCACGACGACGGTCTCGTCCGGGTCGTAGGCGGCGACGGAGCGGAAGAGCTCGCCGGCGTCGGCGGCGATGAAGCGGCAACGGTCCTCGGCGAGGCCGTTGAGGGCGGCGTTGCGCCGCGCGTACTCGATGGACGCGCCGGCGATGTCGATGCCGATGGATCGCTGGAAGAGCGAGGAGAGGGTGATGGTGAAGAGGCCGGAGCCGGAGTAGGCGTCGATGAGGTACTTGATGGGGCGGGTTGGTGTGCGGTCGGCGGCTGGGGCGGGGGCGGTGTTCTGGAAGAAGGAGCCGGCGGGGTTGGTGAAGATGTAGTCGTCAATGTACTCGGTGGTGGTGGCCTTGGAGTCGGTCTCGCACGACTTGACGTCGACAAAGTCGCCAGACTCAGACTTGACCGTATACGGTGCGAGTTCTGCCTTGGCAGCCTCGCTGTCTTTGGGATGACGAGTGGTGTTTTCGCGGAGGAGCAGCGTCGCACCACGCTTGTAATTCGTGTACTCGTCCTGCATGCGCTTGCGCTCGCGCGTGTTGCCCACCCGCACGGCCTCGGTCGCGATCGGGCAGTCCTCGATGTCCATGACCTTGCGGCGGCCCTTTTGCATGAAGCCAATGTCCGGGCAGGCGCTGAACGAGGCGGCCTCCGACTTCCCGCGCTTGGCCGGACGGAACCCCGGCGGGCCATCAAAGTGCGGGGTCAGCTTGGTGCGGTAGCCGTACTGGAGCGGGCTGCCGATGGTGTCGCGGACCTCGGGGACGAGGGCGCGGGGTAGGTTGGCGAAGTTGTCGTAGGCCTTGACGACGATGCGGCGCTTGCGGCGCAGCTGCTCGGCGTAGTCGAGCATCTGGAACTGGCAACCGCCGCAGCGCGCAAAGTAGCGGCAGCGCACGCGGGCGTCGTCGCGCAGCGGCGAGGGCATCGTGACAGAGACGAAGTCGGCGTGGGAGTGGCCCTCGCCGCGCACGTGCCGGATGACCTTGATGCGGGCGGTGTCGCCGGGGACGGTGAAGGGCACGACGTAGACCTGCTCGGAGCCGCTGCCAGCGACCATGCCGAGGCCGTCGCCGGTCGAGGACAACTCGTGGATCTCGACTTCAATCTCGGTGAAGGGCTCCGGCAGGTCAGCCTCCGGGGTGGCGGTAGAGGCGGCGTCCTCCGGCTCGCCGTCGGCGGCCTCGCGGCGGGCCTTGAGGAGAGCGTCAATGTCGCAGCGGAGGACCTCCTCCGTGGAGCCTTCGGTGATATTGCGCTCGCGCTTAGTCCTCTGCTGCTTGGGCTTGCGGTTGCCGCCGCTGCGATTCGCGTTGTTGGGGCGCTTGGCGGGACGATTGTGAGTGCTGCCGTTTGTGTGTGTGCCGTTGGGGGTGCCGTTGTGGACTGTCGCAGTGGCGGTGGCAGAAGGTGCTGCGGCGGCCGCAGGCGCGGAAGACATGTTGAGAAGGCGATGAGAGGCTGCTGTGATGAATGGTGATGCTCGATGAGGCCGACGAAGAAGAAGTTGAGGTAGGCGTGAGAGGAGAGGCCTCATGGGCGGGTTTCGGGGTTGACAGGGCCGTAGATTGCTGCTATAATATCATAGGGACTCAATAGATCATATAATTAGCTGGATAAACATCGGTAGAAAAAAATATAATTGATCAAGTACGATGATGAAACTTTGGTACAGAAGAAAAAAAAAGTCGAAGATGGGCGACCAAAAGTTAAAAGTGGAACCTAGCTTTAACCAATGAGCGGCATGAAGTTGTTAAGCTGAGCCTAACAAGGGCCATGCTCTCCCACGCTCAGCATGTGCCACAGGGCCGCCTACGGTTTCAAGGACGTGATAGGCATTTCTAAAAAAAGACGAAAGAAAGAAAAATAATAATCGTCGATCGCGGCCTTTACGCAGCTCATTGCTTTGTGCCCGCCGCACCGTGGGGGAGGCGGTGGAGGCGTACAACCTTGCACTGCGAGGGCTTAGAAGAGGCTGCAGGCAACGCGGCGTTGATAGTGACTAAACCAGCAGCATAAAGTCTACACTATAACCATTTCTATCTTTAACTACTACTCTAGAGTACTAACTTAATAAATTTAGTTTTATTATTTTTATTTTATAATATAATCTTTAAGTATATCTTAGCTATAAGGAAGAAGCTAAATCTATTAGTTCTTTTTAATAGAAAGAATATTTAATAATAGTAGTTTCCTAATAAATTAAGAGCCTTTAAAGACTAGTATTTCTAGGCTTCTTTAAGGGGCTAAATAAGTAATACTATTACTATTAATTAGCTTAAAATAATCCTTATCCTTAAAATAAAGCTAATAAGAGTAGAGAAGTAAAGACTTCTTATTATTAATAACTATAGTAGCTATTATATAAATAAATTCTTATTTAAATATTATAATAATAATATATACCTTCTATTCTTACTAGCTTATAGCTTTTATATCCTTTAGTCTCTTAATATAGCCGTCTTTAGTACTATTAAAAGAGTCTATAAGACTAAGCTTAAAAAACACCCTAATAATAATAATTCTTTACTAGTTAGAAAGAGGATTTTTCTTAAGTATTATACTATTATAAGAGAGACTAGAATAATAGAAAATAATATTTATTTAAACTAGTAAATATATTAGGATTATAGTCTATTTATATAGTACACTTATTAATAAGTAAACTACTATTTAAGACACTAAAAATAATACTTTAAATAATACCTCTATAGCTAATAAGAGTACCTAATAAAGGCCTTTTACTATTTAAAATACTTATTAATAAAAAAGAGCTTTACTACCTATTTTTAGAGAGTTTAAAGCGCTTAACTAATAAGTGTATAATATAGTTAATATTAGAAAATTAAGAAGTAATTTAATATCTTTAATATCTAATAAGCTAGAATAATACTTATAGAGGGCTAAATCTAATAGCTTAAAGCTAAAATTAAGCTTATTAGTGTAACGGTGGCTCTTCTCTAATCCACAGTAAATCTGTTTCTTAGGAAGTGAGTCAGGTTGAATGCACCCCAGGTGCAGATGAGCAGTATCGTAGCTTGAGTCACGTTTAGGAGATTACTCCCAATAGTAGAACTATTGCTTAGATTGATCAGTAGAGATCTAGACTACCTAACTATGGGAATACCTCCTCCTTAAGTACCCGTCTATCTCTCTACTGTAAGCTGGCTCATGAGGCTCATCTAACTATCCCAATGATCCTGCGTAGCTGGATCATCTCAATGATCCAATGAGCCATCACGTGACCTCATGTGCCAACTAGGCTGTGGGCGTGCCTACCCCGGCGGTCCGGCCCAGCCCCGCATTGATGCAGCAGCGTTCGTAACAATTAGGCCTAAAAAACGTTAAATAGTTATTATAGATCCTAATAAATTATTCCTTTAAGTTATAGAGGTTAAAAATATATAATAGTAGCTTAATATATAATTAACTAGTAATATTATATATTTAATTATTAAATTAACTATAGATTAATTTTCTAGCTTCTTAGTTATTAATTAATATAACTTTTATATATTCTAAATTTTAATTATATTTATTATAAAGCTTTTATATTATGCCTTATATTAATAATAGGTGGCTTAAAAGGGGGTGTGGCTTAGAAGTAGGTGGCCGACGTTACTAACTCAGCCCTACAGCTTAACCGCGTGACCGTGTGCTATCGTTTTTTCTTTATTAACGGCGTGCCAGTGTGGAAGATTAACGGCATAGAGACGGACAGGCCGTGGGGGTACCAGCGTCGGCTGCACTGTGGCTCTAGTGCGGTTTACTAGGCCAATAGTGCTAGGAACGCATTAATAGAGGATAGTGCTGCCATTATGTAGGATACCTTGACCTATTAGGCAGTTTAGAAAATAGGTACATTGCATGGTATACTCTCTCTAATGCCAACAAGAAAGCGACCGGTGACGTGTGCCACTGACTATCCACGCGCGCAGTAGGACTTGAAACACAGTGTTCAAATGTAAATTGGCAACGTACGACGACCACGACGACGACCTTGGCCACTTTGAATAGATGAGTGAAATAACCGCCGATGTCTACTCGTGCCCTCTCATGCCTAGCCGTTATCTAGGTCACTGCTTTCGTGCGGTCGACGCTGGCTGGACCAAAGCAGCTTGTGCTTGCGCAACAGCTCTCAGGACCAGCCTTAAGCGCCCGGTAAAAGAGCAGCTGGCAGCGAGGATGACCAGGGCAGTTTCACAGCGACAAGACTTGTCGTGCAAAGTGCGATATAAAGGGAAAGCTTGCAACTTCAAAATGTAGCACTAGCGGCTATCTTTGTCGTCATGTTAAGGACGGGCACGACTATAAAAGGTGGCCACCGACTGCTGCAATCATGCTTTTCAATACATAATTTCTAAACGACATCATTTCAGACACTACTAGCCGATCACCTACTCAAACATTCTCCAACGACTGCTAGAAAGAATTCAGTCTCTGAGTAAGTCCTCGAGTCAACTAGCCGGAACCAACACGCGGGGGCTCGCACTAATTCCATCACGGGCTATTCGGGAGATTCGAGAGAAAATGGCGCGACTGAGCGACCTTCCTACCGAAGTTCTTGAACTGATTATTAATGAGCTCTATAACCTCAACCCCAGAAAAGCCAAAAAGTCCGACAAGTTCCCTGGCTACCCGGATCTGAGTCGACTAGCGAGAACCAACCAGAAGCTGCAGCATCTCATTCAGCCTATTATCTTCTGCGAGCAGTGCAGCGACGACGATCTATGGCCTGTTTATGGTGAATACGGCCGGTGGAATGACATCAAACCCAAGCGCGCCCTCTCATTGCCAACAAAGGCACTTTTTTATGCATCAATGAACGGCCAAGAGGCGGGTGTCAAGAAGGCGCTTCAGTACTGCAAAAAGGGTCTCGGCTGTGCACTCTGGGTAGCATCACAATACCTATGGACTCGCAGGGAGAAGATAGTGAGACTTCTGCTTGCCGAATACTATGTGGACAAGTCTGGAAAGAAGCCGCTGCTCTGTGCACTCGGTCGTGCTGCACGATCTGGGAGCATCTCACTCATCGACGCCGTTTTAGAGCGCGTGGAAGCGCAGGGGCTGGACCTAAAAGAATTGGGCACCTATAACTACTTTCTATTGCAGGAAGCGGCGGAGGGCCTCCGGGGAAACCTGGAACATTTACTCAAGCTGGAAAAGATCGACATCAACGCCAAAGACGACATGGGTCGAACGCTGTTCGCCGCGGCCTGGCAAAGTGGGAAAGATGACCTCGTCCAGTCGCTCATCAGCACGGGAAAAGTCAACGTGGACGAGCGAGATGAATGGGGAAGAACGCCATTACATCTCTTGATACACCATGGAAGTTGGTCGACAGCGGAAATACTCATCCGGACGGACAAAGTAAACCTGAGCACCGTCGATGCGATTGGTCACACGCCTATACTCATAGCCGCCTAGTCCCACAGCTGGGAAGGCGTCAAGCTGTTGCTCGACACCGGAAAGATCGACGTGAATGATCTAGGCGGCGAGCATTGCTCTAAAAGAGAAGCACCACTGCACCGTGCAGCTAAGGAGGGCCACCGCCAGTCCGTTAAGCTCTTACTCGGCGCCGAGGGGATAGAGGTCAATCTAGGCGACGGCGGGGAGAACACCGCTCTTCACGTTGCGGCTCGAGCCAACCGCCCAGACGTGGTAGAGCTGCTGCTGGCGGATCCAAGAGTTCATGTCGATGCAAGCAACAAGCGCGAAAAGACCGCTCTTCACCTTGCGGTTGATGCCAAGTGTAAGGAAGTCGTAATGCTGCTGCTGATGGATTCAAGAGTCTCAGTCAATGCGCGCGAGGAGTATGGCCTGACCGCTCTTCACCTCGCAGTTGAAGCCGAGTGCCAGGAAGTCCTAACGATACTGCTGGCGGATCCAAGAGTCCAAGCCGATGCGGGAGACTCTTGCGGCGAAACCCCTCTCCAGCGAGCCAGACGGCAGAAGTGCCCCAGTCCCATCATCAATAAGCTGCGCTATGCCGAGAAGAAGAAGCTGTGCGGTGCCGGGGCGAACGGGAGCGATTCCGAGGCCAACATGGGACAGGCCAAGAGGCTTAGGTCCCCTGATGTCATGATCCAGAAGCCGAGCGATGCCGAGGCCAACGGGGGACGCAGAAAACGACAACGGCGATCAGCCAGCGGAAAGGGTTAAAGAACTGAGTAGGGCTACAGCAGATGCACGGGGGCGGGGGGCGGTGGTGCTGTGGAATATTCCTCCGACTAAGATCTTCACCACCTTGAATCTTGGTAGAAAGTGTTGGGAGGTAGCCACCTGGAGGAGATGAAGCCATGCAAGGTCGGCGGACAAGCAGCGCTGAGGATGCGAAGGCACCGCCAACCACCTAGCAAGCGGGCTTGCTCTATGCCCTAGGATTAAGGATAGTAGGATTGTGTATCGAAGGAACCATGGGTGGATGTATCAGTTTATTCAAGAGAGTCAATATCACTATTTCCTAGGTAAAAGAAGCCCCCAGGTGCCACGGACACTCCGGCCTAGCAAGTAGCTCAACGCTCTCCGGCATCCATTTACAGTTGTATGACAGAGTCTCTCCGGGGGTCTGAACCTAGAAGATCAGCCCCGGAGAAGAAGAGCCCAGCCGCGCCGGCTCTCTCTCTCGCTCTCTCACTCGCAGTCGCACTCCAGGCAGTTGTCGGCGCCGAGGTGCCAGCCGCAGCCGCCCATCTTGTTGCAGGTCTATTGTTGGGGAGCTCAAGTCAGCTAACTCTGCAACTCTTGAAAAAGGGGGGGGGGGCAACTCACCGGGAACTTGCATCCGGGGGCGCCAAAGTTGAAGCCCTTGGTTGAGATGCAAAAGGTCCCCTTCGGGCCGGGGATGGCCGTGCCGTACTGGCAAGTCTTCTCCCCGTCCTGCGGCTCCTGGGGGAAGGCGATGTCCTGGGGCGCGGCGACGGCGAGGCCGAGGAAGACGGAGACAAGTAAGGTTTGGAACTGCATGTTGGCGAGTTGAGAAAGTACAAAAAGAGTGTTGCGTGCGAAGTGTTGTTGGGTGGGAAGTTGTCTGTGTTGATGATGGTGGTGCTGTCGTAGGAGGGAAGGGCTTGGTTAAATACATGTCTTCGCAACTGATTGATAACGTGTATTCTGCATAATATCGGAATTTCTATGCTTTATTAGCTCACGTTGCCATTCTATAGCATCGGGGTTTGAATCAGACGACACGACTCCGTCAAGCCTCATTGCCCTTGCCTGCCAAGATGGAGACGTGAAGAAATCGTGGGGCATCTCAAAGCTCTCTTGGGCAAGGAGCATTGCATAAGACGTAATGGAATACACAGTACAGCAATACATCTCAAACAGACTCAGGAAGAAACCCCATCCGCCGGGTCTTTCTCCCTTGCATGAGTCGTTGAGGCGAAGCAAGTAAATATATTAGGGCACTACGTTGACCGCTCTGCCGCGACGACCGCGGAAAGATCGCGTAATGGCAGCCCACAAGGCTGAGCCATCCGTAGCATCCGCTGCGTGCTTTCAAGGCTGGTGGCGGTATTCGCATGGAAACTGCGCCTCAAAATAAGACAGTTTCTGAGTCGTGGAACAGATTCCCGGGGCTTTGTAACGTAACTTCAAGTCTCCTCTTTCCTGCCGCGGATCCCGCATTGCAGGACCAAGCTTGATCCAACTCCAACGCTTGAATTGGGATCAGACGACAGAAGCAGTGCACCGAGTATTTTCGGGATTCTACCCGCGCCTAGTGCTGTGACAGCGACATTGATGGATTAAGCTTATGGGTCTAGCCCTAGCTAAGTGTATGAGAGTTGAGGACCCCTGTACACTTCCATTGATTGTCAGTTGGCAGCGGACGCCATGCACGCTCGATTCACACAGTGTCCCTGTGCTGTCGCGCGGATCGCGCGGCGGCTGGCTCCGGCGGCAAGGCCGGTTTATGGTCCTTGTAGATACAAGACATCTGATTCAGGGTTTTGTGCCAGCTTCGAGAAGACGTAACTGTCTTCGAGAAGGCGAGATGATTGTTCCGGCTTCCTGTGCTGCACAGACGTTGTTGACTTGAGAAGGGTTCGCTGTGCAGGTGGACCTGATGGAACGATGCCAGGATGTCAACGTACGACGATTATGGATAGTAATACTGGGTAACGGAGGTAAGCATTGCGGCCGCGAATCATCATCTGGGGCGCCTTGCGCCCTCTCTGGTGCCTGTCTAGGTCGTTGCTCAAGGCTCTCGGCTTCTCGGCCAGCCCGAGCACCCATCTACTCGTAATCTCACCACCACTCACATGGTGCTTTGCAAGAAGATATGTTACGTCTCGCGGCATATAAGATCTCGTCGTCTTTTTCTGTCGAGAAAGTTGCTAGCTAGATCGAGACGCGCCCAGATCAAACTCGAACTTTAAGGACGACAGCTCTCAGACGGCGGGTTTGGCATGGATGGCCAGCAGGAGCGGCATCGGAAGGGAGCATGGAAGGTCCGCAAGGGGGGTTCGGCAGAAGTGTCAGGGCACTGTAGGAGAGACTCACCATCGCCGAAGAATGACCGCGTTATTTGCGGCGTTGGAGTTCCTGCAGGCGAGCCGAGAAACGCCAGCGGTTGGTTGGTGCAGCTTGTGGGAATGGTAGCCACATTCATGGAGTACTTGGCGAGCACCATCTTTATTATTAGCGAGGGGCCGTTCTCTTATGCGCGGAGGAGGATGAATCATGTCAAGCTCTTTCTTGTTGGGTGCAATGGTATGGGCTCTTTTTGTGCGCGGGATGAGATTGTGACCAAGCAAAGACGAAGTTCTGTTCCTATCTTATTTTTTATGCATCAGTATAAGAAGAGTAACCAAAGCAGAAAGGAAGTGTGTTAGCCGCTCATGTGTTCATTCGGCTATGCAAGAAAATACCCTGGCAGCAATGTTGTGCAAAGATGGCACAACAGAGATGGTGTCTAGGGTCGACCCATCGCGGTCCGTCGGCGAGTTATGGTTTTGGAACTTCAACATCGCTCTCCACCTGCATAAACCGATCGTCTCGTGTGCTTTTTTCAAGCCAAACCTGGCGTTTGTTCGGATCTCCTGGATGTCATGAAACCGGGCCCCGGCGCATCTCCGGCCATCCACCTCCGTGACAAGGTAGCCAGCCCTCTGACCTTGCAGGTACGATTTTGCCAGACCGTTTCAGGCACATGCCCGGCTTTCACTGCTACAAGCGAGGCGCCGCATTTCGTGAGCACAGCGCTTGCTTACCAGACGAGAAGACTCGAACCTACGAATGCAGAGCGAAGGTCTTGCGCCCCGTGTCAAACGAAATATTACTAAGCGGACTATACCTGTAACCTCTCTCCTTGTCGCCCTCGACGTCACTCTACCATGGCTAGTTTCAGTACAACTCTCTCTCAAACCACCATGAGCCAGCCGCCGCCGCCGCCGCCGCCGCGGGTGGCAAATAACCCCAGGATGGCTTCCAGCTCGAAGCACCTCACCCAAGAACAGCGCCAGCGAATCCGCGTCCTGCACTTTGACGCGCACATGGGGCCGGCCCAGATCAGCCGCATCACCGGCGACACGATGCGGCAGGTCAAGTACGCCATCCGCGCCCAGACCGCCGTTCCCCTGCACCGCTCCGGCCGGCCGCAGTCGATGACGCCCGCCGAGGTCGACGCCCTGCTGGCGTACATGGCCTCGAGCAAGGCGGCCATGCAGATGTCCTACCAGGAGCTGTCGAAGAGCTTCCTCGATGGGAGGTTCAGCCAGTGGGTCATCCGGAGGATGCTGTACCAGCAGGGCCTGCGCCGGCGCGTCGCCGCCCCGAAGACGCCTAGGAGCCGGGGACGACAGGCAGAGACGAGTGATGGCCCTGAGCCGGATAGAAGCCAGGAGGCCGAGACTAGCGACGGCGCGGAGACTCCTCAAAGTCAAGAGCCGGAAAGGAGCAGCACTCCTGAGCTTCCTGAGAGCCAGCATGCGGAAACGAACAATGACCCGGAGCCCCATGGAAGCCAACAGACCGAATCCGCCAGAGAATAGTTGGTTGACTAACCGGGTTAAACTCTATAGACTGGCCAGACGTGGCTAGCTGGCGGCGCCCCATCTCAATCACTTCAAAGCGCCAGCGAGGAATTTTCTCGCAATTTTGCATCTCGGGGAGGGACCCGGGATGGATGCACCCTTCAGCGTTGGCCCTGCTGGCTCCGAGACGGGTCCGGGAATCTTCTTGGCCAAGCAAAGGCGGGCGGCAGCAATGATTCGCGGATGTATCCGAGCCAAACGAGTATCAGGCATCAACAGCTGGACGCAGCTTTCAACAGGCCCAAGGAAGAACAAATGGAGCCTATTTACAAAACGGTGGAATACGATCACGCAGGTACCGACAAACGGGCGGCTGTCAAGGTACGACGGGATAATGTGTCGACCGCTTTCTTTTCTCTCATGGTGCATTTCAAAGCAATGCTTCGAGAGCATGGTTTTGGCGTCAGCGTTGACGCGACGAGCCCGCGCCCCGTCGCAACCAACACAAGGGCAAACCAAGGCATCAACGATCAACAGAAGCCATGAGGGTGCGCTCAACCCGCACCACTAAGAACGGCCAATATATCTCTATATAGTGGCACACATTTGCCGCTGGCACAGCTAAAGCAGGCAAGCAATCACTTCTTCCAACGTCTTGCGAGATGAGAACAGGATCAAGGGGCAGTTGGTACGGAAGAGTTCAACCAACCGCTCGAGCCTACTTGTCCGCCCCAACAGAGCATACATGTGTAAAGTTGTAAAGAACTTGGATATCAATTTAACGAGCTGTACAGCCCTCTCCCTGGCAGTGGGGGAGGGACATAGTCGCAACATGACCTATGCTAGATATGCATATTTGTTTTTTTTTTCTTCTCAGATAGCAAGACGACGGGGACGAAAAATCCCGACGCCGTCTCCATCTCTCTCGTTGCAAATAAAAATCAGGACAAAAACGGGGGATATTTGTCTCTCTGTAGAAAAGGAAAGCTCAAAAAACAGAACACACTTGGTGAAGAAATCGCAAATGAGCCCAACACACAACAAAACGGGAAATCTCAAACAGAGTAAAAGAGCCCAAGCTAGATCCGAGTTGCCAGACTCGTGGCGCGCAAAATAACTCCCCCAAACCTTACCCTCATCCTTTGCATTTTTCACGAAATGAAATGACAATAAATTCACAAGTCATCCATCGCTGAACGTCTCCATCTTGTTTCTATACCATCTTTTTCCTTTTTATATTTTGGTATGCCCACTCTCCAATCAGGCATCCTCGAATATGATGTGGCTGTTCTCGATAACAAACTGTACAGCAATATTCTTGGCATGCATGTCGGTCATTTCTCGCTCAATGCTCAGGTCTCGCATAATGGTGGGCGCAAATACAACTGCCAGATTCTTGGGCGACATGAGGTTTTCGGGCTCGCGATGAGCCACGCGCTGCAGATGGAACATGAGAAACTCGAGACAGTCGCGGTGGCTCTGGGGCATCGAGTCGAATGTCTTGCGCAGCTGCGCGCAGCGCTCAGTCTCTTCCGGTACAGCTGTAATTTGTTAGCACATTGTAACTCCATCACCAAGCAGTATCAACATACCATTTGATTCCAATACGCGGTCATATACGTCAAACGTCAACAGTGGCATTGGAAGCTTGCGGAAGTACTGCTTTAGCACACTTGTGACTGCTGTAATATCCAGGTCTGGGTCGGAAATATCAAAGTTTTCGTTCTTCTCGAACCCTTCCTTGATTTGGTTGATTTGAGAGTTGCCACCAGTCTTGCGGTAGATGCCCTCTTGATCCATACCACGCAACTCGACCTCTTCGATACAGCGAGTGACGACGCTAGGTATTTGTCGGCGCTCATACTCGGCACGCTCAGTAAGCTCCGAGCCAAACAAGACTGACGGAGGCTCGGCCGCGAGCGGGGTTGAGACCGTGTTGGCGGAAACCGATTTGGGCACGGCGGTCTTCTTGCCAAAGAAACCAAAGCCTTGTTGCTTGTTGGCAGCGTTGAGGCCAGCAGGTCCCGCAACAGCCGCGGGAGTCAGATCTGCTTGTGTGACTGTCATGTTGTAAGGTAGACCAATGTTATCAGTAGTCAAGCCACCGGGCTGTCCACCCATTTGACCGGGGCGCTCGCGCTCGTTCTGTTGGAAAGCAACAACAGCACGGTTGACACCCTTGGCAACGTTCTGCGCCATCGTCTTGGAACCCTTCTTCCAGTTGAACTTCTTCACTTGGCCCTTGCGCACCTGTACCACAGTAGGGCCAGTTTCGACGATGTGCTCCTCGTCGGCAGGCACGAGCGTAGCACCAGTGGTCATGCTTGCTGCATCGAGGTTGGCGTTGGAGCTGGCAGCACCGCGTTGACCGTAGATGCCAAGACCACTGGACGGCGAACGCAAGTCACCGACTTGAGACTTGAATCGTTCTTGAATCTGGTGCGTCATCTCGTTGTTCATGTCGGCAAGCTGGGCGTTCTTGGAGGAAAGCTGCTCGAATTCCATCAGGGCCCTGTCGCGGTCGGCTATGGCCTGGTGCTTCTCTTCAAGAAGCTTGTCGCGCCGCTCATGCAGCGAGGCAATCTCGGACGACATTGTCGCCTTGACCCGCTCCAACTTTTTGACAAAATCCTTGATGGCAGAGTCCTCAAGCTCCTGAACATCGATTGGCGCCTTGGTTTCTTTAGCCTTCTCCACATAGCCAGCAAGAACTTCGAGTTGACGTATCATGATTTCTGCCTGAGTATCCAGAACAGAAACAGTCTTGCGCTTTTCGACAAGCTTCTTGTCAAGGGTCTGCAAGTCCTTTTCTGTATTGAACTGTCGCTCAAGCTCCGCAACGCGCTGCTCCGAATTTCGAAGCTGGCGCTTAAGCATGGCCGAATCATCGGCCTTGGCCAGGGATACAGGGCTGCTGATATCGTGGCTGTGACCGTCGTCGGGGTGCTGGGCTCGTGACCAACGGGGCGAGACAGTAGATCGGGTCGTCTCGCTTATGCTTCGCGTGTGGCTCTGCCTCGGGTTGTGACTAGACTCGATGCTGCCTGTACGACCATGTCGGACCGCGTTAGAAACCCGGCGCAAGAGCGAGGATGAACCTTCATCGGTCCCAAGTATTCTAGCCATGTCCTCGTCCAGGGTGAAATCGGCACCGCTGCTCCATCTGGGTAGTTTCGGCGATACTTTGGGAGACTGACCATCATCTTTGGCACCAACGGAGCCTCTAGAACCCGGCGGCACGGGCGCGGTTCGTGGCTGCATGTAGCTTTCATTGGGAACAGGCTTCTCGACCACGTTCGCGGCAGGTCCGACTGCAGTGCGTGTTAGTTGAGTGGATGTTGCGGAGGGTGGTTAAGGGCTCACGAGTTCTATTGGCAGACGGCGGTAGCTCCTTGCGGGCAATGGCTAAGCCGGGGCCCGACCGCGAAGGCTTTGAGTTGACGTCTTGAGAGGACGCGGTAGCGTCGTCGTCGGGCGACCGGGCCTCGTGGGAGGCACGAGGTCGTGGCGGAAGGGTCGGTTGCTTGGTATCGGTAGACTGTGAGCTGTTTGTTCTGGAGGTCTGCAAACGCTTGCTACGAGGAGCCTCGGGCGTTCTGATTTCATCGGTGTCGGGCGAGCCCTTGGAAGGCTTATTCCTTTCCTTGTCAGTCTTGGACAGCTTACGCGAAGGGGCCATGGCCTGCGTAATGTGGTCCGCAGACTGCTGACGACCCTTTTCTTGAAATGCAATGTGAGGAGAGGCAGCAGATTCACCACGTCTCTCGGAGGACGCCTTATTGTTTCGGGATGAGACATCGTTGTTGGGGTCCGGAGCCGGGGAGGCCTTGGCAGAGCCGTTCGGCGTGGGATCCAAAGCGACAGAAATGTAGAAGCCGTCAGAGTCATTCTGATTGCTGCCATGGCCGCTTGGGAGAATGGCGGAGTTTCTATTTCTCCTGTAGGTGCTGGATGGTAAAGTCAGTGTCTCCTTGCCAGCAGCATTGGCATTGCTAGCGCCGTCTACTGAAGGACGTTCTGGGGACCTGGCGGGAATGGGAGCGGCTCTGGGGTTGCTGTTGATGCGAGGTGTAGTATTCTGTCGTGGGGATGTGGTCACAGCGTTGTCGGAGTCGGCCTCTCCCTGGTCTGTGGGTGTGATCTCGGGAGGTAGAGCAGGCAGGGACTTGTCCGTGATCACGGCGTCCTCCTTGTCCCTCGCTTTTGCCGCGTTCGCTTTGGAGCGTTTCCGACGACGGGCTATGAGAGTTTCATGGCACCCCATACAGAAGATCCCCTGTGATGTGCGTGCATAACGCAGGTTTTCGATTTTGCGTTTGCAGTTTCGGCAACGGAAGCAGGTAGAGCAAAAGGCCTGATCGCCTGTTAAGATGGCGAGGTCCTCGATCTTGTTACCGCAGGCATTGCATGTGTATGTACAGTTGTTACAGACGAGGGAGCCATCGCCTAGGAGGAGGAGGTTGGCGTCGGAGTCGAGGAGGGTGCCGCAGGAGTGGCAGCGGAAGCAGTCGAGATGCCATCGTTGGTTAGCTAGAGAGAATTGAGGGTCAGTATGGAATTGGATACGCGGGTGGCGGCTCAGCGGTATGTGAGGACTCGGAGCCGAGCACAAACTTACCCAACTCAAAAGCTTTGCCTTCTTCGAGAATCTGCGGTAGAGCGTTCGTTAGCTTGGGGGGTGGTTGACGTGGCGGCGCGCGACGGCGAGAGAATACGAACCTCTCCGCAGCCTCTGCAGGGAAAGACCTCGTCAGTATCAAGCGCGCCATCGAGGTACTCGTCAACGACGGCAGTCATGATTGCGAATCAGGGCCGGGGGCCGGGTAGGCAGGGCCGATGGATTGCCAATGGCGGGTGATGGCAACAGAGCTTGGTGGCGGGCTCAGCAGCGAGGGCAGCGCTCAGGGGCGGGGCGCGCAAGCTGGACGGGTGGGAGGCAAACGGCTCGAGGTTAGACTGCTCGTGCGTGGAGGAGGGTCGGCATGAGGATCGAAGAGGGAGAATCGATGATTGTGCGGAATGGTTTATTCGTGATTTGCAAAGTGAACTGGCAAACGCAGCAAGGAGGGACAGGCCAGTGCGCCAGCGAGAGGCTTTGACCTGTCTGTCGGGGGTTGCGGCGTATACGGGAAACAGGCGCAGGCGCGCAGAGGAAGATGGAACGGCGGTATGTATCGAGAGAGTTAGGGGCGAGTCGTAATATGTGAGCAGTAGTGGCAGTATGGGCTGGGGAGGGGGGATGTGAGCGGATTGGATTTGTAACGTCGACCCAATGCGTGCTTTGGCAGTAAGACTGGCAGATCGTCGACTGTGGGTGAGGGAAAGGCGCAGGTGTAAAGCAGGCGAGGCGTTGTTGAGTGGGACGGAGTCCAGGGGTCGGTCAGGAGATGAGGCAGGGAAGGGCGCTGCCAACTGGTGCCAACTAGGTGCCAAGTTTGCGCGGGAGGTGGCGGTCGATGGGGGTCCAAGGCAAGGCGGCGTGGAGGCAGGGGAAGCGCAGATTGGAAATTAGATCAAGAGGGAGACGTATTCGTTATGGCCATCAGATGATTATTTGTCTCCAGCAAGCTGTGCTGCATCGCTGTCGATGTCGGTACTGGAGGTAGTACAGTGGCCATGGGATGGAATCATGGGTCAGACAGTGACCGACAGGTTGGTCTACTTCGGTACTTGGCTGGGCTTGTAACACGATGCCTGCCCAAGGTACCAGTGTAGATTTTCTTCCCGGCACGTATGTAGACGCGGCTCGTATCTACCTGCTTGGGAAATAATTAAACCAGCAGCCAAGGTAGCATCGAGTTTTTACCAAGTCCAAATTACCTCGGTGCCGCATACCACTACCTTCCTTGACCAGCCAAAGCGTATTGTTAACGAGAGCCAGTAACTAACTACAGAATGAGCAGACAAATTGAGGAGGTAGTACGAGTAGCGCTGTACGCCCCAATCGTCAAGTTAGTTACTGGCTGTCCCCGCTGCATGGCATTCCCGTTCGGTTTCATCATGGACGAGTCACGTTGGATGCCACGTTTTCTTATCCTTCTTTCTTTTCCTTTTCTTGATGGGTGCCTGCCAATCATTGCTTACCAGTGTAGGTACATAGTTGCACTCTCTGATCTGTATGGGTAAACTACAGGCTACCTAACTACAGCAGTCTATCGCCAGGTATCCGTACCTGCCAGCCTATCTGCAGCCTGAGACATTTCAGCTCCTTCTCTGACAACTTGAACCCAACCGTCCCGCTATAAACCAGCCCTCAGAATGCAAAGAAGTGCCAATAGTATGTTAATAGCCGAACCATGCCCTTTTACCATACATTCCATTGCACCTATTTCTAGGACCTGCCTACCTGGACTAGTTAGTCGAGACCCCTCCAGTCCGTCCCCTGGACCCTGTGCCCCTGGGAATCCGCTGTGGGAATCCACTCGTCGCCTAGCCAAAGTCGCACCACAGCATCATCAGCTCAAAGTGCCAAACGTTCAGCCGCTTCCGTCTGCTGCGCTGCCGACAAGAATACCGCCGTTATCAACTGGGCGATCAATTGATTCCACAGCGGTTAGGCTTCCAAGGCGCCCTGCCGCGGCGGTAACGTCAACTGCCTAGGCATGCAACACAGCATCGACAAACGGATGAGAATTGTAGGAATCGAGACAAATCTAGACGTCAACAATCGTGCTTTCCACCAGCTTTCCAATAGCTACACTTATACTCGAGTTCAGGGAGGTTGTTTGACGGAAACCACAATAACAACCAAGCCGTTTCCCATCCCGTGCCTACGAATACAAGGTAAAGCTCTCCCTAGATCAACGAATTCCACATATTGATTCAGATTCATCGGTACCTACCCGCTCCGACGCGGCGCGCGGCCCATGCTGCTCTCAGATCCCTTCAATAAAAAGCAACAGATTTTGGTTGACACGTCGGCATGTACTCCGTCCTCTGGCGTGTACGCACAGAGATGACTTACATGACTAGTTTTTCTGCAGAAACACTGTCAGCTTGCGCTGTGTCTTCAGCGATGCATCCTCATGCATATCAGGAAGCAGATCAATTCCGATTCTACGCCGGTGATCCTCCTTCTTCCTGTTCCGTCCCTTTCCGCATCTTCATATTGGAGGTGTTCTCTCTCGGCTTTCACTCAACACCATCCTCGAAACAAGGGCACCCTCCGCTCAAGTGACGAAACCATTGGGGTATCGCTCGCAGACAAACCTTTCAGCTTTGCAAAGCAATCCACAACATACCCGCGACCACAGTTTTCTTAAAACTGAGTGCCAATTTCATTCGTCTATCTGCTCACCTTGGTCCGGTGGTTGTGGCGCTGTTTCGTGTGCTGCTGTCTGCCCCTCTTATCATCGCCTTGTCGCCTTCTTCACCGTCCAGGATGGAATCTGCAGCAGCAACGCCGCCTGATGAGCGCATCGGATGTATCCGGTCCACTGTTACCAAAGTCCCTCTCCATGTACATTCATGCTCGCTCACCTGTTCGACGATGAGGGGTGGAGGATTGTTCCAGTTCGGACTTTGGTGCCCCGTCAAAAGCGGCATTGCCCCAACCCCCCGCAGGGATCACGACGCCATGTGTTTCGAAAATCCCATGGCTTGCGCATCCGACAAATCACTCGCCACACGCGAGAAAGAACAAGCAAGAAGGAAAGAAAAAGGCACCGGAATGCATCACGCCGTGTTCCCGTTGTCATCTGAAATTTTCCTCTTCTGCGGTACCACGATCTAATTTTACGCAAGGGGAGCGTGGGCTTTTGTACCCCGTACTCCGTAGGTACAGCGTTGCGCATTCCATCCTCCCATGCCGTTAATTCGGCACACCCGCTGCCCCCTTGCGGTGATCTGAGGCTATCCGTGGGGCATCCTGGGAACACAATCGGTGTCGGTATTTTTGAGGGTCGTCTGTGTTGAATTCCCACGATTGTGATTGCGCAAGCTCAAGGTGTACAGCACAGCATCCATCACAACCGTGACAGTCATCTCGCAAAGCCCTCGTGAATATACACTGGTAAGTACAAACATCGGAAGTCCCAACATGGCATTGCAGCAAGCAAACGAAACAAGCGAATTATTATCTCCGTGCCTCGCAATATGATTTGCAGTTTCAGAACCCTCATTTTCCTTACCAAGGGGGTTCACATCACGGTTCCTTTGTTGGCCGGCTACATCTGCACATCAAACCCCTCTCTGTGTCATACCTCCCCTTGTCTGCCGTTGTTATAAACGGGCCATATTGCCCAGAGTGCCGAAATCATGCTGTTCATAAATTTTTGACCACTTGCCTCTTATTATATGGTGGCTTGCTATCGAAAGCAAGCCGCCACCGAAGTTCCCCATCCTTCCCCTCTCCTTGTTGTGTGGGCCAAACAGAGAGTGTTTGTAGTAGACAAGGTCCAACGAAGCGACCTTCTGCGGTGGAAAAAGGAAGATGCAGTACACCGCTTCTCGCATGGGCGTGCAGAAGCTGGTCACATCGCAAGATGGGACCGGCGGGCTTGTCGCAAGTATACAGCGCCTTGCGCCCGACGAGTTGAATTCGGTGTCGTCCGCATAAGGTGAGAGACACACCATTGGGATGTTTCTGAAACGGGAATCAAGGCCGGCAGTGTCGGGATTCAATCAACTCTGCGCTCATGACAGGATACGGAAAGTCCTCCAAAGGCTACAGCCTCATACCACGGCATCCAAGGCCCAGGTGCTGCCACGTTGCGTCTATCCCGCTGAGAAGCGCGGTTGTCCAATCATTGATACGTCGCTAATAAGAAACGAAACGTCACAACGCCGTGTGAACAAAATCCCAACCAAAAATGCCATGCAATATAAAACCTTCTGTTGCCTTTCCTCGCCCTGCCTGCCTCCATCCTATCACCACTGGCCCTTCTTTACTTGCTCCCCGCTACCATCTTCTTCACCTTGTCGAGCAGGATGCCGCTCTCGCGGCCCAGCTTCTTCTTGCCATCGCGCCCGACCGTCTTAGCCATAGCCCTCTTAAAGCGGTCCCTCTCGGCCACCCGCGCCATTCGCTCGGCCACCCGCTCCTGGCGCTCGAGGGCGAGCCGCTCCGTCTCGGCCCTGCGCTCCGCGGCCCGCGCCAGCTGCTTGTCGTAGTAGCCCGGTCGCCGCGTGCGACGGCGCTGCCCGTCGCTGGCGCCGTCGCGCTCGCCGTGGGCCGAGTTCTGCGCAACCTCCTCGTCCTTGATCATGAGCTCCCGCGTGGGGTGCATGACCTCCTTGCTGCCGCCGCCATCAACCTCGTTCTCATCCTGGCTGCCGGCGTCATCGTCCTGCTGCTCGGCCTCGCCGTCGGCAGCGTCTTTTTGCTCACGTTCCTTGATCTTGGCATAGGCCTTTTTCACCTTGGCCTTGTGAATCAGATCCTTCTTGATTTTCGTTACTGCGTAAGCGTCAGCGTCATCACTTTAAACTCTCTTGCTACTTTGGCCTGTTTTTTTTTCTTTTTAATATGGGGCCTTCTCCAAGTGTTGACCTTGGTGAGATGTGCAGGTTTGAAGCAGTGAAGAGAAAAAAGCCTTTGCTCTAGTTTTGAGCAAGCACGTACCTTTGCGACGCCAGGGCCCGTCAGGTAAGTTATCCGGGCCGACTCTGAATCCCTTGCGATGCTTTTTCCCCGCATCGCCATCGCCAACTGGCTTCTTTCCGGGTTTCGGCGCCATGGTGGGCGCAGCGTCTGATTTGATACCTGTTTGTTGGTCGAAGCAGAATAAGCTGGCGGAAAAAATCCAACTTGATGCGCGAGGTACGTACCAACGCTACCACTCTCTGCCGGATGTCCGAATCAGGCCAAAAGTGGGTGCGGGCAGTGGAGAACTGTGGCGGGCGATGGGCTCGCTACCTTGAGAAACTACACGACGGCGTGGGATGAGCATGATATCATATTATGTGCTTTGTAATGTGCTTTGTTATGAAGGGTTCGGTGACATACAGGCCACTGCAGTAAGCTATCACACGGCAAATGAAACCCGGAGAAGCAAAACGATGTGTATTTTTTAGTAAAATGGGTTCAACTGCGGCTTTTGACTTGCAAGGTTGGGTTTCTCAATAGCGCCTTTCTGGAGCCGATCGGACCGCCAGCTGGCGCCCACCCAGGGTTGCATCGCGACAAGCCAAACAAGTTGTCATGGCTGCAATAAGACCCTTTGCATATTGGCCCTACTTTGGATACTGCACCCTTATGGAGAAGCTTTGCATCGTGGAAAAGCTACTGGTATGCCACCACAGTCCGACCCTACTTGGTGGCGCTCTGTAAATGCAGTGGTCTTCAGGTATCTCCAATGCCGTCTTCAGTGGTTGGCTGTGGTTTACAGCGCCCAGTGTCCACATTAATCCACACTGGATGCCACTGGCGCGACCACTGCAGCCACTGAAAGCCCACCTCCTCCAGGCCTAATCTAGCCCTTCCGCCCAACTACTATACCTACTGTCGCATGACGAGCCTTGCTGCCCCACTGGCCTCCGACACATCTTGGACCCGACTCGTTCGTTCGGTCCTGCATTTCCATGATTCACCGCTGTCCGTTCCTTGTCCTTCTTGCTCTCTTATCATTCCTCGTTCTTCCAGCCTCCCCGTCCTCGTCTCGTCCACATTCAGTTTGCCCGTGTCACCCGCCAAACAAAACTGCCCGAGCGCACCACCCCTCTCTGTACCACCGCCACTACTAGACCGCAGCCAACCGCCCACTGACGGCTGCCCGCTGTCGGAGAAGAGGAAGCCGTCGACAAACCAAGCCCAGCCCGACCCGTGGCCGTTTTGCACTTCCCGTTCCCCGGACCGCAGCTCGGCTGTGGTTCAGGATACACGATACTATGCCCATCTTTCAGGAAGATATAGACCACTCCCGCCCACTCCTCAACCCCAACCGGCCGTCCCGGCTCGTCGACGACGATGACGATTCACTGCTCCGCCTCAGACGCCTCTCCGAGGTGAGCCTACCTGTCGAGCTCTGCGAGGGCCCGATACCAGACACTCCCGAGCAGCGTCCCGAGACGCCGGACAATCAAAATGAGTCACACATGCTTGATAGATCTGTGCTCATTGAGAGGTTAAAGAGAGGGGAGAGCCCGTCATGGATCCCCAGCCGCCATGTATGCTACCCTTCTTCATGTTTGATCCATATACCAAAGACTGACAATTTATGTAGCTTGATGCTCGAATACAGCATGCCAATTCCTCGCCAGCCGCCCCGACATCGCCGCAGTCCCCCAATCTACTCCCTTCACCACAAATCACCCCGAGCAAGGATCGATCCGCCTTACCCATCCACAGCCCACTACATGATGGCCTCAGTATTGAGCGCCCACGCTCTGCCCTGCACAGCGGCGACTTCACCCACGATGATTCCTCGTCGTCGTCTTCGTCCGCCCGGGAAGAGCACCGCCACCAACCGGGTAACAGACGCCGACAGGAGCGTGCCTCTGTTGATATGGCCTGGATGGCCACCTCTCCACCCCGGCCGTTCGTACCCTTTGATTTCAATGGCCCATTTGCCGAGCCAGCCACCAGCTTCAAGTCTACATTGTCCTCATCTTTGTCCTCGTCGTTTGCGTACCAGCTTCCGACAAGCCCGCTCGCACAGTCCGTCACCAACGAGGACCAGGATGGCTTCGCACCGCCGTTTCGTGAGGGCGGCCTCCTCAGTGACAAGATGGATATGTCTCGCGGCAGCTACGACGAGACTTTGCCGTTCTCGTCACCACTTCGATCCCGCGCACACGCACGCGCAGCTTCCTTCCGCAGAGAGGCCACGCTTCCGTATCAGGCGCACCAGCCGCGACGCTCGTCCGGCTCTGGCATGCACTTCCTGCACCCGGGAGCCTCGCCCCAGCGCCCTATAGCCCGCTCCCGTCGCCCTTCGCTTGGGTCCGAGTCCTCTCCGTCGCTTCATGCCTCCATGGTGGGCTCCTACGAGGAGAGCATCCTGCAAGGCCGCATGTCGACGACGCCGTCTAAGCCCTTCGACTTTATGGCCCAAATTGGCGTCCTCGGCAAAGGCAAGTGCAAGTCACGCCTGCGGTGCCCGCCGCACGTCACATTGCCCTTCCCAGCCGTGTTCTACAGTTACGGTAGCACCAGCGCCGCGCGATCGCAAAGTAACGACGGACCGAGCCCGTACGTCGGCCAGATTGATCTCGAAAATGGCCTGCCCAACCCAGATGCCGAGGACCAGAAGCGCAGAGCCATGCGTCACCAGGCCCAGTCCACCGATATCGATATCGATATGCTCCTGGATGGCCCGCTGCCAGCGGCTGACGACGGCCCGCGCCCTGGGCCGCTCAAGGCACCGCCGGGCGGCAGCTACCGTATCCCGGAGAAGGGCCAGATCCAGATCGTGGTAAAGAACCAGAACAAGACGGCCGTCAAGCTCTTCCTCGTCCCGTACGACCTCACCGGCATGCCGCCTGGCACCAAGACCTTTATCCGACAACGCAGCTACTCGCACGGGCCCATTATCGACAACCTACCCAGCCTCTCTACCCAGGCCTCGACCTCCCCAGCAGACCGCCCGACACTGCGGTACCTTGTCCACTTGCATGTCTGCAGCCCAAGCAGGGGACGTTTCTACCTCTACAAGAGCATCCGCATAGTCTTTGCCAATCGCGTCCCCGAAGGCAAGGAGAAGCTGCGCAATGAGACGACGCTACCTGAGCCGCGCTTCACGCCCTACAGGCCGGTCCTACAGATGCCCTACGGTTCTTCCTCCTCGCTCTACGGCCGCTCTGGTGCCGCCTTGGCTGCTGAAAAGGCCCTTCGTCGGCGCAGTCTCGGTGTGCCGCCTAGCAGTAACGCCCACCGCTCTTCCTTCTCCGCTGCTGCTCTAGCCACTTTAAACCAGCAGCAGCAGCGTCGCCTCTCCGGGTCCCACGGCGGAGGTGCCGGGGGTGCCGGCAACACGCGCCCGATCGAGCCCGTACCGTTTTGCTTCCCCGCTCGTCGAAGCGCCAGCGATGCCGTTCATGATGACCTAGACGGGCCACCCCGATCGCCGCCCAGCCGCCCCTCGACCAAAGACTCGTCCGTAGCCTGGGGCTACGAGAGGCTTACCAGGGGCGACGCTGGCTACGGCGGCGGCAATTTCTTTGATGACCCGGCCAACGGCCCTTTGCTGGGCGGCGGCAGCAGCGGTGGTGGTGGCCCAGCCGCCGAGGGCCTGCTGTCGCAGCGGCTTCGGTCTCTGGGCGTCCAGCAGGCGGCGCGCTCGCCACCAGCATCTTGAAAATTCATCCTGTATATTTTATGACCCGATAGAATCTCTGGCTAAGGAGCTATTATTATTCTCCTCTTATTGCTGTTGGAATTGGGAGTTTGTGGCGGAGAATATCCTTAACGCCCTTCGTTTCCCATGACTATGGTTATCACCTAGAATGTAGCTTTGGAGTTGGTTTTGTTTTTCTTGGATTTCGAAAAGGTTAAATAGATACCAAACAGATTTACTCTGCAACGCAGTCGCCCATTATACCATCACTAGACTATGTACAAAAATGCAATCTCTATACACGATAACATTACCGCCAAATTTGTTCCAGTTTCGCGTGGTTATATATGATACAGTAAGTTATAATTAGATGTTCAACTCCAAGTTTTCTATAAAATACACTCTCCTCCACCTTGATCTTTTCTATACAACAACGAGAACGAATATACATATATTTACATCAAAGCGGCCTAGAACCTGCGCCGCTTGCTCCGGGGCGGGACGTACACGCGTCCCCATTTCTCCGCCCACGCCCTGCCGCGGCGCTCCCTGCTCGCGTTGAGCTGCGCACCCAGCGCCAGCCGCATGGCCAGCAGGTCCTTTAGTGGCATCGCGGCGAGCGTGTCCTTCAGGATGGCCTTGTTGATGCTGCTCCTCCTCCCGGGCTTGTTCTCCTCCTCGCCCGCGTCCGGGAGGTCGGCCACGTCGACCGTAGCAAAGGCGTGGTGCAGCAGCGGGTACTGCGTCTCGACGCGGCGCAGCTTGGCGGTCACGCCGGCGGACCACGCGGCGAGCTTGCGCAGGCGCAGCCACTCGCGCTGCAGGCTGAGCACGGCGGGCCGCGAGGCGACGAGCACGCCCGCGTCGGTGAGGGGCATCAGCAGCGTCTCGCACCAGTGCATGGCCGGCTCCCACTGGCCGAGCTCCGCGAGGCAGCAGATGAGCGTGTTCCACGTGTCGCGGGTGAACTTGAAGCCCGCATCAAGGGCGGCTTGCGTGTACGCCAGGAGTCGCTTGCCGTCGCCGGTGGTGTGGTACACCTTGGCGACGTGGGCCATGGGTCCGCTGAGGTGGTAGGCGTACACGGGGAAGATGCCCTTGGTCGCGGGGTTCTCGGCGCGTCGGCGAATGTCCTTGAGGATCACGGCCCACAGCTGCAGGACGCGGTCGTGGCGGCCGTCTTCCAGATAGGCGCCCATGATGACGCTAAGAACGTCCGACGGCATCTGATCGCTTTGCTGGGAGACGGGGCGCATCTTCGCGTAGAGTGTCACCAGATCTTCGGCAAGGGCCATCTCTCGCTTATCGATGAGTAGCTTCAGCGCATCTCCAACGTCACGGAGCTCTCTGTTCAGCTCAGTGACGTCCCGCATAGCGGTAGTGTATGGGTCGGGTGTGCGCTCTCCCGGTGGGGCATCAGTGTTGTGAGTAAGCTTTCTCATGTATTGTACAAGCTCCCGGGCAAGTCTTGCTGTTCGGTCGGCAGTGGGCGCACGAACAAATCCAGATTCGAAGCGGGCTAGATGGGTGGCAAAGTTTGGCTGGATACCTGCGCGCTCCATCTCTGTGGCGAGGATGTCGACAAGGGGCGCCTGCCTGGTTCCGATGGCACTGTTCATGACAATTGCGAAATGATCGGCGCTAATTGGCAGCAGATTATCTGCAACCGCGCTGCGCAATAGGCGATGTGCTGATGCGGTCTGCTTAGCGCGTCCTTGGGCGATGAGAACTGCCTCACAAGTATCCTCGTCCCAGGCAAGGTTGTTGTTCTGCATTCCCGCCAATAGCTGGAAGCCTTTACCGAGTTTGCCAGCAGTTGCATAAGCCCGTATCAGGCTGTTCCATACCTCTCTGCTTGTGATCCCACGGCGTGCCATTTCTCGGCAAATCTTCTCCGCGTCTTGTATTAGGCCATTGTGCAAGTATGCAGCCACAAGTGACGTGGCCATACTCTCTGATGGTCGAATTAGGGCAGTCTGAGCTTGGTTAAGCAGTCTTAGCGTTTGCTCTAAGTCGCCATTTGCAGAATGCAGTCCCATCATGTGCTCGAACGCTTGCGTATTTGGGCCATGCCGCTCGATAATTGCGTTGAAACATAGGGTGGCCTCTTTGAAGTTACCTGCTCTGATGTGGCATTTGAGTAAAGCATTCTCAATCACCGCGTCGGGTTGAATGCCAGACTCCTTCATGGCAGATATCTCATTCTCGGCGCCAGCAACATCGCCGGATTGAGCGTACGCATCCAGAAGGCTGTAAAAGCCGTGGGCTTCCTTCTTGGATTCCGGAAATGCCGTCACATAACGTTGCCATAGATCTCGGGCAGCAGTTATATCGCCTGAGTGGGCATAAAACCTCAAAAAGTTTTCATACGCCCACTTGTCCATGCCCCCGTCCGACTTCATCCAGTCCTGGAATAGTAGCCCTAGCCCAGCGGGATTGGTCGGATCGTAGATCGTAAACATGCCTCGCAGAATGTCGGACGTGAATGGAGCATCGGGACGTAGCCGGTATTCCTCATAGATCTTGCTGAGGTGTCTCAGCGACGATCTGGATTGCTTGCCAATCCTGGCGGATCGAAGAACCGAGTCGATATATAATTGGTAGTATGTGGTATTGTTGTAGCGAGAAAGAATGCTCATGGCATTGCTTGGCTTGCAGGGCTTGGCCAGCACGGAACGAATCATCAAGTGTCGCAGCTGGTCGAACGCTTTTCGTGAATAAAACTCCTTGTTTTCTGCTCGTATTTGGGCCAGGCCCGTGTATTTGACGTGCTTTTCGAACGCTGCAAAGAGTGTATCCAGTTTCGGCACGGACTGAAGGTGGTCAAACGGTATCGCCTGGTCCCCATACTCTTGAATGAAGTTCGCGTACTCGAACCAGACCCGGAACAATTCTGGCCACTTGCGAGCGGCAAAGGCACTGGCTACAAGGTATTGCATGCCGCCAACATAGTGGTCCTGAAGGCCGTCTTTGAACTTGTTGATAGCGGACGTAAATTTGCCGCAGACGGAGAGTGATCGGATCGCGGCAGAGAGGAGCTCGTCTGTCCATTCGCTCCGTGAAAGCTCGCGGAATAAAGCCGCAGCCCGAGAGCACTCGAGGTAATCGTCCGTTCTCGCCAAAGCAATGATCAGGCCAGGGCGCTGAGCCTCCTGCTCCTCTCGAGATGCTTTTTGATAGGAGTTCCAAGCATCAACGAGAACCGGGCTGGTTCCTGCGACTCGGGAGCTGACTTTTTTGAGAAGAACGTCTGCTGGAGCTTTCGATTTTGCTGGTGGTGCCGTCTCAGTCCTCGTTTGTACCGAAACGGACTCCTGAACAGGTTCCGATTCGATCGCTTCCGTTGTCGCTGTAGCTATCGACTGATACTGGACAGTTGCGTCCGGGGGTATCCGCGAGATGCCTTGGTACTGCGTGGTGCACAGGATGGATGGCTCGCTGCGCTGGAACGAGGCCATGTGCTGCGCCGAGTACTGCCTCCGCCGCAGCGGTCGCAGCGACTCCGACCTGGGCCTCGGTGCCAGCACGCGGTGCAGTAGCGACTGCGTCTCATTGGGGTATAGAAATTCGAGGAGGAACGAGGTGGCAACGAGTTTGGGCTCGAGCAACTCCGAGGCCGCGGGCTTGACAGTGGCAGCGGCAGCAGCCCGCGACGACGACGACGGTTCACCAGGAGACAGGGGCCAGAGGCTAGACAGCTCGATTGCCGCGGCGCCATGCTGCCAAAAGGCTGTGTGAAGCCGACGGGACCGGCGGGCGGCACACTGGGTCTTGGGGATGGCGCGCTGGAGCTGGCCCGACTCCAGGCTCGCCACCGCCCGTTCAATCATCGGGCAGGAAGGGGCGGCGATCCCACGACCTGGACAGCCGTTATGAAGTGCGGACGGTTGCGGGCGATGGATACGTCAACATTGCAGTGTAGGAAACGTTGAGCGCAAGGGAGTCGTGGTGGGCTCGTGAAGCAACGCCGGGTTCTGTCGCGGGAGGAATCGCAGGCTGGTATGCCGGCTTCTTCGGCGTGGAATATCGATTGGTCGGTATCTGAATGCAGGGTGCAAGCTCGGATTGTGCGTGGCCACGGATCTGCAGTGAATACGGATGATGACCGGCTATAGGGGTGGGCAGGGTGACAGAAATGGCCTTATTCGTGATGAAAAAAGTTGGCGTCGGTCGGAGCTCTGGCTTCGGCAATACTGGGTCAGCTCCACGTCTAATTGGTCAGAGGCCCACTCGCTGTCTGTTGGTGATGAACCTCAGGCCATTTATGAACGAGGCGACTATCGGACAAACAGGCAGAAAGAAAATTCACATAAAGCAAAAATAAAGTGAATGAACATTCCAATCTGTTTCAATCATGCTAGGCTATAAAGATACTGCAAAATGTTTCTGCACACAAATGTGTGCGGAGTGGTCGGCTGACCAGGGACTAAAAATACATTCTAGCAAAGCAGAATAACCTGCCGCCGTTGCTGAGATAGAAGATGAGCAGTCCACGACTGCATTGTTATCTGTATCGGCTTTTTGAATTCCGTGCCAATCCGTGGCATTTTAGGACCTTTTGGAGCAAATATTTTGCTGCCGTTTGGGCGTCAAATACGCCGGCAGTATTAAGCGGCATCCAGCCTAGTGTGTGATGTGTGGTAACAGCCGTTTCCTGTGCTGCGGTTTGATAAAGCATATTTGCACATTTGTTCCTTTTGGTTGTCGCTTGATGCGGGACTCTGCCCTTTCTCTTGCAAGGGACAGACGGGTAGATGGCGTGGCTTGGCCTGAGCCTGATTTGTGGTATAGATATACAGTAGACTCCTCGGCTCCGCGTTTTCTGCTTCGCAAAGGCAGCGGAACGCTCATCCAGACTCCTTGGCCTTTGTCATTTGACGGAGTTCGATAAGAGCTGGTCGGTTGCGGCTCTTAGTTCTTTGCTGTCGGCGGTAGGGCGGCTCTGTCGGATGGGGCGAGGCGGCCCTCGAGGGGCAGTGATCGCGGCGGGCTTCCCGCTGCCTGGCATGGTAGGCGAGGCGAAGAGCGTGGGAGGTGAGCGGCGCTGGGGAGCGAGCACGAGAGCGGGCGCGCGAGCGAGTCTGGGAGCGGTGGGGAGAGATGGACCGGTGACGGGAGCGGCCGCGAAGAGTGCTGGATTCCTCTGTTCGCAGGGCTCGGATCTCAGGGCGTGTCGGGCTACGGTGCCTCTTGCGGCCACGCATGTCAGCGTCGGCGGTGAGGGGAAGAGCCATCTCGATATAGTTGACGTCGCTGGTGATACTGGTGGTCATGGCAGCGGACGTGTTTGAGTAGTTGACAATGCAGAGAGCGAGAGGAAAGGCAAACAGGTGGCAACGGCAGTTGTGTAAGTGGCGTCGATGGGGCCGGCAGAGATGTTGATACAAGGCAACAAGTAGGCTGGCGAGTGTAGCCGTGGAGAAGACGATGATGATAAAAGAAAATGGCAAGAATAAATATGATAGAAGAAAAAGGTGGTATACAGGTGAAGGAAAGGAAGGGAGTAGGGGAGGTGAAAGAAATGTGAAGAAGGAGGGAATGTGTGAATAGTTATACAAGGAATCGAGACCCCCCTGTCTGTACCCTGAAAGTTGGGCTCCTGGTGCTGGAATTTGTTGGAGGATTTGGAGGGAACTGCCTGGATTGCTGAGCTTCAAGGGCGGACGTGGTTCCAGAGGGGTTCAGGGCGTTGCTCAGCATGGTTCAGGCCCCACCAGCGCCAGTCTTTAGCGGGAGTCGAGCCACTCGTCCACTAAACAGGCTAGAGGTGCAGGGCGCTAGTACATACCACACAGCAACAACAGACCACCTGGGGTACCTCAAGGGAGCAGCATTTGCCGCCTGTGCATTTGTATTCTTTGGGTGTGGTATTTTTAATTAGCGTAACCTCCATCACTGTAATTATTTTGGCATTTTTTATGTATCAATTAGCGCGCCTCTTTTGATCTTGGCTGGCAGGACAGCCCAAGGCCATACCTAAATGGTAAGTGGTCACATGAGGTCTGGCCGAATTCTTGTCTGCCTGTTTTCTCTTTGTCTGTTTGACTGTCTGTTGTCTCCGCGCTTCCTCAGGCTGCCACTTCCTCCACCAGCAGCCAGACCCCAGGCAACCTCATTTGGCCCTTCCCTCGTTCATCATAACCGCAATGACCATCTCATCCCCGGCATCTCGGCCTTCCAGAACATCGCATCAGGCCAGCCAGGATGTCCAGAATGAGCAGGGGCGTGAAAAAGTCTTCAACAATGCCTGCAATGCGCCAACACCACCCATCTTACAGCTGTCGCCCAAACCTTGATGGATGCGCAAACCTCCAACCTGAATGCCACTCACACCACATGCACACACACGCACACGCATGCACCTATAGCACAATACATACAGAGAGACACACCACACTTGCCTTGTTATACACACACACACACACACACACACACACATGGCCATCACCGATAGCGACGCCTCCATTGTGAGATGCAACCGACGCCTCCCCCCCATTTCTCCACAGTACCATGTTGCCATTGGCTTATTGCCCTCGCCCAGCAGCAGCCACCAAGTCTGGGCTGTGACTCTTTGCCGGCAAACAAACACTGTTCGAACAATTAGGGACAGGTGTTCATGCTCCATGCCCATCACTGTCGTCACTGGTGCCCCAGCAACCCTATGCGCCCGTCTGTCCACGCAGTCCTTCACAGCCCACTCTCTATCATGGCCCTGCTCTTGGGCAGCAGCAACCAAAAGACGATCAGGAGAAAAACACAAATCATGAATAACCACACAACCCAAGCCCATGCTAGCGCATTCCCACTCTGGGCGCGGGGAACTCTACCGTGGCGCTAAAGTGGCTCTAACCATTTCAACATGAAACTAGTTGTCGTATCACTCTAGGACTTGGAATAGGGGAATGGGCACACCATCAAGCCAACAAGCCCAAGCCCAGCGCCCATCACAGTGCCATCACTGATCAGTACTAAAATTATCCCGACAGTCTGGGTCTGCTGGATATCCCTACTCGATCCTCGGGAGTCAGCAGGGCTCACGGAGCAGATGAAGCCAAGGAGCATTTTGTTTCATTTGCTGGCTTTCTGCTTGTCGCGCGCTTGGCCTTACTGCATACACTATTACATGGGCATTGACCAGCCATCGGCACCACCGACATGATATGTTGCCATGCCGCGCCGTGTTATAACCACGTCCGGCAGTGGGCTGTAGCATCCATACTGATTGCGCAGTGTGCCAAGACTTCAGAAGACAGGCAGACAGTCGATCCTCACGAGCCTTGTCGCCGAATTCAGCATCCATCCCACAGGCTATACGTATTCGTACGTCCCATTTTCTGGCACATTGTTCGCCGAATCACTGGTGGCCGAACAGGCACCTACATATTGGCGAGCCGTTTTGATAAGGGAGCCAACGAATCAAACGATGACCCCTCTTGTCCCAACCCATCATCTGTCAAGACGTCAGCTCTGCCGTATGCTGCATCAGAGCCAGTGCCGATTACAAAAGAGTGAAGTACGTGGCGCATTTTAGGCACACCAAAACTCTAACTCCGCAGCGTGAAGAACCCAAGTCGCTTGAGAACCACCTGACCTTCCCGTGCCTCCGGAGGGCTTTATCCGTAGACTGGTACGATTTGTACGCCCGTACCGATATGCGCCAGCGAAACAAGCTGGCCAAGCCTACCTATCTATTCATCAGCGCGCTCGGCACTTGGCCGCCTACTTGTGGCCAGCCATGCGATGCCCAATTTGACTGCATCTGCTTGGCGTCCATGATTTTCCCATGCCCGCATTGCCAGTTACGAAGAAGTTACGACATTGATTGCTAGTTACGTACTGGGTAGGTGCATTGATGCGCCCATTGTTGACGACTGAAACAGGCCAAATGCGGACATGATATAATGTCTCAGTCGTATATGACGAGGTGCTATATTTTGCAAGTGGTAACTAATGCAGACAAACGCAAAACTGATAGTTTACAAAAGGATATTAAACGGTCCATGAAAATGCAACACGTCAGGTAAACGAGTACGACAAGAGCGTTACAGCCATGACTGCAACTGCGACTTGACTGGTAGTACACCATCTCACAATGGTGGTTAATGACAGAGAAGAAGATTACATACTTGAGTCTCAAGATGTGAATCTAGCATAGAAAAAAAAAGACGGAATAATAATTCTGGCAAATTCTGAACTATGCCTCTTGTTGGCAATGTAGTTCATTGTTCCCTGCTGTCGGCTCTATAGGGTGGGCTGTGCGAGGTGGCTGAACCGCCAACAAACGTGCAACTCAACTTTATTTCTTCTCCCACGCAATGGCAGCATCAAACGCAGCTTGTCAACTGCCTCCGGCACGTAATCCGTCCCGGCCCAGGTCGTTCCGTTCCCGCACCGGAAACGGCAGAAACGCGCGTCAGGTCCCCGCGCCAAGCCTCCCCTGCCTGCCGAGACCTCCGGAAGTTTCTAGCAGCAACTTCTTAGCCTCCGTCTTGACTGTATCCGATGGCCATGAACTAGCATAGACCGTAGATGGTACTCGTGTCGCGCAGCATTCTCACCCTCGAGAGTCGACGAGAGGCGCCAATGGTACGAGTGTGACGGAGGTTGGCGGCCCTCTCATGTTCGCGATGTAGGTGGCTCGATTTTGGAGATGCCCCAGGGCCCTTCTCGCCATGGCTACCTCCGTGAACTCCTTCCCCGGGCGCTCCGGTACTCCCTGGCCTTGAGTGTGTGGCTCGCTCCGTTCTGCGCATCGGTCCTGAGCAGGTTTGCTGCTACGTGTTCTGCGAGGCCGTACGTTACGAGTACGAAGCACGTGTTTCCGGCCTCCCAGTTTGGACGCAAGGCCTTCCCCTACACAAGCTGGCTGCATGTTCGGGTAACCTCTAGTAGAACAGTATGCGCGGTAGGTACTCTTCAACCGTGACCTCGACCAACGGCTTTGAGGTCGCTCGCACATCATCGCTGCTGACAGGCATTCCCAGGACATGCACCCACTTACAGGGTACAATGGGAAGTCAAAAAGCTTGCCTTTTCTCTTGACTCCCGCGTTTGGGGACCTTGAGCACTTGGCGCACCATCCCTCAACCGAGCCGGCAACCTCAAGACTTCGGCAGTCAGCGGCGCTGGCAACCGCGTTCTGGGGCCAGGAGACCATCCGAGCTGGGGGGGAAGACATGCTTGGTTCCACGTGCCATTTGGAAAGAGTTAGGGGCATAGCTCAAAATGGCTTGTGAACGTTCCCTTTGGAAACCTCAACTCTTCATGGCCGGTGCATGTACCAACTTCAACAATATTGAGTTTACCTGCAGACGCGGGGAAGCATCCACTGGCCCAGGGAGGTTGGGATGAACTCCCCAGGGCCGACACATTGGCTGATCTGAGCGATCTGAACGCTCTTATCGCTGTGGGCTTCTATCCAGCTTTTTTGTTAGCCGAGAGGAAAGATTAGGAAAAGAAGACAGGTAGAGGAAGAAGAAAAGAAGCATATAAAAGGTTGGCATGGAGGGGGGCATGCGGCACGTAGACGGCAAACACCAAGAAATGAATTAATAAAAGAGACTGCATAATCTGTAGATAATATCTGCAATAGCTGTATGTGGTATGTACGTGGTACGTTGCTTATCGTAAAGAAAGCCCAGCGCGCGTGCCGTCGGGGTACTTGGAGGTGAGAGCGTTGGTCGGCCATGGCACCACGGCAGAACTGGAAGCTCTGTCGCTCGAAGCTTAGCAGGTAATCAACGTTGTATTCGCGGAGACTTGGAATTCTTCCGAACACCAACCTACTCATCAGAGCCGCGGACGCACCAACGCTGTTCTCCAACTATGTGAACGACATGGCCTTTTACTACGAACACGGCTATCACCGCGTCTTCCCGTCGCTGGAGCCGCTGCTTCAGAAGAGTTTGGAGGATGGGTTTTGCGATGGCAACACCGGGCGGGCGCCGACGGCGCGAGGCCGCTCACATTGGCAAGCGATGCATACAGGCCAAAATTGTTGTAGAGGAACAATACATGGAGCACTTGACCAACCGGTCGGCACGTCTCAATAGACGGGCTGTGCAGGTCTTGTCTCTATTCGAAAGTAGCCTATTGGACATGGCGGCCGAGGCCATGGCCCACGGATTCGACCCGGGGGTCGTTGTGAGCGACTTCATCTTCAGCTCGCCGGGCACGGACGTGATCGACGTAGGCTCCGACCTGGTCAACTCGGAGGTCATGAACACGCTCATGAACACGCTCCTGAACACGGCAGACGTGACCGACACGGGCGTCGCGGGGCGAGGCCGCGCTGCGCCGCGTGAACGACGCCCTGGCCGCGGCGGGAGCGGGAGCCAGGATGTTGACCGAGCGGTGGTGCGAGCCTTCGACGAGGATGGTCGCCGAGCTGTACATATGGCACATGACAAGCGACCGGCACCTGCTGCTGCGCCGCGCGATCCTCGGGTGGCCGAAAGCCCGGAAGGAGGCCGCGACGCCCCCGCGAGCCATCACGCCTGGCAGGTCAACTACCTGTTCGAGGCGGCCATGTTTGGCAGTATTCTCGACGGCGGAGCACTGGCTGGCAAGCTCGACATGGCGGAAAGGAAATAGCTGAACATGATGGGCAAACAATTTGATATGTTGTATCGAGGGGGAGGCTTTCTGGCAAGTTGTTTTCTTCGCTGAGTCATCCAGTTGCTATTTCCTAACCCAAGGATGCTGCTCTACTCCTACTTCCCACCAACGGGGGGACAGAAACTCCCAAGTCGAAGGTCCTAACTCGAAGTCCTGTACAGATTAGAGGTGGAAAATCCTGTGCTGCATGGGGTTCAGGTCAGCCAGCCCGCTCGAGTTGATCATGCAGTTGTTCGTGCTGAGGTGTATACTCCACGGCACAGTTTCATGACGGGTCATCTGTTCTCTCCTCTCCATCGCCCATGCTCATGCATGGCCGTTCAGTCTTGACATCGGCCTTGCAGCGATGCAACGGGTATCAGACATTGACTGTGACTGCACTGTCAGCGTTGCATTGGCTGACGACATTCGGCATCGCCACCGGTTTTGCCGTATCCAGGCCAGGCTTGATAATGGAGAAATTCAAGTCGAATTTTCCCTGCTTCGGTTTGATTTGAATTCACAAATGCAAATTTGAATCCGACTCGAGTTGAACTCGTCATGCTGTTTTTTTTTTTTTTTTTTTCATTCAAGTAGCCAGTGTCGACGGCAGCTGTGTGGGAGACGTTGTGATTTGAAATGTCGCTTGTTGCATGTCCTGTCTCGGCGGCATTCAACGTGACTGCAATGTCACGGTGGTTCATCATCCGTTCAGCCAGCCACGAATATTCTGTTCTCATGGACAGCAGCAAGAAACAAGCGTCGTCTATGTTGTTGTGCGACGTGCAGCAAGATGCAACAATAAAATAGACGACACAGGATAATCAAGTGGATGAGGCAGGCAAAAGACACCAGTGAGCAAGTGGACGGACAAAGGTACCAAGATATCCCTCAGCATGAAAAAAAGGGGGCGCAATAGTTACATGTCATAATCAAGGCAGATATGCGGCGGCAATGGCAATGGCTGGCTGAAGCCTGCATCCATACATCTAATTCGTACTGAGGACACCCGCAGAAGCTCACCTAACAGCGCATCTGTCTCGGCCGCGGGTGAGTCTCGGCCGGTCTGTGCCGTCTTCCTGTTACAGTTTTGTAAAGTATGAAGTAATGTCTTTGAGGCTTCTGCGCATGGCTGAGTTGAATTTTCACTATTCTACCTCTCAGAATTTCGGGGAAAAGATGCTGCATGAAATGATTCGGCTTCCCGTATTCTCCGCTGCGAGACAGTCCCTGTCGAGGCCCCAATCACCCGGCCACAAATAATGCTTATTCGTATATCTGATAATGAATCAACGCTTCTTACCGCGGTTGCGGCTAAAACTGGTCGCTAAAGTGGCCGTGGCTCGCTAATCTATCGGAAAACTCGTCGCGAGCCTCGATCGATAGACCCCCATTTCCAAGGACGGGATTCGTCAATAATGTACGAGGAGCGTTTAGTGAATTTTACTTGAACAATGCAGAATTCATGGATTTGACCAGTACTGACCCGTGGCTGGCTGAGACCAATGCCGCCTGACCACGTAGTACATATGCAATGCAGTACAGTATAAGTGGAAGTGATGGGCGGGCCGAGGCCAGCCTCTCTAAGTCGAGCATCAAGAGACCAGCTGCAAGTTTACACGGAGTGATTCGAATTGTGTGCTCTACGTGCTCAGTATCGCTTCTCGTTCTTGTCGCCAGAGTGTCGTAGAGTATCTGTGCCGTTCAGGGAACTGCACGACGGCTTCCAAAGTACTATAAGTAACCCATCGGGTCCGCCTCATTCGCTTTACACTTCCATCTTTCTATCCACCATCACACTTCAGACCAGTCTCTTGTTCAAAACCAGCTTTATAACCTCAAAATTGACCATGCCACCATTCACCATGAAACTCGCCTCCATCTTGGTCGCAGTCGGCGCAGCCATGGCAGCTCCCGCGTCGGATGACTCGAGCAACATGTTGGTCGCCATGGGCAAAGATGCCCTCGACGCGCAAAGCTACTCTGAGTTCGCCAACTGCGTGAACGGCCTGGACACCGCCTACAAGGCGTATGCAGACGCGGGTGTCCTCGTGGTCATTCCACCAACCAGCCGTGCGATCGACCCCGACGGCAAGGACAAGGAGCTGTGGAACTGCATCCAGTCCTCCTCCAGCAAGGTCTCCCTCGCGGCTGAGTCGACCGAGTTCCACGACCCGGCCCAAGAGGCAAGTATCGATGCCAAGTCCATTCAGCACGCCAAGGCCGTGAGCATGGGCGTCACGGGGCAGAAGGAGGTCGGCCGTGTTGCTGCCAGGACGGACGGATTGGAGACTCGCCAAGCAAACGTTTATGCCGTTCACTTTTCAGATCATGCTGGCTGCCAAGGCGATTTCAACCACTTCAACCTCGGCGCTTGCATCAACTACTGGAGCGCCTATGCCTCCACCATGGCGGACAACCTGCACGCGACCAGGCGTCTGAGATACACCGTCTGGCCGCACCACAACTGCGGCCAGGGAAACCAGAGAGTCGTTGAAATCGCTCCGCGCACGTCCTCTGCCTGTATTGACAGGACCACCTATTCCTGGAGAGGAGTCCTTCTTTAGTTGTCTGCGGACGCTGCTTGAGGTTGCAGGCTTTGCAATCATTGACTATGCAGGAGGATTATATGTGTAAATAGCTCTACAGTTATGAGACCGAGCAGAGTTATGTTGATTGCACAAATACTAGCGCTAAGTTTATCAGCAAACATCAAGTCCGAATCTCTTCTTGAGATAACTCTCGTAAAATCCCGATGTGTTTGGTTAGGCGTGAGGAGAGAATGGGCGCATTGTGGGAACATGGGGAGGAGAGGAGCAGGGAGGAGGAGAGAAAGCAAGTGTGCATTCAGTCACACTCCGGGAAGAGAATATGGCACTTCCTAGGACTCAACCTTGCATGGATCGACGCGTAGATGACTCACATTAAGCAATCAATAAGCAGTCAGCCGACTGTCTTTCTCCTACTGTGTGACTGTGCTAACTACTGTGTGTGTATGCGGGCGGCCAGGCGCTGCTCAACCCCGCATCTTTACCCTCACCTTCCCTTTCACTTTCCTTATGCATCCATGATTGCGACCAATTCAGAGCTCAACTCTCACTTTCATTTTGCACCTTTGATCTACCTCTACTAGCAGAAACACCAACGCCATGGCGGAAGAGTACATGGACTTTGACCGGTTCATCGAAACCTTTGAACTGAAGCTCGATAAGGAGTTCGATCGTGACGGCGTTGCGGCTTCATGGGCTCCCTCAGCCAACGGCGGCCCTCAGCTTTGGGGAGACGAGCGTGATGCATTCGAGCTCAACAACGACGACCCCATGTCGGAGCTGGCTGAGAAGTCGAGCGCACAGCTGGCCATTAGTCCAGATGGGAAGTTCATGGCAGTGTCAACCAACGCCATCGCTAGAATCTTCGCTGTCGAGTCAAAGGTTCTGACGGCTGAGCTTCGCAGACACGAAGAGACGGTTCAAGCCATTCACTTTTGGAAAATGCCCAGCGACGACGCCAAAAAGGCTCATTACGTGGTCCTTTCTCAAGACTCGGAGCCTGCGGGCGCTGATGGCGTGATCATCGCATGGTACCTCGATGGCGACGGGGCGCGCGTTGGCGATGCAGAGAATTCCATTCAGTTCGAGGGTCGATTTCTCTCGGGAAGCGCAAGCGCGCTGCGCTCCGACGGGGCTCTTCTCGTGCACTCGGATCGAAGCATCACAACGCAGGGCTGGTCGAGGCCAAGCGACTGGCTCCCGCAGCTCGTCATTCGCTCGCTTTCGAATCCTCTCGTTGAAGTCTGCCGACTCAAAGGCCACCAAGATTCCATCCAGTGGGCTTCGTGGTCACCCACCGACCCCAACGTCATAGCATCGGCATCCTGGGATGGGAGCTGTCGGATCTGGAACGCTGCGACAGGCGAATGCATCCACAATATCCAACACACTGACGGACAAAACTGGACGGGTGACTTTTCACCCAACGGGGAGCAGATTGTGTTTGCTGGCACAAGCCGCAGCGTTGCACCACACGTCGCAATCTACAGCGTCGCGACCGGCAACAGCATTAGTGTTCTGCAAGCTGAGATGACAGGTCTCGGAGGCGGGTCTACACCGCTCTCGTGGTCTCCAAGCGGCGACGTGATCGCCCTTGTGGTCAGTCGCTCCGTCGTCCTGTGGGATGTTGCCACGAACAGCACCACGGAAGTCATAAAGGTGCACAGCGACGGCAGTTTGCGGGACGATTTCTGCGACGTCACGAGCCTGAAGTGGCTTGATCAAAGGGGCAGTAAGCTCCTCGTCCGACTGACCGACCAAACGGTGTTTGTCTGGGACAGGCAGCACGGTTGGAAGTGGAGGCTCCAGCGACCACCGGGAGTGCGGCAGTTGGCAGCGCTCTCGAGTGCAGAGGCCTTTCTTGAAGAGAAGAACGAGCTACTCTGTCTGGACGGGGATTGGAGAATCCGCACTTGGGGAATCGAATGAGAGTAGCTAGCATTGTTCGCGTAGTCGAGCGGCAGAAATCGTATCGTTCGGCAGCGTCAGCGTCAGCGTCAGCATGGGTTTAAGCATTGGTTTCTTGAAATGATGTAATAGTATCGCAGATACCGCCGCAGCGACATAGCTACCTTGACACGTCAAAATTAAATCGCATCCCCGTTGTGTTGAAGCATCGGCTAAGCCCAGCGCAGAGAGGTCAACTTGGTGGAGCTCGGGCAAGTTAGTTAGTTACATGCATATGTAGCATGTGCAGCCACCTCCAGCCACACGAAGCTTTGCCGTTTCTTATGCTTCTTCACTCCTCACTCTCCTCACTCTCCTCACTCTCCTTGCTCGACCAGCTTCGGCCATCACCAACTTCGCTATGCGGCCATCGACGACAATCTTCTCCGCGAGCTAGACTCCGACCGACCGACAAACTCCCATAATATCATCTTAAACTCCCCGCCTCCCTCCTCGGCGTGGTCTCGTCCACCCACGCCCTCCCGCCCGCCCACGATGCAGCGCCGACGGATCGTCCAGCGGATTCTCTACCGCTCCGTCTACATCCTCTTCTACCTGATCCTGATCGGCCTGCTGCTCATCACCCCGGGGGACGTCATCCAGCGGTCCATCGCCAGCCGGCAGCGGTACAACATCCTTGCCCTCGCCCTCGCCTACGCCGCCACGCTGCTCATCATCGGCTTCGTCTACGCCACGCGCCTCTACGTCAACAAGACGGCACTAGCCGCCGTGCCCCGGTCGCGCGTCGTGCCCGTCGTCGACCGCGGCGACGTCGCCGCCCGCGTCCACCGCATGATCTGCGCGGGGCTCAACCGCTCCGCCGCAGTCGCCTTCCTTTCGCGCCCGCGGGACCGCTCCGCCGCCGACGACGACGCCCTCGCCGCCCGCGAGAACCCCCTCGCCCAGCCGCGCCCGCCCATCAAGACGGCGCGTACCGTCGGATTGGAGCTCGGCGTCGTCCTGCCGGCCCGGGGCACCGCGTGGGCGCGCATCGAGCAGCCCGGCTGGGCGTCGCCCGACTCACGCGACCTGCCGGGCCTGCAGTACAGCACCGTGCTGGCGGAGTTGCCGAACCTGATCGAGGCCAAGGCCCTCACGCTGGCGCCGGACGATCCCGAGGCGGCGGTGCTGCTGCAGCGCGACCCGGCCATGAGCCTCCGGGCCTATATGGACGCCCTCGGAGAGCTCGGCGTGCTCGAGATGGACGATGCACGGACGGCCGACTTCCTCGCGCAGTACGAGAACGCGCGCTTCTCGACGCGCGCCCTGACCAACGCCGAGTTCCGCGGCCTGATGCACAGCTTCGCCGAGCTGCTACGCGTCATTCGTGCTCCGAACCTCGGCGACGAGACGCCCACGGCTCGCCCGCGACGACGACGACAACGACCGGCCGAGAGCGCCCACGATAGCGACGCGCCCCTCGGATCGCGCCCGACGACTGCGCACAGCGACCGCACGCCGCCGTCCGTCTCCAGCAGCAGCCGCGATCGCGACCTGGCGCCGCAACCACCCGGCCGCCTGCCGCTGCCCCGGCGGGACTCGTCCTTCCACGCTTGGAGCCAGTACGCCACAGCGCCCAACACGCCGGGCAGCCGGCACGCAGACGGGACTGCGACCATGTCGCGACGGCGAGGCAGCGACAGCAGCAGCAGCCTCGCGAGCATGTCGACGACGCGCCGCGGCGGCGGTACCCCGATGTCGAGGCTGCAGCAAGGGCCGCCGCTGCTCACGCAGCAGCGCTCCCAGGCAAGCCTGCGATCCAGCGGCTCGGAGAGCTCGCGCTCGGTGATTCGGCTGGCGACGAGGGACGACGCGTCGGAGCTTCCGTACGTGTTGTCGCTACGTCCGACGATGGACATGTGACGGCGACGTGGGGAATATATTGTACAATTATCACTTGTATATATGATTTGCTTTGCAGAGTCTCTGCAACTTTGGTGGTTTCGTTGAGCAGAACAGCTTACACGACATGGCATTAACATGCGAGCATGTGTTTCTTGTCTCGTTTTTTTTAGAAGGGCTCTATGGTCTATAATGTATATTTTGGGCAGGTAATATCAACATTTCTTCGAGGCTTTTGCCGTTGCAAGCCTCTCTTGTCATCTCCTCACCAGCCACTCACATGCCATGCTACCCTGCAGAGCAGCTTTACGTATCTGGACAGACCGCAACGCTTCTTGCAGCTCTCTGAAATGACCGAAATCATCAAAGGCAATTTAGTCTTGCGACGAGCGCCATTTATTACAGTGGCTCTGATTTTCTCTGATTTTGGGTATTATTTCAATCTCATACATGTATTAATAGACTATTATTATTGCCAGCAGAAACAAGCTGTGGCAGCCGGCCCCACACTTGATTGTCACTCCACCTTTTTTTTTTCCCTGCTCCGGTACGCGACCTCACCTCATCACGTCCAACCCGCCAATTACTTCCCCTCGACGTCGCCCTCCTTTGTACATACTATTCATGCCAACTACTTCCTTCCATCGACTCCAAATTCACAAATCGGAACACCCGTGGAGCGTCGCGCATCCGAGCGCATCCCCTTCCTCATAACCAGAGACGACAACAACACACACACACATGGCGCCGCCCGACAACGACGGCCCCCTCCCCGTGGCCGGGCCCGCGCTGTCCAGCCGCATCGCCATGCTCCTCGCCGCGCACCCGTCTCCCCTATCCCTCTCCGGGCGCACCGCCCGCCCCGCGAACCCGGCCTCCTCCTCCTCCTCCTCCTCCGACCGGCACCGGCGGGCGCAGGCGGAGCAGGACGAGGACGAGGCCTTCTTCAAGGGCGCGTACCTTCCCAACGGCGGCGTCGGCTACACGCCCCCGACTTCCACGTTCGAGGAAGCGAAAGAGGAGAAGGAGCTGCGGAGCCGGATACTGGGAGGGCGGGCAAGGGACAGCAAGGCAGACAGGGAGCGGTGGAGCAAGGTGAAGAAGGCCGCGGCGGGAGGGGACGGCACGGACGAGGACGAGGATGTGGGGAGGAGTGCGCTAGGGAAGCGGAAGAGGCCGCGGAGGGAGGACCGTGAGCAAGATGAGGATGAGAAGGAGGAGGGGGAGGCGGGGGAGGCTGCGGGCGGTGCGGAGGAGCGGGCAGAGTCGCGGATGACAGTGGAGGAGGAATCGACGCAACCAGCCACGACGTCGACGACGACGAAGCGCAAGAAGAAGAATAAAAAGAAAAAGAACAAGGCGCAATCAACATGAAGGTAACCAAGAGGAAGATGGGCAATAGACGACATTATCATGGCAGGAACAACAAAAAGGTTTCGCAAGATTATGAACATCATCGTTCGATACTGGATATAATGAATGCCCACCCGCAAAACAAAGCATCAAGCAAGTAAGCTCATCCCAGCGTAGCTCTTGCATAGAATAACAGGTTAAAAAAAGAATGGTGTACACGGGTTTCCAACTTTGTGCATTCGTCCACTTAACTCCCAGCAAACAGAAGCCAGCCCTCCCCTACCGACCAAAAGAATAACACTGCCTCACCGTTCCCAGGCAAACGTGGAGACCATTATGAAGTATAAAACAGTGCAACAGACAAACAGCCGCCAACATCTCTCGTGTGAGACTCGGGCCGTGTGACCCAGCCCACGTTTCGGTAGGTTTCTTCGCTTGAACCTACTCCGCTTCGGTATCCCGGAATGATGTATAATATAGAAAACAAAAAGGAAACAAAAAAGAAGATTTGCGCGCCATGCCCGTTTTGAAAGGCTAGGAAAGAAAAAGAAAGTAGTTCAGAGGCAAGATTCCAAGCCATAATGAGTAAAACCAGATCCCAGGTATATGAATGATTCGCCGTCCGCCTCGAGTAGAATGCTCCGCAATATTAAGCCCCTTGCAAGTCGGGTTCCGTGGCCAAAGGCCATGTTTTCTAGTCCATGTTTGAGGTGGCAGCATGAACTAGATGCTTAAAGGTTGATATGTTTGATGTATATTTAATAATTTTCACTTGTTATCCAACTAATGTTGACGTGTTGTATATATGGCGTGCCGAGTATTGTTGAATTTAGCTGCGCGCATAATCGGCGTTACTGCACGCGCTTGCGTTTTCGATCATCGTCGCCTCGCAAGTCGTCGTCTTCGTCGGATCTGTTCTCGGCACTGCTCGGATTGAGAATATGGGCCATGCTACCGCGTCTGGTAGGGGGCCCTGATGTGTCCTTGAACAAGGGACCCCGGCCTTCACGACTGCTGGTTGAATTCCAGCCCCAGCCGGCAAATGCATCGTGTCCGTTGGTTGCGCCGTTGGCCGTGGGGGGAGGGGGCGTTGTCGGGCGAGACCGCGGGTGTGCATGTGAAGCGCCCTGCAGCGAGTAGGTTGATAGGGACTCTCGGATGCGCTGATCTTCCGGAGGGATTCGGTTAGGTGATGACGGCCAGGGCGCAGACGCCGGGTTTGACGATGGGTAAGGCGGTGCGCCGGCCTGCCACCCATGGGCTCGAATATCGGCGGCAGTGTGTCGACGGCCCATACCCATGCCAGGCGGCTCATTTGCGGAGAGCAAATGGGGGGCGGGCGGTGGTGCGGGCGCTGCATTGCGAAGCGGTGAAGACTGATTCGGACTGGTACCCCCGATGGATCCAAATCGGCGGCTGCCAGAAGTAAGATTGGACGACACCAATGGGCGATAGGATGGCTGAGGGCGCATTTGGGCAATGCCGGGTGCGGCGCGACGGCCGTCGTCTTGTGGGAGTTGTCTCGGCGAAACCGGGGCATTGTCAACATTTCCAAGATAAGATCTGCCTGCGGGATAAGGCGGCTCCGAGGGTTCTTCAAATGTGCGCACGAATTCGGCCTGCCGTTGCATTTCAGTTTGTAACGCCACCACTACTTTAGTTAGTAACACGATATTGCTGGGGTGTACAGAGTACATCTGATACGTACCATCGCGGTGCGTGGGACTGTCGACTGGGGTCAAGGTTAACAGCATGCGCGACAACTCTTGGTTAAACTGCAAGAGCCGGGATACTGTGTCGAGTGCCGCTTGATTGCGAAGCTGCATGTAGTGCGACTGCTCCTCGCTTCTGTGTAGCCGGGTGCCCAGGTCATAGAGACTGTGCTCTAGATGCGCAAGCCTGGCGTCGGTACCCTCGGGCGGCAACTGGACAGGCTCGGCTGGCGTGCCTGGCTGAGAAGGACTGGCCTTGACATAGGTGTTTTCCTTGGGGACGAGCTGCTTGCTGGCGCGACGCTTAATTTCGCGCAAGCCGGCAATGTCGCCACGTTTAAAATTGCCATTGCCGTGTTTGAACTCCCAGAGGGTGGTGTCGGGATTCCCAGTGTGGAAAACGTCTCGTTCTGTTCTAGATGATTAGGAGGCTGATGAGGAGGGGGCGAGTGTGGAATTGAGTCGTACCTTTGTGAAATCCATACATGTTCAATTGTCGCACAAATGATGAGATATTGGTGTGCTTGAAGTATTGGCTAAGGCAAATTAGAAGCAAGTCGCAAAGCGGTGGTCGCACAAGGAGAGGGTTGGGAGTATTCTTACGAGAGAACCTTGGAAAAGTCGGCAGTGGGCGACATGACGAAGCTTTCGGCGGTGGAGGACCATGATATTAAATGTTGAATCTGGGAATCCTCAAGCATACTGCAGTGTGTAAGCAAGGCGCGCGCGCAAGTGGAAGTAGGGACTGGGGGAGCTAACTTGTAGAGCTTGTGGATGAAGGCTGTCTGGACGATCTTGGGCTGCTGGGCGGCGCCGGCGGCGGAGGGCGGAGGAGCAGCCATGGATGCAGAAGAAGAGGAAGGGCCGTCTCGAGGAGGCGAGTTGTTGGAGCGGCCGTTTGACTTGGAATCGTAGTCGTTGTGGGCTGGAGGAGATGTGTTGCTGGCAGGCGGCGTGTGAGAAGGCGAAACGTCCATGGCGTCGCCAGAAGAGGACGTCATGACGGCAGAAGAGCGAGCAAGGGGGATAGTTCGAGAGACGAGACGATCGCGAGGCCGATCTGGCGGCAGAGACGAGGTGTAAGGGCCTTCAGTTGCGGTAGCCATTGGCGCTGGAGAAAAAAAAAGTCAAGTGTCAGCTTACGGAGGTGGCCGAGCTTTGGTAGCGGGGAAGGGGGGCGGGCGGGCAGGGGAGTGCGCGGACGAGACGGCGACGCAGGAACAGGTTTAGAAAAAAAGGCGACCCCGGTTCGGAGGGGAAGCGATGGACGGGCGATTGCGAGATGAGCGAAAAGATAAGAGGCGGATATGCTGGGGGGGATAGGCGGTGATGGTGAGAGGCATCGACACTAACCTCATGTCGCAAGCGACGAACGATGGGTGGCGAGGCGCGGCGCAGCGCGGAAGGAATCGAGAGGCGAAGACGGATGAGGCTGTAGGCGCAAGTGATGGTTAGGGATGGTAGATTGGTGAGAAGTGGTGAATGAAGAAAGAAGAGAAGAAGGGCGAGGACCAAGTCCAGGTTTGCGAGAGACGAGTTGCGAAAGGCGAGATGAGGCGTTGAAACGGTTTCGCGAGAATGTAGGTGGAAGGAAGCTGTTAGTTAGTAAGGTAAGGCGCCCTGGGTTCGGTGGTGGATTTAGTGAGGTTGTGGGTTTTCTGTCCTCTGGTGGTGGAGGCAGGGGGGGGGTCAAGGTGAAGCAAGCAACAAGGGTTGGGGGTAAAGTTAGGGAGATGGTATCTTTGCTTGAGAAGAAATAGCTACGATACTTTAACCTTAGCAACGTTCCTTCATGCTCTTGCAAGGCAAGCCCTGCATGCGCTGTGCTGGGCTTGCTTGGGTGGAACTTGAGACGCTAACTGCCCCAGGCCACTAAGAAAAATGTACTGCAGTAATCCGTTAACTGCCCAGCTGCCTGTAGTAGGTAGCGGCCTGCCTTTGGAAGGGAAGATGCACGAGGCAACAGCCGACACAGATGGCTGCAGTGACAAAAGGCCAAGAGTGCCTGCGCCGATGGCCACCTGCCCCCGTCTGAGCTTGTGATCATGACGACCGATTGGCTATGAAGCCGATAGAGTTTGGGCGGTCTGTGTGAGCAGAGTTGGTGTACAGTAGGTGACGGTACGGATACTTACCTTTACGTATATCAGCAAAGTAGTTACCGAATCCGTGCCGAATGTGTCATGTCAGTTCCTCAGACCGTCTGGAGGGTAGAGGTTCCCTCCATGCCTCGTCCCCCCGAGGAGCTGCCACCAGCCAGCCCGCCCAGCATCGGATCAAATTAGCGGATTCTTTAGCGGCTACTCGAGTTTTAGCGGCCTTGTCACAGACGGGAGTTGCTCCAGCCGGTGGTCGCCCGGCTTCTGCCTTTGACATGTTTTAGTTGCTTGGCAGGTAACTTGCTGTCAAGATACGGTCGTCAAATTGTCAGTAGAGATGAGTGCTGGAAGATTCCCTCGACCCAGATAACCATCTGCAACTCCTCGTGTCTCCCCAGTCCCCAACAAGGAAGCCCGCAGCACTCGCAACGCTTGCATGTACGAATCTGTATGTACATGACCTGCCGGACTTGGTGACCGTGACAGGGCTCGCTCGCTCCGGTGTGTTTTAGCCGGCGGGGTTCCCCTAACCTAACTCTAGCATCCGGTCTTATTGGTGCTTTTAAACCTTGGCTAGAAATGTCAATTCAGCTATTCCTCGACACTTGAAACCTAGGCCTGTACAAATCCTTCCTTTTTTCTAAGCAGAAACTTCCCTTTCCCTAGCGCAGATGCTTCGGTGAAGCTATGCATACAAGGTACAAGCATCATGACAGCCCCGAATCTCCGAACACACCCTGGCACATTGGTTATTGACTTGACTAATTATTAATCTCTGTCCCGACTCTGATCTCATTAACTTTTTATGCGCACCCAGTCAATAGCACCAGTTCCTCTCCGCCGCGCTCAAGTGCCGTGCTCCTCCCTCGTGAGGTTAATGTTGCGGAGCTACCTAGTCTGAAGTACTGCTCAGCGAACCACCACGCAGGCTCAGTACATTCATGTTCAGCAGTACCTGCAACCAGGTTACTTGTAAAGCTCTTTTCTGCTGATTGATGCTGCCTCGCTCGTTGTCGCTCCATTTCGACTGCAAACAGAGGTGTTCCCAGCATCACCACAAGCCTCACAACCTCGTCCACCATCTTTTCCAGTCCACCGCCCCTATACATCTACACTTGTGCATTGTTCATCTTCTACCACGGCGCTTGTTCTCTACCACAGCTCCAACACACCACTTCTCCACCACCAGTCTCGCATGTAGCTACCCAGAGACACGCAGTTGTCAGTTGCTCCCATCTCAGCACAACTAATTCCCTTTCCTTCCCCAGTCATTTTCGTATCGCTCTCCGCTCTAGTTTCAACTTCAGTTACTTACTACATACGCCTGTGCAAGCATCCCGTTACACGACTCACGCTATACTTTCCAATAACGTACAACCGATGTCTTCCCTCGGCAACAACCCGCCCACACCACCCCCCGGGCCTTCGCAGCCGTTTCTTCTTCTGCACATCAGCCACAGCGGAACAATGACCGTCACAAGACAAAAGCTTCGGCACCACAAATCTACGAGACATTCCGCGGACCTCACGAGTCGCTGAGCCCTCGTGGAGACTTGTCCTTGTCCTTGACTGTCCTCCTGCTCAACGTCGAAGCCCTTCTCCACCACCTGTCTCGTCTGCAACACCCAACCATGACGGCTGCTTTCCGCATTCCACATGCATGCATTCCATATTCTGTGGACTATTGTACAGCATGTCTCGGCCATCGATATAATAGTTGCCAGTCAATATTACGTGGCCACAGATTTTTGTGGAAATTGCAACGCAGTTACCACTGTTTGCTTGCCCTCTCCCGTCCGTCGTCCGGCGCGCCGTCCTCAGCATTGGCCAGATCCGGCCTCTTGCGCATCTGCATCGCCGCTCCGTCCAGTGACCAAGTTGGCCAGCGAGCTCACCCATCAGCACCACCGGGATGGGCGCCACACCCACTCCCACGCGCAAATACACCCCTGGTTGGCTTGCCCAAGCCAATCAAGAAAAAAGCAACTTTGTCTGCGCCCTCGCTTACCGTCCCACTGGGTGTGCGACAGTATTGGTGGGCACTGGCATCCAGTCGTTCTCTCTGGTCGCAACCACTAGAGCAGACCAGATCTGCGCCATGCAGCCTGAGATGCGCGCAAAGCAACGCCCGCCCACCCTCATCTCATTGGGCACAAGATCCGTCAGCCTTTCCCAAACTCACCTGCTGAGCGAACACCTTATTCGTATAGAGCTCACCAAAGAGACCTGTCTTCAATGCTCATGCGGTAATGCATGAAGCGCTGTCACGAACCAAGCACGCTCCCGGCTGCTAAAAGCCGTCAATTGTTAGCCGGCTCCATTATCAAAACACTCAATATGCTACACATGACAAACCTCACATCCTAGCCCAAACACAACCAACTCCGTGGGACCCAGTTTCCACCGCAGGAATAAGTTTGCTGCAGAAAACGAACGTGTAAAACGGACCGATTTATTAAGTCGTCGTGGGCCGCGTCTTTAGCCGTCTTGAAAACCTTCCTTCAGCCAGACGTTAGCCAAACCACCAAACCACCGTTACACCACGCCAGAATGGCGCGAATCGAGAGAAAAATTGTCATTATTCATGTTGCGCGCAATACGGATGCAGTAAAGACTAAAACGCCCTGAATCCTCAGGCCTACCAATGGCCCGAACCTAATTACCCATATGAAACATATACCATGAGGCTCTCCATCACATACACATGTTCGCTTTTTAGTGCCGTCCGCAGATCAGCAGAATCAGAAGTCGTCGTCTTCTCCGGACGCCCTCTTCTCGCCCACCTCGCGAATCTTGTCTCCGAGGATTGTGCGCCCGTACCGCTCCGCCACCTTGCTGGCCGCCTCCATCATGCGCCCGGTGCGGTCTCGCATCAGCTGCACCATCTCCAGCGCTCGCATCCCGCGCTCTTCACCCTCGCGGCACTCCACGGCGAGCAACTGCAGCAGTGTCTTGTCGATCTCGAGCTCCAGCCGCGCCAGCAGGCTGCGCTGCGCGTGACCGCCACTCGTCGCGTCGAACAGGTCCCGCGTCTGCGCGGCTTGCACGCCCTTGAGCATAAATGTCTGCTCGAGCTTCGTAGTCTCCGATAGCTCTTCAACCTCGTCATCATCATCGTCGTCGTCGTCGTCCTCCTGCATTTCCTCGTCTTCGTCCACGTCGCTGCCGAGATCTTCGCCGTCCGCGCGAGGTTGCTTCGTTTTCTTCGGCTTGGGCTCCTTGACCTTGGGTGCTGACAGGGGAATGGAAAAGTCAAACTCGGAGAGCAGAGGGCGGGGAAAGTAGGGGTACTTGTCGCCACCCTTGAGGATGATGCAGTGGAATTTGTCGTCGGCCACGGCAATGGGGAAATACGTCTCATGCTTGCGGCCGGATGCGAGACGTGGTAGAAGCTTGGTGTCAAGAAGCGGTACCCAGCAGGCGCGTGAGGGCTGGCGCCAGTGCAACAGGGTCAGCAATGTGCCTGTCGAGTCATATATACAGGGATCCTAGAGCATGACTGTCAGTAAGGAACACGGCGTTATTAAAACCGGTAGGTACGGGGAGAACGTACACCATTGTCAGAGAAGAATACGCTCTTGAGTGTCGCTCCTGGCGGCAGGGCAAGCGTGTCCTCGTTCTGACAAATCTCATCACGCTTGACATTCTCAATAGTGTAGAGCAGCCGGGCCGAGCCGTCCGGCCCAAGCGGCCCGTTGCCTACGGTCAGGACGTAGTCGCGCCAGCTAGCGCACGTTACCATCGGCGTGCTCTTGGAGCGGTAGACGCGACAAGGCACTCCGAAGAGCGTGTACACGCGCACGTAGCCGGCGTCTGTGGTAACGGTGATGAAGGACTCGCTGAGCGACATGGCGGTGACGGCCTCACCGCGGGGCAGCTCGATGCGCCAGTCGAGGCGCTGCGTCCAGCTCTCGTGCGGGCGGTAGTAGAGGGTCGCGGGCTGCTGGCCGTTGTCGCGCGGCGGGCAGGCGAAGAGGGCGCCGCGCTCGTTGAGGCACGCCCGGTCGTAGTGGAAGGTGTCGGTGAAGTGGAAGTCCCGCTGCAGCTCGTGGTCGTAGAACTCGACGGTGACGGTGTAGTGCGCGTCCTGGTCGACGGTCCACACGAAGCCGACGAGGTTGAGGCACAGGTACCGGCGGTTGCCCTGCCACGGCGTGGACCCGGGCTGGAAGGGCTCGTGGTAGATGGGCCCCCCTTGGGGGAGGTATCTGCGCTTGCTACTGCGGCCGCCGTCGTCGTCGGCGTCACGACCGCGTTTGCTGAGCAGACCCGGCGCGTAGCCCGCGTTGTCGTCGTCCACCACGAAGTCGTCGTCGTCGGCGTTGCCGCCACCCAGGTAGGAGTCCAGGCTGCCGAGGGAGTCACGCCGACCCCGCGTGGGGAGTTGGTCATGCGACTTGTGGCCGCCGTTTTCCGCGCCGGGTGGCGGTGGCAGCTGTGCCTGTCGGTTGCCCGAGATTTCCGAGAGCGGGTCGTGGATGAACGGCGCGGGTTGGAGGGGCAGCTTGAGCAGCGGCGCGCAGGCCTCGCCGAGGAAGTCCGGGTAGATGTAGACCTCGCCGTCGGACGTGGTGAAGGATAGGATGTTCTTGCGCGGGTGCCAGCACATGTCGACGACGTTGGCAAAGTCGGCGCGCTGTAGCACACTCTGCGTCTTGGTCTCCCAGACGAGGATCTTGCCGTCCTTGCCCGCGGACGCGAGCAGCGCGCCGTTGGGCGACCATGCCAGCGCGGTGACATCGCCCAGGTGGCCGTCGGCGAAGCACCGCTGCTTCTCCCAGTCGCCCCTGGAGATGACCTGGATGTCGCGCGTCGGGGTCGGGACGGCGAGCGCGCGGCCGTCCGGGTGCCACGCGGCCTTGGAGCTCGCCGAGGCGTCCGCGTCGAGCGCGCCAATCACCCCGTCCACCTTGCGGATCAGCTCCGGCTCCTCGGCGGTCAGCGAGTACACGTAGAGGATGCCGTCGGTGCCGGACAGCGCGAGCAGGCCGCCGCGCGGGTCGAAGCTGACGTGGCGCGCCGGCCGCCCGTGCTCGCGCAGGTGCCGGACGCGGCTCGGGTCGCGCGTGTCGACGAGCTTGACCGTCAGCTCGTCGCTCGCGACGGCGCACCAGTGGTTGTTGCCGTCGGCGGGCAGGGCGACGTCGCGGACGGGGAGGGAGGTGCGCAGCAGGAACCGCTCAAAGGTGGCGGATGCGAGCGAAAAGAGGCTGACGGTGCCGTCCTCGGAGCCGACGACGAAGTCGGTGCGGTTCGCGGCGACGGCCACGTTCTGCTCCTGGCAGTCGTCGATGTTGGTCGGCTCGCCGTCGGAGCCGGTGACGTACAACCGGATCGTGTTGTTGGAGCCGACGGTGACGAGCCGCCCGCCGTCGGGCGTGTAGGCGCAGCGCGTGGTGCCTTGGGTGTGTGCCGGGCGCGGCCGCGGCCGGGGCGCCAGCGTCGAGTCCATTGTATCTGAGTCGGTGGGATGGGATTGTTCTCGGACAAGTCGTATCACATTCAAAGAAAAAGGACGTCGATTGAGGTTGGGGGGTTTTTGGCCAGGACAATGTGCCTACTAGTGTGGATGCAGGAGACGCGCCGGAAGACGCGTCTCAATTAAACACCAAATGCGTTGCGCCACGATTGTGACCCCGCTAGTGTGGCTAGGAGCTTGCGCCACATCACCACCTAGTCAAGTTCGAGAAGAAATACTAGATAGAATAAAGTATTAAACAAGTATAGGAAAAAAAGATTATCTCAGGCTACATGAGCTGAAATTATGTTCATCGTGTGGCGTGGAAAAACAGCTAGGATTCTGAGAGGACAATGTGATGCAACGACCACAGAGAGGCCATTCAATGTTGGGCAGAGCACCAGGCTAACAGGCACGATCCGGATGATAATCGACGCTGGCCTAGGAATTAAGAAGATTTTTTTTCGTTGGTTTGGCTAGAACTTAAAGTAACAATATGAATATGAGTACGAAACAATTATAAAGACATGCATTCTGCAGTCAGCTTTTGGCTCAGACCTGGGTCATCAGTCTCTACTGTTGGCTGGCCAGGATGTCTTGCTGCTATTTCATTTAGTTGTTTCTTAACAACAACACACGGCACGGCGCTAAATATGCTTGATCTACAAGCGAGTCCATGGCATCGAGAACTATAGGACTTGGCATGACATGATTTAACTTCCCCGTTGCTTATATGATCTTGCTTTAATGCTTGATGCTGCGGACAAGATGCGGCCCACTGCCTGAAGCTGCCCCGCCACCCCGCCCAATCGCAGCGGCATGGATTTTGGAAGCCTGGCGAAGAGAATAGGCAACCTTCAAACTACAAGTTAAAAGGGGCAGACAACCTCTGTCGAATATTTTGTTCTCGCCCTTTTGGAGACTCCACGCGAGTGTGCACATAATTCCCAATGCAAACCTCAAATCCAGACTTTTACTTCCAATCCGAGTGAGCTGCATCCCTCACCACCTATCACCGCCAAACTAACCTCGTCACAGCGCTGCCAACGCCAATCGTGCGCGCAAGGCGGCCAAGTCGGGCAATAAGAATGGCAACCCCATATCTATGAAGTCCAAGCTCTTGGCGGCTATCTCAGACCCTGCTGACCCCAACGGCTCAATACTCGTCGCCGAGTCTGCGGGCTTTTGCAGAAGGGTCAATCTCGAAGTACGCCGTGTCTGCCTACGCAAGCTACGGTCTGATCAACTACTGATAACCTCTCGCAGTCTACAGAAACAAAGACCACCTACAGGGGCCCCAAGGCGCCCGTGACGTGCCTGGCTATCGGTGGCGCTGACAACAAGACGCTCTACGCCGGCTGCTGGGACAAGGACGTCTGGTCGTGGGACCTCGACACCGCGCAACCGCGGCGCAAGTTCAGCGGCCACAGCGACTTTGTCAAGACAGTCATCTGCGGCACGCTCTCCGGCAAGCCCGTCGTCTTCAGCGGCGCCGCCGACAAGAAGATTATGGTGTGGGACGCCGAGAGCGGCCGTCGGATGCACACGCTGCAGGACCCGGCGACCACGATGCTCGCGGTGCAGCACCTGGCGCTCGACCCGGTCCTCGGCGCGCCCGACACGCTCGTTCTCGTCAGCGCCAGCAGCGACCCCAGCATCCGCCGGTGGCGCGTCAGCCTCACGGTCGCCGAGCAGCTCCCCGAGGCGTACCACGGACAGCCGGACGCGGAGCGGCTGACGGTGCAGGAGCACGAGACGAGCGTGTACCGGCTCTTCTTCGACGCTGAAGACGAGGACGCGGACCTGTGGACGGCCAGCGCGGACGGCACGGCCAAGTGCCTGGCGCGGACGCGAAGCTTCGAGGCGGAGGAGTCGCTCGAGCACGGCGACTACGTGCGCGCCGTGGTGGTGACGCGGCGGTGGGCGGTGACGGCCGGGCGCGACGAGGATGTGAAAGTCTGGGACCGCGCGATGGGGAGGCTGTATGCGGCGCTGCCGGGCCACTTTGAGGAGATTACGGACCTGGTGCTGCTGGCGGAGGGCGCGGGCAGGGAGCCGACGCGGGTGTGCAGCGTGAGCATCGACGGGACGATCCGCACGTGGCCGCTCGCGCTGGACGCGCTGGACGAGACGGTCCGCAAGATCAAGGAGGACGCGGAGAAGGCGGCCGCGGGCAAGACGGAGGAGAAGGAGGAGGAGGTCAAGGGGGAGGCAGGCATGCTGACCGCGGAGGAGGAGGCGGAGCTCGCGGAGCTGATGGATGATTAAAAAAAAGAAAAGAGGAAACGGTCTACCGGTATGGGTGAATTTGGGATAGGAGAATACGAGTTCTTGGATCAACGACAACTACGACTGGATGGTCAGATCGCCAGCCCCAACAAGCCTGACTAGCCAGCTCGGATCACTTCTGAGAACGTCCGAGCCCTGCAGACACCGCTTCTTTCGAGCTTCCATTGTGCGCTGGAACGCGATGCGAGTTGTCAAACACACTTTGTCCGTGCTTTACCTGCATCAAGCACCAACTCGGACGGAGTCTCTGTCTCGGTTGGCTAGAGGCGGATAGATACATAGGTCTGAGACACAGCAGCTACCCGATAGATGGACTTGTTACGGACGAGAATAGTATCACCCACGGATCGACGACGAAGAGCCTTGTCGGCAGCGTGCATGCATGACGTTTTGGTTTTGTGTTGTCCGTGTAAGCTATGTAGGTGGTTGGTGAGCGCTGCGCTGCGCCGTGGCCGTAGCCGTGGCCGTTGCCCTGGTGGTGATGGATGTTGGTGAAGCTGCGAGAATCCGGCTGCCTCTTTCTTCCCAGCCTGCAGAATCTGTAACGCGACGACAAACACGAGTAGAACCACCGACATTGCACATTACTCGAGACAACCCTTTACTGCCAGTACTGATAATTTCTCTTATCCGCCGGCTGGGGTTGGAGGTGCCCGAACCGACGGGGCGGACGGGAAGAACAATGCAAGTCATCTGTGTCTTGTCTACCCGCGCATCCTCCAAGTCTCCATACCAGATGTTTCATGGTTTTCATGCAAGCCTTTTTTTCTATCCTTTGTGATCGTTGAACGGCGAAACAAGGAAAAAAAAAAAAAAAAGGCCACAAAATGTTTTTGTGCCGGAAACTTCGGAAAACGAGGACCACGAGTCAGAGACGGGCGCGGAGGGAGACAGAGCAGTACCAGGAATAGAAACTCGTTGCAAGGCCGCCAAATCAAATCTCCAGGGGCGTGGAGATGTAGCCAACTGCCGAGTTGATCGAGACCCTCTTCTTTGTTCGGCTCTTCTTAATCCGTGTTTATTATCATGTCACAAGGCTGGCCCATGGGGGAAGGACGGGATCGGGGGTTTTGTCGCGCATGTGCTCCTTCATTTCGGGGGCCGAGATGATTGCCCTCTCCTCTTCTTGTCTCTTCGGCCAAGACGACGACGGATGGGTTGTCTCGCGGGCCCGCGGCAAACAAACCCGGGTCATACTAATTATGAACTGGCTGTTCAAAGTTAGGCTTTTTCTTCGCCGGGAGCACCCCCGTCCGCAGGCCTGGGCCGGGGCTCGCCGTGCCGCGTGGGCGGTTTACCTTTTTAGCCTTTCTATTAGCCTGACCAGTTAACTCTTCATCACCAACGACTACTTTTAGCGGATGCAACCCAAGAAGGGACGTGCGGGCGAGGGTTCCCATGTCCCTCTCTATCTCTGCTCATGGAAGATGGTTGGCTGGCCGGGTCTCTAAAGGCCAAGGAACGTGCGATTGTCATTGTGATTGCCATTGATGTTGTGAATTTTTAGACTTTTTTTCTTTTGGTTCGTTCATGCGGCCAAGGTCAAGGTCGTTCGGCGGCCTTCTCCCTGCAAGCCCGCATGGTCCCGGGATTTCGGTGCATGAATTTGTGACGACAGGAGAAACATACTAAACATATAGTCTTTGGTTGGCGCTTTCTTTTGTGACTTGTATTGAAGGAATTGGAAATGCAACCAGCTTACTAGTGGGTTTCTGTTTCTTCATCGTTTTGCATGGATGTCGCAACCAAAGATGCAAGACAAAAGACAACGCGGCATGCCGCCGTTGAAGCCGACCGTTGGAGCTTACGCATACTAATACATAATGTCTAGCCTGGTCTCTAAAAATAACAAACTTGGTACAGATTACGGATTGCTGGTGCACATGTCGCTAGAAGCTATCTCTGTTGTCTCTGCTGTCTCTGTTCATATACCTAGCCGGGAATAAAAGCGAGAGACGATGAAATGAAAGTCATCCACTTGGTCTTGTCTTGTGGATAGTCTTGCGCTGTTTTCTCATCAGCTATCCATTAGATTAATGCCGATCATCGTTGACGTGGAAAGTGGCCAGGAAGAAAGCCCATTCTTTTAGACGCCACGTTTTGTACAGGAGAGGAGAGCTACTCTCGACGTCGACACCGACCAGCGCGGCTGCCAGTACTTAGGGAAAGTCGAAGCAGAAGCTCCGGTAATTTCGGGCCGTCTAATTGAAAGGTGACGATGCCCACTTGGCCCAGCTACTCTTCCCCCAGTGCCTTGTACAAGACATGTCACCAAGGTGGGCATTGTCGCGGCCGGCAGAGCCAGAGGCATGCAAGTATCAATGCGTCCCTTTTTTAGGAGGCAGAAAGACGAGGCGGATGCTTGTGCTGATTGGCCTCGGGCCGGGCTGGCGTCGCCCCTCCTCGGTCAGCACCATCTCTAAGACAATAGGCGACAAGCCGTTTGTAACAGATATAGCATTCCCTTCAATGTCACCCTGTCCTTGAAGAATTTATCTATGTAGCTATTAATGTCCGGACCTCGATGACACTTGGCCGACAACCTTGGCCGACAACCTTGGACCCCAAGTGACAAGTCGACCGCAGCTGGCCAAAAGATTGGGAAGAGTGAAGAAATCATCAAAGCGCACAGCAAGTGACAAGGGGCGAGCGAGGCTTGCCAGCTTCCCCATGGCCTTGATGGATACGGCAGCGGAACCTGACTCCTGCCCGCTGTGCTCCGTCTCCTCGTCTCCTAGGGTTTTGTTTGTACTTGACCTACACCGACGAGACGAAATGAATGGGCTGTATGCACATGGATTCATGGGGCAATTGTTGCGACCGAACCTCCGGTCAGGACTCTCTCAGCTGGGGGCCTGAAAGATGACTGATCTCTGCCTCTTTCGCGAGACTCGGAAGCTGGGGCTTTCTCGCCTCGCCGTGTCAATCGTTCGTTAGCTCTGAAGATCGCATCCCCAGCATCAGCCGCAAGTCGCACAACGGTGACAGCTACGTTGCTCCAGATGCCGCAGGCCTGTGTGTTTTGGCATTGATGGCTTGCACAGGAACCACTGGACCACGATGGTAGAGAGAAGGTCAGCTAATGCAAGAGGATCCAGACCCCGCGTGCATAAGAAACTTTGGCGAGGCCATCGTGAACTTGGCAAGAAAAGAGAGAAAAAACGGGTAGTTGTCATGCTGTCAGGTCCAGAATCGAGATTCTTGTGTCCACTCGTCCCCGCCCGGCTGCGCGGTTTCAAGTTTTCCCTTGCAGAGGTCAAGTTTCCTGGCCGTTATATTTTGGTAATTTTTGACCTATTCGCTCTACTTCCGGCTCGGTCATGTACATGCATGCGGACGCAACTTGTGCTTGTCGCGCGCAAAAGTACGCTGACGAGAGCAAGCCGGAGTGGCACGCAGGCAGGTAGCAAGCACAGACCTGGGGAAAAGCAGAAGCGATGACAAGGGTCCTTGGGGAGGCCCAGAAGGGGAAGACAAAGAAAAAAAGCAAGATTCACTGGGGGATGCGTGATCCATATGCATGTGCGAATAACTGGTATGTGCGTGCTGCAAATGATCAAGAGAAGATGTGGGATATTGCGGCCCATAACGGTTGCTACGGTTTGAAATAACTAATGTTTTCCTCCCATCGAGTATCATAAAAGATGTGAATGATATCTTTATTGCATGTGGAATTGGCAATTCATAACCGCCCGGGATGCCCAGGGCAATAATAACGGCGCTGGGCTGACCCATGTCGGTTCTTTATCCAGCCGGCCCCCCCTGTAGTCTGTAGACAAGACCATCCCAGCCGACAATCACACCCGTCAAGTCATGCTGTTCACCTATAGCCAAGGGCGTGTAGCTCTAGGCCATATTTTCCCAAGCGACGCTTCCCTCGTCCCCCTGAGATGCGAGGCGAGGCGAGGGCAAGCCACCGACTCCGCGATCTCGCAAGCTCTGGCCGGGGCTGGGTTTTGAGCCACGGAGCGCAGCCGTACGGTACGACTGCCGTTTTCGATGCATCAAGACGTGCAGCCTGCAGGCCGTCTAATATGTACGACCGTGTAATATGTATGAGAAGAGGTCGAAGCGCTCCATTGTCTACCCGTTGCGACCAGCCATCGCTCACCCCCTTGCGGTTTCCGGCCTCATGTCGGGGCCAAGAAAGAGCACACGAGGAAAAGGGTCTGCAGGTTTGTCTTTGGCAGGGCTCAAAGCAACAGGGTGCACGCCCGACGCGCATCAAATTGTCTCCAAGCGGAGGAATACCGCTCTCCGGTTGTCTTTTTGGGGGGGGGGGGGTCGAGAAGAGCCAAGAACAGACATTTCTTTTTTCTTGTCCGGCCCCTATCAGGGTCCCTGACGAAAATAAATAAAAAAAAGCTGGGATTGTCATCCTTGAAGAAGAGAGAGACATGGCATGGCGGGATGGTTGGATGAATGGCGAGTTATTACGAGACCCCCCGGCAGAGTGCAGAAACACCGTGCGCGTATGCTGGAGGGGAGAGACAATAGAAGCGACGGGACTCTGCAGTGTGTTTTAGTAGAGGGACAGTTGGTGCTGTGCTTGCTGTTCGGTGCTGTTCTGTGCTGTGCTGTGCTGTGCTGTGCTGTGCTGTGCTGTGCTGTGCTGTGCTGTGCTGTGCTGTGCTGTGCTGTGCTGTGCTGTGCTGTGCTGTGCTGTGCTGTGCTGTGCTGTGCTGTGCTGTGCTGTGCTGTGCTGTGCTGTGCTGTGCTGTGCTGTGCTGTGCTGTGCTGTGCTGTGCTGTGCTGTGCTGTGCTGTGCTGTGCTGTGCTGTGCTGTGCTGTGCTACACTGCTGTGAGTGAAAGCATAGAGGACCGGGCCGACTGCCCTAGTTAGTGCCTTGTAAAATATACTGCAGCATGGAGATGGCTTGCTTCTTTCACTGCACTTCCACTTTGCTGTTGCTTGACCCTCCCCCCCATCCTCATCCCCCATCACATCCATCATCCATGATCCATCCCCGAGCTCCGGCAAAGCTCTAGCCCAATGCAATGTTGGGCTGATCAGTGCGACGGGGCTCTTCCTTGCAAGCTTTGTGGATACAACTTGCCAGTGATCGGCCCAGTCTTCACCTCTTCTCGCCGCAGCTGCTTTGTGCTTGCTTGACGGAGACGGGCTCATTTATGATAATACTAGCACCAACCCAACCCGCAACCCATCTTTGCTGCCCCCATCCCCTCAATCCTGGAAACCTTTTTTCTCATCTCTTTTTTTCCCATCCGCCGACCGTCTTTTTTTGTTTTCTGTGTCTCTGGTTAGACGTTCCATTCATTCTTCTGTCGCAGTTGCCGTGACTTGTCTTACTAGCCGACGCTGCTTTGTACCTACAGAAAAGCACAAAAATCAACCTCCACTTGGGCACTTTCCCATTCATTTTATTAGGCCTCGGCGCACTTACACGGCGGCGCTTGTGAGCAACCAAAACCAACCAGATCAGATCAGACCAGACCAAACGAAACCGAACCAAACCAAATCAACCTGTTTCAATAAGCCCCTTCCGCGGCTTACGGGTTGCCATTCACAAGACGAAACCCAGCATGTCCGGCTGCTGCCGTCAGCTTTGATCACCAAGACAATCTGATCCCGCCGGCACAAACTCCGTACAAACGCAACCCGCCCGTCCGGGACAACTCACCAAACAACGACATACGACCACTCTTACTTGCAACACATCTGCATCTGATCCGCTACTACTTTTACTCAACCGAAGCAATTCAAACGAGAAACACCTTCAGCCAAACTTGGCCATGGCGGAGGCAACTTCCTGGGAGAGCGCCATCGTGGCCATCGAAGGCCCCAGCAAGACCGTCTCTACGCAGCTGCGACTGCTCCCGTCTACGCCGCACATCCTCATCTTGCCCACCTTGGACACATACATGCCGACGACAGCGACAGCATCATCCTTTCTCGACGTCTACGACCCCGTCCACCACCTACGCCAGCTCAATGCCGCCATGAAGCGACGGCATCGCGACGCCCAAGCCTTCCTGCGAGGGAGCAGCAGCAATGCATCGGAAAACCAAGAAAGCGGCAGCAGCACTCAGCGGCTTGTATTTTTGGAAGGCGGCGCGGCAAGCGCCCAGGCACTCTGTCTCAAAGCCCTGATGCACCACGAAACGGCCGGCGATCGCGCAGCCGCCGAAGCCCGGCTGGCCCGACTCACCCGTCGTGGGCTCGCAGGTCTCTCACAGGCGGGAGACGAGGAAGAGCAGCGTGCCCGTTCCGCGCCAGTTTCTTACTCTGTCGCCGGGCACCTGGAAGATGATGCGCTGCTGGCGGTGGACCCAATCACGCGGGCGATGCGGGCCGCTGACGCGCTGGATAGGCAGACGGCGAGCCTGCAAGTCTCCAACGAGTTGGATCTTACAATGCGCAGCCTTTGCCGCTCGTCAAGCCTGCCACTCCAAGATTCAACTTCGGGACAGGATGCAACGGCGCCGTCTGGGCAGTCATCGTCGTTTGATGATGACGACGATCAAAATACACCCACAGCCACGGCGGAGCGGCCCGTCAAGTCTCCAGCCCCCAGCCAACGGCATCGCTTCTCCGTTGTCCACTATGATCAGCAGGCAGAGATGCCATCCGTCTTTGGCTTCGACGACTTTCATACAGGCCGGTCCGCCGTGTCGTCGTTGTCGACCTTGACGGCTGTCGATAGCGAATCTAAGCGGGAAAGCGCCGGGTATCCCCGCCACCATCGTCGGTTCGCCAGCAGCCCAATTTCACCCGTGTCGGACGCGTTTAGCCTGCGCTCGTCGTTTGGCCAGGTAGAGTACGGCCGGGCCTCGCTTCTGGACATGCGCAGCACTACGTCTGTGCGGCGGCCTTCAGGTGGCCGAGGCGGTAGCGTCCAAGCGGCGGTGGGTAGAGGCACCACCACGCATAACCACACAACGCCAAAGCTGAACCATAATCACCACACTGCTGATGCGCCCAAGCTCGGCCGCCCGTCCACCGTTGCTGATGAAACAAGGCCACATGATTATAATAATAATGTCCCAGCCCACCACTTCCTTGGGAAGTCGGCGTCGGTATTCAATACTTCATCAACATCATCACCATCGTCGTCATCATCAACGTTGACGATGACGACCGGCGGTAACACCACCGCCGTCGCGGCCAACATGGCCTACCCTCTCGCCCGCGTCCCGTCAACCACCAGCCGGCCCAGGACCATTGTCGTCAAGCGCTCCCGGCCTGTCATTAAGCTGCAGCCCGTGCCTAGCACAAAGAGGCGTCGCTGGCAACAGGGCCGCTCGACCTACATTGACGACGATGGCAGTGACCACCCGTCAAAGAGCAATCCAGTCGACGACAATAACAAACATGACAACAATAACGACGACGACGACGACGACGACAACAACAACAACAACAGCGACTGCGAGCCCGTCTTCCCTCGCATGGAGGACCTCGTCTTGTACCTTCGCTCTGACCTCACTCCCCAACCACTGCTCGAATCTGCCCTCAACGCCATGCGGGAGGAGTACATGCGCAATTCGATGTCATCGTCAGGCCGCTCCTCGCCTAGCACCAAGGATAGCGGCAGCACTCGCAGTCGGGACTCGCTTGCCAACACTGATGACGGCACTGCAGCACTCACGTCGCCGGATGAATCCTGCGGTGAGCAGGAGGTCACCACTGAGGTAGACCCCGCCGTCGACGATGATCAGGGAACGCCAAAGACGGCTGTCCAGATGACCGTCCCCGTGGCGCTGCCCAGCATGGACGACTACGACCCATTCGCCTATATCAATCCCGTGTATGGGGCACCCTCTAGTGACAAGCCGTCGCCACAGCCGAGCGTCACCATCCTGCATCCTCCCACCCCGGCACAGACGCCGCCGCCTAATGAGCCTACCGAGGCCGAGTCGACAGAGGTTGTTGTGCCCGAGGAGCAGGAGGAACAACCACAGCAACCATCACAACAGCAAGAACTACCAGTTCAGCCGCAACAACAGCAGCCGGACACGGAAAAGGAAGTGATTGAAGAACTTGACTGCAGCATCGTCCATGTCCCCATTGAGCCCAATCAGCCCCCAATTGAGCTGCAGAACTCGATCCGTGCCGTTCTCCGGCAGCACTATCCGCTGACATCAGCCCGCGGCACTCTCACGCCACCATTCTCCCCTTCTCCTCCCCATGTACCAGCAGCCGGCGACGACGGCGCTGATGATGGCAATGACCTGTGGCGGCCGCTCTTCGGCCGCAAGGCGACAAGTAGCCTGCCTGCCGCCGTCGGCGCGGCTCGTGGACACCTACGTCACGCGCACAAGCAGGTTCTTGCCGTCGGCGTGCAGCCCGGCGTGCGACGCGAGTACGCGGCGCGCGTCATTGGCCAAGTTGAGCGGTTCGGCACGGAACCAACCGGTTCCTCTCGCTGCGCGCGTCTGGACTTCCGGTATGTATTGCTACTCTCCCCCTAGATGCACTTGTACTGACAACACACAGGTATCTCCTCGCCAATACTATGCAGGCCTTTGCGTCCACCGCAAGAACACCTCACATGGCTGAGCGCCGCGATACAAACCCCTTTAGCAGTCCGTCACTTCTCGCAGCGCTCATGCTGCCGCACCTCGAGACGTACCTGGCCGTGCACGCCGATGTACGCTTTCTAATCCTCGAGTACCCCCCGGAGCACCTGCCCACTGTCGCCGCCATGCAGCGACTCGCCGGCGCGGACCTGCTCAAGGTTGCGCAGATTGTTGCTGACGACGCTGATGCTGACGGGCGTCTGCAGCGGCCTGTCACGTCGCACGCCGCCCCCGAGGGATCTATCCGCAGCGGTGCATCTTCCCGCCACTACTCGCAGCGGACGTCCTCTCTGAGCAGCAGCAGCAACAGTCGGCGGCGGTCCATTATCACCGCGGAGGTTGTTGGCGGCTCGGGCGACAGCTTTCTGCTCCCGGCGTCGGCGTCGGCCCGGGACATCGCTGACTTTGTGACCGCCGTATGGGACATCTCCGTGCCGGAGCGCCGCCCTCGGTCTGCACGGCCAGACGTCGTGCCTTCTGGAACCGCCACTTGGCCGGCCACGCCTACCGCTGACAACTACAATTCCTTACCTCTGGAGTCCTCGCATGCACAGCAGCGACAACCCTCAGAGCTCGCCGTGGCTTCGCCACCCACGCCACAGGACTCGCCCGTTGGACGCAAGCCCAAGCCGACACAACTTCGCGTCAGCACACTCTCCGCATTCCCTAAGCCGACGGGCCCTCAGAGCCCTCTCACGCCCGTCGCCAACATGGGGTCGTCTGTGCTCGCACCAAGGTCGACCCAGGAGGTGACGCCGCCGCTGTCCGGCAAGCCCAAGATGGACGAGTTCCGCCCGGCTTCTTCTCGACGCTCGCCTAGCCCCGAGGACGAGTATCATTACCACGCACCACAACCGCAGCCGCAGCACGTCGTGGCGCGCGTGAGTGCGGTCGGGACAAGCACGCTGCCACACCTCCGCCGGCAGCTCAGCAACAGCACCATGCGCACGACCAACAGCATTGTGTCGGCCGTATCGCGCGCCTCCTCGACGCCGCACATTGCCCACCTGCGAAAGGGTACTCTGACAGCAGCCATGGCACCGCCTACACCAAGCCGACTATATGATCCTGCGTCATCCTCGTCCTCGCCGTTGCTCTCGTCCGCCTACCACCCTCAGAACCAACAACAGTACCAGCAGCAGTACCACCACATGTCCCTGCTGACCCCGCCCACGCCACGTTTCCTCAACGCCTCCCCGTCGTCGCCGTCCGTGGCCGGCTCGACGCTACACAGTCGCGGTGGTATCATGGACGACGGTGCCTCGTCCATCATGACGTTTGACCCGGCTGAGGACAGCGACTACGACCAGGAAGAGCGCCGGCTCATGCCCTTCTTCGGTAAGAAGCGGCGGCGCGCTAAGCCGGGCACGCAAAAGGCGCTGCGCGTGCTGGGCATGATGGCATGAGTTTAATCACATAATCATAATTGGGCGTGTACAAATTACTTTCACTTATTTTAGCAGAACTCCTCTATGTCACTTTGTTTTCTTTTTTTTTACTTGGTCCGGGGGAAGGCTGGTGGAAATGATGCTCATTTACAAGGCGGTTTTATTCACATTTCGCGAGCGCTTGGGGTTTGATTTCTTAGAATACCAGTTTGTCTAGAAGACTTGCATACAGTTGGCTGGATAATACCCAAAATTCTTTTTCCTCCAGCGTTCTCACTACCCGCACTCATAATCCTGCAATGACACTCTCTGTCGACTTCAACTCCCTCCCTCCCCAGTCGCAATCAGACGACCGCGGACGGCACCTGAGGCAAGCGCCATGATGAGCAGATGCCAAGAAAAGAAAAACCTTTCCTTCATCTCAGCCCTTTCATTTCGTCAACGTCCTATAATTAGACTCGGCGGGAGAACTTACCCGCCCATCCTGAAACGCGGACACGGACCGCACGCAGCTAGCCACCCCGCGGCTGAGGATCGTCGTGAACCCATCTGTTTGCCTTGGTACAATTTCGTCAAAACTTGTTTGTGCCGTGGGAGAAGACACAAAGCTTATTCGCAGCTCGTTTATGCCGTGCTGGTCTGAGCGGACGCGGAGGTGGGCGTAAATAAACACACAAAACAGAGCTCCGCCTCCGCCTCGTCCAAGATTCAGCTGTGCTTTTTACATTCTCCGTGATTCGGCGTCTCCTGTCCGGCATTTTTTAATCATACATCACTCGAGGATACAGCGAAAAAAAGCAGTCGTATTATTTCCTACATTCATCTCTCCTCATACTCGCCCACCGTTCTAGCTGGTTTCAAAAAAAATATCATGATCCCGACTTTGCTCTCTGCGCAACCCTTTCGCCCCCGTGTTGCTCTCTGGTTCGCTCTAGCACAAGTTTGGGAGGCAAGTCATGTAATTCTCGTTCTATACGCGTTGCGGCGGCAAGATGGGGATGGGGAAAAACAACAAAGAGGAAGGGGAAACAATAAGCTGGAAAACAAAAAAAAAACGAAACCCGGAAACTATGAAAAGTCATGACAAAGTCTGTCCACATTATCCACAACCTTGCGCAACTAATCTTCTCTCCTCTGCTCTCCTCTTATCTCTTCCGTGAGATGCTCGTCAAACGGCTGATTATGGCTGCGCGCGGTTTCTTCTGGCTCTCATAAAACACATCTCGCCTAGCAGCAACTTAGCAGCAGCTGTTGTTGGAGTTGTTGCCGACGCCCTGGCCCTGGCCGACCTGTACGCTGGGCTTGGTGTTGTTGGCGGCTGTGGTGCCCATGCGCTCCTTGATCTGGCGGGCCATGGTGAGGAAAGCCTGCTCGACGTTGCTGGCGTTCTTGGCAGAAGTCTCGAGGAAGGGAATTCCGAGGGAGTCGGCAAATTCCTGCAGTTGTCAGCATGGAGCCGGGTAGCAGCCAAGTTGCGGCGCATAACTCGGCCTGCGAGTGATGAACATACCTTTGCGACAGTGTACTCGACCACCTTCTTATCGGACATATCACTCTTGTTGCCGACAAGGAGCTTGTTCACACCCTCGGTGGCGTAGCGGTCGATTTCTTGCAACCATTGCTTAACGTTGTTGAAAGAGTCCATGTCGGTGACATCGTAGACTACGCAGATTCCATGAGCACCGCGGTAGTAGGAAGAGGTGATGGTTCGGAAGCGTTCTTGGCCGGCGGTATCCCACTGCGTCGGTTAGCATCCAGAGAGAAACGGGACGAGCGCGTCGGTCACATACAATCTGCAGCTTGACGGTCTTGCCATCGAGCTCGATCGTGCGGATTTTCTACCGTCGTTGTTAGAAGATTCGATGTTCCTTAGTCCAAGGAGGGACGGCTGAGGCACCAAGCCTGAACATACGAAATCGACACCGATGGTGGAAATGTAAGACTCCGTGTAGGTATCATCCGCGAAACGGAGCAGCAGACAAGACTTTCCTACACCGGAGTCACCGATGAGGAGAAGCTTGAAGAGGTAGTCGTATCTGCAGGCAGAGGGCTGTTAGCTCGGGTCCGGGCGGCGGGCGCCCAAGATCATCGGTGCATTCGTAGTTCATCGGGCGGCAGAAAGATGCATAAAGAAAAGGAAGGCAGAGAAGGGCGCCCGCATCGCGGGCATCTCGACTCGTCATCCTCGCTGGGTACTCTGCGGTCGAATCGTCAGCATGGCGTTTGGGGTTTCAGGGGACAGCCCGCGGAGCGGTGGAGCCTTGAACATACTACTCAGGGTTCATGGTGACGGGAGGCGGCTTGAAGAGCGACCAAAAAATGAAGACGGTTCGTTTGGTAGGTAGAAGGGGGGGAAAGGCGTAGGAGACTGGGTGCGGCGGTCGACTAGATGGCGAGGGGCGGCGGGTGAGGTTGGTGGATGTTGGCGTGAAGGTAGATCCAGAGATGGAGGGACTGGAGGACGGGTTGTTGACGTTGCGAAAGATGGTCAGGCGTGGGCAGAACTAAAACTAGCGGCGTACGTCAGGGAAAGGCAGCAGAAACGGAGAGAGAAGTGGGAAGGCCAAGTGGTGGTTGGTGGTGGCCCTGGTGGGTGGTAAAGGCAGCAGCCAATAGCGGTCGTCCAGGAGGTTGGGTCACGTGAACTCAGGGAGTGATTTGGTGTTGGACTGGGAGCGGGGGCTGTGTTTGGTGAAAGAGGATGCACTGGCACTAATGAGTGGCATTAAAGTAAGGATAATATTTTATGAATGAACTGCGCACATATGTGGTGTTGGACCGGAGAGCAGAGTTGCACTACATCACCATGACCTTTGACGCCTTGTCTGGCACCGAGCTTGTTGGGACCTGCATGTGATGCACCCGAGCTAACTAGTGCCTAGGCAGATGACGAGAGGTGCAATGCTGAAGAAGAGTGAAGAAAAGTAAAGACGTTTTAAATTAATGACAGGTTTATTTTAGTTTTATTGCCGAAGGTGCGTATTTCTTTTTGTCTATTTTCAGAAGCTTAATTATCCATTGTCCTTTTGTAAGATACGGTAGCCAATGCTGCCATGTCTTTGCACTGTACGTCCAATGCTGGTACTATTATGAAAACATACTCTATTATACCCCTCGGTAACTATATAACTTTTCTAATAATAACGATCGAAAGGATCATATTACACCCAAGCATTCACCTTGAAATTACAACAGCCGCCAACTGGATGCAACCCACCGCAGTAGCAGATCAGGCTCCACCAACAAAGCCACGGCCAGTTGACCAGCCGCCGCCGGCCACCACCAGCGCTTCCACCCAACGTTTTTTTCCCCTCCAAAAAGCTCCGAGCGGAAAAAGGGCCAATCCGGGGAGTTGCAAACCGTCATGCTAGTGATGCCTGTGATGCCTTTTTTTTTTTTTCCCACTACTACCCCGACCTTATCGCCATGACCAAGTAGCTTCCCGACAGCCCGTGCGTTTTGCAAAAGAACTTCTTGTTTCCTTTGACACAGACTCCATGCATGCGACACTTGCCACCACACGCAGAACAAGCTCAGAAAAATTTACATGGCCGCGCCGCTGGGCAAGTCGCTCCCCAGGGCCCGTTTGCGCCGCGTGCCCGCCCCGTCGACGCCGCGATGCATCGCTAGCTACGGCCATGCCCAGGCGCAGGTGCAGAGCCTCTCGCGCGCCGCCGCGACCTCTCCTCCCCCTCCTCCTCCGCGGTCGCCGCCGCCGAACCTAATCACCACCTATCCGGCCGCCCGACGCGCCGCCGCGCAGCTCTCCCAGACCTACTTCGAGGCGACCGGCCAGACCTGGATGCCGCTGTCCGGCGACCAGGAGCCCCCCGTCGACCCCAACAAGGCCAAGCTTGGAAAGAGTAGGTTTTGCCCCCCTCCCCCCTCCCCTCCCAGCGGGAAACATGTTTCAAGCTGACCGACCGACTGCCACAGCCCTCCGCATCCTCCAGGACCGCATGCCCACGCTCCTGCAGTCCCCGCTGCCGCAGGAGATCCTCGCGCCGACCATCACGCTTCGCCTCTTCCCCTCGACGCACCCGCACCTGCCGGCCGTCTCCGGCCGCGTCGCCTACACCGCCGCGCTGTGGACATCGCCCATCGCGTGGAACCGCGTGCCGCTCGTCGGCGACGTGCGCCTCGAGATCCTCGCGGAGCGCGTGACCGCCGAGCCGCTGACGTTTTTGCCGCGCCGCGCCGGCGCCGCCCCCGAGCAGCTCGTCGTCCGCTGGCGCGAGAAGAGCAGCCCCCGCACCGCGGGGGGCGTCCTGGCCCGCTCGCTGCGGCTGACGCGCGGTGGCGAGGCGGACAGACCGTTCACGGGGCTGTTCATATTCGACTTTGATAGTGAGGGGCGCGTGCTCACGCACACGATTGAGACGGCCCAGGAGGGCGGCGACTGGGAGCGCGGCATGGGCGCCAAGTTTGTCGGCTTGACGGACTGGTTGCTCGGCGGCATCCAGCGCGAGCCGGGCGGCACGCCCCCGATGCCCATGTTTGAGCGACGGAGACGCTCGTGAGGTCTTGTCGTCCTTCTTGCCATCTCTTTTCGTCTCATTCCCTGTTATATCCTTAGCATAATATCCCTCTCTGGCGTTTTTTGTCATTTAGCGAACATTGTTTTTATACGGTTCATTAGGTCATGTATAATACTGTGGTAGCGTGCGCGCGCCCAACTCTCCCATCTATCTATTCATAGTGACCGCCATGGTGAGCATAGCTCTGGTTTGAACAAACTTCATTTATTCTATCTGGTGGCGGTTATCTCGAACTTTTGTAAACGCGGTGAACAAGAAAAAGAACATGTGCTTCGTGAAGGCGTATGGATTGAGCAACAACTTCTATGGTGCATCGTAAGCGCCAAATCAGCCACATTCCTCCATCTTCTCTGAGAAGAGGACTGAAACGGGCTGGCCATCCAGGGCATTTCACAATATTCTGCCCGAGGCCTGTTGTCTTTGTGTATTTACTGCGCCAAACAGAAAGAAAATTTCATGAGCTCCAGGGCGAGACGAATCTCCCAACCTCAATGACCCTACCACCAAGCTTCACTTCCATACAGGTTGCCTCAATCCCCTCCACGGCTTGGCCCCTACAGCAGGACAATCTCGCCCGCGCCGTCACCCTCGAAGCCCAGCTTGGCCAGCTTGCGCCCGCGCGCCTTGTCGCGCCGCCTGTCGCGCGCCCGCGCCTCGTCCGCCAGCCGCCGCACCCGGCTCAGCTCCGCCTCCTCGTAGCCCGGCGGCGGGAGGTCGTCGCGGTCGAGGTCGATCTCGCCGAGCAGCAGCACGTTCTCACCGCGGACCAGGAAGATGCCGTGGAAGATGTCCGCGTACAGCCCCCGCGGCGCCGGCGCCGGCGCCGGCGTAGCGGCGGTGTCAGTTGTGGTGGTTTCGGGTTGTGGTAGGAGGGCGAATATCCGCTCGGTGGTGGATTGCAGGACAATGTTGGCTGGGGAGCGTGCATTAGTGTTGTGCTGGTGCAAAAAGCCATTGGCCGTAACGTGCCAGGGCTTGGTCTCGAGTCTCTTTAGGTGTTTCCCGGACATACCGAATTGATCCCAGCTCCGCAGCACACCGACAAGTTTACGCCCGTCACGGAGCACCACCATGAGCTTCTCTGCAAAACGCGCGGCAACAACCAGCTAGTCAGCATTCCGTGTCTCCTCATCTCGTTCTCTCCTCCCCTGCCTCTCGCGGCGTCCTTCTCCGTGCCAGGGAAAGGGGGTGCATACTGTCCGTCAGGTCGAGAAGCTGTGCCGCTGTCGTAAACATCTGCGGGGGTAGCTGCGCGGGCGGCGGCGGCGCCAGGCCCAGCGCGCCTCCTTCCCCTCCTCCCTGATGAGGTGGTTCCGAGATGCTGAGGTTTTCCATTGTGGTAGGCTCTGCTCTTAGATCCTGGTCGTCTTTTGTATGAACAACCTTCTTTGAGGGTTCGGCGTTTGCGTAAGTCCTTGTTTCGTGGGTGAGTTGTGGCTATAATCGCATCGTATGGTTGGTCGTCGATGCCTTGGTCGTCGTGGCGGATAATGAAGATCGGATCCTTGTCCAGCCTCGCAATGCGACTCGTTGGCGGCAGCAAATGTGGTGCTTGATTATCGATAGCGTATCATCACGTGAGCCAGTCTGCTTGCTCATAGTTAACCAGCGGATCTGGACAGGCTCTTTTTGCGCTTCATCTTCTCGGCAGTGAATGCGGGGCATTTCCTTCCATGGCAAGTGACTGGTGCAATGGCAACCTTGTCCGAGGCTGCCGATTGGCTTTATTCCAGCAGTACTCGTAATGCAACGCAGCACAACCCTGTCAGGATCTCACCGATGTTGGTTGTCTAAGTTGGCTGCATCTCACCGACAACTACGGATTAGCTACATGGTATACACACTTGATGGCAAGCTCGCTGTGGCTTTCCATTTTGTGGTTGCTCAGCTTAAGCCACACCCAGACGGAAAGCGAGCGCCGTGTGCCTAAAAAAGGCCCGGCTCCAGCCTCGAGGGCGGGCGCCGAGAAGTGCTTGACTCGCCGGCGTCCCAGAACCGTCCATTTCTCACGCGACTTGTCCCCCAACCCCCAGTGGTTTGGGCGGAGGGGCAATAATGCCAGGCAAACCCCGGTGACAAAAATGGCTCGTTCATTTCTGTGACTGATTAGTAGGTGCTGCCCGAGCAGTCGGCTTCAGCTGGTGTGTGCCACGCAGCCGGCATCAAATCTGGTTGTTTTTGTATTCTCCGTCTCATCTATGAACGGCAAGGAAAGAAATAAAAATGTACACGACGCAGGGGGCATCAGATTGAATATAAAAAGTAAAAAATCAAAATCCTCTGGGCAAGACCGCCAGGTTCCACTCCCGAAAACAGGAGAAGCACAAGTGCCCTGGGAGAGGCAAATAAAATGTGCGATATAGATGCGAATTGTATATTACCCGTATAACCTGTGACGGGCTATGGTTGCCAATTCATTTTTGCCCCCCTGATCTATCAGTAATTAGAGTACCCTTCCGCCTAGCAACGCCGTGTTGTTATAAATGCATGCGATTGTTTTGGGTAGCTGTCCTGCGCCTTTCACGCAGGATTGACTGGATGGAGGGAGTGACCGGCCGCATTTGCAGCAATGGCCTGATTTGCCGCTATGATATTCCCTTTAATTTTGGAATTCTTTCAGAAGCACTTGCAGATCAGGTCGGTTTTTCAAGGCCTCGATAGCCTGTGAAAAGATAGAGCTCTTCAGAGCCGTGATAGAGGCTTGTAGGGCCTCGATGGAGCATTCCAGCGCCTCTTGCGGTTCAGGCCCGTTTTTCAAGGCCGCAGTAGAGCTTTTCCCAGCCGCCAGAGAGTCGTTCAGGGCCGCAATAGAGCTTTTCCGAGCCGCGATAGCGCTTTTCAGGGCCTCTTGCCGCTCAGGCTGTGGCGTCAGGGCCTCGACAGCATGTGACAGGATAGAGCTCTTCAGGGCCTCTTGCAACTCAGGTCGGGTTTTCAGGATCTCCATGGCCTGGGAAATGGTAAACCACTCGCGCTCACGCTTCTCGTGCTCGGGCCACTTGTCGTGCCGTTCGAGGACGGTGCCTTGGAAGAAGTTGTACTCGCTTTGGCCCTTGGACAGTTTGCGGCAATGCTGCTCCTCGATAATGTCGGGCGACGCCTCGACCTCGACCTCGATACCGGCTTCCTCCCACGCCTCGCGGACGGCGGCCTGCTGACACGTCTCGTCACTCTCCCAACCGCCCTTGGGAAGAACCCAACCCTTGGTCGACTCGGTTGACCCGGTCGACTCAGTCAGCTTCGACTCGGTCGGCTTTGACCGGATGAGCAGGACGCGCTCCTTGTCTGGCGAGAGGGGGACGACGCCAGCGACGCGTCTGAAGCCTTTGGAATTGTAGACTAGGGAAACAGGGTTAGCAGGATGGGGTGATTGGAGCACGTGGCATGTTGCGCCCAGCTGATGAAGCCTCGGAAACTCGCACATCGCATCAAATTCAGGATGAAGATGACTGCGAAGTCGGCCGCAGGATATGCGTGCATGCACAAATGTGCTAGTGGCAACCTGGGTCCCGGACTGCGTTCCTTGCTACCTAGGGCACTACCAAGGCGGTACGGGCGCCGGGGATGTGCTGCATGCGTGCAGGTGGTGACGCAGGGGACCACAACGACTTACGTTGTTTACTTCTGCCAACTCGCGATTCCATGGACCGCCCGTTGGTGTCTGTAGAATTTAATCCCGACATGATGAAAGAACTTGTTCTCCGGGATTTTGTTTTTCGTTCGATGGTGTCGATTCGGACGGAGCAAGTGGCAGCGTTTGGCGGTCTTGGGGTTTTGGCAGCTTGTGGCGCAACACCTTGGGTTCTCCCTGAGGCAGCAGGCTCTGGCAGTGGTGCGTTCAGCTTTTGGTCAAGGGGAAAAGAGAAAAGAATAAGCAGCACCAAGGGGCCGGAAGATGGGGATTGCGACGAGCGTGGTTGCGCAGGGGGCGATCAAAGGGTATCGAGCTGCATGATGAGGGCAGATTGACAGTTTGGTTTTCGAATGATGGGTGTTTGTTAAGGAGTTTGAAATGGAAGCCCAGCAAGATTTCCCGGACTGCCGGAGGGCGGGTTGGTGAGAGAAGAGAAGGAGAAGGGACGAGAAAAAATTGGCTGCAGGAAACCTTACCTTGGAGGCGTTCTGTGGATGGTTAGCGGACGAACAGTGGGCAGTCATGGGGGGCAGACAGTGGACTTGCAGTGGTTTTAGTGGATGATGAAGGTGCTGTTGTCTGTCAGTCAGTGGATTGACTGCTGCACCTGCATACTTGCAGTTGCTAGAGGTTCCTCTTTGGGCATAGGCTCTGAATCACCTTGAACTCGACGCTTTTGATAATTTTCTCCTTGTTGTCCTTCTTCTCCTGAATTGGCCTACAATCACGTAGGTACCTTACATCCGTTGCGGTGCCTGGGTAGTTTTCGGCGTTTGCTAAAACGCTGCCTCTGGGATGGCACGAGTGCGGTGTAAGAGCAGCCGTGGCTGTGGAGTCGTTGCTTTGGGGGCTTTCGGAGGGGCAGAGGGTCCTCGATGCATGGAAGCAAGTCTTTCAGTTTCTCTGGTTTGAGGTTTTTTCTTCTCCTACTGCCGTGGCAAAATTAGCTTGTCCCAGGGGTTCAAAAACTGCAGCTGGAGAGGTTAGTAAGTAGGCTGTCTACTGCATAATAAAGTCGAGAAATGTAGAGATACGTGGCTTGCATTGGGGTACGTCTCGGCTGCAGAGTGGTGATGCCCTCCTGTCGCTGCAAAAAGCACTTGGCAGTCAGTCTGGCACCAGCGCACGTGGGCAGCTCCCACTCAGAGATTTTCGGTGCCCCGTGGCGTCTTCGCGACGCTAACAATGACGCACCTCTTTAGAGGTAAATCTGTGCTCCGTTCAAACCTCCAAGTTACCACCTCCTTACTAGTGTAGTTACCCAGCTTACCTATTGCATTTGTGTATCCGTACGGAGGCAATGGTCTCGAGAGGTGGTGGGACAGTAAGGCTGAGAGGAAGAACAAACAGTTACAGACGGGGAGGACCGATGCCGTGTCGCACAGAAAGAAGCACAGAAAGAAGCGCATCCCGTCTTATATACTGCTACGGAGCCACGCGGCATCGTCACCTAGCTGGCATTGTGCAACGCTGCCAAGTTGGGACTCTTCTTCTTGTCTGTGTGCAGCCTCACCCCAGACGCCATGTCTTGCATCTCAACGGCTGTCTCGGCATCCAAACAGGGCAATCCGCCTCGACATGCCCTTCTCCAACCTTGTATTCCCTGTGATTCATACACAAGCGCATCGACCAGCACGCGTCTCTGTTACAATATCTAAACTCGCTGACCGAGGCGGTTGGTGACTGAGCCACAACAAGGCTTGCCTTGTTGCTGCAACGCCACCATCCATCTCGAATGCATGCAGGCCAAGTGGGCATTTTCACCGATGCAATCTGCAGGGGTCAAAGCCAGCCAGCTAATGAGTTGCTGCTTGCATTCGCCCGCCGGCGTCGGCCCAGGGTTCGGGCTGGCTGGGTTCTTCAAGGCTTGCAGGGGGGGGGGGGTCGCTACTCGTTTTGGCGTCGCAGTTGAGGTGGCTCGACTTGGTTGAGCAGCCATTTCTCACGTGTTTGCACCGCGCTAGGTGGCCAGGGAGGTACCAGTAGAGTGTGCTGGTGGCGTGTGGTAACAATAACTCGAGCCTGATATGGAAACCCAGATCCTTGGGGACGCCTCCGGATGGCTGCGGCGTGACTATGGAGCGGAGAGGTCTGAACGAATAGAGGTGCATAGAGGCTGCAGCGAGGGCGACTTATGTATGTAGAGTAGGAAGTCGGTCGGCAACTGAAAACCAAGAACAGGTCAGTAACAAGTTCGGGGTGATGCTGCAGAGTTTCACTGTATAAGCGGCACTCATCAGAGATGTCCGTCTACACGCCTGCACTAACGTGGGCGCCGGAGGCAAAGCAGGACAGGGCGGCACAACGCCGACACCGCCACTTTAATCACTCAATCACGGTGATTTTGGATCGGTGTCACGGCAGAAGGCGAAAAGCGAAAAGCAGGTTTGTTGGCTCTTTTGCCAATGACATGATCGCCGGCCAGCGTCGGGCATCAGTCTCTGAGACTGCCCTTCGATGCAGTACCACTCGGGCTGCATAACCACGACAACACGCATGGCCACTCGGCGTCGAGGAAACGGGGAAAAATGCAAAGAGCCACCAAATTTACTTGGTGATTTGTCTGTAAGCAGGATTACTGTCCTGGACGGATCAACGGCCGCATAGGACATGTCACAGGTTGGCCATAGAGCTGCGCACATACAGGCACATGTCTATCGATTAAACGGAGCCTTGCCGTGAGACACGCCTTGTACCAGGATTCTATAAAGCATGGTAGATGATCCGACTCCACAGGATGCGTTGTTCGATGTTGCCCGGAGGCCGTCCGTACTGGCTTGCCGGATTCAAGCTTGCAGGGTCGAAGGTAGGAAAAGTAAGGGTAGGCTGAGAATCGGGTGGTGCCGATTGGGCATGACCCCTCGATTGGAACTGAAGCGAGCCAGCATTGGAATGGCGGGGTAATTCTATGTATGTATGTATGTATGTATGTATGTACTGTACATAGCTGGTCAGGCATCGGGTTACTGCGGCCTGCAGGTGTTTTTCAGCAGTAACGTGTGGCAGTTGTACAGAAATCTGCTCAGAGGTGCACCATAATAAAGAATAATTCAGGCCAGTGCGGGACAAGCCGCGCAGCGCTGGAGCCTGCTGTATCTCCTCTTTGCTGCCCCATGGATGACAGCTGTAGGTAGTTTTGTACGTCCCCTGTTCTGCCGCTTCGTTCCGCACCGCCCAACGTCGTCATTACCCCATCCTTTTATTAAGATTCCAAGTCATCTTCTTTCATGTCCGCTATCATCACCGCCATCGCCATCATCATCTCCGCCGGGCCAACCGCTGCCACCCTGCTCCATGCTCCCTGCTTGCTGTCCCTCTTCTCAGGATACGCACAATGCAATTTCCAGACCACCAGTCCCTTCTAGCATTTACAGATACCCTCGAACTGGTCTCTCCAATCGGTAGGTCCTGCTCCATCTTCTACCTTTTTTCCCCCTCCCCTTCTTCCCTTTCCCAGCATCTACACCCGATCCATGCAATTGGCCGCTCCCCACGTGCTCCTATACCTCTCCCCTGTTGGTCTCCTCCTTGGACACTTGTTCTTGCATCGCGTGCACAGGCGACTATTGCTCTGTTCGCAAATCCACGCTAGTTTCAACTTTTATCCCGGCCCGTTACCCCCGGGCGGTCTCTTCCCCGACTTTACAATACCTCCCGGCAGTCCGCATCCAGCGAGGCCGGCCATGGTCCAGGCTGCGTCGCCTCACGGCGCAGCTGTCCCCTTCGCGGCAGAAACCCATATTGCTCCAACTGATGCTGATACATCATCTAAACTAGGTTACTCTTCACAGTCACATTGTGGTTATTGCTCTGGGAAAAACCAAGCAACGGCTAAACGTAATAACCCCTCTCGCAATTCATGCTTTACCTGCTAACCATGCTCAAGCTGGGAGTCGTGGTACGGTGCATGCAAGCCGTGTCCAGTCCAGTTCACTGACAACCCGCAGGAATCTCCTACTATGCCAAAGCCTCGGCGCTGAGCCCGGCCTTTTACCAAACGCTGCTGGACCGCTACTGGAGGCGGTCCGGGACGTTGCTATACCGTCCCAACCAACGAGACTCTTGTTGTCCGCATTATACGATTCGCCTAGACTCGGAAGAGTTTAAGCCGTCCCGCGATCAGAGGCAGACCATAAACCGGTTCAACGCCCACATCCTTGGGGACGAATACTCTAAAGAAGCATCGCGGCGTTATCCAAGAACAAAAGAGGAATCTAGAAGGCGAAAAAATGAGTTCAACCTCGTGGAGCGAGTTCATGAAGCAGAATATGGCAGGCTGAAAATGCCCCCGACGCCTGCGCATAAACTCCAAGTTACTCTAGAGGAGGATAACTTTACAGAAGAAAAGTTTGCCATCTTCGACAACTACCAACACGTCATTCACAAGGAGGATCCTGGCGAGCGGACACGGAGATCCTTTACCCGGTTTCTCTGCGACTCGCCCGTGCGTCGCCACGCCGAAACTCGTTCAGACGGCACGAAGAAGCGTCTTGGCTCGTACCATCAGTGCTACCGTATCGATGGGAAGCTCGTCGCTGTGGGCGTTCTTGACCTACTACCGCAGTGTGTGAGCTCTGTATATTTCTTCTACCACGAGAGCATCCATAAGTTCAGCCCAGGCAAGCTCGGCGCTCTATACGAAATTGCACTCGCTAAAGAAGGAGGCTACCGCTGGTGGTACCCCGGGTATTACATCCACAGCTGCCCCAAGATGCGTTACAAGATGGATTTTGCGCCCCAATATATTCTTGACCCTGTTACGTTAAGCTGGGATCCCTTGGATAAGACGGTGCTTGCACAGTTGGACAAGTCGCCGTACCTTTGCTTATCCCAGCGAAGAGCCGAAAGGGCTGCCGCAGAAGGTCAACGTACCGTCATAGCCGATGCTGAAAACCCGGATAACTCTGATGACAGTAGCGACAACTCAGATCAAGATGATGTCGACAGATCCCTCTTTGCCGCCAACATGCCCGGCATTCCCACACTTGCGGAGATGGCGACTGTGGACATGGATGACATACATGTCCTGGGGCCATCTCCGGTTATTCTATATAGCATGACTGATCTTGTGAGCTGGGATGAGTCTTCCATCTATGAATGGCCGACCCTCAGGGCTCGCATGGCTGAGCTAGTTGGAGCCATGGGAATAGACACGACCCCAAAGCTATGCATAAATTTGCAGGGTTGAAGCTTGCCGAGTTTCCCACCGAAGATGGCCTCGTGATGCTACAAATATCAATCAACCCCCAACAACTAGACTTTCACCGTTGATGGTGTGCCCGGCGGTGAGATATAGGGTAAGAACACCATGCAGGATCAGGAGTTCCTTTAGATAACACACAATACATGTAAGTAATACATATGTCTAAAATATAATAATTAGCTTGATAGTATTTTCTCTATTCAATTCTGGTTTGGATATTTTCAAGCAGAAACTTGAGAAGGAGGTGAACTCGGGTAGTATATCAATTGCTTGCATCCACGCTGTGGCCCCAAACACCCCGCGCCAAGAGCTCTGTCCAAATTTGGAGAGCTCCATTGAAACTTTCAAAAACTTTTAGACCCGTCACTCTACACGACTGTTTTCTACGACCACACAAGACGGACGCAATTGAACAGGTACAAAATTTGCCTATATCATCTAATAGCTTACTGAATCGCCGCAATTCATCGCAACGTCGACTGCGCCAATAAAGCAGCAACCCAGCCCGCCACAGCAGACCCGGGCGTTTGCACCCAACCTACCCACGCACACACACACACACGCGCGCCCCCTTCGCACGACCGAACCCGATGGCGACGCAACAAGCGCTCTTCTCGCCAGCCGAGCTCGCGTACCTGCACAGCTCGCTGCGGCTGCGGCCGCCGATCCGGCCCGACGGCCGCTCGCCGACCCAGTTCCGCCCGCTGACGGCCGAGACGGGCATCCTGCCGGGCACCAACGGCAGCGCGCGGGTGTGCTTCGCCGACGGCACCGAGGCCATTGTGGGCGTCAAGGCCGAGGTAGAGCGGACGGCCGAGGGCCGCGCGGTCGGCGCGGAGGACCGGCTCGAGGCGAGCGAGGCGCACCGCGCGGGCCCGGAGGCGGAGGAGGGCGACCGCGCGCGGCAGGCCCGCGAGGATTGGCTGGAGATGACGGTGGAGATTCCTGGGCTGCGCGACGATGATGCCGCGACGGTGTTTCTGGCGGAGATGCTGCGCGAGGCGCTGCTCGCGGACGGCGAGTTTGCGGGCAAGCTGTGGATCAACCGTCGCTTCCACTGGCGGTTGTACCTGGATGTGAGCTCCTCATCCCTTGTGTGTCTCGTGGTGTTTTGAAAGCTGACCGTGCTGGGATATAGATCCTGCTGATATCACCGCCCCTGTCGTACCCCCTCCCGCTGCTCTCCCTCACCACGCACCTGGCGCTGCTGTCGACGCGCCTCCCGCGGCTCAAGTCCGAGGGCGACGAGGACCCGCTGTTCGACGATGACTGGGACGCCTCGACGCTGCTGTACCCGCGCGACGCCGCGACGACGACGTGCCCGCGCCCCCCGGTCACGCTGTTGGTCGTGGCGGTCGGCGACAACGTCATCTTTGACCCTGCGCGGGAGGAGCTCGCCGTCGCGGAGACGGCGCTGGCCGTGTCCGTGGCCGAGGTGCGCAGGCGGCCGACGGCTGAGGATGGCGGCGGCCGGGAGCTGCGGCTGCTGTCGATGCGCACGATCGACCCCCCGAGCAGGCTGACGCCGCCGGGCGTGCCGCATGCGGCCGGGGGCGCCGCGCCGGCGCCGACGAAGCAGACGGACCAGGGGGCGACGGAGCCGGGCGTGTGGAAGGCGCCGCTGGGAGGCATCAAATTTGGCGTGGTGGACGCGATTGTGCAGGCGGTGCTGGAGAAGGGCGGCGTGGCGGACGAGGTCCTCGACGGGCTTGAGGGCGTGGAGCTGGCATAGGAGAAGTGGGAGGACGGGCCTTGATTGCATGGACGTTTAAGTGTATACGGATTTTCTGCCGGCGTTGAATATAATGAACAATTCGTGAGGGTTCTGCGTACTAGATTGCAGCGAATGGAGAGACCGTTTCCTGGACTAAGAGACTACGCTTTGCACTCGCAAAAGCGGCGGGAGAGTTACGATGCCACCCTAGGCGTGAATGAAGCGGAATCAAAGCAGGAACGCATCTACAACGCCCCTGAACGTTTGAAAAGCATCACACTGATATGAGGCTTGCTTAAGAAATCCAATGGAAGAATCGCTATATGGAGAGACAGGATATGTTACACTTTTTACACATAGGCGCCACCGGCTTAGAAGATGCCAAACCACTTCTTGCGCTTCCCCGCGGTCTCCTCCTCGGGCGTCTTCTCCGGCATCTCCTTGCCCAGAGCAGCTGCCTCAATCTCCGCATCGGAGAGCTGTCGATCGCCCTTGCCAAAGACCACGCTGATGGGATCCTTCGGCTCGATGCCATGCACCTTCATGTAGTAGCGGCGCTTGGCGACGTCGTCGAGGTGGCGGGTACGGTGCTCGCCGGCCTTCAACGCCTTATCCTTTTCGTGCGAGAGAATGACCTCCTTCCAGGCGGCAAAGAAGTAGGCCGGGTCGGACAACAGGGCGGACGTGGGCGGGACAAGGTCCTTGTAGGGCGAGTTGTAGGCGTAGTTCATGAAGAAGGTGAAGATGCCCATGGCGAAGAGGGTGCCCTGTAAAAGGCGTGTTAGTACAGAGTTGAGATCCGAGGAGAGGGGGGGGCGGGGGCAGCGAAGAAGAAAGGCGCACCATTGTGATGAAAGTGTGCAGCAGCTTGCTGTGCCAGAACCAGTGCTGCCACGACCCCGCGGGCGCCATGGTGGCCGGGTAGTGGCGCTGACTGCGCGCCTGCACCTCGACCTCGCTCAGCGGCGGGCTGTAGTGCTTGGGCAGCGCCTTGCTGCGCAGGCGGGAGCCGTGCGACGGCGGGTTGAACCGAGCGGGCTTCTCGAGAACGATGGGCTTGCCGTCGGCGCGTGACGAGGAGGCGTATCGCACGCGGACAAGCTGCCGCGCGGCGCCGGGCGGCGGCACGCGCAGACCCCGCCACAGAGGACCCTGCAGCGGCAGCAAGAAGCGCGGAATGACAACGCTCTTGAAGGCGGCGGCCATGACGGGCGAATGGAGGGTTGCTGGAGGCCGTTTGAAGATGATGGGCGGTTGCTTGGAAAACGAGGTTCTGTCGTAGATCCCGGCGAAAGGAAATTCCCTTCCCGCTGCCTGGATGGGCGCTAAGCCTGATTCTACTCGGCGGTGAAGTAAAAAGGTGGAGCTGGTAATAAGGCCAGTTTGGCGTGGAAGCTGCTCAGGAACCGATGTCAGGTTCGTATGGTAATAGGGCTAGTTTTTCTTGTCGAAGCGTCAACGATTTTTTTTGGTCACGTTGGTGCTGCACCAACGGCCCAGCGGGTAAAGTCGGGTTGGAGTTTGCTCGGCGTTGGATCACTGGGTCCGCCTGCCCCAGCAGCGCTAGAAATAAGTCCTGCGTAATGCTCAGCCCCTGATTGGCTAGGCACAGCCCCGGCGCTCTCGCCACAGGTGGCTTGTCCACTGTAGCGTCCCCTGTGCGACAGCGCATTCTCAGAGTGGCACAGGGGGAACCGGCCGGCTAGCATGTTTTTGGCCACATGCTGTCATGAACTTATTTTTTTCTTGCTCATTCCTGCTTCCCTTTTTTCCTTCTCTCTTTCTTCCAACCACAACGACCTAATAACCAATCCAACCCTCCAACGTCCACGACCAAAGAAGAATAACCTCACGAGGCTCTTTTTTGGATTATTTGCATAGCAATTCTTGACTCACGACACTTTACGTCCTTTTTCTTTCATACACATCATCACAATGGCTGGTGGTAAGTCGCTACTCTCCTTGTCGACTCGTCCCGGAGTGTCCGTCGGCCCGCAGAAGCGATATTCAGGAGCTATTCGGATGGTTAGAGACAGCTTGCGAATTTCGTGCGGATTCCAGGCGAACGACGACCTTCCGAGGAGCCAATTCCCTCGAGTCGAACAAAATGTCGCATGGGTCATGTCAGCTCTCCTAGCCGAGGCCCCAAAACCTGGCGCGCGCAAACAAAGGATCAGCTCCTGAACAGCCCTGCGTCATTTACGATTGACTGCTGAGAAGCGCGTCATTATTTGTGCATTGCAAATCCACGCTGCCGACCTGCATTGCGCTTACGCCGCCGAGCCGCTCGTTTGCGCGACGTCAGGCTCCAACGCGCCGCGCCTGCGTCATCCATCGGGACGAGGACATGAAACGATTAATTGACCACAACCGCTAACAAAACACCCTCCAGGCGACGCTAAGAAGGGTGCCAACCTCTTCAAGACCCGCTGCGCTCAGTGCCACACCGTCGAGAAGGGCGGTGCCAACAAGATCGGCCCTGCGCTGCACGGCCTCTTTGGCCGCAAGACGGGTTCCGTCGAGGGCTACTCCTACACCGACGCCAACAAGGGCAAGGGCATCACCTGGGAGGAGGACACTCTCTTCGCCTACCTCGAGAACCCCAAGAAGTACATCCCCGGCACCAAGATGGCCTTCGGTGGTCTCAAGAAGGAGAAGGACCGCAAGGACCTCATCGCGTAAGTGACGTTACGAAACTCTCGCCCAAGTAGCATGCCGTGCTAACGAGTTCGCCACACAGCTATCTCAAGGAGTCGTGCGCTTAAGCGACACGCATTGTTGACCACTTTGCAAAAAGCACCACCTTAATTGTACCAATGATATGAAAGACAGACATACTTTTCTGATAGACGGGAGGGAAAATGCCGGCGATTAGTGTATTATAGACCAGTTAGAGGGCCTGCGCCAATACTAGACGACGGCGCGCCCACAGCTCTGAGCAGAAACTCCTCTTTGCGAGCTCGCTCGCGTAATCTTGACGGCTGTATTGCATGATATGTGAATGTGTCTCTGCTGCTGACTGAGGTGGTGTAGTTGAACACAGACGAAAATCCATGCAACGATTTAGTTGGTGATGGAGAGTCAGGACAGCATATAGTCGTAACGTTGAAGAGAAAAATCGTTATGTATGATCTATAAGTCTACACCCTGGTATCAAACTCCCCTACAACGCCCCTCCCATCTTCGCCCTGAGCTTCCTGTACATCTCCGGCCTCGCCACGCTTGGCCTCGTCACCTTGAGCGCCTCCTCCCAGTCGCGCGCCGCAATCTCCTGCGGCGCGTCCGGGTCGCGCGCCGCCAGGTACCTAGTGAGCGCGAACTCGGCCGCCTTCTCGTGCAGGCCGCTGAGGTCCGCGCCGGAGAAGTCGGCGCAGCGGGCGTCCAGCGCGACGCCGCTCAGCAGCGCCGCCTCCTCCTCCTCATCCCTGGTGGTGGTGTCGGCGTGGCGCGTGCGGTAGATGGCGCGGAGGATATCGACGCGCTCCTCCGGGCTCGGCAGGTCCAGGAACAGCTGCCGGCTGAGGCGGCCGGGCCGCAGGATGGCGTCGTCGATCATGTCCGGGCGGTTCGTGGTGCCGATGACGTAGACGCCCGGTCGAGCGCGCGCACCGTCCAGTTCCGTTAGGAGCGCGTTGACGACGCGGGTGCCGGCCTCGGAGGTTCTGCCGCCGCCGTCGCGCCGCGGGACGATGGAGTCGAACTCGTCGAAGAAGAGTATGCAGGGCGTGGAGGAGCGGGCGCGCGCGAAGAGCTCGCGGACGGCGCGCTCGGACTCGCCGACGTACTTGTTGAGCAGCTCGGGCCCGTTGATGAGGATGAAGCTGGCCTGCGCCTCGTTGGCGACGGCCTGCGCGACAAGCGTCTTGCCGCAGCCCGGCGGGCCCCAGAGCAGGCACCCGCCGGCGCGGGTCAGGCCGAAGCGGGCGTACAGCGCCGGGTTGGCGATGGGCCCGACGATGGAGAGCTGCAGCTGCTCGCGCACCGAGGCCAGGCCGCCGACCTGGTCCCACGTTACGTTGGGGATGGCGGTGAAGCCCTCCTTGCGCAGCATGGGCACGTAGTCCTTCATGGCGGCGGCGAAGTCGTCGAGCGTCAGCGGCATGCTGGGAGGTACGGAAGAGGCTGGGTCGCCGCTGTCGGCGGCCGTGTAGATGGTGTCGTCGCCGGAGGGCGGGTAGTGGGATGACCGGGAGCGACCGGCGGCGTTGCGCGCGGCGTGCCGCACGAGCTGCGCAATGTCCCCGCCGACGTAGCCGTCCATCCTCCGGGCGAGGCCGACGAGGTCGAGGTCGTCGCGCACCGCACGCTCGTGGATCACGGCGCGCAGGATGTCGGCTCGCTCGGCGGCGGTCGGCACCGACAGCGGCACGCGCACGTCGAACCAGCCGCCGGTGAAGAGCGCGGGGTGGACGTCGGCCTCGCGCGCGGCGGTGGCGACGCACACGACACGCACGCGCTGCGCCTTGACGCGCGCCATGTGCCGCTCCAGCAGGGCGAGTGCGCGCTGCGGCTGCTCGTTGTGCGCGGCGGTGTCGCCGCCGCTGGGAAGGGGCAGGTACCGCTCGACGTGTGCGGCGAAGACGAGGCACGGCGCGGAGGCGAGAGCCGCGTCAAAGGCTTCGGTGAGGGCCTTCTCGATGCGTTCGGGTTCTTGAAAGCAGCGCGTGATGTCGATGAGGGCGACGCCCATGTGCGCGGCAAAGGACCGCACGTAGGACGTCTTGCCGATGGCGGAGGGACCGGTGAGGAGGATGCCGAGCAGGCGCTCGTCGCACGGGTCGTAGCATTGAGGTGCTATTAATAGGTTCTCCAGATCGAAGAGCAACTCATCATATGCCTTGCCGAGACCGCCTAATCTCGGGCGGTCAATGCTTGACTCGACATCGAAGAGCGGTCCTCGAGGGGTCTTCTTTTGCAGTTTGCTGCCGTCGAGAGTCGCTTTGCTTTCTTTGGACTCCTTCGGCGTCGACAATCCCGTGGCGCCCTCACTCGTTGCTCTGGTCATATTCGTCTCGTCGGGGTCAATATCAACCCGTCGCTTCTTCTTGGCCGGCGGCTGCTCGCCATTCGGCTGCTGTGTATTTGTGATCGCCGCTGGCATCGCCGCGGCCTCGACGTTCCAGTGCTTGGTCATCTGGCGGTTCAGCAGGAAGCGCTCGTCGCCCTTGGTCGTCGGTTCGGGTTCGTCGACGTCAATGGCCGCCTCGGAGTCATCGTCCTCGTCCTCGGCCCGCTCCTGCTTCCGGACGTCGAGCACGCGGAAGAGGGCATCCTCCAGCGGCCGCTTCTTCTGGCGGCTGAGGCTCGAGTTGGAGGCCTTGACGGCGCCGTACGCGGCGGCGACGGTCTTGAAGGGCCTGCCGTCGTTGGCGCTCTGCTCGAGGCGCTTGACAACGTGGTATACGTCGAGATCGAGCCGGTTGCTGAGGGAGGGCGGCATGGGAAGGCGGCGTCGGCGCGTTGTCGTTGCGTTTTGACGTGGTGAATAAAATCTTGGAGAGCGCCAACTTTTTTTTTGTGGTGACAGGGATGAGTGGGGTGGCCCGGAGGTATTGCGGAGATTCGGCGGGGTGGACGCTGTGTAAGTCTGGACTTGTGCATGCGGTTCCTAGTCAAATAAATGTAGGAGAGAGAGAGATTGAGTTGGTGGATTGAACTAATATACTTGTATTAATTCCTGATTCGAATGTGGTTCAAATCTAGGGTTGTCTGTCTTCGAAAAACGGCGCATGGTAGCATTGCAGCGTCCCTCTGCATTGCGTCGATATGTTCTACAAATTGTTTATTGTTGGAAAATATTTCTCTGTGCTATGTAGATCTTATTCATCCTACTATGGGGATTCGAAAGGTGTATTTACTGCGGCCGTTAGCTTTATTCTGTAGGTCACTGGCATCACTAGCACTTTGCCCTACACAGCCTGCTTAAGCACCGCGATTTTGGACTATCAACGCCCTTTGCATGTTATGCTACCACAAACGCTCATTGCACTCACTCTTGCATCTTGAAGTGCATGTAGTGAGACATGCCCCTCGCATAAGGAATCCAAGACACGAACCAAAACATCCAGCATAGCCAGAAGGTCAACAGTCTGACGCCCGGGTTGTTTACCAGACTGCAGCCCTCCACGAGCTGCAGCCTCGGATCGAGCTTCGACACGTCGTCGGAATTGTCGGCAGTGTAGGCAAAGTGAACGTCAAAGTCGCTCTTGGCCTTGAAGAGCCAGTTGAACAACGCTGCGGACGGGGCCGAGATGGCGTCTAGGACTAGCTCCCCTCCGCACGGTGCGAAGCAATCCACAAGCCGCCGGAGGAGCGCCGGACCGTCCTCAACGCCAAGGTACATGCTGAGGCCCTCCATGATGACGAGCGTGGGGCGGTCGTCGGGCAACGCTTCGAGCCAGTCCGTCGTCGTGACGTCCGCCGACACCATGCTGTACGTGTAGCCCTCGTCCGGCTCGGGTTCTGGCATGGCAACGGCAACGCGGCGGCGGGCGTGGATGACCGCTGGCAAGTCGAGGTCTGTCCAGCGCACATCTCTGCCGCGGCACCGGTCACGCAGGCGCAGGGCGCGCGCGTCTAGCCCGCACGCGAGGTGCAGGACGGCAACGGGCTGGCCAGCGTGACGGTCTAGGAAGTCGGCCGCCCACTCGTCAATAGTGCGGGAACGCAAGCCAAACCATGCTGGGTGCAAGATAGGCCCGGGCGGGATGCGTGCTTCGACTGCGGCGTGCTGCGCTGGGCCGAGGTGGTCGAGGATGGCAACAGCCCAGTGGTCTGCGAGCAGCGGACGTGGCTGGTAAAAGTCGTTGCGTTTGGAGAGGAGCGTTATGAGGAGCGTCTCCTGCGCGCCGGTGAGAGCAATACCCGTGTCGATGGGGCTGGCGGTGGTTGCGGCCATGGCGATGATGGTGGGTGATTATTGCTGACCGATATAGGGTCATTTCTCTGAGGGGTTGAGCTGATGGGCTTCAGCCACGCACAGGCCGGCACACTGCCGGTCATTGATGCAATATTGACCGGAGCTATTGACTGGGTGAAGTGAGACAGTAGCAACTACTGCATGCATGGCCCGATATGGAGTACAACGCATGCAGGTAGTTGAGGGGCATTTTGGTTCGTGCAGAGCTAGATTCGCAGTAAGAAACGTCCATAAAACGCCTGATCGTTTTGGAGGTGGTTTATAGATGACCTCAAAACCATCAGTTTGCTTGTTGTCAAAGGGTGTATCTTCACGAATTTCCATGTCTGGGAGGAACAGATAGTTAGATCCACTGCGAGGCATGGCAGCATACGGCAAACAATCGTCCGATCCGTCACAAAAGATACGCTGCAACGTCGATGAGACATTGAACCATGCCGACGCAGAATCAGCTGAAGGCAGTTGAGGCGAATTGTGGGCGAACGTCTCTCGTTGCCTATTATGACATGACAATGGAGATGTTTCTGTCACATGCCGCGACATCCGCGCAACCGGCGAAATACTTGGTAATGCAAGAAACAATGAGGGCCGGTATCGTCGTCGAGATTAATGACAGCGCAGATCCTGTCCAGTTTCCAGCGTCAACGCGATGACCTTGTCGTATCAGAACTTGCCCGACTGGTTCGAGTAGTTGCATCCGGCAATGTGTGTGGTGGATCCAGACAGGGCTGGACAAGTTCCGTGGTGGAGGTTGGCGAGTTGTAACTAGTTTGAAGATGATGGCTTGCTCGAAAAAATACCAGGGTGAACTCGGAAGCATTGTGGATGGGCAAGAAAAACTTTTGTTGAGGGATATTGTGCCATGTCGTGTACCAGCTGACTTATGGTCTGAACATGGTGTTTGTTGATCGGTTTCTTGTCGGCAGCGGGCTCCAATAATCTGTCAGTAAGATAATACATGCAGCCGTGAAATCTATACAGAACCATCTTTTTTTGCTTGGCAAGGGCAGATGTGCCGCGAATCTACCTCTCCAAGCCCTTGGCATCGTCGTTTGGTCCCAGGCACATGGGACAAAATGCGGGCGTTCGCAGGGCAAGAGTTTCCGACAGCCGACTCGAGCCGAATCAGTTCGGCTAACACTTCCCCCTCTCCACAAGAGAACAAGAAACGAGGCGTAAAGCTCTTTTACCTTTTCTCCTTCTTCACGATCGGCGGAGCGCCCTGAGAGGCTGAGACCCTGGGCCATCCATGCGCCAGAGCGAGGGTGTGGAAACAAGGTTAGAAAAAAAGAAGCGGGGCATGACTCAAAGGTCCATCTTATCAATCAAATCAGAGACCCACTCCTACCTATCTGTACCGACTTTTGCCCTCGGTTTTCTCGTGTTTTTCCCTTCCCACACGGACGGTGTTAGAGGAAGAAAAACTCTTTTTTTTTTCGATGGGGTCGTCTTGAGCGGGGTTCTAGACCTTGCCCGGTTTTGCCTGAATTTCTTGCAGCATCTTGCACGACGATGCACCAACATCAAGCCACGTGGTTCGAGTATCACGACAGAGACAAACAGAAACCAACCTTCGAACCAACTCGCACACGGCACAACGTCGGCCGTTGCGGAACATCGGAGCTAGTTGCCAGAATTTGAGGCAGCATAGATGTGAAACATAGCATCGACAATGTCTTGGTCATGCGAGTTAATCTGCGCCAATCTAGAGGCGGATTGAGCATGGCTGGCGGGGTTGCGGCGGGGATGGCCTTTGTGCTCGTGCGCACCCGGCGCAAAATTTAGGCCCCATTGGAGCTGAACGAGGGCCCGACGTTCTTTGAAGCTGGGAAAACGGTGATCGTCCCCTGCTCGGCCACCAGCCCGTCCGTCCGTCGCTTCAGTTATTCGCCTGCGGAGCAAGGACTAGGTCCAGGTGCCGCCTCGCCGCAGAGCTCTCGTTCCCAACAGGGCAACGCCTGCCGGCCGGCAACATTAAAGTACGCACAAAAGCGAGATATCAGGATGAGGAAGGCGACGAGGTCCAAAAAAGCCGCGTGCGTTCTAGCCCGAACGCCCGTTGAGCTGAGAGGAGACGAGAACCGAGCCCGCAGCTGTTAGAGCCGACGACCTCCCCTAATCGGAAGACATGGCGGGCATGCTGGAGCCATGAGGGTTTAGGTCTCTTGTCGCTATGGGGGGCAGGCTGGGACCGTGAGGGTTCAGCTATCTTTTCGAGCCGAACCAGATGTGGAATAAGAACGGCGGACGATCCCACCTCCCTCGAGGTCTAGTCTCACGTCGGACCGTCACATTTGACACAGTCCTTGAGGTGTAACGTCTCGAGTACTTGCATCGTCCCGCTTACACGGCGCCTGCTTTCTATTGCAGAGAGGTTCCTGGTAGCCTTTGCTACTGTCTCACACGCACCCCAAGATTTGCAAACATATACTTGCTGTCGACGGTTGAACAAGGCAAGACTCGAACCCCGCGTTTGTGTAAAGCAAAGCACAAGCGTACGGCTTCTCTTCCTCTCGTGCTGTCTCATCATTCTTCTTCAATCCCCTTCCTTATTCACTCACCTGACCCAACCAACAACAACACTCTTACTTTCGAACCGGCTTCACGCCAGCCACCTTGCCATGGCAAGCCACCACTGGATCTCAATCCTCAGCCTGCTGGCGCTGCTTGGCCTCACCGGTGCTGATGTTACCAGCCCCGGAGCCCACGGCTTCCTGGGGTTCGGCATATCTCTCTATGACCCCTACTGTGCGTTTGTCTGCGAATTCAGCCTCTTCGTGCCCATCAACTGCACCACGGCCGACCTGGCCATCGTCCCGAAATACCTGCGCCGTCGCGATGCCGACGAGGCTGCCAAGCCCGTCTGGCCCAGCGGCGACGGCTGGGCTGTCACGACCGAAACCACACCGACGTGCCTGTCGCGCAACGAGTTCTACCTGCAGACCCTGGCGTACTGCATCAAGAGTCACTGCACGTCGATCCCTACTAGCGCGGCTGAGAAGTTCTGGGAGGGACAGCTCGTCAAGCTGCCGGATGGGAGCGGGCCCAAGTCCTACACAGATGTGGTGGCGGCTATTAGCGAACCGCCGACACGACCGGTCAACGCAACCCAGGTGCTCAACTACACGGGGATAGTACCCGAAGAGCAGTGGCAGCTGCTCTACAGAGACGTTTCCAACAGTGCGATGAACGAGATCAGGCACTCCCTGTACAGTCTCATCATCCTCATCACTGGTGCGGGCATCCCAATTGCCATGTCGTTGCTGCGATTTCTCCCGTGGCCGGCGGCGTGGGTCACCAAGGTGAACGCATACCTCATCGACCCGCCCCTGGTCGGCTCCAAGCACTCGACACCGATCTGGGGCCTGGGCATCATGCCGACTCGCGGCCAGGCACTCTTCATTCTGTATCTCTGGGTAATCAACGTCGTGCTCTCGAGCATCGGGTATGAGAATCAGCTGGGAATCTGGTACGAGACCGTCAAGGCCGAGACCATGAGAAACCTTGCCAACCGACTAGGTGTCTTGGCGTATGCAAATGTGCCCTTGGTTATTCTGTATGCCGGGCGTAACAACTTTCTGCTCTGGCTGACCAACTGGTCGCACTCGACGTTTCTACTTCTCCACCGGTGGGCCGCCTTCATCTGCATGATGCACGCGGTCCTCCACAGCTTGGTGTACCTTGAGATCGCCCTGCATTCTGAGGGATGGGCCGAGGAATTCACCGAGCCGTATTGGTACTGGGGATCCGCGGGCACGATCGGATTCGTGATTCTCTGCGTCAAGTCGATCCAGCCGATTCGTCAGCGGATCTACGAGATATTCCTCGCCGCGCACATTGTCATCACGGTGCTGGTGATTGTCTGCTCGTACAAGCACGTCAACGTCAAGTACACCGATGCGTGGGGGTACCAGAACTGGCTTTGGATGGCCTGTGCCATCTGGGGCTTTGATCGTCTGGTACGCCTTGCACGCTCGCTTCGCGCTGGGTTCAAGAGGGCATATTTCACGCCTATTGACGAGGATTACTACCGACTCGACATTCCGGGTGTCTCTGCTGACGGCCACGTGTACCTTCACTTTCCCACCATTAGCACCTGGCGCTTCTGGGAGAACCATCCATTTTCCGTTGCTGGTGTGACGTACCTACAAGAGACTTCTACCACGGCCAGCTCTGTGGTGGGAGACGAAAAGGAAAAGGGAATCGCAGCAAGCACGACAGCGGTTGGAAGTGGCTCGGGAAGCGGATCGGACAGTGAGTCGGCGATGATTCGCAAGGAGTCGGGCATTGCCGTCTTCATCAGGCGACAAAGTGGGTTGACAGCCCTACTCGCGAAGAAGGGACCGTGTCCCAAGGGCATTCCCGTTTTTGTGGAAGGCTCGTACAACCACAAGGCGACATTCCTGCAGGAAGACCACCCGGAGCCGACTCATGAGTTTCCCAACTTGCTGTGCATCGCCGGCGGAGTCGGCATCACCGGCGTGCTCCCGGCCGTTGATAGGTTCAACACAGCCGGGAAGCCGCTGGGCACCAAGAAGCTGTTTTGGGGCGCGCGGACCTGGCCCCTGGTGCGGGAGGTGGAGAGGATGCAGCTCTGCGGCCCGGCCAGCCAGAGCACGTCGACGGAGCGACGCTGGGGCGACGTGGATGTGACGCTGGCGGTAGGCGAGAGGCTGGACATTCGCAGGATCCTGACGCAGGAGCTCCGCCAGCAAAAGGGCGGCACGGTGATTGTGGTGTGCGGCCCATCTGGCATGGTGGATGACGTGCGATGCATCGCGTCGGCGCTCGGTAGACACGATGAGGCTGGTAAGGCGGTGGTGGTGAAGCTGATGATTGAGAGCTTCACTTGGTAAAGGAAAAGAGAGGGTACGAATAAAGGTATCTGACGGCCGAAACGGGATAAATTTTTAAAGAGGCGTTCTGAAATGATCTTGGACTGAAACAGTACATAGAAGAGCGGATGTAGGAAGATGAAATGAATTGAGACAAACAGAGTTGCATCCGACGACGAGATCCAGTGCTGTGCATCCTTGCCTCATGGCCCACACAGGGGTTGTCGTAAAGTTTCAGCACGTGTTGTGCCATTTCTCAGCGGGTTGTAGGGCTCTTTAGCGACACTCAGGCCCCTAAAAGGGGTCAGATGGCGCCGTCATCGGCGGGCCTTGGCTGCCTGGTGACAACATCGCGGGGCAAAAGCAGTGGCGCTAGATAAGAAGATAGACGGACAAGATAGACGCACCAACTCAAACCAGACAAAACCTGCCATCTAGCAGGAAACGAGAATCCTACAATCGAAGGGGACGATTCGACCTACAAGAACAGAAATACACATACACACAATGGGCGGAAACACCAGTAAAGTCACAGCCCAGGACAAGTGAGCAGCATTAGCGTTTCCCGCCCCCCAGCCATTCCCACCCGCGTCGTCCTCATGAGCCCTCCATTCTCGCTAACCACCCCCCTCCCCCCTCGCAGGGCGATCCTCGACCTCAAGATCCAGCGCGACAAGCTCCAGCAGTACCAGCGACGCATCACCGTGCTCACCGACAAGGAGACGGACATTGCGCGGCAGATGCTCGCCAAGGGCGACAAGCCGCGGGCGCTGCTCGCCCTGCGGCGCAAGAAGTACCAGCAGTCGCTGCTGTCCCGCACGGACGCGCAGCTCGCGCAGCTCGAGCAGCTGACGGCGAGCGTCGAGTTTGCGCGCATCCAAAAGGACGTCGTGTTCGGCCTGCAGCAGGGCACGCGCGTGCTGCGCGAGATCCACGCGGAGATGGGGGGGCTGGAGCACGTGGAGAAGCTGATGGGCGAGACCGCGGACGAGGTCGCGTACCAGAACGAGGTTAGCGAGATGCTGGGCGGGCGCATCTCGCGGCAGGACGAGGACGAGGTGGAGGACGAGCTGGCGGCGATGGAGGCGGGGATTAAGGGGGAGGGCAAGGAAGGGGAGGAGAGGCTGCCGGAGGTGCCGACGGAGAGGCTGCCGGAGAGGGAGCAGCGTGTGTCAGAGGAGGAGCCGGTGCGGGAAACGAGGCAGGCTATGCTAGCAGAGTAGTCCGGGGGAGTGTTCTTTGTCGTTGTTTTCTCTTTCTATACTCATCAGCAAGCATACGGTTGGGTGAAACTGGTACATAGACAGCACTGCGGTTTACGAAACGGATTGCTTTGTTCCACTGGCGCTCGCGGGAAAGGGAAAGGTTTTATCATTTTCATCATCATTATCCAGCAGATCCATCCTTATAGAGCTTATTTCGACAATTTATACACGATATTCAGTCTTATCAACCTGCATACTTTTCAATCAATCCCTTCATGATGGCCATGGCGCCGCCACGATATCCTCCGCCGAACATGGCAAGGTGGTTGAGGTGGTGATATCTGTTGCGTTCGTTAGCCCTGGCCAGCAGCACCGAGAGACGACAAAACTCACAGCTCGTACAGCGCGATCCTGTCCTCCCACTCCTCGCGCGGCTCCGCCTTGGGCACCAGCGCGTGGTACTCTTCCCAGAACGCGCGCCCGAAGCCGCCAAACATGCGCATGATGCCGAGGTCGTACTCCGCGTGGCCGTACACCGCCGCCGGGTCGAACGCGACCTCCTCCCCGCCGGCCGCCCGTCCGTGGTTGCCGCTCCACAAGTCGCCGTGCAGCACCACCGGCGCGACGGGCTCGACGCGCCCTAGCAGCCGCGGCACGACCTCGGCGGCGACCGTCTCCACGGCCGCCGAGAGCTCCGCGTCGGCCTTGCACGCGCGTAGGACCGCGCGGAGACGGCGCTCCGCGAAGAACTCGGGCCACGAGGTGGTCCACGTATTGTCCTGCGGCGTCGCGCCGCAGCAGGTTATCACTGGGAAGCCGAACGCGCCGCCGGGAGTGGGCGCAGGGGTGGTGTGCAACTGTGCGAGCTTGGCGGCGAGCGACGGCCTGGAGGAGGAAGAGGTGGAAGAGGAGAGGTCCAGGAAGTCGGTGGCGAGAAAGTACTGCCCGGAGGCGTCCCGCATGGCGCCGTGCGCGTGCGCGCGCGGGCAGAAACCCGGCACGGCGTCGGCGATGGCGTTGAGCGAGGCATGCTCGCCTGTAAATAAATCTGTCAGTTTATTCCGCTAGTAGACTTCACCAGAGCTTTGGTGGTGATACCTCGGAACATGGTCTCGGCGGCGGCGGCGCGACCCGTCTTGATAAAATAGCGACACGGCTGGCCGTCGACGGACGTGGACAACTTGAACGTTGACGCGAAGCCGGAGCCGCCGTGCGGGCTCATCCTGGTTTCGCTGGCATCCAGGCCAAGTGTCTCAAGGATTACGCTGTCTACTTTGCGCGCCATCATATGGTTGTTTCGGTGTTCTATATTCGTCTGATGAGAAGTTGCAAAACCCACCACTCACACCCCTCTAGAGGGGCTCCAGCGATGTGACGTCAAGTTTGCATGCTTCCTTCGGCTAGTGGCCAGAAACGGATTGACGTGGACAACATGTGCGCAACGCTGGAGAAAAGGGCAAGATGCAATAAAAGCAAAAGTATCGATTCCTCATCTAGTCTATGGTATAATATCTGTTTCTATCCGTCAAACCCGTAATAGCCGCTCCAAACGCCAAGTGCAAATAAGGTCGTGTCAGGGTCCGCCCCACATGCCGGCGCCGTTCGTCCGGAACCCATAGCCGGCAGGCAACGACTTGCCGGTACAGGATGCACATGGCCTGATTTGGTTCAATCTGTTCCCTTTGACAAAAGAAATGTTGTGGTTGCGGTGAGCTGTCATAGTGAGTGATTCCCACTAATAAATGGCCCCCAATTTCCCAATACTGCTTTTCGTGCATGTCGCAGCAGTGGAGATGATCAAGGTGTAGAGTGGTGTAAGCCTATCCGAGTGAGGCGGTCTAAAGAAGGCGCTTCTCGGAAGCACATTCGGCTTCCGTCTCGGTGTTCAGAGAGGCAGTCTCAGAGCTAAAGCCATTGTTGTTTCGGGTAGGGTGGTTGTAGGGCCAGTCCGAGGTTTGGGCCTTGGGAGGCAGCCCCATCTGCTTGTTGAAGCAATCTTTGCACCAGCAGGTCTGCTGACCGCGCCAGGCAGGGGCAGGCGTGCAATGGCGAGCGAACCAGGACTTGATGCTGGACTTGGGGGACGAAGACGTGACAGAGGAAGGCATTGTGTAGGGAGTAGCTTGGTGTATGAAGTGTGTAAGTGGTTTGAATGGTGTAAGTTGGAACTTGGTCGCGGGGGTTGGAGAATGTAGAAACACGAGGATGTACAATACTTTCCGAGAGGCAATGAGGTTCCTTTTTATATGACTTACAAAAAACTCTTCCCCTGTCCATGCTGTACTTCATGCCTTGCGATATGGTCCGAGCTGTGCTCTCAGCCATCGTTGAACCGGTGCGGCGTTTTTTAGTGGACCTCACACACCAGGCCAACGTGCTGCGGAATCTGGCTGCCATCGCCGAGCCATCACCGGCACAGATACGGATACCAATCTAAATGAATAATTCCCTTGGCATTAGCCCTCCTAGCTAACTCTGCAGAGTGCCATGCTAAGTATACCGAATGTTCGACGCGACTCGCGGCTTCATCATCATGTTGAGCATTGTTGATGTCTCGGGCGAGCCGGGCGGTTTCGGGCAGCGCGAGTTCGGGTAGGGTACCTATCGCTTGCGTAAGGATGTCTAGAGGCGTAGCTAAGACAGAGTCTGAGCAGAGAGTGCGCCACTTTAGTCTTTGCCTAGAAAGTCGGTCAATCTCCAAATGGAAGCATTCTTGCAAAGCAACATGTATCTTGACTGGTTTGCGACGTGGCTAACGGAGGTGACTCGGTGTCGCTGCAGAGCCTCAGGGAAAGACTTGCTGCATGTGGAAATAGCAACACAACTGATATGACCCACAACGGACGCTAGAAAACGTCCGAGACTGATGGTGGCGCGCCCAAAATCCAAACGAGAGATCGACTTTTCAGAGACGGCATTGGATGATACAATGTGCGGAACAAAGCTCGAATCTGGCTTGAGAAGCCAACCGACTCCACAGTATCCGTAGTTTCGTATCAAGATATTGAAAGTTTCTCGTCGACAGTCGTGAATGAGTTGGCCAGTCTTGTTATCCACCTCTCCGTTCCATCCGCTCTAGCCGATCGTCGCGCTCTGTCCGTGGTTCCACCTCCAGCCTGCCGGGCCTTCTTTATCGACGAGATGGTGAATATGAACGAAAATGGTGGAATTTTTTCCTGTCCCTGAATCGTGATCAACACCCCCAGGGCGGTGCGCGGGAGGACTGGTTGCGCGTGTGTCACAGTGTCGACTTTCGCCCCGTATATATCGTAGCTATATCCGGACACAGGAGTTCGAACTACTGGCCAATGATGATGACACACTACTAATAGCGTCAAATGGTTACTATCGTGCAGTGAAGTCTTGGAAAACGCACCCACTGGAGTAATCAATGTACAGCCCGCCTCTTTCGATCTTAGCTAGCATGAAGTCAACGTTTGCACTAACGTTAGTTGAAATGGCGGACAATCGTTGCGACAAGTGCGCTACCGGGACGTGTGAGGCGTGGTCATGTAGAGGCAGAGTAATTTCAAAGAATTCGACGTGCGGATGTCATAAGGTTTCTGAATGAGTCTCGGCTTGATTCTTTGATACCTAGGTAGGGATGCAAAGGGGAAAGAAGCTATCAGTGGACATGCCACCCCAGGTCGTCTGCCAGCTGGCAGGTCAGTTCGGCCATGTTGCCATTGCAAACGAAACACAACGGTCAAGAAATTCGTGTCTGGACCTTTTGCCAACTCAACGTTAAATTCGCAATCAACCGCATTCAACTGCATCCGCCTGCATCAAGCCGTTTTCATCCCCGACCGATATCTTTCGCCTCGGCTTCAACGGCGCCGGGTTGTAGCCCTCGGCTCTCCAGCCGTCTATCGTCCACTACATCGTGGTCGGCTTTCGTCCAATAAAGACATATCTGAGACAGAAATTAGTCACGTCCTCGCGGCGTTGCCGAGATTCCATCACATACAGGGGAAAGTATGCCTATCCCAGGAAAAGGAGTTCATTTTAGCACCGTGTTGTCGTTATTAGTCAGGTACATGGCCTACTAACCTTGAGCCCTGGGTCGCCCGCCTCGTCTCTAGCGCGACTGATGAGTTCCTCGAACTCTTCCATCGGCATTCTGGAAAACATGGTTAGCTTGCCGAATGGCCTTCCATTGCATGGCACGGCTGCGACGGACTTCATTTGCTCTGTCAGCGGATACAGGCCAGCTGTAGCCAACAGTTCTTTGATGTTCTCGCGGTTCGCTCTCCCTATGCGCTGGTCTCTAGGCTCTGGCGGAGTCTTGTCAGCAAACTTGGTTGATACGTGACCCCGATCGCGCAGAGAGCGTACCGGTTGGCCACGCACTCATCGGTAGCGTGATGAGTTTCGATTCTATATCAACAAAGCCGGCACTCTCCATCCAGCCTGCCATGTGCAAAGCCGCTCTTGGATTCTTTCGGGGGGAAAGCGTATTCAGATAACGACTTGACCACTTCGACAATGCATTGTCTGCGCAAACACGAGATGTCAGTGCCTATTCGCTTTTTGCAAGCTCGGTTTCCACGGTACTTGCCATAGGTCAGTCTTCCGTTGTCCGACTGTGCATTTAGATACAACTCCACAATCTGACACCATCCACCAGGTTTCGTGATGCGATATATGTCGCGCACATAGCTGGGCCATCGACTGGCGTGCACCCCTCCAGCAACCATTTGGCTATGAACCAGATCAAACGAATTACCCGGAAACGTGAATCTGCACCGATAATTAGACAAACATTAGCCGAGCCTCAAGAACCTAGGTCGAACCTCGCATTAAGGTCGTCAATTTGGAAATCGAGATTTTGCGGCGGATGGTCTGGCAGCATGTGCGGGCTGACATCTATTCCCAGCACCTAAAGGCAGACATTGATGTTAGAGCCAATACTCCTGCAACAATGGCCCAGACTTTGCCCTCGGAAGCAATCACCAGGGCAAAACTCAGGCAGAATACCTTGATAGGTCGCCGCGGGTTCTCTTCGAAGGGTGTCGACCTCGCTACATACCTCGCAGTCGGGATACCTCTTAGCCACAGCGACAGCCCAGTTCGCGGCACCGCAGCCGCAGTCGAGAATACTCTCCGGCGTCACCATGGGCGGGAAGATGAGTCTATTATCGAAGACTTTCGACAGGACATCATGCATGAGCTCCAGCCGCTCAACCTCCTCCTGTGACCCGTGTCAGAGCAAGTCTGAAGAAGAATACATTCAAGTGTGCAAACCTCGTCTACTGGCGCAAAGTATGTACCAGTCTCCAGGGAATACTTGTGGAAGGTGCGGCCGCAGTACTCCACGGTGTCGCGATACTCATCGTCCAAGGGCACAGTGCTTTCCCTGGGGAGATCCTGTGTGTCAGTACCAAGTCGGGAAAATGAGGCTTGACATACGGAAAACTCATTCTGCCCTGGAAGAGCTATTGGCTGTTGATGTTGAAGGGCTACTGTGCCTGGGGTAGGCGAGCCGATGGCCGCTGTGGGTAACCCTCCGTTTTTCGCGTTGACAGCCAGAACTTGCAGCCTTTTTTTTGATCGTTCAGACTACTGCAGAACCTTGCTACCGCTACTGGGCTGGACCTTTGCCTTAGCAGCGCTGAGATTGAACGAGCAGGCCGAGGTGGGCGGCAACCAGGACCATCTAAGAACCGTTGGTCAGGTCACGAACTCTTTGACAGACCAGAACCATAACTATGGCGCGTGACGCATCGTTCGAGGACTCAAACCACGGTGGCAGATGAATACAGAATGCCGAACATGCAACGGTGCTCTCTGGCTGCAGGCTTTAGTGGGCTAGGGCTCAGTATGACAGCACATCCTCTGCGCCTCCTTTTTACAAACAGCCCTCACAAGAACGACACCCAGGTCACCGGAATTGGGCGGGAAATGTTTAACGTGATATACCGAAGTGGGGACTCGAAGAGCCTGCTGTAAATGGCTCGTCGGTCGTCGGTGCGTGGTACTTTGCCCTTGAGTTTTCGTCTCACCAAACGTCATGGAAGAAGTTGGCAGTACCGCATACTCCAGACTGAGCCACGCGGTCCAGAAGGGGAACCTATACTCAAAGCTCGGGGACACCGTCCGGATACTTGATCATGCGATTCTACTCCGCTGCTTCATATCCTAAACCAGCTGATTCCAGAGGCATTACGAGGATGCTTGCCAGTCAAGGCTCTGCCGTTGCGATGAGCCTATGTTGCCAGAAGCTGCCTAATCATACGATCAAAGATGCAGGCTGCCTTGTAATTGCAAGTGCTATGTCTGCGCTGACGGCAACCATGTTGCCTTCCGCTGTTTGGGCTTTCAGCCTGTGAAAGATGAGCGTCGGCCGGCCTCTGGGTCACAGAGCCACAGTGGCTGGCGCCGAATACCCGACAAATTAGTGTTTCGTCTGCGGTGACAGCTTCTGCCAATATTCTAGAACTATTCACAAATAAGTTCGTGGTCGGCGCTGCATGGCAGGGACACCCCGGAGAGACGAAGCGGCCCGCAAGTCTTGCTGACTCGCCAGCCCTCGGCAGCAGCCGTAGGCCACAGAACGCTTCAAGCCCTGCGCCTATGCCTAGCGCTTCGGGTTATCGTGAGAATTTGATCCTTCCGACTCTCAGAAAGTGGCTGATCAAAACACTGCCCCTCACCGTGAGGTGGGCCGATGGAGGGGACATATCCACCAAGGTCGGCATGTCCTGCATGAATTTGCTCTTTCTTTATTGACTTTCGTCGGGGTAAGTAGCATTTATCAAAACAGGAAGGCGATCCGGTCTGTAGGTGGACGAGGTATCCCAGCTGACTCTTCTGGCTCCAGCTTCAGTCCATATACGTGCCATTATAGCTGCCTCGAACACTGAACTCAACAACAGAAATTGGGCGAGAGATGTCATATTATGGGCAAACCTTTATGCTGTTCGAAGCATCCCAGGACAGATAACAATCCAGGTTAAGCGAAACCAGATGCGGGTCTTGAACGAACTCTGGCGTTGGCAAAATGACGCGGCCGCGCTACAACGGCGTTGCCACGACGATCGAAATATATAAAAAAAACGATGATCACTGACTGCGCAATATGGCGAACCAAGAGACGAAACAAAACACATGTCTGGTGCGGGCACTGTCGCAGATGCGTATTCGGAGAAAAAACAATCAGTTCGCATGGCGGATACTTTCCGAGCCATCACCCAAATGGGCTTTCGGGTGGTCAGGAAAACTCAAATTGAGCAAAGTTCGGGCTGCAGAGTTCGGGCCGTTCCAAACTCTCGGGTCGGGTTGCTGTGCGTGGGGTCGACTGCTGGTGGCTGAAGTCGTACGAGTGGTATGCGATAACCACAACGAACAAGTTGCAGGATTACTTTTGGCAGTAATCGTCGCGAGTAGCTTTGTTCGCGGCTTCTTCGAACCAAGCCATTTGGAGACCGCGGAAGACGAAGCCGGTGACAACAAGGATCATGATTGAGCACTGCTGGGTCGAGACCCATGCCACAATGGACTGCATTAAAGACACGATGACATACCACGCGAAAAAACGCGGCGGGATTCTCCACTGACCCCAAGTGAACAATGGAGAAACCAGGAGCCAAGTGCAACGGCCACCGATCTGGCCAATACCGCAGCTAGACCTACACAGCGGGTCATGCCCAGCCTTTTGGGTCGGCATTTGAAATGATGACGGGAAAAATGCCACCAACAACTGAAGTCAAGTGGTCCAATGTAAAGCTCAACAACGAACATCAATTTTGATGTCCGGTTTCGAGTCAGGTCACCGCCTCCGTCCACCGGCGACCAGCGACGGCGAGGGAGATGAAGCAAGCTCTATACACAGCTTGCAGACATGAAAAAAAAAATCACAAAATATTACAGACCCAACGCTCAAAAGCACGCAACGGATTCTGGATTATGTGCCACGTTGTGCGGTGCTAGCGTCGGCTGTGGGCCCGCTCTTGAACTTGACTACTCACTCTATCACAACTCTAGAAGGTCGTGGTCATTTTTGACTTTGGCCATTCGACCAGTGCTGACCTCGCTACGCCCAGTTCCATTCCATGCCATGTTTTGGCTTGTTTATTGTCGTCCCAGACTTCCAAGCTCGGTACCGAACCGGGGTCTGGCTCCGGAGCGGTGAGCATTGCAAAGATGTATCCCTGTTCCAAACGCTATGCCGCGATCAGGAAAGTCAGATGCCCTGTCTCTGAGAACATCATCAATACTACAGACAAATATCTTTGCTCTGTCATATATATGTTTCTGTTAGCAAATCGTCGATGTGTTAACCAAGCCAGAATAGGCCAAGACCGTTGTCGCGCATGGCAGAAACGCACCCACATTCAGCATCCGTTGTCAAATCTCCGCAGACCCTCAACGCCAAAGCTCCTCATATCTTTTGCTATAGGCAGGGTAAAGACGAGTATTACACTCTTGGCTAGGGTTGTTTCATCATTCGCTCTGGAACCAGCGTGACGTTGCATTCTGGGACAGCAGAGCGCCAGCATCCTCGGGGCGTCACCCCGCTGTTCGTTATCACGAGAGCCAGAGGATGGAGAGCTGATTACGTGGCTGTCTACTGAAGCTTCACGTGCAATCGCCTTGGCACGGTGGGCGGAAGGAGTCGGAAGAAGCAGATCGGTGGGAACAATGGTATATCAGTCTTTTCTCGCCAATGGACGATTTGGCGTAGAACAGGACATGGCTGCGCTTGTGTTGCCTGCCCGCTCACTCAGCCCGGGAAGGCTACGTGCCTTGGTTCTTGGCAAAAGAGAAGTGACAGACTTTAGCGATGACAGGTGAGGCGCGGACAGAGAGTGTGATTCAGTTATCTCTTTTGAGACTAGACTCGGAGATTTTGCATTTGATGTTAAAGAAAAATTAACGACAATCCTCGTTTATGTTTTATGATCTAAATCGTACGATCACCTCCGAGCACTTGTTGCTGTTGGTACCGAATAACCCAACCCATGACGGAACTAGAAATACAAAAACGGTCGCAGTGGCTCCCAGCATGCAAAGAAACACGAAACGATGACACACAAGACAAAGGCAAAGACGATCACGGCTCCAAGATATGAAGGCCGGGAAAGCCACACACGTAGCGTGTGTTGGCAATGCAATTAACCAACTCGCCGCCGCCACCTCTCGGGGGCCAGCTTCCAGATAGCCGGTCCCCTCCCGCGATCCCACCCTGCAAACATCTCTGTCACTTTTCGTTTCTCTTTCCTCACGCGGATGTGTCAAAGAAAGCGTCATCCCTCCTCCCCCCCCCCGGCACACCGGCTCACCTTTCCTATCCCGGCTCTCGCTAGCACCACGTAAACACCGGGTTGCTCGTCTTGACGGCCTCGAGGCGCTCCACAATTACCTTGCGCTGGTTGCCCATCTGGCCCTCCGCCGCGGCGTAGCCGAGGTCCCCCTCCAGCATGTCATCGTCGTCGGCGGCTTGGTGGCTGTAGTCGTAGCTGTGCCTGCCGGTCGGGTGGTGGTGGTCGCCGGCGTAGAGCTGCTGCGCGATGGAGTGGCTGCTGCGGCGGCCGGCGGGTGTGCTGGCGAACGAGTAGCGACGCTGGTGGTGGGAGGAGCGAGCGGACGTGGCGGCGCGCTCGTCGCTCCTGGTGTTGATGCTGCTGCGGGGCGGGTCGTAGGCGTTGAGCGCGCGCGAGGGCCCGTGGTAAGACGAGGGGGAGGGCGCGCCGGACGGCCTGGTGATGGTGGCGGCGGACCTGCCGTCGCTGCTGGCTTGGCGGGAGAGCGCGCCGTTGGGGGCGGCGTCGTGGGACGTGCGCGTCGCCTCCAGCTTCGGGCTGGTGATGATCTCGAAGCGGCCCGGGTTGGGCAGATCGCCGCCGAAGCCGAGGAGGTCCGGGTTCTGGGCGGCAGGGTCCGGGGGGGCAGCGGCAGAGGCGCCGCCGCTGCTCGCGGGCACGGAGCTGGCAATGTCGGTCTCGTCCTGGTCGAACGAAGCGAGCGCGGTGCGGCGCATCTCGGACGAGGTGACGCGCATGGGCACGGCGACGGGCACGTCGACGAGGTCGTCCCAGACGCAGACCTTGGCGCGGCGGGTGAGCTCCAGCGGCCCGTGGTCGGCCGTCTTGAGCGCCTCGACGACGTTCCAGGCCTGGCCCTTCATGACGGCGATCTGCTTGGCGAACATGCGCTCCTGGAAGTCCTCGTCGACCTGGAAGACGCGCTTGAGCGCCAGTTGCGTCTGGCTCCACCACGCCGTCGACGTCAGCAGCGGCAGGAAGTGGTCGCGCGTCTTCTGTGAGAACGGTCGCCCGATGAGGTCCACGGGCAGGAAGAGCCAGCCAAAGGGGAAGCTGCGCCAGGCGTCCGGGTGCTTCCACGGCCACGAGAGCGAGTTGTCGATGGCGCCGAGCACCATCTGCGCGCTCTTCTCGCCCCGGCTGGAGGAGGCGTGCATGGGCCGCTGCCGCTTGTACGGGTAGGAGGCGGTTGAGGCCATGGACGGCATGTCGGCGGCGTTGACGGGTCGCGGGCGGTCTGCGTCGGAGGATTCTGATTCCACGGCGTCCATGTTGAGGTGCATGGGCTCGGTGGCTATGGACACGGCGCCGGATTCGCGGTCGACCTTGACCATCCAGTTGTCGAGGCCCCGATCTGTGTTGCGCATGATGTAGTCGAGAATGACCAGCTTCTCGAGCTCCTCGCGGAACGACTGCTTGAAGTCCTCGGTCCACGCAAATCGAGCGGGCTGCTCAGGAGCTGGTGAACGCTCCCCGCTGCCGGGCGATTCACTCTCGTCGTCGTCCGAGTCGGCATTCTCGGCCTGGCCAGACGTTGATGGGCGGCACGCGTCGGACCACTTCTTGTTCTTTCGATTACCACTGTCTTTACCATTCGTTGTACGAAAGCCAGCCCAGTACTGGTCGGGCCAGGGGTTCTCGCGCAGAAAGACGTTGGCGTCCTTGAAGCCTTTGAGGAAGACTTGGAAACTGCCTGGCTTGGCTGGGAATGGCTTCTTCTTGCGGTAAAAGTTGCGCCGGTCCCAGAAGGGGTAGTGAAATGATTTCGAGGATAGCCACACGACGTCGGTATACGGTACCATGTTTGTTTGTAATTGGCGGTCGAGGACGTAGGCAGCGGCTTCGCTGACGTATGATAGATTGGGAATGAGGCTATCCGAATTAGCATGTGACTGGCAGTGTTGAAAGGTTGTCGTCTTACCAGGCCCGGCCAAAGCAGCAGGGGAATAGATTTCGATGAATCCATTTATTCCATTTTGGATTTCCGGCCGCGTAGGGCTCTTCGTCTTTGGGCTTAAACACACCGACAATCTTGCCATCGGGATCGCGAGCAAAGTAACTACCGGAGCTACCCTGTGAGATCATGCTAGGGTGAATCTCTTGTCGAATCGCGCGCCTGACACTGTCGATAATAGCCTCGAACTCGGCCTTTGTTATAGCACCCTCGGGAGCTTCGGCAAGGTCTTGGGCTGTGACGGGTCTGATGCCCTCGGGGGCACGGAAAACAGAGTGTTGAATCTCGAGACGCTCCTCCTCGCCGGCGAAGCTCTTTCCGCGGCCACGCTTGAATTTAGAGGCAATCTCATCAGCCCAACGTTCGAAACGGGCGTTGATGGCCTTGATGTCGACGCCGCCGGTGCTACCGACGCGGCGTCGGAACTTGGGCCGCGTTGTGGTTGACCGGGGAGTGCCGGGGGCAGCGGCTGAAGGGTTCAGGGCGGCGGAGGGCCCGGCATTGACAAATTCGTCATCGGAGTCATCGCTGAAGCGGTCGGCTTGGGCGAGTCGCTCGTAGCCCGTCGTGGGTGGGCGCGTCTTGGGCATCGTGGGCTATGTGGGATTGGGGGCGGCGCTGGAGCCGTAGTCGTCGTGGTTAGGCGAACAAGTGGAGGATCGTAGCTTATCGCAATGCCATTTGATTTGCCAGGACCAGAGTCACGTTCAGGTGGCAAGTATCGAGTGACTCGTTGGATGACGGCAGCTGAGAGCGACGGAGGTCGCACAAACAGGCGTTGCACGACACGGAGACAGCTGGTGGAAGCACAAGGGGGGAGCAAGTGTCGCAGTGGATGGTAAGGCTGCTCTTTTGCAAGGAAATAACCCAATTAGGGATCGTGTACCGAGCTGAAGGGCTGATTCGGCGTAATGGCGATGCAATCTCAGCAAGGCGGGATGAAAAGGGACGGTGACAATGACGTTGATCTAGTTAGGAATTTTTGACCCTTTTAGGCCAGATGTCGCGAAGTGGATGGTAGCGGATCCACCATCGCGGATGGGTGCCTGCAGGCGGGGGGTTCAAGGGATGATGGAAAGGATGCTGCGGGGGCGGAGACGCTTACGGAAATTTTAAAAATTGGTGAAATTCTCGACATCTGCAAGATATGTTATTTATATTATCAAGATAGAATAGCGGGCTGTCTTCATCCTCCTGGGAGTTCACAACAGGTTCAAGCTTGCCTCCGGGGTCGGTGCTTCGGAGATCTTTTAGCAGCCCATCCACTGTAATCTTAGCGGGACACCAAAGACGCTGGGCCCAGTCTTGCCGGGCAATTTGATCGCGAGCCAGCTTCTCTCTTTCAGCCCCAAACTGATCATCCAATCGCCATCCACCGTATTCTTCGCTTTGCCATGCACTGCCGAACACGATCGGCCGACTCGGTGCATACATCCAGAAAAGGAATCGTCCAACACGCAATAGGAGTCAAATCATGGCGGTGCTCACTCTCGTCGACGTAATGCCCTATCGGGGGTGTGATAAGACGGAGTGGTCGGCGGTGACCTGGTCGACAAGTACAAATAGATGCGGCTGCCGCTCCTCGTTTACATCAGAGGAACCATGATCAGTTCTCACAGTATTATTTAACCTCGCCATGAGATTCACAATCGCCGTCTCCTTCATACCGTTGCTCGGCTCGGCCCACGGGGCTGCCCTGCAAACGACAACAAACGCGTCCCAATGTCGTTGCAGGCCGACCGACCCCTGTTGGCCGTCACAAAGTCAGTGGGCATCACTCAATGCCTCAGTCAGTGGCAATCTCATCGCCGTCCAGCCTGTCGCCCACGTCTGCCACGATCCTGGTTACGACGCTGCGGCATGCAACGCCTCCATGGCCCTCTCAGAATCCTCCGTTTGGCGTGACCAGAATCCCGGCGCACTCCAATGGACGAATTGGGAGGCCTGGCCAGAGCATAACGAGTCCTGCTCGTTTGACCTTCCAAGAGGTGTCCTCTGTCGTCAAGGCCGTATCTCTCTCTTCTCGGTGGTTGCCCAGACTGCTCAGCACATCCAGGAAGCGGTACGCTTTGCTGCTACTCACAACATCAAGCTGGCCATCAAAAATACCGGGCATTGTTTTCTCGGCCGCTCATCCGCGCCCGAATCGCTGCAGATTGCCACTTACAAGATGAAGACGATGGATTTTCTCGACGACTTTGTTCCCGAAGGCTCTAGCCACAACAAGTCCATGGGGTCAGCCGTTACCCTCGGTGCCGGTGTTGTGCTCATGGACATCTACGCCGAGACGAGCAAACGCAATCTCACTGCAATCGTTGGTCTTTCACATACAGTTGGCGCTGCTGGCGGCTATATCCAGGGCGGCGGTCACTCACCTCTTGGACCATGGAAGGGTATGGCCTCAGACAATGCTCTGCAGTTCCAAGTTGTGACAGCCGATGTAAGTATATCTTTGCATTCAGTACGGCAGCTTTCTAACATTTCAACAGGCCAAACTTGTGGTCGCGAATGAATACCAAAATAGAGACCTCTTTTGGGCACTTCGAGGTGGTGGCGGTGGCACTTTTGGCGTTGTCGTCGCTGTCACCATCCGCACGTTCCCTGATGTTCCTGCCATGGCTCTCATGTCTGATATTATCCTTCCCGGACCGGCCGATGACAAGTTTTGGGATATTCTGGAAGCTCTCCACCGGCGTCTTCCAGCGCTTGCTGATGCAGGCGGCAGCGGTTACTACTTTGCCCTCCCCAACTCTGTCTCCAACGGCACATCTACGGCATCCCTCAACGTCATGATGTTCTTCCCCAACAAAACAGATCAAGCACCTATTGCCAAGATTGTGGATGCATACATTCAAGATGCCCGTAAATCCGCGCCTGACGCCAACTACACCCTCGACCTCGCCCCTGCGCTTGGTGGCTCGATTGCCAATGAGCTAGCAAAGACACCATATGATCCCACTGGAGGAATAGCCATTGTCGGATCTCGTTTGATCTCTCGCGACCTCCTCAGTCAAAATGATGGCGCACAGCATCTAGGCAAAGCTTTGCGTGACATTTACGATGGCAGTGGCAATCAGACTGGCTATACTGGCCACTTCATCGCCGACGGCGCTGTTGCCAGGAATGCAGGCAAGGTCAAATCGGCGCTCAACCCGGCTTGGCGCAAGACCATCACCCATATTGCCTTTGGTCGAGGGTGGGCTGCCAATGCCACTTTTGCAGAGCAAAAGGCGGTGCAGGACAGGCTGACCAACGTCGAGATCCCCATCCTCAAAAAGCTCGAGAAGGGTATGGGAGCCTACCTGAACGAGGCCAATCCCTTTGAGGCTGGCTTCCAGGAGTCTTTCTGGGGCGAGAACTATAAGAGGCTGTATCGCATCAAGCAGCACATTGATCCCAAGGGCTTGTTTATCACGCGAAGTGGTGTTGGTAGTGAAGATTGGGACGCCGATGGGCTCTGCCGTGTGCGCAAGCCGTCGACTGATGGATTGCAGCTGCCTCTCTAGATTAGTTTGCCATATTGTATGTATATTTCTGCTCTCTTTCCGTTCATGCAGAATAATACAGCATCACATATCCCGCCCTTCTTTTTCCAGCCCATACACGACTATCCGCTGGGAAGGTTATCATATGTGCCTAATCGGGCAAGTGATGGCTCAAGAGCGTCTCCACCCCGAGCACCGAAAGCCGAGCTGCATCCTGAGTGACTCAATGGTCCTTTGTGACGACAAATCTATTCGTTTAGCTGAGGATTTTTGCGACGGCCTGAGTCACTTGCTATTGCGCTAGTTTCGATGGAGTAATGACCCTCGAAGCCGAGAATTGGATGTCGGGGAAGCTCTACGAGATGCTCAAGCGTACAGTGCGGCCTAACGGGTAAGTTGAAGATAAAAGGCAGAGATGCGCTGCTTCTATCGGTCTGCAGCTTCAACCCAGAATCCAAAAAAAAAATTAAAAAAATTCTCCATCACATACAAGCAACTATGTCTACCTTTTCGGCTGCTCTCGACAACGCCTTCGAGTCTAAGCAGCTTCGTTACATTGCCGTTGACGACGAGTGCGACGACTACAAGGAGGTGCTCACCGAAATGATCAACGAAGCGCCCCTCCAGGCGCTGTCGTCCGAGATGCTCATCAGGCCGCAGGGCAAGACGGACGTGCAGTTCCTGGCGACCATGTACCGCAAGGCGCTGCTCGGCGTGGCCATCTGCCTACGTCCGTCCGAGGAGGAAGCCGCCACCAACACAGACAAGAAGAAGACGAAGCCCACCATCATCGGCACGCTCTGCATCGGCTGGGGCGGCATCCCCGACTCGCTGCGGCACAACCGCAACGCGTACCTGGGCATCACGCTGGCGCGGGCGCACCGCGGGCGCGGGTACGGGCGGGAGGCGCTGGACTGGGGCGTGGACTGGGCGTTCCGGCACGGCGGCCTGCACTCGCTGTCGCTGACGACGGTGTCGTTCAACGGGGTCGGGCAGCGGCTGTACGAGGCGGCGGGGTTCGCGTTGGCGGGGAGGCGGCGCGAGGTGGCGTGGGTGAACCGCGTGTGGCACGACGAGCTGACGTACTCGATGACGGAGACGGAGTGGGAGGCGCTGAGGGGGTTGACGGGGAAGGAGAGTAAAGAGGAGGAGGAGGAGGAGGTGGTGAAGAAGGAGGGATGAGGAGGCGAGAGGTGTTTGTTTGAAGCATAGTTACCTCCTCTACCGTAGGTATGTACTGTACATACGTATAGTATAGTCTGCTGAAAGGCTACAGAAGGCTCTGGTCGACCTAGAAGAATATGTGACGGCCCACCTTTCCAAGCCTCCCTTCCATCCCCGCCCCTCTGGATAGTCTTACTCAATCACCAATCACCAGAATCAGCCTATACGACCTTTTTGTGCACGCTTCATTGTTCCTATCCAATCATTTCCTTTTTGTGCTTTATTGGCCCAAGTAATGTCTGTGAAAATACCGCAGAATTATCGGTGCAAGCCTTGAGCTCAGTCTTTTACCTTTCCCCACAGGTTCGCACAATTCGCTACATCAGAAGTCGAGGTCGGGCAAAAAGGGTCTTCCTGCCATTGATGGTTACCAGCCTCCAGCAGCTCCTGGTCATGTACCAACAAGACGGCAGAGTATACCTCGAACTTGAACGAGGGACCGTGAGAGCTTATACGCCTTGGGAGGGAGAGAGGATTGAGGAAGCACATAGTAGTCATCACCGCTTGTGTCGAAAAGGAAATCTTCATAGGAAAGAGTTAGAGTTACGGGAGATGCTGGAGCTTGTCGCTCAATACTGGCGATTGTGTTCATGTTACAAAGTTCGAAGTCTCATTACACCAGATTGCTACTCACACCAAATTGCTAATAATACACCCGTCTGTGATTCATTTTCCTGGTATCATTCATGCATCCAAATGGTGACCTTGTTTTTATTTCTTTTTGTCCCTTTAATTTCATATTGTCATTCGGCAGGTGCCCTCACCGAGCTTGCTCCATCTCGGGCCTGCGCTGGTCCAGTCGTTGCCTGACCGCCGGCTCTGCCCTCCGCTGCGTGATCGGCCTTGATCTCGTCAAGTCCACCCTCTTCGCGACGGGCGCACCGCTCTTCTCCTTGGCTAAATCCTCCCCTGGCGCCGCGACCACCTCCTCCTGCGGCGGCGGTGGCGTCTTCTTCGTCATGGCCTCCTTAGCGAGACGAAGGTCCGTCAGGTTCAGCCGGAGGTCGGCGCTGTACGGCTCAAACTTGGCGACTACCTGCTCCAGCCCCACGCGCATGGCGTCGATGACCTGGTCCACCTCGGGGCTCTCGCGGCGCCGCGTCGAGTCGGTCCAGTGGATGGGGAAGCGCGCCTTGAGGGCCTCGACCTTGGTGATGATGGCGGTCAGCGCGCGGACGATGCTGGGCACGTCGCGGTGCACATTGCCGAACTGGTCCTCGGCCAGGCTGTGGACGGCGAGGTAACACAGTGCCTGGGTGGCGTGGATGTACACGGTGGGCTCGGCGTACGGCTGCCCGAGGACGGCGGCAGCGAACTCGGTGCTGAACTCGTGGCGGAAGATGCTGCCGAGCCACTCCAGCCGGAGCAGGTACGAGGTGGCCTGGTCGATGTATGATTGGATGCTCTCCTTGGACACGGCTTCCTGCTGCTCCTTGGTGAGCATGCGGTCCCGGGTCTGCCTCCACGTCTTCTTGGCGAGTGGGCTGAGCTCGGCGATGGGAGAGGAGCCTGGCGAGCGTGCGAGCTGATCCCAGGCCTTGTCCACGCCGCTGCGAGTGGCGTTGCTTTTGGTGAAGATTTGGTCCTGCTTGAGGGGAGCGGAAACGCGCTGCCTGGGCTCCTCCGGGGCTTTGACGGGGACGGTGGGAAGTAGCGGTTTGCCGTAAGCATCAACTCGCTCTTCTACGCTCTTCAAAGTAGTCATGCAGATTGTGTAGACTTGCGACCACATGGGACCGTCCTTGCGATCAATGTCGGCGAAGATGGCCTTTCGTTGAGCTTCGAAATCCTGCGCGATGATTGCAAGCTCCCACATGGCGAAACACTAGAATTGTCAGTCTTGCTAAAGACCATAGCCTTACTAGCACGTACCTGTATGTTGGACTTTTTGCTGTTCAGTCCGGAGAGGAGACTGCCATTGGGATCCTTGGACTCCGTGGTAAAGGGCTTTCCAGCCTTAAGAGGAGGCTTAGCCATGAAAATAGAGAATCCAGAGTTGCCTGCGGCCCAGATAGCATTGACAAGTGCACCAGTCCAGACGCAGCGGACCATGAGGAACAAGTCAATAGGCCAGCTGCTAGGAACGAGGTTAGTGCGAGGCAGGTTGTAGAAGGGACGGAACATCATCAGAGTCCAAGTCCAGGTGCAAGATCGTAACAGCGCATAGTACAAGACAATAGCCACGCCAAGCGAGAATGTCGCTTGCCTGATGCAGCCTGCAAACACTGTGGGGAATTGCTGTGCAATCTTTTGAGCTGATCCGGTGAGAAATCCGCCCGTTTTTGTCGAGGCATCTTCCTTGTCAGCGACCGGCTTGATGATTATGAGGCGATCGGCATCGTATCGAAAGTGTACAACCATCTGAACCAGGGCGCAGGTGGCGAGATAGCAAGCGAGGAAGATGGGTCGCTCGTTGAGTCGCGCTCGGTCGCCGCTAAAGTACGTGATCCATCGCAGGCCGGCGCTGTCGTTGAGGGACCACAGGTACACCGGGCAAAAAATTGCGCTGGAAATGGCGTACCAGAAAAGCGTCTCGTAGGTCGGCCATTTCGTGAGCGATGTCTTGAGACTTTGCACGCCCGATTCGGTGTGGACGCCGACGTGGTAGTGTGCGATGCGCAGGACAAGGATCGCGAGGCCGCAGGAAAAGATGACAGCCGTTCGGATGCCCGTGGGACCTAGAGGGAACCAGGACCAAAGAACTATAAAAATGGTCAGCCGGGCGTCGGTGGTATGTTGATGCGACGGTGTGCTCACGGGAGCTCCAGGAAGCTAGGGTCAGAGCTTCCAGGTACGCGACTGCAAGTAACAGGCCTGCGGTCGAGGAGAATCGCCTGTGGAGGGCAGGCTGTAAGGTATCCTTGTAATGGGATCGTCGGACCATGGCGGCTGCCATTTCCACGTCGCGTCACCCGGTCGGTCGGGAAATGTGCAATGAATGCAGATGTCGGGATTGCAAACAGAGAGCTTGTTCTAAGGCCAAAAGTCAACAACACTGTAACAAAAAGTCGATGGTTACCAGGACGGCGCTAAGCCAAAAGCTAGAAAGTCACGTAGATTGGATCACGTGCAGATAGCGGCCTCGTCGGCTTGTTGGTAGAGAGAGGGACCCACTATGATGGGTCTGGCGGCTGGCGTTACGTAGTGGTCCATACGGCGTCATCTAGGCACCACTTTGAACCTTCATCTACAGAGCTCGATTTCCATTGATTTGCTGCGCGCGCGATATACCGACCTATAGAAGTTGCATTCGTCTTTCCAACATGTCATACGATCGCCTTGCAAGCATGGAGGCCGGCCGGTCCGGCGGATACAGTGACGACCCTGCGTTCCGGGACCTTCAGTCGGAGCTGAAGGGCAAGCTGCAGACGCTGCTCACCAACAACCGCAAGCTGTCCAACGACCTCACTGTGCTCGGCACCAAGAAGGATACGCCCCGCCTGCGAGAGCGCGTGCACAACACGATGGAGAAGTCGCGCGAGATCTGCCGCGACATTGGCGAGGGCGTTAAGAAGTTTCAGTCCTGGGAGGACCTGTCCGTATGTCTCAGTGCTCGTAATCAAGATCAACTCCCCGCAAAGCAACATCACTGACCGTATTGCGCAGAAACAGCAAAAGTACGAGCAGACCAAGATCTCGAGCGACTTCCAGGCGGCCTTGCAGGAGTTCCAGGGCCTGCAGCGTAAGGCCCTCGACAAGGAGCGCGCCTCGGTGTCGGCGGCCCGCGCGGTGCAGGACGGCAGCGGAGACGCCGGCGCCGGCGAAGGTGCCCAGCTGGAACAGCTGCAGCGCCAGGAGTTCGTCCAGGTGGCGGACCAGGACGAGGTGGACTTCCAGGAGGCGCTCATTATCGAGCGCGAGGAGGAGATCCGCAACATTGAGCAGGGCGTCGGCGACCTGAACGTGCTCTTCCGACAGGTGGCGCACATTGTCAGCGAGCAGGGCGACTCGCTCAACACCATCGTGGACAATGTCGAGAACGTCCGCGACGACACTAGGCAGGCCGACATTGAGAACCGACAGGCGGCGCGGTACCAAAAGGCCGCCAGAAACAAGGGGTTCTGTCTGTTGCTGATCCTCGGCGTCATCTTAACGATTGTCCTGCTGGCCATTCTTCTGGGTTAATTCGGAACGCAGTGACTAGAACATTTGTATGAGGTACTGCTGGGCTGTGTAATGCATCTTACTATCTGCGTGCGCTGGAGTTTTTGGAGTCTTGGGATTACTGACAGCTGTCAGCCAGTCAAAGTCTATATATTTATACATTTTTATTGTACACCGGTTTCTTTTGAGAAGCTTCAAGCTGTGGTCGTTTGACGTAAGATATGAGCTTGGGCTGGATAGGCTTCCAGTTCAACAGCTTCTCTCGTTCTGGAAGGATCTTCCTCACCAGGTTTACGTTGACCAGCTGGAACGCAAAGTTGGCAGCCCAGTAGAGAAAGACGGAGGCGGGCAGATGCGTGACGCATAGGGGGATGAGTGGTAGGAAAATGCTGAGCCGAACCACGCCGCTTAACAGTCGCTGAGAGGTGCTTTGGTATGCCGGTCGTTCGATGAGGATGTCTCTCCACTGCTGAACGCTCATACGGCTGAGGAGGTTGGCAGCCAGCAAGCTGGAGCAGATGAGCGGCAGGCCCAAGACCGCGTCAGGAGTAATGAGGTCCGTAAACCACAGGCACCCGCCAGTCTGCAGCGATAGATCCACGAGGGTCGAGGGCGCCTGGGCGATGACCTCGCCCGTATCTGCTGCCGCCGCTGCCGCCGAGTCGAACATGGAGACGCCGGACAACCGACGCAGAGCCTCGGAGACGACGACGAACGGCAGCATCGAGGATAGCGGGATGAACTGCTTCCACAGGGGCACTCCCCACGCCTTGTACACGCGCTTGCGCGAGCGCTCCGTCTCACGCACGATGTGCGCGGTCCTGCGCTCCGGCGGGCCGGCGAACGGCCGGCTCGCGTGGCGGCTCGACCAGGCGACGACCAAGGGCCGGATGGCGGCCCGCCGGCGGTCGAGCGACTGCATGTACAGCTGCATGGGCAGGCGCACAGCGACGTTGATGCCGAGCGCGACGAGCGGGATGGTCAGGTACCAGGGAACGCCGCCGGCGTGGTGGATGGAGGCGAAGGCGTGCGCGGTGGCGTCTATGAGAGGCGTCAGGGCCTCGTTGACGAGCGTGCGGCGCTGCTGCTGATGAGGCCCGTGTCGCGAGGGCGAGGGAGCGAGGCGGAGGCGGCGACCGGGAAGGGGCCCGAAGAGCCCGCTAACGGGGCGTATTCGGAGCTGCGACATGGCAGGCCATTCCTTTGACTCGCCTGGTGTGAGAGAGGGATTGACGAAGCTCACGGGGTCGTGTGAGTCTGTGTTTGAGGCTCAGCTGATGAGAAGGCGGATGATGTTGATGGGTGGGTTGACTTTTGCAGGCATTTGAATGGTGTTAACGCCACAGTACAAAAGTCGCTCCAGCCACAAGCGCCTTGGGTGTGCTGGGGGTCGAATCAGCGATGGACTCGAGACATCGTGGTAGGGTGCCATGGCTAGTTAGCAGCTGGTATTGAGCCAGATTTCTACACAAGTTTAAATTTTCACCATTTACTGAAGCTATTGAATCAAAAGCAAATCTATGATTTTCGAGGCACGCGACAATTGGACACGCGACAGTTTGACAATGCCTACGGAGCAGAGCAGGCATCTCAAAACACCACGAACTGTTACCTGCGACAGCTTGGCCTAAACTGCGCCAGGAAGCCCCCAAAGGCCCCTGTAATATCCCCATAGTGGCGCTGCATTTGGTGGGTCGCAGGACCCTTCTTCACACCTGATAGTGACCGCCTCGCTAAGCAGCTAAACAGCAAAGTTTCGAGCTCTGGACAGCTTTCCAATCAAGCACGCCGCCATTCTTTTCCCCATCTAGGCCGTGGGGTTTCCCAGCGATTCCTTCTTCTTTTCTTTTCTTGTTTTCAATCTCCGTGGCCTGTCGTAAGAACATCTTTTGGTCTACCTCTTCTCGTCTTATTTTCTTTTTTCCATCCTGACTCGACGCGATACCGCCCCCTTGCCCATTCGCCCCGCGCCGACTTCACCACATGCAATCATCGTGACGCGACCGCTAAACGAGCAAGAAACATGTCTTTGCACGAGCCACGGGGCCGCAGTGCGGCCCCGGGACGGTCATTTCTTGCGGCTACCGCTCTTATTAGTCTGGTCCCCTTGATCCTGTTTCTCGGTGCGCCCGTCGCGTGGCGCCTGCTCGGTCGTTTTGGTGGCTTCCTGCTCCGCAAGAAGACCGAGGGCCGGCGGTCGGTCCTCGTGTCGGCAATGGACGAGGAGATGGAAAAGTTTGCACAGGAGGAGAACGCCGAAAGCAAAAGCAGCAGCTCTGGCGACGAGTGGGAAAAGGTCTCGGGCGGCGCGGAGGACCCCGTGGTGGATGCGCTTAAGGACAAGACCAAGGACTGGGATGGGATCATTGGCTTCTTTCACCCGTTCTGGTAGGCTGAACCTGCGCCCATGCACACAATGAGAAGCGAACTAACGTGACCAGTAATGCTGGCGGAGGTGGCGAGCGTGTCCTCTGGGCTGCTATCCGCGCGACCCAGCTGCGTTGGCCAAAGGCCAAGTGTGTGGTGTATACTGGCGACCATGAAGTCACAAAGGCTGACATAATTGCCCGCGTCAAGGTACGGTACTGCGGAATCGCGTTGACCTACCAGCCTCCTGACATTCTTGCAGAGCCGATTCAATATTGATCTACACCCACCCACCGTTCAATTCCTCTACCTCACTAAGCGGCACTGGGTCCTCCCCAGCAGCTGGCCGCACTTCACCCTCGCCGGGCAGTCGCTCGGCTCGCTCCTCCTCGGTCTTGACGCCTTCTCGCTTCTCGTCCCCGACGTATTTGTCGAAACCATGGGCTTCGCCTTCGTCCTCGGGCTCTGCAAGTTCCTGTTCCCGCGCGTGCCGACCGGGGCGTACGTGCACTACCCCACCATCTCGACGGACATGCTCGACTCGCTCGACCCGAGCTCGCCGCTCGGATCGCGCGGCGTCAACGGCGGGCAGGGCCGCGGCCTGCGCGGTCTCGCCAAGAAGGCCTACTGGCACGCGTTTGCGCGCGTCTACTGCTTGTCCGGCGCATCCATCGACGTCGTCATGACCAACTCGACCTGGACCCAGGCGCACGTCCAGTCCCTCTGGGGACCTTACCGAAAACAAAAAGACGCCGGCGGTAGAAACCCCATCACCGCTGTCTTCCCGCCTGTCGCCGTTCAGGAGCTCGAGGCTGCCGTTGACGTCTCCGCGGCGAGCGAGCGCGACGTGCGCGAGAACATCATCCTATACATTGCGCAGTTCCGCCCCGAAAAGGACCACCGCCTCATCGTGCAGTCGTACCACGAGTTTCTCAAGCTCCACGGCGACAGCCCCGCCGGGAAGACGTCGCGGCTTGTGCTCGTGGGTAGCGTCCGCGACGACAGCGACGCCAAACGAGTATACGAGCTGCGCCTCATGTGCAACGAGCTGGGCATCAAGGACCGCGTCGAGTTCCACCTCGATGCCTCGTGGCCCGAGATCCTCCAGTGGTTGCGTCGCGCGTCCATTGGCGTCAACGGCATGTGGAACGAACACTTTGGCATCGGCGTCGTCGAGTACCAAGCCGCTGGCCTCATCTCCGTCGTCCACGACAGCGGTGGGCCCAAGTTGGACATTGTTATCCCCATCGACGGGGAGCGGACCGGTACCCTACTCTCCCCTTCAGTAAAGTGTAGCTTATCAAGCACGTTGCTAATTTTTTTCCTTAGGTGTCCATGCATCCACATCAACAGAGTTTGCTGAGGGCTACCACCGCGTCCTCACGATGCCCGACAAGCTGCCGACGAGGCTGCGCGCGCGCAAGTCGGCGAAGCGCTTTACAGAGGCCGAGTTTGCTAGGAAGTGGATAGACCAGACGGAACGGCTCGTTGCCATGGCCAAGTAACAATTTCACGCACGCGCGCATTACACAGAAGAACGATGGTTTGGGCATATATCATAGCTTTGTGGTATAGATTTTGCGATACCCCTCCTTTTCACACTACATGCTTGTGTAAAAGGTATTTCTATTTGCTGTCACTATACATATCTAATCTACCTCTGTCGCTCATCAAACATTGCTATATCCTTTAGATCCATGCAACACATGTCACAATCTAAAATCATCATTCTTCTAGATGCTGTACCCTGCGCTGTTCGCCTGGCGCGGCTCGCCGACGGCCTCGAACGAGCCGTCCTCGAGCCTGCGAATAGCCTGCACGCTGCTCAGCCCCGGCGCCACCTTCCTGACCTCGTGTCCGCGCGCGCGCAGGTCCGCTGCCGTCGCCTCCCAGTCCGGAAAGGCCTCCTCGAGGGTGACGCGGTTCGGCACGAGCTGGTCGTGCACGCGGCCGACGGCGAGCGCCTCGCGCAGGGCCATGCCATGCTCGACGACGTGCCAGAGGCACTGCGCGGTGGCGGTGCCGATGCGCGACCCGCCGGCGGCGCCGATGACGGCGTACAGCGGGCCGCCGTCGGGGAGGGCGGCGATGAGCGGCGTCATGGAGGATAGGGGGCGCTTGCGCGGGCGGATAAAGTTGGCGCGCGACGGGGCGAAGCCGAACTCGTTGCTGACGCCGGGGATGGAGAAGTCGTTCATCTCGTCGTTCCTGTGGGCGGGTGGGTTAGTTGCTGGGATGAACCGGGGGGGGGGAGGGGGTGTAAGTACAGGATGATGCCGGAGTTGGGTTCCATGATTTGCGCGCCAAAGTTGATGTTGATGGTGGTCGTCAGCGAGACGGCCATGCCGGAGGCGTCCGCCGCGGAGATGTGCGACGTACCGTGGCTCTCCGGTAGCGCCACCACCTCCTCTTCACTGGGGAAGTACTGTCTCGGATGCTTAGTGCGGTCGTCGTCGATGGCCGCGAAGATGGCATCAATCGTGGAGTCGGCGAGCAGGTCGCGCTCGTAGGCCAGGACGTCGCGCTCGTCGACGAACTCCGGGTCGCCGAGGCTCGCGCGGCGGGCAAAGGCGAAGCGCGAGACCTCGGCGAGCCGGTGGACGGTAAGGCTGCGGTTGCGCGCGTCGAGGAAGCCGGCGGCGGCGGCGGGGTAGCGCTCGAGGACGCGCAGGACCTGCAGGGCGACGGCACCGCCGGCGGGCGCGGACATGCCGTAGACGTCGAGGCCGCGGTAGCGGATGGTGCGCACGGGGCGCTCGGTGACGGTGTAGGAGGCTAGGTCGGCGACGGTGAGGGTGCCGTTACGCGACTGCACGAAACGGGAGAGGTTTTCGGCTGGGACGAACGATTTAGTAGGTGGTGAAGGGGAAGGTGCTGGGAATCGTACCAATCTCGCCGTGGTAAAAGGCGTCGGAGCCTTCGTTGGCGATTCGCTCGAGCGTGCTGGAGAGAGAGTTAGAGAGAGTTAGAGAGATGTGAGCGGCGCGATGATTGGAGCAGCATACTTGGCAAGGTTCTTGCGGGTCATGACCTCTCCTTTCCTCAAAAGCTGCCCTGTGACAGAGAGAGTCAGTCTGGAATGGACTCATTGCCAAGTTGACATACCATGGGGGGCAAACTCGGCTGCAAAGATGGGATCGTCAAGCAGATATGTCTTGCCATCTTTGATGGTGGCGTTCATCTTGACCACCATATCGTCCGAAACTGTATCGAGGATTAGATTTCAAAGGCGTCCGTCTCATTTCACGTTCGCCGACGCACCTCTGAAGCCATGGCGTGCCACACGGATGGCGCCCTGCATGATGTCGCGCCACTTGAGGATCTATGTAGCACCGCAGTCAGTCATGCAGCCCTATGCGTTGAGAGATGCCATCGGCACGTCAGTTCCACAAAACAAGATTGACACGGTGCGTACCCCGTATTTTTGATGGATATACTCGAGGCCGAGGACCTCGCCCGGCACGCCGACTGCTAGGCCGCCGGCGACGCTGAGCTGCTCGTCATCGGCGTACATATCCTCGTAGGCGGCCGCCGGGGCCGTCTCGCGAAAGTCGACGGCCTCGTAGTTCCCGGCGGCGTCACGGACCAGCGCGAAGCCGCCGCCGCCGATGCCAGAGTGGTACATGCCGACGACGCCGACGCAGAAGGTGGTGCCGACGATGGCGTCGACGGCGTTGCCCTACGCACAGGTAAGCAAAACGGAAAAGGTGGGTGGGTAAGAGAGGAGAACGTACACCGGCGGCGATTATGTCCCTGCCTATGGCGCTACATTCGCTCGCTTCGCTGGCGACGGCGCCACGCGAGCCGAAGCTGTCGCCGTTGGGAGAGAAGACGACCTCCGGCACGGCAGCGGCGTTGACGGCCGCGGCGGTGCCTAGGCTGAGCGCAAGCAGCCGCGCGAGATGCCGTTGTGTTACTGATTTTTTTCATTATCGCATCAGCCTCGCCCGCCAACTCACGGATTTTCGTTTCGTAGCGCAACGGTGACATTGCTTCTTTGGGGGGGGGGGGGGGGGGCGTTGCCCGTTTGCTGCTAAACGTCGCTGAAGGAGAAGCGATGTCGGGGCCGGGACGCTGCAATCCGCAGGCTGTTGTTCCACTACGTATGACAAGTCAAAACGAGTGTAAAAAAGGTCTGGAGAGAAGGTGGATGCGTACGGCAAAGGGGAGAGAGATGGAAAGTGAGGGCTGACAAACGTGATCACACGACGGGTTTGCCTGAGAGATAGCGGCCTTGGCCTCCGACGTGGGGGGTGGGGCGGGCAGAATAGGCCCTGGCGAACCGGACCGGACTCGGCTCCGGCAATTGCTACCCGGAGCTAACAAACTAGGAAAAGCTAACAAAGGATAAGGGCGACTATCCGGTTTGAGAGACAATAAGAGCCAAGTTTTTGAGTCGTTAATGTTTCCAAGATTTTTCTACTAGTTAGCCTACGTCTTTAACTCAACACTATCCGTGGTCTATTGTAGTCAATTCGTATATCCCCGTGCCTACTCGACCCGAGTCACCGCTCCACGCCAGCGAGACATGCAGGCTGCAAAGACGTGTCAGCCAGCCACTCTACAACCTTCCAAGACGTATCGGCATCTCAACATGCCCATGTCCCGGCGGCTCAATGCAAAGCAAAAACAAGTCTATGATGCAGTAAATTAAGACAAATTTAAGTCTAGCGTGTGAATCCCGGGCTCGTAGCTCTAGCTCATGGTTTCTTTCCAGGTGAAGAATTACCCCAAAGGTCTGCTAGAGCATAACAAACTGGTGATGGCAGTGCCCTAGAATGGCCGAAACCGTCAAGTTCTGCCAAGTCGAAGCGAGGGCGTAGATCAATAAAAGTGAGCTTGGAGAGTCGCCGCAAATCCCTTTAAACCTTGACCCGGATTTGCGGCCCAACCAAGGCGTGTCTAGCGAGCACAACAAAGACGGTTCCTACAAGCAACGCTATCCCGCAAAAGAGTATCAACCCGGTATATTCGCCCTGCTGCCGGTTCACGATGGCTCCAGCGATCGGGTTTCCGAAAAGGACGCCAACGGCGGCGCACGCGTAGAGCGACCCATTCCGGGACCCCAGTTTGGAAATGTCCGGGGAGATGGAGGCCACCATGGCGGGGATGATGGAGAGCGTGCAGCCCGAGGTGAAGCCGTACAGGACGGCAAAGGCGATGAGCCCCCCCGCCTCGGAGCGCGCCGGCAGCCAGACGGCGAGGGTGAAGACGGCGCTGAGCAGGCTGAACACGATCATGACGTTGAAGACACCATACCTGTCCCCAAAGTGCGCGGGGAGGATGCGACCAAACGTCCTGGCAAGTGACCTTTGTCAGCACACGTCACTTGTAGCACATGTCGAAAAGTTGATGTATACTTACGATGCCGCGTTGACAATCGAGACCATGTACGGCGCCAGGCCGGGCGACATGCCCCCTGCCTTGGCCTGCGCGATGATGAAGTTAAACGGCAGGAAGCCCCCGAGGTAGACCACGAAGCCGCCCACGCTGAGCAGCAGGAACGGCCTCTCCGAAAAGGGCGCCAGGAAGTCGCGCACGCTAAACTTGCGCCGCTGCGGCGGCAGCCGGGACTTGACGGTCAGGTTGCCGACGGCGAGGAGGGCGAGCAGCAGCAGGGCGGCGCACCGCATGGACCACCCGAAGCCGACGGCGTCGACGAGCCGGCTGACCATGATGGGCAGCACGACGCCGCCGATGCTGGAGCCAGCAGTGACGACGCCGAAGGCGAGCGCGCGGTGGCGCTGGAACCAGGTCCCGATCGCGGCGATTGCTGATGGTCCGGCGGCCGGTTAACATGGCGGAAACGAGAGGTGGGAGGCTGGCTTACGCGCGTAGAAGAGAAAGGAGCAGCCCACGGCGCTGCACACGCTCTGGGCGAGGAAGATTTGGTAGTATTGGGTCGAGATGGAGGTCATCATGAGGCCGAAGATGTGCAGGAAGGAGCCGATCAGGATGGGAATGCGAGGGCCGAGTTCATCGGTGAGTTTTCCCACGAGGGGGCCCTAGAATATCAACAAGTCAACAGACGATTTCCTCTTCGATTTTCCAATTATGAACGGAAAGAATTTTACCCAGAAGAAGAGCATAAACGACTCGGTGGAGGGGATCCATGCCACGGTACTGGGCGAGTACTGCTTGAGGAGGTTCGTTTTGTAGTAATCCTGAAAAATACCAATGCCTAGACTATTATTAGTATTTTTATTGCTTGCTTTCCTTCTCTTTCTTCTTTGGACTAGGAAGAAACCCGTAGATACAAAAGTATACAACTCGCCGCGTTGAAAATGCCATTGTCCACTTACAATTAATCCAACCAAAACTCGCAAACACAGTACAGAAGCCGCCGAGGACGGCTAACCAAGCCGCGGTACCACCATCGGGAGGCGGCCCGAAGCTGGATGCCGCCTCGGAGACACGCTCGGGTGGTGCCGCCGCTTCCTGGTCGGCGCCGGCGGGCGGCGGTTGGTGAGTGTCGGCACCGCCATCTCCGGCGACCGGAGCGCCTCCTGCTCCTCCTCCTCCTCCCGAGCTCGACGACGAGCTTGCAAGCGTCGTCGCCTCCTGGAAAGACTTTTCCATGAGTTGGGCCAGGGGACAATGTTTGACAGCGAGAAGCCAGGTCTGGACAACCAACCACCAGAGGGCGTCTCTAGAGAGCTGATTGCCTTGTAGAGAGCGTGGAAAAGGGGATAAGTTTCGATCCGTGAGTCGTCAACTGCCTACAGCATTTTTTTTTCGTGGTTTTTCATTAACAACTATGCACTCGTTCAGTTCACCCGAAATCCGGCTGTGGTGTGGCTTGGGGTCGGCTTGCCTCGTAGCGGCTGCCGGGGCCAGCAAAGCCGGGTGCCAAGTGATGGCTGCGGCCGGCTGAGCGGGCCGATAATGAACTCGTTAAGATTGATGTGGGCTTGCCGTACGCAATGACTCGTATGATATTGCAAGACCCATACCGATAGGTCTTGTGCGTTCCACCGGGGCGTGTGTGACAAGGTGTGGGAGAATGCTTCAATAGAAAGGGCGACGGTCATACTCTATTATTAATGAATCTCTACTTGGAGGACTTAAAGTCCCCTTCTGCTGAGGAATTGACGATGGTGGCGAACACTACCAATATTTGATAATGTCCTGCTGGCTACCCTGGTACGTTCTCCCAGACTACCCTGCTTGACAGGTCAATATCGGGGCATCCATCACAGGGATTCGAAGCCGGCTAACAAGCCTCGCCAGGCTACCGAACATCCAAGTTTTATTTTTTCCATGCTTCCGAGTTTCTGCCATCAGCGTTCCTAACATGGCTAAATTAGAGGGCAATTCTAATTTAGGTAGCTTTATTCGAGCTGATACAACGGAGCTTGTTCGCTCGTTCGTAATCGTGCCCCTTGGCACAGCCCGTATTGGTGTGCGTGCGTGCAGATTACAAGTGTGAATAGCCGTCCCCGGCTATGAAAGCCCACGATAGCCTATTAGGGCTTTCAAAAATGTTTGACGTTGGTGGGCTCTGCGGATGTCGCAGACCTGTCAAGATCATGGCCAGCGGGGGCGGCTTGGCTCGCCCTGTTCTGTTCTGGCCCCCAAGACGGATCTGCCGAGGCGTCCAAGCTTTTCTATCATTTACGACAAGTTCATCTGAGGATAAAATTGGCAGCAAGGCGAGCCGCGCCGTGACCACCGGCTCGTGCGTAAATCTGTCGCGATCTGGCGTTCGCCGTCCCTTGCCTGGGGCTAGGATGGGGAGGGAAACAGCCACCCAACTGTGCAAGCTATTGACTTTTGTCTTTGTTGACTAAATCATCCTATCAATTTATTGGAAGCAGCTCATTTTGTGTCTTTGATAGGAATGATGGAGTGGCGCCTCGTAAGGTCAGCTCGTCCAGAAACTCTGGCCGCCCAGGGTTAACGATCCACCACCACCACCACCACCTGCACAAGCAGAATAGTCAGGAGTTATTCCGGGAACCTTTGATACTTGACTCTTCGCAAATCTGCAGTCTTGTTAATGATAACCAGTCCATACGGAGCAAATGCGCCAATAACAATGCTCATCACACCGGGGAAATGCCTCGCGGGGCCCGTCGGGGCTGAGCTCTTCCTCAGCTTCAAGTCGCCGGCGACTTGCTCAATTCCAGCTTATCAAACCCTGCTGGTCCCTTATTACTCGACCATATATCCACCCGAAAGCCGCTTATCGGCAAGGTGTCTTGAAACGGCACACGCCCTTCCACGGGTGGCGGCCACGGGGGCCAAGATCTCAAATACTCTATACCATGGGACCTAGAGCCTTGCCCAGGGAAAACGTTGTGTTTGTGGCTGACATGTAAAGTGCCTACGGATAAATGGAAATCAAGGGAGATAGTTAGGGAGATTGGTGGTTGCCTCGATCACTGAGGCCCATTGATCGAGATGTTCCTCCTTGATATGTGCTGTTTTTCCTCCCCATGATGGCCATAATCCGTTCAGCATGCCTCCAACTGAGGACTTGCCTGTACTCCTCATGAAAGTGGCAGGGAGACAAATATTCAGCGAGTCTCTACACCTCCAAAAATTTTCATCACATGTTATCAATCTCTCTCCTCAAACGCACTCTGCGCTGAGCCGCCATGTCGGGCAGCCCACACGAAGCACGCATCTTCTTGCCGCCCTCCCACGCACGCCGGCGGAGCCCGGTTCTAAATAGAAAACAAGGTTTTCCTTGGCACAGGCTGCAAGAGTACTGTACCTCTGAAGCTTAAAACGACTTCAGCAGGGCGTGTCTCCGGACAAGACCCGTCGGCCGTTGGTTCTGGCCACCCCCCCCCCCCCCCCCCCAATACGAACAGCGCTTAATAATAACTTTTCCAAAATTTGTGCAAGTCTAAAACTACTCACAAATCCGGATCACACTCGAACAAGAGTCGTACTGCTGCAAAGCCATACTTGTCCCGCGGCTATGTAACCAGCGCTTGTCGAGCTGGGCTGTACCAACCTACCGAACCGGCATGCTAAGCGACGTAATTCGAGTTTTCAAGGCGGCATCTCCACAGGGATGGGACTTGTTCTTGGCAACATGCCATCTGAGGCGTAATAAAACTGCGAAGAAGCTCCGTAGTCTCCGGCTTCCCGAATTTGTCGATGACCTCTAGTTGCAAGATTGCCCTGCCCGGCTCGAACACTCCACGAAGCTTGCTGCGGTGATATCGGCCCAACATTCGTTTAGTCTGCATCTGATAGGCAGAAAACGTTACCGGTTACGTTCGGTTTAAAGTTGTTTTCAGAGTTTGTGCTTCTCCATGCACCTGCATACGGCTGCGCCGCTGCAGACATGTCATGATTTGTCCACACTCGTGCTTTAGTTCCCTGTCTGGGGCAGCATAGAGCGGTAGCAGCGCTCGCATGTCGGTAGATTCCTCGAGATGCAACATGCCATCCGCTCGTATTATCAATCTGCATGCTTAGGTTTGATGGTAGATGTGTCGAGAGTAGACGAGTTGCTCATGCCAAGGATCCCACCTGCGTCGACGACCATGGCCTACATATAAGAGGCCATCCAGTCAAGTCTTGCAGGCAGCCGAATCTCTCATATCGACAACATTTTTCTCATTTTATCATTGGCCGTAGACAATTTACTACCATCATCATGTCTATTCCGGCAATGCCTTTCATCACAGGGCCAGTTGCTCCGCCCCAAGAGCAGCTACGGCTATCTCCCCCTCGGGGACGCCTCTCGGCCATCATCCCCCTCTCCAAGGTCCAGGAGGTCCTCTGGGTTGACTACCTCCGACAGCCCTGGGCCACGCACTACAACCTGACCCTCAAGGTCGACCTCACAGGCTCCAAGCTCACGCTCGAGAGCATCATCAACAGTACGACCCTACGATACGAACGCTGATCATGGTGAGGCATCCATGCACTAACACGTGAGGCAGACATTCACAAGCTGGGCAGGAAGCACGACATGCTCCGCACCACCTTTCACATCGATGACACGGCGCAGACCACCTCCCAGTCCTACATGGCCGTGCACGACCCCGACGGCTGCTTCCAGAACGTCGAGATCGCCGCCGACGACGCCCGCATGCAGCAAGCCCTCCGACGCGGCTTCGACCTGTCCGCCGAGTTCCCCGTCAAGTGGATCGTGCACCAGAGCTACTCCGTCGTCGATGGCGGCCGGCTCGAGGCCGCGCACACCGTTTACGCCATGGGCCACCACATTGCCGTCGACGGCTCCAGCATGAGCCACCTCTCGCGGGAACTCGTGCAGCTCGTGAGCGAAGAGGACGCAGCAAGCACAGAGAGCGCCACCGCCGCACCCGCTCCCTCGTACGGCGAGTTTGTCCAGCGCCAGGAGGCGTACCTGCGGTCGGACGAGGCCGAGAGCGCCCGGGCGTTTTGGCTCTCGCAGATCGCCCACACCGCGCCGCACCGCTGGACCCACGCCGCCACCCCGGCTCCGACGCCTGGCCGGGACTACCGCCAGATGACCACCTGGGCCTTCTTCCCCAACGACGTGCTGGCGGCGTGGTCCGCGCTTTACCGCACCTCGTGGTTCCGCGTAGCCACCGCGGCCATCGGCCTCGTCACCGCCGGCCACGCCGCGCCCGCGCCGCACCACGACAGCACGCTGCAGGTAGCCCTCGGCGCGCGCGAGGCCCGCTTCGCTGGCTGCGTGTCGCACATGGCCAACACCATGCCCGTGCGGCAGCCCGTGTCGGAGCTCCTCCGGCGCGACGGCGACGCTGCTACGTTTGCGGAGTTGGTGAAGCTGGTGGGGAGGGGCGTCTCGCAGGCGAAGCGCCACGAGCGGTTCCCGTTCCTGTCGCTGGTGGAGGCGGCGGCGGCGAGCAGCGGCGACACGGCGGCGAGCAAGGTGGCGGTGACGCTGAGCCCGAGGCTGGCGGACGATAGGTGCACGCTGTACCCGGTCAACGGCGTCTGGGACCTGTTCTTCTGCTTCCTGGAGCACAAAGACGGCGTGGCGCTCGGCGTCATCAGCGACCCGGGCGTGTTCGGCGAGGAGGCGCTGGATGCGCTCCGCGTGGACTTCTTGCACGCGGTCGAGCTGTCACAAAAAACGCCCGACTTTGCGCTGACCTCGCTGCCGTGCATGCGCGGCCGCGCAGTGGCCACCATCGTCGACGGACCGGACATGAACGATGCCGAGGCCGTGGCTTCCTCGCGCGTGTGTGATTGGATCCGCGCCCGGGCGGCGGCGCAACCGGACGACGTGGCGCTGTGCCGCGGCGAGGACGGCACGGAGATGACGTACGCGGAGCTGGACGCCTCGTCGGACCGCAAGGCGGCGCACCTGCAGGGCCGCCTGGGCGCAGGCCGCGGCGACGTGGTCGCGCTGCAGCTCGGCGCCGGCTTCGACATGGTCGCCTGGATCTTGGCCGTGCACAAGGCCGGCGCGTGCTTCGTCGTGCTCGACCGGGCACTTCCGCTCGCCCGCAAGCAGGCCATCCTGCGCGTCGCCGCCGTCCGCTTCTTCGTCTCCGACGCCTTCGACGACGCGCTCTTCGCCGATTGCGCCGCGCCCCCCCGGACCGTCTCCGTCTGGGCCGACGCCGACCTGCCCCTCGATGCCCGCCCGCAGCCCGTCCCCGACGCCCACCCGAGCGACCTCGCGTACCTCGTCTTCACCTCCGGCTCGACCGGCCAGCCCAAGGCCATCGAAGTCGAACACGGCAACCTTGGCAGCTACGTGAGCGCGGCGCGCGGCGCGGTGCGGGTCGGCCGCGGGTCGCGCGTGCTGCAGTTCGCGCCGTTCGCGTTCGACGCGTCGGTGCTGGAGTGGGCGGCGACGCTGACGTACGGCGCGGCGCTGTGCTTCGTCACGCACCCGGCGCTGCTGGTCGGCGACTACCTAGCGGACGTGGTGGACCGCAACGGCGTCAACTTCTTCCATACCACACCATCGGTGCTAGCTACCATTCCGGACGGCCGCCGCTTGCCGTCGCTGCGCGCACTGTCCGTCGGCGGCGAGGCCTCCTCCGCCGGCCTGCTCGACCGGTGGAGCCGGAGGCTGCACCTGGTCCACGCCTACGGGCCGACCGAGACGACCGTCATCTGCGCCACCGAGAACGTGGTGCCGATCGAGGATGGGAAGGCGCTGCCGGACCCGTCAAACATTGGTCTGCCCAATGCCAATGTCACGCTACTCATTTGCCCGGAGGACTCGGAGCGCGTGCTCGGCCCCGGCGAGGTCGGGGAGATCTGCATCGCTGGGCAGCAGGTCACCCGCGGCTACCGCGCGCAGCCGGAGCTGACCGCTGAAAAGTTCCGTACGGTCAAGCTCAACGGACAGGAGACGCGGATGTACCGCTCCGGCGACCGGGGCTTCGTCGGCGCCGATGACGGCAAGCTACGCATCCTGGGCCGCATGAACAATCGCGAGGTCAAGCTGCGCGGGTTCCGCATGGACCTGGCGGCCATCGAGAAGAGCATCCTGGACGGCTGCCCGGAGGTCACGACCGCGTCAGTGCAGGTCGTCGAGGAGCGGCTGGTGGCGTTTGCGTGCCCGGCGACGGTGGACGCGGAGGCGATCCGGAGGCGCGTCGCGCTCGACCTCCCGGCGTACTCGGTGCCGGCCGAGATTGTGGCTGTCGACGGGCTGCCTCTCAACGCCAACGGAAAGGTAGACCACAAGGAAGTGCTGCGGCGGTTCGATAGCGAGAGCACCACCGCTGCGTCTTCTGCCTCCGCGAGCCGGGTCGCTGATAAGCAGGCCAAGCCCGCCGTGGTGGTCAAGACCCCCACAGTCCCGAGGAAGGGAACCCGGTCCCCCTCCGCCGATAACACGAGTCTGTTAAGCCGTCTCGAGGCTTCCGTTACCTCTCTGTGGCAAAAGGTACTCGGGTGCCGCGACGCACCGGCTCCGGATGTCAGCTTTTATAACGCCGGCGGCCACAGCATCCTCCTCTCCGCACTGCACAAGGAGCTCGTCTCCCTGTACCCGGACGCCAAGATTTCCCTGCTCGACGTCTTCTACAACCCCACAGTCCGGCGACAGGCGCAGCGCCTCGCCGAGCTCGTCGGCGACGACGCCGAGACCGGCTCCGTTCCCCCCAGCAGCAGCGCCTCAGACGTCTCGCGGCCCTCCACACCCAAGTCGTCGTCTAACAACTCCTCCGCCGGCACGTCTGTGACCGCGGACGCGCCGCTATTCGCCATTGTCGGCATGGCGGGCCGCTTCCCCGGTGCCGACTCGGTCGAGGCCATGTGGGAGCTGCTGATGGGCCAGCGTGACGGCGTGAGCACGAGCGACGGCGCGGGTGCTAAGTTGGCAGACCTTGCTGAGGGAGAGATCTTCGTGCCGCGGTACGGCAGCATCAACGGTCTCGACGACTTCCGCGCGAGTGACTGGAACATGTCCGAAGAGGAAGCAAGAACACTAGATCCCCAGGTATGTCCCCCAACCCCTTGTACCATTCTAAAGCCGCGTCAACTAACGACAACTCTCCACTTTAGAAACGCATGTTCCTCATGGTCGCTGAGGAGGCCCTCCGAGACGCCTCCATCCCCGTTCGCACCGAAGAGGGCGTCTCTGTCGGCACCTTCGTCGGCGTCGCGCCCAACACCTACCTCGAGTGCGGCGGACCCTCCTCGCTCCCCCTCGACGCCTTCGAGCGGCGCTACAAGGCCGTCCTCGACCCCAACGCCTCCACGCTCGCCGCGTACCGCCTCAACCTGACCGGCCCCTCCGCCGACGTCGGCGCCGCCTGCGCCTCCTCGCTCGTCGCGCTCCACCAGGCTCTCCGCGCCCTGCGCGCCGGCGACTGCGCCGCCGCCCTCGTCGGCGGCGCTTCTGTGGCCTACCCGCAGCTCGGCGGCTACGCCACCGCGGCCGGCAAGCTCTTCTCCCCCGTGGGCGCGTGCCGCCCGCTGGACGCGCGCGCGGACGGCTCGGTGCCGGCGGACGGCGTGGCGGCGGTGGTGATCAAGGAGCTGGCAAAGGCGCGCGAGGCGGGCGATCGCGTGTACGCGGTCGTGGAGGGGCATGCGGTCGGGGCGGACGGCGCGGTGGACAAGGTCGGGTTCACGGTGCCGAGCTCGTCGGGGCAGGCGCGCGTGCTGCGCGCGGCGATGGAGGATGCGCGGCTACCCGGCCCGCAGGCGCTGCGGTACGTGGAGATGCACGGCAGCGGGACGAGCGTGGGCGACGCGCTGGAGTACAAGGGCGTGGAGCGCGCGGTGGCCGCGTACGACGCGTCGTGGGCTCCCGGCGGCGTCACGGAGCAGCGGCGCACGCTGTTCGTCGGGTCCAACAAGGGCAACTTTGGCAACGCCGAGGCCGCGTCCGGCCTGTTCTCGCTCATCAAGGCCGCGCTGGCGGTCAGCAGGGGCGTGGTGCCGCCGCTGCGGCAGCTGGGTGACTGCAACGAGTTGATGGGCGTGGCCGAGGGGAGCGTCGTGCAGCCGCTGCGGAAGCAGCTTCGGCTGGAGACCGGCGACCGCGTCGGCGTCACCGCGCTGGGCTACGGCGGCGTCAATGCGCACTGCATTCTGGCCAGCCTGGATACGGTGGAGCAGAGGGATTGAAACGGACGATGATTTCTCATGTTTGCTGCTTTTTTGTTTTTGCCGAGGTGCATGAAAAGAGGGGGACAGATTATGATGTACTTTGTACGGAGTGCTCGATGACCAAGTGCAATAGGTTACTTGGGAATGAAATCAGCAAATGATGTCAAATTTCTTATGAATCTTACTTGCAGTACTGAAAGCGCCAATAATCGGACGGGCAGTCAACCAAGTGCGAGCAATCACGACCAACAGATGTTCCTGTGGCTAACACGGATGCGGCTCCTCCCGCCGCCGTCGCCACGCCCTCCTGGGGCTGAACTTTAATTTTGACCTCTCGACTAACACGGAAATTCTACCGCCAGAAGCCGAGAAATAGGATGAGAAGAGAAAGGGTCATGGTTATTCTCATTCATGCTTTCATTATCATGTCGTCAAGTCTATAGATAACCTATCAAGTTACCGTGGCTCAGTGCTCTATGCAATGCAGCTCATGTCACTATATACAACCAAATTAATGTTGTCAACGGTTGCTCTTCTTCCATGCAAGCCGCTACAGCTTTTCGAGCCATCGGTAGACCCTCTCGGCAATGTCAATATTATTCTTCTCCATGAAGAACATGTGTCCGTTGCCGTGGATGCCCTCCTTGCCGAGGTCGGCATACTCAACATTAACGCCGACCTGGCGTAGGTAGGCGACGGTGCAGTAGTCGTAGGGAGCGTGGAAGGAGGCCTCACCAGTGACGACGAGCTCGGGGATGCGGGCAAGGTTGGTGAGTTTCTTGACGGGGCTAGCCTGCATGATACAGTCGTCATGGTCGGCGTCGACGGCAGGCTCGGTGCGGGTGACGATGAGCTCGGCCTTGGGGCCGGCGGGTGGGTCGTAGCCGATGGGCAGGTCGGTGAGGCCAAAGGCGAAGGCGGGGTCGTTGCCGAACGGGGGTCGGAGGGTGAAGGGCGGGCCGGAGGGCTCGAGCTGGACGATGCCCTTGACTAGGTTGGGGCGCAGGTCGCCAACGCGCCAGCCTGTTGGGGTCAGCAATGACTCACACATTTGATCAGGTTGATGTTGATGTTGGTTTTATTGCTGTAAACGTACCGTATGCACCGGCCTGGGAGTGGCTGATGACGATGCACTCGCCAACTACGTCGACCAAGGCTGCGTAGGCGCGAGCGTTCTGCTCCTCACTGATGAAGCGGTTCGTCTGCAGTGGCACCTGGCTCCTGTAGAAGGCATCAAAGGTCTTGTCACCCATGCGGCCGGTGCCGGGCCACTGGGTGTGGAGCTTGGCTTGCGGCCACTGGTTGCCGTTGCGGGCCGTGTTGGTGAAGATGTCGGCGACGGCCTGAGGGGTACCGATAGTGCCGAAGCTACCATCCCCGCCGGGGCGCCATGCGGAGCGGCCGCGCGAGGGCTGGTCCGAGAGGTAGACGGTGTGGCCCTTGGACAAGAAATATGCGGCCCAGCCGGGGCGGCCATCGGGGGTGTCGAGGAAGTTGGTGCCAGTCTGGGCGGCGCCGGCGATGAAGATGATGGGCAGGGGCCGGTGATTGTCGAGACGAGGGGACAACGGCGGGTGCGGGGAGAGCTTCTCAACGTATATTTGACCGACGAGAGCCAAGGAGACGGTGTTGGTGGTGTGGTCCTGTTTGGAGGAGGGTTACACTGCTGTCAGATTATCGGTCTCGTAGAGGGGCAGAGATGATGGGCAGAGTGGGTGGGAGGAGACGTACCGTCACGTTGGTGTACTCGCCGCCAACATACAAAACATCGCGGCGCGGGACAATTTCAGCGAGTTTGGAGGTATTCCTGTGGGCATTTGCGGTGCCGAGGAGAGCGAATTGGGCCCAACAGCAGGCGAGGGAGGTGAAGGAAGCTGCGAGGTTGACCATGTCGTCGATCCCTGCTATGTGATGGCGGTAGCGGGAGAGGCAAAACAGGACAAGGGCCAGAAAGAAGCTAATGAGAAAGATTCGGAGGATCTGTTTAGCCCAATGGTGATGGTGGTGCGGATTGGTTCCAGATGCAGCACGACGCACACCTTTTGAAGGCAGCGGCTTCGTGGATGAAGAGGAGGCGGCGGAGTCGGAGGGCGCCATTTAGTTGGAGCAATCAATACAATGATGCATTCGAGGTCAGCGGGGACGCAGCTGGAGAAGAGATGGATAAAAAGAGGCTCTCAAAATAGGATGGGTTAGGGTGGCAGCCTGACTGCAAGTCTCCGCGGTGGCTGCGGCTGACATTGGTGGAGGAGGTGGTGGTGGCATGATGTGGTGTGGAAGGGGTCAGCGATGGTGTTGAAGATTGAGTTGAGAGCTTGTCGAGGACGGATGATTAATGAGACAAGGGATGGATGAGATGATTCAGATGAATGAAGGCTGGAAAGCAATTGATTCAAAGTTTTGGCAGTACCAGGTAATTAGCCCTGTGAGCTGCGGAAAGAAGGAGACAGAGCTAACAGGCAAAGAGCCGGGAAAGGGGGGGGGGCAGCCACAGCCACTAGCAGCCAGCGGGAGCCGCCAAACGGACGGGCCTCCACCGCCACAATCCAGTGGGCTTGATCCACAGCGCATAAGACAACAGTCGATAATCTTTTCAATCAAATCAGCCCTCAATAATAATAAATGCTCGATTTGAGCAGGAAAAAAAAAATAACCCTGCCTCTCCGTCTCCCTTGCACTCTCCACCCTGGCCCTGTCTCTCTGTAATCTTGCTGGTCCTGCCCTAAACCAGTCCTCCCACGTCCGTCTGATGCCTGTGACTCGAGAAAGCTGTGGTGGAGACGTTCACGATCCTGACCGTGCCACGCCGCGCGCCACGACCCTCGGCGACCGCAAATCGAACCGAGACAACAAGTGTTACAGTCAGCCTTTGGCATTGCCAGGGACTAAAACCTAATATGCGAACAAATGCCATGAATCAGCGAGCCAACGAACCACCATGCTTGACGCTACCCACGCATGGACCAGGCATCGCCTAGGATAATAAGCACGACGGCGTTAACCAGCGCCAGCCAGCTCGGCCCCCTCCCCGCGTCCGATATTGACAGACACACAGAACGGGGGGGCCAGACCATTTGAATTCTCGCGTCATTTCTTCCCAGTTCAACATCTGATGCTTCTTCTCTTGGGCTTCTCTTGGCTCTCGGCCCATCGTCGACCACCCGAGCCAATTGGATAAAAGAGGCTCGCTGCCTGTCTCGCTCCCCTCTCGCTGCCAGCGAAGGCATTGTTGGCAATCTCATTTTCGAAAAGACTGGACTTGTGCGGCAGCGTGTGCGGCAGCGCTGACCACTTGATCAACGCAAATGACCTTCATCATTGCGGTGACGACAGACGGCATCCGAATACACGCAAAGACCGCGCATACGCAAGCACACATCAATACCCAGCGCGCATGAAAATTACATACAGGCTCGCATAGTTACACGCTCTCTCACCATGGCTAGCCCAACACGCGGCTCCCCAGAGTACCTCGCTCAGACCAACGATCCGTACCTTGACCAGCGAGTGAGCATCACATTTGCCGTCATCGACACCCTCTTCCTCGCCATCTTTTACACTAGCCGCTACTACAACCCCAAAGCCATCGGCAATCCCATGCTCATCTGCAATACCCTGTGCTACCTTTTTTGTCTCGGGAGTGCCGTAGCAGGCATACGTACGTCTAGATGCCCGTCTTCCCACCCATCCGACGACAAGTCCTCCTTCAGCATCGATGCTAACGCTGCCCTCCAGTCATGACCCAAATCGGCGGCGTCGGCTATCACGTCGACGCCGTCCCCGTCACCACCTTCCAGACATGGCTCAAGCTCTCCAAGGTGCTCGAGTTCACCTACACTCCGGCCGTCATGTTCGCCAAGCTCGCCGCCCTCTTCCTCTACCACCAGCTCTTTGAGGTCACCCGCTACCGCATCGTCATTCTCATCCTCGGTGCCGTCATCGCCCTCCAGGGTGTCGTCGCTTTCATCCTCGCCTTTACCATCTGTCGTCCCTTTCGCTACTTCTGGACACAGGTCGTCAACCCCGCCGACGGCTCCTGTGGCGACGTTATGCTCTTCTACAAGCTCTACAGCATCCCCAGCATCGTCACTGACGTCGTCATGCTCGTCATCCCCTGGCCCATCTTGCTACGCTTGCAGATGCCCCTCGCCGACAAGGTCGGCCTCATGCTCACCTTCCTCGCCGCCTCCCTCGGCATCGTCACCTGCGCCCTCCGCTTCTCCGTCTTCTTCACCACGCCGCTCTTTAGCGATCCCACCTGGTACGCCTCCGGCGGGCCCATGATCTACGCCCTCGTCGAGCCCTCCATCTACATGGTTGCCAGTATCCTGCCCACCACGCGGCACCTGCTCCGTCGCGTGCTGCGTCGCCTGCGCGGCGAACCAGCCACCGAAAACAAAACCGGCAGCGCCCGCACCGGCGCCAGCAGCGGTGCCAAGTTTGAACTTGAAAGCAACAAGTCGGGTGGCAGAACGCCGCGCCGCACCGATCCCTGGCTCGATACCACCACGGCCAGTCAGGAGGAACTTACCCTAGCCGACTGGGACCACACACAAGACGAGTCGCATCGTCCGCCCAAGGACGCCGTGGAAACGCGTCGCCCGCCCAAGGACGCCGAGGAAAGAGTAGGCGCGGCGGCGAGACGCTGAGGTATTCGCGATGAGCATTACTGCCACTTTTGCTTTCTTGCCAGCGATCTGTGACTTTTCATCAAAAGCGGCCATCTCGGTGCCAGTCCAAGCTCATGATTAAATACATGTATATCTGCTGTTGTTGATGGCTTGGCGTAATTGGGAACAAAGAGGAATTAGATAAATGTAAATTAAGACCTGTTGATTTAGAGCAGCATGCTATAGAAGGGTTTAGACAGGAATGAATCATGGCTATGCACCGGCAACTGTGTTGTTCAACCGTCGCCTTGTTAGATTGACTAAGCAGCGACGCATCTCCACAGAGCAAGCTATAGAATGCAGTTAAAGCACGGAGGCCGACAAGACAAGAGCCATTCTATTTCTTTTTCTTTCTTTTTTTTCGGGAATTAATCATGGTTTATAGCCGGCGTCGCGTCACCGACTGTGGAGTCCATTGCCGTAATTCCTGATCTGCGCTGATCAGCCCTGTGCATTATTGTCCCTCACTGTAGTGTTTACGCGTTGGTCTACCTAGCGGCCAGTATCCAATGCACAATAAATAATGAAGCGATATCAATCATACCCTGTGGCGCCTGCAATCTTGGCAGGCCATTAAGTGACAGCCTTTGCAGGACAACAAATAAATCCAGTGTCTCGTTCCGCAGAGCTCACAAGGCCGACCACGGCGTGTCCGCTCGAGTTCAACCCTCAAGAACTTGCCGCCATGGTTGCACTCATGGTTAGCTTGCAGCTCTCTTGCCATAAATGCGACACGCTGCTGACGAACTGCCGGTGCCAGTGGCTCTAGAGCTTCCCTCTCAACAACCTGCTGAGCTCTTTGATTGAGAAGCTCAGGTTCCCAGTCGCCGCAATCGCAATCCTTCCATTTCACGCCACATCGGTAGCAAAATTCAGCATCGCACCGGCAGCTTTGCTAAGGTTAGCACCGTGTGCAGATAGACTGGAATATGGAATGATGAATAGCACTCACGTCATATGGTTGCAGCCCTCGTGGCGAAAGATCATCTCGCCACATCCAAAACATTCCATCCAGCCCTGCCCACGTGCAAACTCGAGGAGTTCTTGTCTCGACTCATCCACACTGCAACTTCCATCATGGGCTAGCAGCTTACAGCGTATGCAAGTAACAAAAGTACAAGAATCACACGAGCCGCGCTCTGCGTCCCGATGGGCGGGTATAAAAACGCCGCAAGTCAGATTTGCGCAGTAGATCCTGTCTGTGCTACCAAATTCCAATTCGGCGGCTCGATACACCTTCAGTTCCTCGGGTGAAAAGTCTGCCTCGATAGTAGAGATATTCATAGCTTAGCGGTGGCATTTCGGCGGAAAGAGCGTTTCGTCTTTAGCAACGCGCAGGAAGAAAGACTTCAGGCACGGCCTGCAAAATGTATCACCGCATCCTAGCTCAACGGCGTTGTGAGGAAGAGCATGTTCTCCGTAGACAACACATTCGACAGGCTCAACAGCGCCCTTCCCGACGACGATGTCCTGCTGGCTACTGTGTTGACCAGAGGGGCCAGCAATGGTGCCGCCGCCATCATCGCTACAAACATGCAAGGCATTTTCATAGCCAATTGGTTCGGGTTCAACTTGGAGCATCGCCGAAGATGGCATAGGTCCATCCCCATGGAAACCGAGGGCCAAACGTCGGTCATTGACAGCCTGCATCTCCTGAAGATTCAGCTCTTCGATAGCTTCAGAATCGGCTTCGACTGCGGCGGACATACTCTGGGCGAGTATTGCGTCATTAGTAAGATCAATGCATTTTTTCAACTCAGCTTTAAATGAATTAAAGGCTAGCACAAAGTCCGGAGGACTTTCTTCATGCCACTTGCCGTGATGGCCCTCATATTGAGCATGAATCTCCCCGAGTTGAATCTGCAAGGCAAGGTTTTGATCATCAAGGCATAACAAAGAATCAGGGCATGCCATGGTGAATTTTTTTTTACAAATATTTGGCTTGGTTGTGATGTGATTGTTGATGGAGGAGGAGAGTCTGCGCTGCATCGACTTGTTTACCTTGAGACGTACATCGTCTCGAAATTCGCGTCGGGCGTTTTACATTCCCTGGTTGGAATGGGCGATGAGAGACCAACCAGTGCTCACGTGTTGCTGTTCTGCTATTTTCTGAAGCAACGCAGTAATAAGGGCAAGTATACAATTCTCAAAAGCCCATTTATATGATTACAGAGACTCTTGTTCGAGTTTCCTTGCTTCCATCAACTTCCCGCCAGTATGGGGGGGGGGGGCTACACCAAAATGAACTCGGCATTGATCTCCTGGACAGACAGCACAGCTGTGTAGATCAGCCGAAACGCCAAGCAAGCTGGGGCAGCATGAGGCGGCGCTGAACTTTAATAAACCAGGCCGCATTGACTGAACGTAACCATCAATCAGGCTTAACGTTCGTCTAGCAAACCGAGCGGCATGATGGAAAGTTTGTGCCGGGCGTGGCGTAACCGCATTGGGCTTAATGGCAGAACCGGTAGTTGCGAATAGAACATGGATAGGGAGCTAACTAGAGCTATTGCAGTAAGATGCTGGGAAGACACATGGCCAAGGCAGGCGGGCCTATGCGTTTTCTAATCCACAGATTAGCATCGTTAATTTGGCTGAAGCGGTAGGTCTCTACGAACGCTTTGACTTTGCCACTTTCCTTGGCTGATCAGGCTCTTGTCAATTGTCGTTTGCCTGACTCGTGCCGATTTCGAGCATGTGATTCCATTGTATTTAGGCAAGGAGGCTGCCACAGACCTTGGTGCTGCGCGACGGAACTTTTTGTCCCCCTCGTTATACTTGATCGTCTCTTATTATCTCCGTCGTTCTTCATTTACTCCACAGCTAAGCGAAGCAGACTCGACATCCATCTACAGGTACTGTATGTCGAAATGACTTACCACCTAATGCCGCCCGACTCGACCCATGGCCAGCACTTGCCCAGACGAGACATGCTCCAACAATCAGTTTCAGGGGCAACCCTTCGACACTTGCCGTCACCGGCCCCATCAGTCAAGGGAGCAAGTTCACAACAACACATCAACATATCTGGTGTGGACAGGGTCCAGGCACAGTGCCTGTCACTTTCTAGCACCATCACAGCTACGTGTGATGACGTCGCAGAAAAAATGTCCAAGTATGCCAGTCTGGTCAACGCCCCATCACCCGAGTTCCTCACGCTCGCCAAGGAGATACTCGGTGTTTACCATATGCTGGCTCGCGTCTGTACCTGCCTTTTGGATGCTATGCGCGGCGGCCAAGCTCTGTCACTAGATCTGATCGACGTCATGGTAAAAAAGTTTCAGAACGCACAGACATGCCTACAATCGATCGAGCATGTGGTGAGCAAACTACTCGAGGGCCGTCGCAAAGGAACAATGAGCCGCATGCGACGTGGTTTCGGGAAGATGTTCAGGGACACCGGCATTGAAAAGGTGCTCCCCGAGGCAATAAGAACGCACGAAGATCTTAAATCCGCCGCTCTGATGTTTCACTGGAACCTAGGCTCGGAACGACTGGAATCCGCGCTGGGCATTGGCTTCCTCGACTTGGCCGCTGCTGTGGAAGCGGCCACTGGCCAAGCTTTTCGAATCACAAGTCCCTCGCCAACATCTGAAGAGAATGGCTCGTCTCATCGCTTTGAAGCATTTCCTTTGCCCAACACACATCACAGATTGAAAGGCCATGATGTCGTGGCGCATCCGCAAAATCTTCATTCACCTGCTACAGCTGAGCTATTGTTTTCGGACCACACAAGATTATCCGCCAGCGACTACGCGCATGGTGATAACGGCGCCATGGTGTCAGGCCGTGATGGGAGCGGCGACAGCCCCATATTGAAGTACACGAGCTCCGTGTCAAGCTCCCACAACAGTCGCGACAGACAGAACGAGCGCCTGTTCAGCCCAACTGGCCTGCACACATTCGCGGAGACTGCGACAACAGCTCTTGACGCCATCGTGGAGGACATCCAAGCCCTCGAGCTCGGAAGCGCCAAGGTCTTTCGCCTGAACAGTACTCCCTCGGACATGCCTCACATCAAGTCCAGCAGCAGGATGGACGCTGACAAGCCCAACGCCGGAGCAGAACTTGCGTCAGCCATCCGCGCCGGTAACCATCGCATTGCCCAGCAGCTACTCGATCGCGGCGTTTCCCCCGACGGCGGTCCCGAAGCGCATGCTTTGAACGATGCCATATCCAGTCAAGACACTGACGCCGTTCGTTTACTGCTCCTCTACGGAGTGAACCCTAATACGGCGGATAAGCATGGTCAGAGCCCTCTGATGGTTGCTTGCCGTACTGGCCAGCTCGAAGTAGCCATTGCTCTGCTCAAGTACGGTGCCGACCCTAACTTGGGCTCGACGGGGGGAACGGGCTCGCCGCTAGAAGCTGCAGTTGTGATCGCTCACATTCGGTTAGCCCATGTTCTCCTCATGTACGGGGGAGACGCAAATCAAATGACAAGTTGCGGCAACACTTTGTTGTGTAAATCAATTGGTCAGAGTACGCCCAAAGCGCTGGTAGATCTTCTACTCAACTACGGCGCACTACCCAATAAAAAGAACACAAAGGGCAAGACCGCTTTGTTTGAGGCAGTCAGCAACGCCAGGGCCGACATTGTGGCCAGTCTGATGGAGCACGGAGCCGACGCCAACCTACCAGGGCCCAAGCACGCGCTGTGGCCAGCGACGTACCATCCCGAATGCTTGCGCATCCTGGTGGCGAGCTCAGCTGACTTCAAGAAGGCCCCTGGAATCATGGAGCTTGCTGCTAGCCTGAATAATCTGGAGTCGATCCGTATTCTTCTCAAGGCAGGCGTAGACCCCAATGTCAAAAAGGATGGAGTTTATACTCCTTTGTGCACGTCTATCCGCGATAACCGTGCCGACATCTTCCAGCTGCTACTCCGCAGCGGTGCCGATCCCAACGTTCCTGCAAGCGAATATCCTGCCTTCAAGTGCGTTACCCATCATCGCAACCACTTCCTCCCAGCGCTCCTTGCGGCTGGCGCCAAGCTCGACACGCCCAAGGGTATCGTTGAGACGGCAGTGGCGTCGAAGAACCCCAAGGCTGTTCGATGGCTCTTGGAGAATGGCGCCGACCCCAACGACAAATGTCCCAACGGCCAAACAGCCCTTACGGCAGCTATCAGCGAGAACGACATGGATTGTGTGGATGTGCTGCTCTCGCATGGTGCGAACCCCAACATACGCGGGCAGGACTGGCCAGCATGCATGGCGGTACGGCACCCTGAGATCCTGAAGCGCATACTGGCGGTGCTGCAGCAGCCCCGTGCGTTCAAGGGCATCATGGAGATGGCAGTGGCCGCCAATCAGCTCGAGTCTGTCAAAGCACTGCGCGCGGCTGGAGTGTCCGTGGAAGATCGCAACGTCGGTGTCTTCTCGCCGCTCACGACGGCGATTCGCGAGCATCGAACGGACATTGTGGCCTACCTCATTGGCGAAGGCGGCGCAGATGTGAACGCCCCCGGCGAGCACTTGCCGATTGTCAAGGCTCTGCGGAGGTGCCAGACGGAGCATGTCGAAATCATTGACATGCTATTAGAGAAGGGGGCGGATCCGAACAAGATGTATCGTGGGTGGAATGGCATCATGCAGGCACTGGAGAATGGAGATGCGGACATGTTGAAGAAGCTGACGGATAAGGCTGGCGTCAATCTAGAGAACAAGGATGAGCTTGGGAGGACTGTCGTGGAGATTGCCGCCTCTAGGAAGTGGGATGAGGCTGTGGACATTTTGATGTCCAGCAAAGCGCAGTCATAGCGCAATACTCACAGTCTCGAGGGTTCTGGCTCCTACACACCAAGAAACTAGCCACCGGATCCATGACACTCTTTTACCTAGTTCGTATTACGCAAAATATAGTACTCTAATTAGACCCTTAATAGACTAAGTAAATATATTACTAATAGGTATACGTTTGGGATTTCCGGAACGAGCTACATAGATTGTGTATGTCAGGGCACAGGATCTCGACTATACCACAATTACCCTTCCAGTTGGGTTCGATACTATAATACCCCTTTGTCACTCTCTTTCATTTTCACACCCATCTGTCACTTCAGGAGATACATCCACGCCCTTTGCTCGAGCCTTCCCCTGACTGGTGCGGACAGATGCTTTATTGCAGGGTAAGTGTCGGGCCAGCCTCGAGCTCGACCGACCTCGAGTTCGACCAGTCTATGGGGTGTAATACGAGCGTTAGGTCTGTATGGTAGCGGTAAATTTATCTCAGGTAGCAGTGGCAGGCGCAGAAGTGATTATTCGTTCAGTGTGTCGGTTTTCTCAGGACCTTGCGTTGATAGATGACGACAAAGGCCGGAGAAGGAGTCCTAGGTCTGTTGCAGGGGAAACACTGTAATAGTGGCAGACCAGGGAGGACTATTCTTCATGAGAGAGGTTCCGAAAAGACTAGCCGTCACAGAGTGATGCGCATACGTCTGGGCACCTACGGCTCGCATACAATTGCGGAACAAGCTGCTGAGACTTGCTACATGCCCAGATACAGGCAATGAGTGTTGGTAGTCGTATTAGCTGACTGTGCGGAGCGGGCTCTTTTCCGGAGAGTATAGTAGAGGAAGTGCAAAAGCAAACGAATTATATAAAGGCACTAGGATATCGGCAGAGACTGCCTATATTTAAATAGCTGTGATAGCTGTGCTATATTCGTATAGCGGTAGATAATCCTCAAGCTCAAACCCATCGAGAGACCTCCATATCTTGTCAATGTCTGGCTGAAGCAGTTCTACCAGCGTACACTCGTGTACGCCATAGTAGTAATTTTGCGGCTGCAAGAACCATCTTGGTGTCTGAAATCGCATCACCACCTGCTTTGATTCTTCCAGGCTGCGGCCATCGAAGGGCTTGACCGACCAAACATCTCCGACTTTGTGCTTTTTCCTCTCCTTTATGATTGAACCCAACAACATGCAGCAGCACTCATCAGTACAACCTCTTTTCCCTTCTTCGAGGTCCGTCTGTAGACGGATCAGCAATTCAAGCATTTTCCGCATTGCCCGCTGTCTTTTGCTCTCTAAATTTGCTGGACAATCACGTTAACAATGTCGTATGAGCAGTGGCGGAGATTTATACATACCAAGGAGCATAGGTGGCAGTGCCAGCGTGTCCGCTTCGAACGGACATTTGCTGTGTTTCAAGACCATTTCGGTCATCTTTCGGAAAACATTGCCCTCCATGAATACCCACGATATAGCCAGCCACAAAATGGCAGGTTTCCCAAACGTCTTCGGAAGGTCAGCTTTCAGTGATTCCATCCAAGACCGAGCGAACACTTCAACCCTTTCATGGCATTCGTAATAATCAACGAGAATTGCCAGCTTCGCGAGAGTGTCTGTGCTCACAGAATCGGGCACTTGTCGATTATGTCCATGCACTATATTCAAGAAGATGAGGAAGGCGTTCGCATCCCATTGTTCTGTACGCAACACATTACATGTGGTCCCGTCTTCCAGCTCTAATCGATGTTTGACTGTGCTGTGGTAGGCACTGCTTAACCTTCGACGGACTTGCCCTGATGCCAGTCTTAGATGGCTAGAGGATACGCGAAACCACACCGCGTTTTGTTCGTCATCTTTCTCTGTTTCCGATGAGCCGAGAGAATGCGGCTCGTTCGATCCGTCTGTATTCACTGATGGGGTGGCATTGTCTTTGGCGTACTCTGGTCGGTCTTCGTTGCGTGCTAGAATGAGCCCCTCCAAAGTATTGACGCTTTCTTCAAGTCGTGGTGAGGACGGTCCTTCTTCGTGAACAATTTCACTGTCTGTTGTCACGGTATTTGGCTTTTCATTCTTGAGCAAGTCACGTCGACGCATCCGTCGCCTTTCCTTCGCATTCATCTTTCGCTTCCCCTCGGAGGGGCCAAGAACATTGGGCGCCACCAATTCCTGGTCGTCAGGGGGGTTAAGAACAATGTCGGCCTGCAATTCTTCATCGTTCGGGTCCTCGAGAATAATGATTAAGTCGCCGATGGGATCGAGCACTGTCATATTGGTATGCATCTTGAACTAGTGTTTTGTGGGTAGCTGTAGCCACCTCGTTCAGCTGGCGCAGTCGAAATATATTTGACTCCTTCACGAAAAATTGCTCTCAACTGTGAACCTTCCTTGATACACATCAATGACTAGAGCAGGTAGTCCAGGGGTGGTAGTCCTGGGTGATGTGTGGGTTTGATGAAAGGGATACTCCTCACCTGAGGGTACCTCAGTGAGTTGAGCTGAGGGGCCCTACCCCTCAGCAGAGGTCGCCCCACTAATTCTCAATATATACTATACATTTAATATAATAATATACTATATTTATATTTAGAGAATTACTTACTAATTAATTATATAGGTGTATATTATAAATACACTTAAGTACTATAGATAAGGAGTAGTATAGTCTAATTAGTGACTATAAGGCGCTTATAGGGGTATAAGAATAAAAGAACTAATTATATAACTAGATTACTAAGGATTATATAATACTAATCTAGGATTAGTAGGCTTATAAGTAAACTATAGTAATTTAAGTATTATAATAGGGAAGAGGATAAGTATATAAAGAAAGGGATTCTTAATAGATAGTTAGACTAAATCTCTATTAATTAATTTAAATAATAGTTCTACTATTAAGATATATCTTTTAAATATAACTTATACTATAATAATTACTTATTAGTACTCTATATATTTAAACTAACTCTTTTTTTAAGAAGTAAACTAATTATAGAGTAGGATTAAGCTACTATTTGTTACGAATGCTGCAGGACGTGCAGGCGGGGCTGAGAGAGGCAAGGCGAAGGCTTGTCACACTAGCCACCAAAAAGACAGGAGATCACGTGATCTCCCCGGGATCGAGGACTCGAGCCATCGAGCCATCGATCCAGGAATAGGATCTAGGGGATCGAAGGTCGAGCCTTCCGATCCAGAGTTACAGTTATAGTGTACTATACTAGGAATTACCTTATAATTTATTATATAGATACTAAGTAATTACTTAGCTATTATATATTATTTAATCTAGGATATTTAGGAAGTAAATAGTATTATTATAATATATCTAATATTTAGTAGAGACTTTATAGGATAGTATTTTACTATAATTATTATAAAAAGAAAAGTATTAATTTTAAATAAGTTTTTAATTTTAATAGAGTATTATATTAAGGTAATATTATTATAATAAATGCATTATTTTATTAAAATGTATAGTAATGGGCCGCGGAGGTTGACCCGGTCCACCCACACGGCTTCAGGCCTCAACAGATGACGCATGACCTAATGAAGGACTCCAGCCAAATCATGCTTACTTAGGCATCCACGGATATTGAAATGCGCGCGTGCCTGGATGTCATGAAGTCTTGCCACCTCACAAAGCTTCCACTTGCACTTGCAACTCTTGCTCGATGGCAGGTTATACCAGAAGTCGCTACACGAGGCGAGAGATGCGTCAGATCCGTGAGATGCACGAAGCCAGACCCCCTAGGATCTACGACAGTTGCAGGCCAAACAATCCTAATATACCATTTTTTGCCAGCAGTAGAGAATACGAGAACAGGATCCTGCCCGAGCTGCCCGAGCTGCCCGAGCTGCCTGATCGTGATCGGGTATGGCTCGTAGAGCCAGGCCTCTGTTCAATTGAGGTATACGAAGCCAGCCTGAAAAAGTCTCACCGCCGTTGTCCGCCTCTGACAAAGTACATCTGCCGAAGCGGCGTGGTGCAGGTGGCTCTCAGAACACATCCGTATGCACCTACAAGCGCTGCAGAGGATCGCCACCTACGTGAGGAGCGCGACATTTGTTTCACTCTTCTCTCTGGAAAAGAAGGTCTCTATATTATTCAAAGGTTGCACTCTCGTGGGGCTCTTTCCTTTCCAAGCCACAAGCTGGCAACACCACTTGGTCTCACCACTACGATTTTGTGGGTGCAGGATGAGAGGGCGCAGGATGAGAGGGCGCGTCACAATATTTACCGAGAGCTTGGGCTTGGCACTGACGATTCCGAGTTTCCACGTAGTGCACTCCCACACGGTGTCATCCCTATTAGAGAAACAGACTCCAAGGAGTGGGAATTACCTGGTGCGGGTGGAATCGCCCGAGATGGACGGGCAACGGATGATTGTGGCATCCATAGAATCGAGTGGCCCCCGCAACGAGATGCCTAGCCAGATCGTGAAAGCTGCTCTTCAGCAGATCAACATTCCACTTTAATTCCACAGAAGAGCAAGGGAACGCGGCCACTGCGGGTTACTTCCCGACCGCCAGACTGCTACTCCAGGGAACATTCCTAGCTTTACGAAGCTGCAACATGATGCAGAGCCTCCGCCAGCACTTCAGATTTCTGCTGGAATTTCTGCTTTTCTTTTCTTCTCAATTTGTGTCAAAGGCACCGATGGCCCGCATTATCATGTCTGCGCTACTTGGCAGCGTCCACGGGCGGATGCACTTGGAGTGTGTGCGCACAACATCAACATCAACAATCCAGTCCAACACCTACAAGACCACTTTGATCAACAAGACAACTTGCCACCAAAAACGAAAAAAAAAAAAACCTAGTCACAATGAAGTTCGCCACCGCCGCCGCCGCCCGCCCTACCGCCCGCGATCCGCACGGTTAGTCTCCAATCTCCAATCTCTTCAATAAGCCGCCCATCCTACAGCAGGCCTAACAGTTTCCCTCTTCGTCATTCTTTCTTCCCTACTAGAATTAGCAACAATTATAACGCCTATCTACATTCGCCTAGGACTAGTCTGTAACAATTAATTATAATTAGGACGCCTATATTCTCCGGCCAGCGCGGCTAAGACAAGCGTCTACGCGAGGCGCGATATTTGCTTCACTCTTCTATCTAGCTTTAGGAACTTTCTATGCGACAAGGATTAATATATTGTGTTCATGTTGTAACAATGTTACTTATTAAATAGAATAAGCACGGGCACGGCCCCCCTTGGCCCCCTAGTCCCCCTCCTCCTCGCCCCCTCGGGCCACACCCCCCCTCCTCCTCCTCCCCCTGCTGCTGCTGCTCCTCCTGTTGCTGTTGCTGCTGCTGCCGAAGGGCCGCCTTCTTCTGGCGGCGGCGACGGGCGCGAGCCGCGTTACGCTGTTCTCTTTTTGTATATATCTTGTTTAGCGAAAAAGAGCGGAAAACAGGTGCCTGGGGCAAGTAAAAAAGTGGCAGGTTTAGGCGAGATGCGATTTTTCGTTTACGTTGGCTAATGGGGTTGTGTTTGCTGGCTCCATTTCTTGCCGGCCGAGACGAACAAGTGCAAGAACCGGCGGTGCCGCGATAAGAGTCTTTATAGAAGGGGGTTTGCAGTCGTGGAGATAGCAGCGGCGTATCCTAAGGCCGTCCATTCAGAACACTTAGTTGATTCTTATTAAGCCCACAAAGAGAGCAACACTTTGTCGTAGGGACGGTCCCCCCCTAAAAAGCAAAGACATGCGTAAGCTTTAGAATAGCCTTTCGTCACTAACTAATCCGTTCAGTAAGGTATGTAGACGGCCAAGCTTTCTAATGTCACCCATCTTGTGGTCTGTGTTCTGGCGCGTAATTTGTAGTTTGTAATTTGCTGGATAGGGCCACAAGTCCACAATATCTCACATAGTAGTTGATAAATTGACCGGGAAGAGCAGCCCAATCGTTATGGTCACTCATAGGCCTGAGAATCTGGAGAAATATACGAAGATAGGACGAGACGTATTCATTTTCAAATGAAGAAGCACCTCTAAATCATACAGCCGGAACGTCTATTATGACTAGAAGCTCGCAGAAAACACCGAGCTTCCGTCTGGGTAAAAAGAACTGAGGGAGATAGCTATGCCTTCTGTCGAAAGTTCGATAACTATTCATGGTACATGGTCACAATGCTTGTCCTAGAGGCCCTCGCGCAGTCTTTTGATGAGGATACGATGAGGCTTTTTTTTTAATGTCAAGGACAGAGCGCATTGACGCGTGGAATGGCAGCAGCTGCGGACATACCGGAATTGAACCAGATACCTATTGAAAACACCAGCGACTTCACTGACGTAGCAGTTGCTACCGTTGCTGGCCAGCGGGATCGCGACATGCTGACTCGTCTTCTCGCGTATCGAGGAAAAGAGGTCACGACCACAGGGGCGATTGCGAACGCCGCCGGTAGCAACCAATTTCAAAGGCACGATGTATTTCCGGTCTTTCGTGAGAAAAAGACCAAGTTGACAGACGATGCAAGGTCCGCTGTTGACAAATATTTTGCCTTCCGTTAGAGATTTTGTTCCCCTTCCCAACCTAGATGTGGTTCTCCCTACGGACCACGGCAGAGCAGCTGATGATGTGGGTATTTACTGGCTTGAAATGAAACCTTTGAACTTTCAAATGGCTGCTCCTTTTTAACATTTCCTTTTTTTTATGTGTCAACATCCTTTTCTTGGATAGGAAACAGGCTTGCCTGGTTGCTGACCTGCTTCTGTTCGTACAGGGAAGAAGAGTACAATCCATTAACGACGCAGGCGTTTGTTGACGCAGATGTAATCTTCAAAACAGGGCAATGTCTCGATGTCTCTTTTTGAAGAAAGTGCTCCAGCTAAATTTGTCTGTCCACGCTAGCCTGGAAAGTCTGAGGCAGAAAGCACGAAGAAAGTCTCACTGCAGTGCTCCGTCAGGGAGGTCATCGGCAGGCTGGTCACTTTCCACGTCATCAGGGTGAAACTGAAATTCCGGGGTATTCTAAGGCAAGTTGAATGCTTATTCACTTTAACCAGGTGGCAAGAATATCTATAGAAACAAAGGGGACCGGCAATTGCATGCTCTGACCCTTCAGGTTATACAGTAAACGGACCTACATCTCGACTTAAGAAATGATTTAGTAGAGCATTGATGCGCTGCTGCTGCTTCCCTAGCTAATCTGATCATGATGACGCTTTGAACTCTCCAATGGCCGTCGGCCCTACACAACTGCACTATCCCAGGTTGGTCACGAAGAACAGCTTTACAAGAACATCGATCGATTCAACTTGCAGAGAAATTGACACATAGTGTTTGAGCATCTCGTTTCTCACTTGGACCAGCAGCTCGCGTAGCTTGGTTTCAGACCATCCTAAGCCGTCCATGAAAGACACCTTGCTGAGCGTCCAGAGCTCGCCTACGACGATTTTTTTCATAGTTACCCAATACCCGCAGATGAGGATCCTCCGATAAAGTATTAAGCGGCACTTCGTGCCACTCTATGTTGACATCGATGTATCCTTTAGCAATCATTCGCTCCTTGACTGATAAAGCACTATCAAACGAGTTGCTCCCGGCTTTTCTGGCAGCATTCATATATTCTGCCCATTGTATGATCTTAGACACTTCTTTAACTTCGCCTCGAGGTTCCAAGAAGAGTTTGTGAAGTTCAACCCAGCCTCCTGGCCTTAGATGCTGAAGGCCCTCGTCAACGACTGTTTTCTCACATTCAGCATCGCGTGCAGATAGAAAGTCGAGATTATAGCCGCCAAAGTAAGGTTCATCGTCGTGCACGACCGTAATTTCCAAATTTGGGGGAGCACTATCAGCTGTCAGGTAAAGTCCAAACAAAACAAAGTAGCCAGTGCACAGCTCTTACAAGTTTCCTTGCATGCATCTAACGTCGAACCCGTGTACCTAGCGAAGCCACTATGCTGTTCTTAAGTAGCATTAAATAGACTAAGCTCACCTTAGCCCCTGGGAATTCATCTGCTGAGCTGACTTTAGCAACGAGTTGCACTGCATTCAGAGATGGAAGTGCTACTTACCAACAGCGGTACCCCAAAATTCAGTGCCGGCGCTCGCATCAACAATGCTCTGGGGCTGTTTATCGATTAGGCTTCGAAAAGTCTTGCGCTTAAGTATTTCTTTACATAGATTATAAAGCATCTCTAGGCCTCTACGTTAGAGATAGTTAACCAGTGTTAGGACATACTACTAGACTATAATAGTAATCTACTTAGCTACTATATAACTTTCTATCTTAGTTAAGTATTAATATATTAAACCTTAGTCTAACCTGACTTAGCCTTATATATATACTATAGTGTTAATATAACTAATTAAAGGTAGGAAGTTAGGTAAGGAATAGGATAGTCTAATAAAGAAAGGATCCCTTTCTATTTTAGCTTTTATAAAAGACTAAAGCTTACTTCTTCTTCTTCCTTCTTTTCTTAAAGAAGATTCTATCCTAATATTAATAGATAATAAAGGAGGAGGTTAGTTAATAAAAACAATATTAACTCTTAGTCCTACTTATATAGTATAGGCTTAAGTTAGTCTAGATTGATTTAATAAATCTCTACTAATTAATCTAAATAATAGTTCTATTATTAAGAGATATCTTTTAATATAACTTATACTATAATACTATTTATTTATATTTTTATAGTTTTAACTTAACTTTTTTCTTAAGAAATAGACTAATTATAAATTAAGGATTAAACTACTATTATATTTTAATTAGTCCTATTAAATAGAATACTTTTAAAACTATAAGTAGCTAACCTTTATTATATTTACTACTAATAGTACAATAACTAACCTAGGCTAAACTATAGTATAGATTAAGTAATAAATTAAAGCTTTTATTATTTAAATTTAAATTATATAGAATACTAATATTAAAAAGTAGTTAAACTTACTACTTTTTAAGTTAATAACTATCTTTCTAGTCTATTAAATAAATATAATTAAGAATAAAATAGGACCCTAAATTCTCTATTATCTATAGTTATATATACTAGATTTATCTTTAGTACTATATTTAAGCTCTTATTCTATAATCTTAAGTTCCTCTTTAGTAAGATACTTAAAGGTAACTATTAACCTATCTATATAAACTTCACGCCTTACTAAAATTAGTAGGGATCTAAATATAAATCCTTATAGCTTTTATATAACTTTTGAATAGGGTTAGCGGTTATATTGTGGTGTATATAGATGCGGCAAGGAAAACTTTTCCCTGTGAGTCATTCCGACTTAGCGTCAAGTTATAGCAATATGCCAGGCTTCGCCATGGAGCCTCTGTCATCTTTAAAACTTAGACACAACGAAAACATTAATTCGACACTATGACTATATACATCCGTCCCGAGACTCCCGCCGATTACAGCGCTATCCACGCTCTAACTTCTGATGCCTTTCCAAATTCTACGGCTAATGAGCCTGGTATCGTTGCCGACCTGCGCGCCGCCTCAGCCCTTACTCTCTCCCTCGTCGCCGTCGACTCTGCTGCTGCGGAAACCATCATCGGCCATATCGCGTTCTCACCTGTTGTCATCACGCCGCCGCCCTCGTCTAATAAAAAGTGGTTTGGGCTGGCGCCCATCTCGGTGGCGCCTCAAAGACAGGGGCATGGAGTCGGGCGGCAGCTCATTGAAGAGGGTCTTGCCAAGTTGAAGAGCATGGAAGGCGTGCAGGGCTGCGTGCTACTGGGTGATCCCAAGTTCTACAATCGCTTTGGTTTCATGGCGGGACAGGGTCTAGGACTGGCGGGTGTGCCGCCAGAGTACTTTATGAGTTGCGTGCTGGACGGAAGCGAGTGCCCGACGGGAGAGGTCAAATTCCATCCGGCATTTGACCAATCTCTGACTGATGCTGACACGAAGCATTGATGAGGAATCGTACATGCTCGATAACAATGGTATATTCCTCTGCAGATGATGTCGTGCCTTTAGTATATGGCGACGTACTTTTCCGTGTATTCTTTTAGTCGAAAATCCGAGCTTTAGATATTTTCAGCCAGTTTGCCTTTATTGTTGTGATGTGCCCAGTTTAGAATACGAGAAAAGCAGCCATTCTGCGCTAATCAGAGCCTTAATTCGCCCTATTTTCTAAGGCAATAATAATAATATAGCTAAAAGTTACCTAAGAAGGGAACAACTGTTTTTAGTAGACTAAGATTATAATTTCTAAAAGTAGTTAAACTATATTATCTTTTACTTTTCTATATATAAATATATACTTTTATATAAGTATATACTTTTATATAAATATAGATTTTAAAGTATATATAGTTTATTAATTTATTATAAAGCACATAAAGATATTATTAAGTACTTATAATATTTTCTTTTATTATTTAGAATATAGTTAATATATTATTAGAATTATTAAAATAAAAGCATTAATTTAAAACTTCCACTAAATATAGGAAGGCCTTTACTATTATAGTATAATAGCAAAAGACTAGAATTAAGACTCTAGGGAGAAGCTTAAAGCTAATTATAAAAAAGTAGAAATACCCTAAAGAGCATTTTTATAAGAGTGGGTACTAATGGTGCACCGTAGACAGCCCATCAGACCGTCGCCAAGCGCCCACCACCGAAGACTGTAGTTACCACCCATGTTCTTGTGCCTTCAACCAAGTTTCGAGATCTGTAGACAACCGAGGACAAATTGGTCCACCTGGCTCTATAGACTGTGACCCGCAAGATTTGCACCGCCCTGTTCTCTGTGCTGAAGGCGGCAGAGGCCTCCGGCAGCGTCCGCATGGACGCGGAAGAGCCGACCAAGGATCTCCGCGACGCGGTCAACAGTGGTCGTCGTGCGCTCCGCCGGCTGCCCGAGAAGTTGGGCTGGAGCCAGCTGAAAGGGCCAGCCCGTGTCTGCCGGATGAGGTCCTGTTTGCGGCGACATGGCCGCTGGTAAATGACGAGAACCATTTAAGCCCAGGCTGCGTGATGGTGGAAGAATTCAAGGAGAGTAGATAGCGGTACTGGCAAGATGTTGGGGATGAGCAGATATGCAGGCTGTGTGGTGGTCGAGATAGCGGACATGCGTCGTGGAGCCAAGCCGGGCATCACTACCAGGGTTAATCATTAATAGAATAAATAGACTTATGTTAAAGAGTATCATTTCATGTAGAAAAGACTCCCGTTGCGCGGAGTCTCAGGTATGGCGCTACGTGCAGATCGCATTGCATTTTAAGTTAGCAGAGAAACCCCGAGACCGGAAGGACCGGGCGAGCTCCGACGGTTGTGTGGATGGTGGTGGCGGACTGAATGGATTAGTACCTTGCTTGCGACTTATTAACGGCGCACCTCCCACACTGCCTCATCTTACCACGCAGAAAAGCCTGCATTCGATCTTACCATTGCTGCTACTGTTAGAGCCCAGGCTTCCGTTCCAACAAATCGTTCCGCCATTCGCGATGGTCTACCCAGGCACTAGAAGCACCGGCTGCGGCCAGTGCCGAAAGCGAAAGATCAAGGTGCGTCTCCAACTACTTACATGAGTGAACTTCCTGCTGCTGACCCGCGGTAGTGCGACGAGGCGCGTCCAGGCTGCCGACGCTGTCAAAAGTCCGGCATCGAGTGTCCTGGCTACTACCGCCCGCTGGAGCTGCGATTCCACACCGACGGCGGCAACCTGCTCCACGCCAGCTCGCTAAAGAAGGGTAGCAGTAGCTCCGCAGATACCACTTCCTCTGCCGCTTCCGCCTCCTCAGCCGCGGACCGCCAACAAGCGCTGCTCCTGCCGCCTCGGCTCGGCCTGCAGCCCGAGCCGCTTTGGGAAAAGGAGTCGGCGCTATACTTTTACCAAGAGTACTGCATTCCGCCGAGTCCCGACGTCTTCTCCGGGTTCTTGAACTTTCTCCCGAACATTGTGCTGCAGTCAGAGGCCGGGTCGACGCTGCGGGCGGCGTCGGCGGCGTCGGCGTGCCTGGCGTTGTCGCGGCGGAGCAAGTCAGCGCATTTGTATCAACGAGCGTGTTCGCATTATGGGGCGGCGCTTCGGGGGTTGAATACGGCGCTGGGCAGCGATGCGTCGGTGATTTGGAACGATGAGACGATTGCTTCCATCATGTTGATGAATTTGTTTGAGGTACTACCTCCAACTATCATGTGTATCAGCTATCATCGATATTCTCTGTGATGGTGCCCTGTGATGGTGCTTCGCGATGGTGGTGCTAACTATCAAAAGGACATTCACGGAAAGCCGTTCAAGAACCGAGCCTCGCATCTTACTGCTCTGATTCAAGTGTTTTCTATGAGAAACATCAAGATACTACAGGCCCCGGCACTAAGCCCATTATACCGATGGGCTTTACTACATATCGTAAGTTGCAAGAGTCGTGAGTGCATCGGAATGAATGCTTAGACTTGTAGCAAATCCGATCCTTCTACACTGGCGAATCATTCGACTGTGTGAAAATCCCCAAACGGGACATCAGCAGAGAAGATCTGTCGACCGGCCTCAGCATATTGGTTGCCCAGATCAATCAATTCTCCTCTGAATGGATCCACGAAAGCACCGATTTAGACGACAGCAGGCACAAGCCCCAGGCTTTCAATGCTCCGGCCCCTGAAGAGGCATGGCGAATTCAAACCCAGCTGGACCTGTGGATGGACAATCTGCCGCCGATCGTGAAGCGCAGGACCCTCACAACATCCAGCGGCACAATCACCACCGCGTCGACCAGGATGCTCGGCATCACGTGGTCATTCTACGACGCCGCGCTCGTAGTCTTCTACACCGCCGTGATCGCGTGCTGCCGCGCAGAGCAGGGCCCGTCGGCAGAGACTCTCATGGCGCTGGCGAGCAGCAGGCTGACAGAATCGCTCGACGCAATATGCAGATCGATACCGTACAACATGGGCGAGGTGGACAGGCGCGGGCGGCATGTGGCGACGCCGCAGTGCAAGGCGGGCTCGGCGTACTACATCATCCTGCCGCTCGGGCTGGTCACGCACAGCCAGTATAGTAGCGAAAGGCATCGGGGGCTGTGCAACGAGGCGCTGGAGAAGATACGAGAGAGACATGGGCTGATACATGAGGGTTCGTGCGTGGAGATGCTGATTTAGGCAGTGACTGGGATACAGCCATTGGATAAAACGTAAAGACAGTCATGAGACTGAAAATCACCATCGAAAAGGGGATATTCGTGTGACAAGATGCTTAATTAGGCGCTGGCCGGGATGTTAGAAACTGAATCGAAGTAATAACAGCTCATGAGACTGAAGATCTTCGACATCGAATTCGGCTGTCCCCCACCGGCGAGAGCGGTAGCGGATGAGGGGATTTCGACGGGCGACCGTGGCTGGGAGAGTTTGGGGTCAACGCTAAGAAGGGCTGCAGTGTATTTGAGAGGCGATGAGTTGCAAGTTACTTGATAGCTGGCTATTTACTGGAAAGATACCCTTTCCGAACACATTTGTTATAATCTCGCATTATTTCGTAAACATTTCCGCCGGTTGACTTGTATGCCCCAGCTTTCCTTTCTTAATACGCCCACGTCACTCTGGTCGTTTTCTTAAAGTCACCTAAAAGTCCGTGTCGCAGACAAAAATAGAGGCATTCGTCTTCATAGGTTTGTCCGGGTTGATAATGGACATGTCAAATCGTTTCATAAGCTGTGCCAGGTTAGACGCAGCCTGTAGATGTGCAACAAAGCACAGCATACCTCGCATACAGTTTCATTTAGCTCCATCATGGCAATCGGCTTTCCCAGACAAGAAAACTTGCCGCCCCCGAGATGCGTATCCACGGCGTGGTTCATCTTCTTCAAGTCTGGCGGGCTGGCGCACAACCACCACTCTGGCCGAAAGACGTCTGGGACATACGATCCCCGAACACCGACCGTGGCAAGGAGATCAACAGAGCTAGAAGATTTTATGACCTCAGTGAGGAATCTTAGCACGCAGCCTGCGCCATCAAACTCTTCCACACGCGGCAAATATGTGGAGTGGCTGGCCGCGACCGACCAGGGAGACTGCCTGGTGGACGACCCTATTCAGTACTGGCTTCTTCGTCGGCGCCAGTACCCGCAGCTGTCGAGGATGGCCATTGAACTATTCTCGGTTCCAGCCATGCTTTCCGAGCCAGATCGCATTTTGAGTCTAACAGGATAGATGGTAACAACGCAGAGGAGACGGCTAAAAGCACACCTTATGGGGCTGCGCAGTGTGTATCGTCTTAGGAGAAAAGTGAGGATACTCAGGTATCCAAATAAAACGAATGGCTCAAATAACTAAGATTGATGAGAGGGCAAATCAAATCAAATCACATTGTATTTTCCTTGCTGTAAATCAACTCAAATCTGAAGCCAAATTTGAGTTGATTTATTTGCTTGCAAGTCTGATAGAAAGCCTGTCACTGGCCGAGGCAATTGGATCATAGTGTTAGAGGTGGGTGGCTGGTTCGCCAGCTAATGTGGAACAAAGATTCTTCCATCTCAAAGTAAAACTCCAGCTAAATATATCACCTTGACATATTCTCTTTATTTAGTAGTACAAATAAAACGGTAAACATCGCAAGACACACCCCGCTCAGATCTTCCCATTTGCCTTGAGACTCTCAACACTGGCGATGAGAGCCTCGGTCGCGCTACGAGGGCGCCAACCTAATTCCTTACGGGCTTTGGCGTTAGACACGGGCCGTACATGTCCAAGTTCGGGTACGATAACACTGATCCTCTTGTTAAAGAGACCAATCAGTCTAATCATGAAGCTCGGCGCCGACCCCGTGGGCAGCTTCGTCGTATCCTCGGCCGGGAGGTGCTTTTTCAGATCAGCGGCCATCTGTTTAATCGGAACCGACATCTCGTCCGAGATGGCAAGGTAGCGCTGGTTCGGAGCCTTGGGCGACTCCAGGACGAGGACGTGCAAGTCGGCAACATCGCGGACGTCGACGATGCCGATGTGGAGGTCAGGCAGCGCAGACATTTCTCCAGACAGCAGACACATGGGGACTTCCAAGCTCGTGTTGACACTCTTCCCCAGAGACGGACCGTAGACGAGAACCGGGTTGACTGTGGCCAGCTCAAAGCTCCCTTGACCCTCGCCCGCCAGCCAGTCCCACGCCGCGCGCTCCGCAATCGTCTTGCTCTTCGGATACGCACCCACATACGACTTTGGCTTCCGAATCTCCGTCCAGTCCTTCTCAGTAAACGGGTTCTCCGCAGAGCGTTGCGCGTGCCCGTACATGACAGCCACCGCCGACGACGTCACCACGACGCGCTTCACAGAGCCTGCCTTTTTTGCCGCGCGGAGTGCGCGCAGCGTTCCCTCACGCGCGGGCTTGATGAGCTCGTTCTCGTCCTTGGGCTCGGCGGAGGGAAAGGGGGAGGCCGTGTGCAGGACGTAGTCGGCGCCGGCGCAGGCCGCGTCCCAGCCGGCGTCGCGGAGGAGGTCGACGACAACGAACTCCATGTCGTTGAGCTTGTCGCCGACACCAGCGCTCCTCATGGCGTAGCGAATGTCGTCGGCGCGTTCGAGGGACCGGACGGTCGTGCGAACCTTGTAGCCGGCTTGGAGAAGCTTGTGGATGATGTGTAAGGCGATGAAGCCAGAGCCGCCAGTGACGAGGACCAGTCTGTCGTTGGCCATGATTGCGCTGAAAGTTCGATTGGACTGTTATTAAAGCTTCAATGTATAATGATAAGTCTCCTTGAATATTTCTCTAAAAGTGAAAGAAAAAGGTGGAATATAGGCTCTGGCAGATATTTATACGGTAAGCCATTGTCACATCTTCCACCACTACGGGGTATAGTGGCGTGTATGTCACCACAACATAAACTCCGCGCTTCACAAGAACCCCTGTAGTGCGGAGAAATTTCAAAATAAAATGATGCATCTAAAAGAAAAAGAAGAAGAACTTCGCGGAGTACAATACAATATCGGGATCGTCCGGAGTTAGGACCGTTTGTCAGCATAGGGCCGACGGCGATCTTAATCGGAACCTGCTCCGGATAGCAAAAGCAAAAAGCGGAGCCGAACTAAGGCCAGCTATAACGTGCCGTAGGCTTAACCTTTCCGGGCAAGAAGCCCATTTGTTGCGATGTAGCTGTCGCCACAGAACACTACCTAATCCTGCCCTAGCTTGCGAGGCTGGCCGGACACTGCGCAGAATCATCCATCCTGTTCTCTTACTTTCGGGTTACAACCTCCATCCTTTGCCCTACAAGTTGAAAGTCCAATGCTTGCCTAGTGCTTAAGCAAAGACGAGCTTATCGACAGCATCATCCGTTCTTTCAGATGGAGGAGTACAGAATTTGATTGGAGCTATGGGCGATATGTGAAGAGAACTTCCACTTCGAAAGACGTACACAATATTCCATTACAAGGATTCAAAATTATGAGGAGAAAAGAAGAGACTAAACCTTTAAGCAGACTATTCTGCGGACTTTGGTCCCGAGGCGGATGGCTCTACTAATCACGGACACAAATTGAGCCGCTTCTGAGTAGATATTGCCCATCACCATCTCACAAAAACTACGGGATCATAACAGTAACCCTTGGCTTGTTCCCTTGAAGTTGTCTTGGACTGCCTTGCAGGCTGCGGGCTAGGCACTTGGTGGTGTCCGTCCAGGATAGCCAGCGCTAAACCCAGATCAGCCCTTGCTTGCGACAGTGTAGAAGGGACCACAATGAGTGTACATCCTTTACTTACAAACTTTCAAGAAGAGACGGAGAGCCCGATAGAAGTCCTTCAAGTAGCTCAACACAGGAATGTGTCATGAGCCGATAGGACTGGGGCAATGCCAACAGGCAATTTTCTCCGCAACCATGGATCGCGGAGTTTCTTGGTATTCTTCATTATTCAGCGCAATCACTTTCACGAACTAGCCTATCTACACACGTACCGAAAGCTGCAGACGCTTTGCCATTAACGTAGGCCACCCAACGGTAGTGTCCAGACCGAGGCAACTCGCGAAGCCTATAAAACAGCTCTTTGGACCACCGCCAACGCCGGGCAAGTCATTCCATTAGCCAATTCCATCCTTGATACATCTATTAAGCTCAACATGACTAAACGAATCTTACACGTCGTTACTAACGTCTCTCACTACGACAACCCATCCCACCCTACGGGACTATGGCTCTCCGAACTCACCCACGCCTGGCACGTCTTCGAGTCCCACGGCTTCGAACAATCCCTCGTGAGCCCCTCTGGTGGCTCCGTGCCCCTTGAGCCGCGCTCTCTCCAATTCCCTAGCTACGATTCCACCGCTAAGAAGTGGCGCGCCGACCCTACTAAGATGGCCCTCCTCGCCAACACCGCCGCGCCTGGGGACATTAACCCGGCTGACTACGACGCCATCTTCTTTACTGGTGGCCACGCCGTTATGTATGACTTCCCTGACAGTGTACGCCTACAGAGTATCACCCGGGAGATCTTTGAGCGCGGTGGCATTGTGTCGTCCGTCTGCCATGGCTACTGTGGGCTGCTGAACGTGAAGCTCACGGGCGGCGCGAACCTTATTACGGGCCGGAAGATAACAGGCTTCGCATGGACGGAGGAGGTGCTGGCGCGCCTGAATAAGATAGTGCCGTACAACGTGGAGGAGGCGGCGAAGACGCGTGGCGCGGTGTATAAGAAGGCGAGGCTGCCGTTTGTTTCACACACAGTGGTGGATGGGAATCTGATTACTGGGCAGAATCCAGGTTCGGCAACGGATACGGCAAAAAAGGTAGCTGCTGCGCTGCTCGGTTCTTAAGATGTAGAAAGCGTTCTTAGTCGAGACTATTCTCGTTCTATAGAAGGGATATAAATCCCTATAAAAAGTATATATATAAAACTATAGGTTATTAATAATAGATAATATTAACTACTTACTATTTAATAGTCTTAATTAATTAATAGATTTTATAAGTATAATATATTATTTTAAAGTTTATTATTATTATATAATTCAAATATTA